TCTAATTTTCGTCCGCAAAATGTGAATAATAAAACGTGATTTTCACAAAGGACATTTTGTAATCTATTGCTATCTGCTTGAAGGACGTTTTGTTTTACCAAGTACATGTACTGATACCTGTTGAAAATACGCTGACATTTTTTGGGTTCTTAAAAATTCTGTAAAGATGTTGACAAAATATTACTGTGTACAATTCCTTGTACATATTTGGACCAAAAAAAAAAAAAGGACGACATTTCTTGTCAATATTCGGGTATCGCATGTTATTAAAAATAGGATATCTGTTTTTGAGATGGTTTATGTCCAGTTATATTTTTCTCCTTGAAAAAAAATCCCCAATATTTATACATATTACATGTAACACTATCTACACTGAAATGCGCAGAATACAAACTGGACGGAATTACTGGTCAACTTCGATTTCATTTTATGTAGCAAATCTGCTATTTCAAATTTTCTGCAAAATTTACAAATATGATTCATTCGTAGCAAAAATATCTATCTACATGTAAAACTATACAAAATAGATTTTTTTTTTAATAAAGGTTCTATTTAAAACATCATTCTTATCAAATCAGAAACTTCCAAGTACTAATTGGCCATGCAATCCACCATGAACCCAGATATGTACAAAATAAAGCTTGAACTTCAAAACTTGTAAATCACAATCAATTCACCCTACAAACTTCCTCTGATTAAAAAAAAATCACTTATTACGTCATTTTTTAAAAACCCAACAACCAGTTCGGACCGGATGACTTGTATACACGGAGAGGTTTTGCGGTATTCGGAACGGATGATGGATAAACACGCAACGAGCAAGGCCGGAAATATCTGTGACCCGCTCGCAGCGAGCGAGGCTGGAAATATTAGTGTGCTGCCCGAGGGTGATGGCTTCAACCTGGCATTGAGGTCAAGTGAAAAGTAATCTCGCGTCTCGTTCCGTTCTTGTCAAAATATTCCCGGCCTGAACTGATTAATAACAAACACAACAATAAGGAGTAGAAAAGATGTATCTCAGTGCGTGCCCTGCATAGTGTAAGGTACACTTTACCTAAGATAGTCAACTTAAAAATGTAAAACAGCAACCTCCGTTGACAATTCGAATCATTATTCAAGTGTTCTTTTGACGCGAAGACCTTCGCTTGTTCTCTTTTTTTCCCCATTTTATTCAGCAGCATGTTTTTCTCTTTCAGAAATGTTGCGTTTGTATCTGTAAAGAAAGTTTTGACAATAAAACCAAAAAAAATGGAACTGGGGAACACGGCATTGTCAGTTTGCTATGAAGTCCCAGCCCTGATCATATTGCTGAGTTGCACTACTTCTTTTTCTTGGACTTTTCACTCTTGTTGGACGATGATGATGATGATGATGATGACGATGAAGATGATGAAGATGATGAACTAGATGACTTAGAAGAAGCAGCTGATGCAGGTCTCTCCTTGGCAGCCCTCACCGACTGCTGTGACCCACGGCTGCTGCCGGCGCTCTGTTGACCCGGCCCGGAGCTGGAGCTCGGTCCAGCCTCTGACATGCCATCCGCAGATCCACCCGACCCTTCGCCTCCTTTATCCTCATCCCTCCTCTCAAACGGAGACAAGGGTTTCTTGATGGATAACAGGGATCCTAGGTCGCTGTCTGGTCCAGGAGCAAAGCTGCTGAAGAGGGCGGCTTCGATGGACGAGATGCCCGCGTCGGCCATGTTCCAGGCCTCGCGGTCCGCGGCGTGGCCTCGGATGTACAGCAGGACTTCCTTCAGGTTCAGCTCCTTGGCTCTGGCACTAAAGAAATAAAAGAGAATCATCCTTTCTGACAATGGTACTGGATAGCTCAGTTGCAGGTATGCAACTTTTCTTCGGATCCGCTAATTCCCTCGTTTTTTACTTATCACGAATGCAATTGAAAATTGAACAAACACTGTACAAAGTCTTGCGTGGTTTGTCATTTTTCTTGTGTTTGTCTAAATTCCCGGTGGCATGCCTGCAGTTGGCAGAGTGGTAGGTTTAAACCCAGCTGCAGTTAATTTCATTGTCCAAAATTATGTTCGTTTATAAAAAGTAAAGATGACAAACCACTTTACCCCGGATTCAGTCAACATTTTAATAGCAATAGGACACTGGATAATTATTATGTACAGTGCTTTTTCATCTTCGGAGTACTGTTTGGTAAATTTGTTTTAGTAAAATTCAGCTGAGATGGATAAAGGGCAATATTCATGACAAGGAATGCTGCATCTTTTGGTAATAGGAGAAACACTTAAAGATGTTGTCGCAGATAGTGGATGATTGTGGACAAATCTTACCAGAGGAGAGAGGTCCTATGACCATTTTCAGAGTTGTTGAGGAAGAAAGAATTTTTAACAGCCTTGTCTGGTTTTTGGCATACAATATTGCATTGTTGCAAAAGCTTTTTCTTTCTTCAAAAATCACAATTTAAGGATTTCACTTACGCAGTCTGCCTCTGGTCCAAGGTGCAGAGAATCACCTTGGCAACCACCTTCTGCAGAATGGAATCTCCCGTCTTGGCAAACTGGTGCAAGGCACTCTTCAGGTTGGAAGCCGCCAGCATTTTCTCGCAGGCCTAAGGGGAACAAAGATGAGTCAAGCCTATTAAAGCTAGCACCACAATGCACACCATTCTATTTCAACTGATTCAGAATGACCATTCACTGGATGCCTTGTCATGCATCTGGGCAATTCCACGGTTACTCACGTTACATTTTCGTAACGTGAGTAACCGATTTTGTGCGTCTTGTTTATCATACATAACACATTTTTCTGGATGTCATCTTTGGTGCTTAGGTAGGTCTAGGTCTACTCTATCTACCATCCGGATAACAGTTATTAAACCTTTTCAGTAAGGTTATTACAGCCCAAGGAAACTCAAAAGTACATCAAAAACATAACGAGAGTAACCGTGGAAATGCCCATCTGGTCTAAACAATGGTCCGGATTTAGCCCATTCAATGACATTACATGTTCTCCTATACAATGGCACTGCCTGGCTCTGCACCAGTCTACAATCAGTCTTTATCTCAAGTGGAATGCTGTTAGTGAGTCAGTCAGTCAGTCAGTGAGATAGGCGCAAAGAAGACACTACACTGGCCCTGTTGCCGGTAAAATCTCATGAATATGGCCATCAACCTCAAAACAGCCTTGTGTGGCTGGGGGATGATCAAACCACATTCTTCTTCCGGTGTATCTTGACCATGACAAGGACCGTGGCCAGGATCATGAGCGTAAGAGAAGCGCCGGACTTGCAGGCCCATTCAAAGGACAGAAAGCTGTTTCCACCTACCTCAGGACTCTCGGCAAAGTACAGCAGGATCTTGCCAGCCAGCAGGTAGATGCCTGCATCCGAGGACTTGCGAGGAATGTTCAGAAGATGATTGAGAAGCTCCTCCTGAAGACGCAAAGATGAAAAGCAAAAGTTCAGGAGATACTTGTGAGTAAATCTGATCTAGGACCCTTCGTCTCCTAGTGGTTGATTCGTGGCATCTGTTCTGCCAGCACGCTAATGTTCAAGTCTGAATGCCTCCAGTCAAATGATGGTCAAACGTCATCATCAAATTGCCTTGTCCTGGCTCCCTGCTATTGATTATGATGTAAGCAGCTATTGGTAACCAGCGGTGCAACCACTGTTGTTAGGCTAATCCACGGCCTAAACTGAAAGGGGGTGCCCCCAACTTTGAGGCTTGTGCCCGTGACCCCATGTAGCCCTAAACCCAATGCATTTAAATGAGTTTCTCCCTTGGTGATGTGCACAACTCACCTGGTACAGGATGACATCTGCGTTCTCGATGGCTACCAGTTCCAGAGCCTGCAGGGCCAGCCTGAGTGTCTCACTGTCCTGGCCGGTGCACAGCGACACCAAAGCTGCAGCTGTGATTTCAGGAGAGAACACATTTTGTTTTTTAAATTTTATTTCAATGTACAGTTTATCCTTGGGATAGTTGACCTGTTGGATCTAGTGATACCAGGCAGGCTTATCTTACTTGGGTTTCAATTGGGTTTATTAAAGGTATAGTCCATCATTTGTAATTTGTGCATTTTGTTCGTTTGAAGCAACAAAAGTGCTCAAGATCTGAAGAAGGATGCTGAACAACCAATCTGATGAAGTTTCAGCTCAGCTTCAGCTTTATGTTCTGAGAAAAACAGCATTCTAGGAGAGTTGCTGAATCGTGTTTTGAATTGGGCCTGAATTCAGCGTCCGAGACACGTTCTCACTGAGCCGATTGCAGCTACGCGATGTTGCGCACTGATCCGACGAATTATAGCAACCGCGCGCGCGTGTGCGTCGTACCAACGCTTGCGCGCGCTTCGCCCAAAAACAAAACGAATTACTAATTTAAATTTCCTACGGTGCGTCTTAAGAAGCACCGTTGGAAAGGCCTTCTTTCGTTGATTTCTTCAAAATGACAGCTTGCCAGAAAGATTAATTTCACAGGGAGTTTAGTCCCCTTATTATCTTTCAACCAAGTATGTTTTCCAACAATAATTACGTCAGTTCCTTTTTGGATAGCTGCAAATGATGGACTCTGGCTTTAAATGGCTTTGAAAAAAGGCTCTATGACATTTGAGTCAAAATATATCTGTTTGCCAAGGACAAGCCTGAAAGCTTACTTGGTGAGTTTCTAGCGGCCATCTGTGCCCTGACCCCGGGACTGAAGGCCAGATCTAAGTATATTCCCGCCACGTTGCGCTTGGTGGCGTCCGTCCCACCCTGGACTGCGTGGGCCAAGTCCTCCAGGCCCCGCTCAGCGACGACGGCGTGCTTGTTGTCATCCGAGTCGGCCACGATATACGAGATGGCCGTGACGGCCTCCTGGACCAGACGCGAGTTGTGGGAGTGGAGGAGGGTGGTCAGGGTGGTGACTCCGCCCAGCTCCACAAAGGTGTCCTGGGGATGATGACAAGACAAAGGAGATGACAACAGGATGAAGAAAACAAGAGGAGGCAAGCATCGTAAAGATGCTCCAAAGTTCTATTCAGTTGGTTCCGAATGGCTATTCACTGGAAGTCCTTTCATGCATCTGATCTACACAATGGGCCGGATTAGCCCATTCATTGGCTCTACAGGATAATCCTATTTCAAATATTTTAGGCAAGGCGAGACTTACGCAAGTCTAATTCACAAGAGTCAGTGAGTCAGTCAGTGAGGTATAGAGAGGACGATAGGCTGGTCCCTCTCAGACCAGCAAAGGAAACAGCAGAATTCATTGGCGAACGTGGGGTTTGATTTGCAACCACAAAACTCTGATGCACGTGGACCTGAAGCAAATGGATTGAGAGATGTATGACTGGATATATCCTTCTCAGGAGCCTACCTGGATAGCTGGAACAGTAAGCAGCTCGGCCATGGCCTCTGTGGCATACTCCTGGGTTGCCTCGTCTGTGGATAGCCCTAGAGAGATCAAGACCTCCAACCTATAGTATGGGTGAAGAGAATGGAGATCATTTTGGTATCTGCTCAAAATAGCAGTTGTTATACAAGATAATGATAATGGAGTCTTATATAGTGCACGTATCTACCAACAATTAGGTACTCTAGGCGCTAGAGATTATTATGTCTATTATTAAAGAAAGGTAAATAAAGTTTAGGAGAAATATGAGACCCATTATGTAGCACCTTATAGGGGTTTACAAGATGCTGCGGTGCATATTGCAGCCACTGCCAGAAACACTTGGGCAAACCCTTCTCTTAGCGATAAGTGTTACTGGGTTCTTTAACGTGCATTACACAACACACGGGACCTACGGCTTTACGTCCCATCCGAAGGACGAAGCAATAATGGTAAAGTGCCTTGCTCAAGAGCACAAGCACCATGATTTCATGGTCAGGATTCTAACCCATGTACCACGGCACATGAGTCGAACACCGTAACCATTGGACCACAGCACCCCACAGCACCCGAGGGCATATTTTGATATGGGTCTTTGACACAAGTACCCCCCTCAAAAGTAAGAAAGGGAGAGTTGGCGGAGACCACTTGGAGAGACATTCAACACATTGCCTAGGAAGCCTGATGCTTGCACAATGACGCTACGGCTTTGTGGACATGCAGAATGAAATATGTTGTGTGTAGTCATGTGTACTTCACGCCCGAACCAGTATGCGCACTCAGCATTTCCCTCATGAAAGTGGTAAAGATGCCCTCTCTTGTTCGTGCCGGGAGCCCTAATGCCCTTTTCACACTAGAGCCTCTCAACCCGGGTTGAACTCAACCCTGGGCGAACTCAGTGCTGCCCCGGGTTGAGTTTTTTATTTTTCACCCCCTGCGTTCAACCCCGCATCGTTTCACACTTGTTTCATGCAAATCAAGCTTATCATGCTCAGTTACTACTGTTTTGAACCCTGGCAAGAATTTCAACCCGGGTTGCAAATCTCAACCCTGGTCTGGAGCAGGGTTGAGTTCAACCCGGGGTGAAATCAATCTTGGGGTTGACGCAGGGTTGACGCAGGGTTGAAATTTTTCAAGTGTGAAACGATGGGTTTTTTCAACCCTGCGTCAACCCCGAGATTTGTCTAGTGTGAAAAGGGCTATAGAGTCTTAAAGCTTTGAAAATTCTTGTATCATTTTGGGACACTTCATTTGCAGATATCTCCAGGTGGAACAAGCTGTTACTGGGCTTATCCAAAAACCTGCTCAATGTAGTCTGAACATGGCCTGAAAATATCACACGGCACATTTTAGAGTCTGAGAAAAACTAGAATGGCCTACCCTCCCTCAGCAACGATCCTGAACTTGCTGTCGTCCCCTGTGGTGGCTAGAGTGGCCAACTCAAACGCTGCCTGTCGCCTCTCCTTCACCCTGCAATGAAAACAAAACATCACGCTTAAAATAAGGGCCGTACATTCTAGTAACAGCCTGGTATTGGCAAGGAGCATCTGAAAACATTCCTGCTTCGGGTATTGCCAGGACTTTTTTTAGAATGTGAAATTTAACCAGAGGCTACTTGAGGTTGAACCAGGGATGAGAAATTTTTTTTTAAAATCTGAAAATTGGAAGAAAAGGTCTGAAAGATGCATTTCTTTCTATATCGATAATGTCTTTCTCTCAGTTTGAATTCAGACCAAAGTCTGAAAAATCTCACACCTGTTGAACCACCGAGGTTACCTGTAAACTCCTGTAGAACCTCAAGGCATGCTTCCAGTTACCACCTGTTGAATTTTGCATTTTCCCCTAAAGAATCACTTCTTACATTACAACTGTGTGACAACCATAGAGCTATATTAAATTACTAGAGCGCTAACTTGATGTACAAAGTAATGCCTGATGGGCGCATCCATGTTTGTGCACAAACCTATGGAGAACTAGAAATTGTGTACGGCTTTTGTACGGCTATTTGCATATCTGCGTTTGTATTCCATACCGGTGCGTTATCGAAGCCGATACGCCCAAAACCGAAACGCACGATCAGCAAATGAGCGTTTCATTTTACCCTATACAAACAGCGCAACGTGTGCGCGTCCCTCCGTTTTTTGAACCGTCATGATGCGCTTAAGTTGTTTGCGTATCTTCTACTTGCGCGTTGCATTTAGAGTACACTTTTAAAATTCAATCCATCTATTTTGATTGTGTTCTACAAACACGCACATGAATTCAAAATGTCTGCGCCCAGAGTGGCTTCAAAGCGTCTCCGTGCACAAGAACAAGGAGTTAGCGCTCTAGTAATTTAAAAAAGCTCTATGGTGACAACATGCTGACAATAGACTCATTTTGGACACAACCTATCTTACATATTCACATTTGGGGCCCCATTCAATTTCTCTTGAACATTTTTATTGACAATACAATATTGACTTTGACCTTCAACTTTTCTTTTTTCCTTTTCACTTTCCTAATGTGTTTCTCTCTCTCTATTTCTGCTTCCCTGGATAAGCTTAGCCTTAACAGAACTCAACCCATCAAACCCCAATGGCATATTTTGATGGAATCTGTCAGGACGGGTACAGTACCCCTAAACTGACAGTCGTTTACATTGGGTTGGCACACCTCCAGAATCAAAGTCAGAAATATGAGTATGCAGTTTGCCATATGATGTTTGAATTTGCCAGGATGGGTATGGTTTCTAGTATAAATCATGCTAGAGAGTTAGGGTTAAACTTTGTTACTGCATCGATGAGTTTTGCACGACCACCTACCTCCCATTGCGAGCGGTCTCAATCACCTTCTCCACGTCCCTAGTCACCACCAGATGCTCTTCCAAGAAATCCCCGACCCTGAAGCGGAAGTTGCGCAGCAGGGACACGCCCATGGACCAGATGACAAAGAGGTAGACGGCGTGCAAGGTGAAGTAGATGGCCAGGAAGTAGGACCAGAAGCCGCGGACGGTGCAGGAATCATTGCTCTCGTCTGACGGGCAGGAATAGTCCTATGGGTGGAAAGCAAATCATCTCTAAATATCTTGGACAATTTCCTAATTTGCAAAAATTCCTCCCTCCTCAGTAGGCATGCCATTGTGACTGATTTGCAGTACTCGCTGCTATTTCAGATTTCAACCACCCAGTTGATCCAGGTATGGGTCAAGTGGTAAGACGTCTGCACTAGTATAAGCACAAGGTCATGGGTTCAAGTACCCAATCAAGTAAAGCTTGTTCATTTTTCCTCGCACGCCTTCAGCATTTTGCCAGCAACCTTCCTGGGTCAAAAAATCCACCACTGTACAAAATGTCAACAAAACATTCATTGCACTTGAAACTTAAAGTCACATGTAATAGTGGTCAGGCTGTACCCTGGTTTCCTCAATCTGCAAAATTCGGGCGATTCACAATGCAGTGCGCCACCAAGAGTCTGCCACGGAGAGTTCATTTTTCCCAGTGCATTGTGGGAGATGGTCGACAAATTCGCAGCGCGGGACATTTGAAATTGTTCGTTTTTCCAGTCAGTAGTTTCATAAGCGTATGATTCAAGGATCTGTTTGCCCTTCTCTTTTGTTATCAATGTGGTGTTTTTGTAAGGCGGCAAGACGCTATGCCCCAATCTACAATCTATAACAAATTAGCTCAAGTTGTCTACTCATGTTTTGTCGACCGTAAACTTGAAAAATGGACTCTCCATGGCAAACTCTTGGTAGCGCACTGCATTGTGAATCGCCCAAATTCTCAAAACCTTCTGCTGGATTTTGAAGCAACTTAGAGTTTTAAGTGTAGGTGTATTCCTTTCAAAATAAGGCATTGTACAGACTGCAAACAGAAGACCATGCTTCCCCCGGTAAGAGTTTCATCAAGATGGGGAGTGGTCACTGGTCACTGGCAAGACACGACCATTCCTTCGTTCCTGTTGTGGGCAACAGGTACCAAAGCCTTCGGCTCAAGGACACATAACTTTCTTGATAATAATTTGAATTATATAACCGATATACAGACCCTTGTCATTTGATTGGTGGAACTCACATCACATGACTTTCGTTATTACATGTACTCCCATTCATGCAGGGGCTTAAAAAGTCCCATTCGCTCATGGGGAATGGGAAATACTATCGAACAGTTAGTTAGTATCGATGCTTGTTCCATGACGCGGTATTTGTGTGCAAATGCATGCTGGTGTGCGCTTTCAGCGTTGCCCGTAGCGCGTATTGTTCCAAAGAGCCAGCGCTACAGAGTTGGGTTCAAACATTTTCGCCAAGGGGTGGTTTGGAAGAGCGAAACACATTTTCCACCAATTTTGCATTGAAATAAAAGATCAACTATATCAAATGACAAGGATCTATATGTCAGTTATATAAAACAAATGTTGAGTGGCTTTAAAATTGTGAAATGGGAGGAATATTATCGCTCGGCAAAATCTGGACATTTCCAGTTCACTCGGAAAAGGGCAGATTTTACCTTGCGATAATATTTCACCCATTTCACTCTGAGCCACTCAATATTTGTATAAAATATGTGACCTGTTCGGTCAAAATCAGACTTTTCTGGGCATAAGGTCGAAAATGATATTTTTACATATTGTTAACATATGTTCTTTTTCCTTTTAATAGGTGGTTTAATTTTTGAAACCGGTCATTCCTGGGCAGAGTTATGCTATTTTGAAGTTCATTGTGTCGAAAAGTAGAAAACGGAGAAAATGGCCACGAACGTCACAAAACAGTTATTTCTTTAACTGATATACCTTATCAAAATCATCAAAAATAGTATATGTAGAGTTCAAATTAGGGTTGCAAACTTTTATAATATATGTTAGACATGTTCAGGATTACAAATATGCAACAATTTGAAAATCGATAAAAATCACCCCCACAGCGTTTTTTTGGCCCTATCTCAATTTCAACCTCTGCCCAGAAGCGTCTGCTTTTGACAGAACAGGTCACATATATATCTTTTGTAATGTATATTGTGTTCATTACTGTTTTACCTCTTTTGATTTCGTTTGGTACAAGTGGGCACTACTTTTTTTCACGTGCTTATCCGTAAACTTTGGGTTTTTTATGCTAAGATCAGGCATCAAACGCAAATTTGGCACAAATAAAAAAAAGTCATTCACACACAGAAAGAATAATATATATTTGAAAAAAACTTACTAGAATGGACAGGATAAACCTGATCATCAGAAAGACTGCCACTCCCCAGTTCATCACCGTCAAAATCAGAAACGTCACCATGAAGAATTGTGGCCTGTAACAAATGCAGAAATGACTTCAAATGAGTCCACTGTTGTCGTTTCACCTATTTTCAGTTTTTGGCATTAAACTTAAACCGATAATAAAAAATCAGTTTAATGGACAGTCTCGGCATCAAACTAGCCGGGTTTTTGTTTTGTAAACCAAAAACACACAACTGATCTTTGAGTCAGCACTGAAAATGCATATCCATTATTAAGCTCTTTTTACTTCTTGACTTTGGAATACTGGCCAGTGGAACTGGAGTATTATTCCTAATAGATGTACATGAACATTTATAAGATTCAATAATTTTTCATCTATTGAGCAATTTCATGTAAAGTCACTGGTCAGTACTGGTCACCCACATGCCCGCCAAATTGCACATCTACGGTTGCAGACTACTATGCCATAGACCTATGATAAATATGCCCACTTCTGAAGTTTAGGAAAACTATTCACAACTCTCCCAGGTTGTTTGAGACACAGTCCAAAATAAAGCTTATTTCATCATCTTTATTTTTTTTTTTTTGGGGGGGGGCGGTTTTAACCGATGACTTTTCAGAGAAAAATCGGATACTGTACGTGACAGATACCACGCAACATGCATGTCACGCATAACGCAATGAATATGTATTGTACGATCGATCGAGCACACTAGACGTCCAAAATGGCGGATCCTGCACAGTTCACCTGATAATGTCACGTGGATGCAAAGCTATTATGTAGGCTACATTTTTTTGGAGAGGAACAAAAAAAGTGGGGAGGGGGACAAACAATATGATATGCCCATGATTAAGATAAATGTGGATTGGGGTCCCCAAAAAGCAAAGCTTGTCGAGTAGGGGCCCACACATCCTTAGTAGTAAGCCTGATACTGACCACAGACTTGATGGTCCTGTAAACCCTGACTTGTGCGTGTAGGAGGGACACTTCTCAGACGTATACAGCGTGATCAGACCAACGCCGATGCAGTAGATCAGCATGGCCCAGGGTAGGAATGAGCTATACTGCCAGGGCTGGTAGGGGGACAGGAAGTACCACATAAACATCAAGGCAGCGAAGAGGGTGAAGACGCGATTCAATGACAGGATACCCTGAAGAAAGAAAACAAATTGTAGGCAAATTTCAAGTCCGTTTCAAGAACACCTTTAAAGGGAGTACATGTATATACAACATTTGCTGTTGCTGTAATTTTCAGAAATGGATGGATTTGGGGGGTTAGTATTTTATAGCAAATATTGTATCACTGTCTTGTTTGTAGTTTTGGGCTTGTAGATGCTGGAAAATCAAGACAACAATCATGTTCTTGTAGTCTGGTTCCTTGACCCCACTTAAGATGAAATGGAGCAATTTATAGACACAGCTAGGGAAAAGTAAGGTCAGGGAACCCATCTAGCTGTCTTGTACCCATTCATGGACGTGTAATCAATTGCAAATGAAATGCGGACCAAGTTAATATGGTAAATTGGGAGCAGTATTTGAAAAAAGACGTTTTTGTTCCAACGATGGTCGGCTGACCAGCATTGGAAATTGATACAAAAATACCACTTTTCGTGAAAATGTATTCACTTCAGTCCAGTAAGGTGTTTCATAATATTTTGGTAGTTTTGTTTTTTGATGTTTGCAAATGTCGTATAAGTGCCTTTCCTTGGACCATTCTCTTTCTCTTTCCTCCTTCCCTCGTTCTTGTAGCATTTTATTTAGTCACATTATTATGCTATGTCACTGACCCCTGTTGTATGTTTGTTTGTTAGTCTGTCCTTGGTTTTCTTTGTGTTTGTTTGTACTTGTCCATTAGTTTGTCGGTCCTTCTTTAAAATCTTTGGATTTGTCAGAATTTTTTTTCGGATTTGCCTTTATGTGAGGCATGCCAAATAAGCTTCAGCTTTTTAAAATAATGCATCCATCTTTATAAAACAAATTCTTATTCTCAGGGCTATTTGTTTTTCTTCTACCTTGCTTTTGATAAAAACAAATGTTCAAATTGAATTGAATTAAAAAAAAAAATTCTCATGATTTAATCATGTTGTAACAACACGAAGAATGCTGGTCCCAGAGCCCATCAAATTTGACTCAATTGATTCAGAAAGGCTATTGACAGGAAGTCCTTACATGGAACTAGTCTACACAATGTGTCCGATTTATCTCATTCATTGGCATTATGGAATAATTTTGTGGAACATTGCAAGCATGCTACTACTGCGCATTCCCGTACATGTAGGCCCCTTCAATGGTGGAAGCATTGTACCAGCTACTGCGCAAAGCAACTGCCTAATAACCGATTATTTCTGAACAATAGCTAGCACAATACTTTCACCATTGAAGGGGGCCTCCGCGAGCATACACAGACGGTGTGATCGATCAGATTCCTTAATACAATAACAAGAATTATATAACTGACATACATACCCTTGTTTTGTTATTAATGAAACTCACATCACGTGACATTATTTGTTACTTCCATTCACGCCGGGTCTCAAAAAGTTCTATCCCCCCATGGGGAATGGGAAATACTATTGAACAGTTAGGATCATTCTTGTTCCAAGACGCGGTATTGCGTGCAAAGGCATGCTGGTGTGCGCGTTCAGCGTTGCGCGTAGCACGTATTGTTCCACAGAGCCTGCGCTACAGAGTGGGGTTCAAACATTTTCGTGAAGGGGTGGTTTGGGAAGAGAGAAATACATTTCCCATCAATTTTGTAGTGAAATAAAAGTTCAAATATATCAAATGACAAGGATCTATATGTCAGTTATATAAAACAAATATTGAGTGGCTTTCAATTGTGAAATGGGAGGAATGTTATCGCTCGGTAAAATCTGGACTTTTCCAGTTCGCTCGGCTTTGCCTCATGAAATGGAAAAGTCCAGATTTTGCCTTGCGATAATATTCCTCCCATTTCACTCTGAGCCACTCAATATTTGTATACTGTCAGGGCATGCATACACTGAATCCGGCAACCATGCGTTCCCTCCATTTCAGCATCGCGACCTCGTGGATAAGGGCTAGCTTGACCTCAGTGGTCTGTCCGGCTCCCAGCTTGGCCCTCTCTGCTCGCACATCTGTGAAAGACTACGACAAAAGAGAACAAAGGTGTAGAAGATCTGTAAACCAGCAGCACAAATCTTTCTTCTGGTCAGCAAAGGTTTTTCCAGAGAGGGAAAGATGCAGAGCTGTGATCACATCGTCACCAGTCACTCACAGGTCATCAAGTCTCATGTCAATCATACTCTGTTTGTTCCCCATTATTTGTGACTAGTTTGACTTGTGATTGACTTATACAGGGTGAGTAAAAAAAAAAAAGGCGAAACCCAAATGTCGGGACTATTGTTTTAGTGAAGTTCTGCATGTAGCACTTTCAAGATCTAGGATGTGAAAGCCTAGAAGGAAGTGTTCTTTCAGCAAAATGAAAACAAATCACATAGGGATGTTTTTCGTTTCCTGAAAGAACACTTCCTTTTTGTGATCTGTGGACAGAAATTTCAAACGGTGGTTGTGCTTAAAATTCTGTAACTTGAAAATTACATGAGTGATTTGAATGATTCCTGTACTAAAAGAAAGCTTATGATTTGGGCTTTCATATCCTAGATTTTGAAAGTGCTACATGCAGAACTTCTCTAAAACAATGGTCCCGACATTTTGGTTTCGGTTTTCTTTTACTCACCCTGTATGTAGTGATTGATTTGTAATCAATTGGAATTATGGTAAACTTGCCTCCTACTCTGACTAGAGAAGAAACAAGACAAAGCAAGCCTAGTAAAGCTGGTCTCAGAGCACACAACATTCTAATCAATAGAGCCTCGCCAGTCCATAATCACTTTTTATGTGAACGTCTTGGTACTGGTACTAAACACTGACTAGTCTAGTCACAGACTCCCGTACCCGTGTTTGAATTTACCCAATTGTTATCCGTGCGATCGATTGAACAAAAGTTGAGGTCAACAATATTAATTTTATGATGTTGTAAATTGTAATACTTTTTCTTTCGAAATCTGCATTTAGTGCCCTTGATTGGATGGGCCCAGTCAGGACACAAAATATATGCCAAAAAATAGGACGTTAGTAACGTTACACTTATTGTAGATCCTACACCTGGTGTCCGGATGTGCTGTATTCTCATAAAATATCGCAGGTTTTTGAAGTCAACATACACTCCACTGGTTCAGAATGGCTGTTCACTGCAAGTCTTTTCATGCATCCTGTCTACACAATGGACTGGAATTTAGCCCACCTGTTGGTGTTACAGGGTAATCCTACACGATAGCACTGCCCAGCTCATAACTGACAGTCAGTCAATGAGTCAGTCAGTATTGTCTCGTCAGTCAGTGAGGTAGGTACAAAAAGGATGCTCAGCTTGAATGCTGCTCCAGGCTTTACAAATGAGATTGAGGCCTAACCTCATTTTTCTTGGCCATGGGTACCATCTTGAGCACGCAATGGTCCCCGATGCGGTAGTCCTCCAGGGTGTAGGCATCCCGCAGGTACTGGCCCTTGTATCGCATGCGGAACTGGTGATCCTCATGGCCCATCTGATACAGGATGTGCAACAGATGGGCCCGAATACGGGCCAAGGTGTCGGCGGCATTACATTGCAAGATGAACGAGTGGATCTAAGTAATGAAAGGCCAAATTTGTGGGGAAAAAAAATGGGTTTTTTTTTTAAGTCTAAACCTAGCCCCATAAATGTGGCCTATTTACTGGACTGCCTCCGTAAACATAGGCCACACATCCACATGTACAAAAACGTGTTGCACTTTGCCAAATTTTGATTTTCACATTTAGGCTTAGTTTGTAGGGTTTTTTTTGCTTTAGAAGCATACTCACCCTCTTTATAGGCTAATCAGAAAGTGCTGCCTTTTTCAGACGGCTTATTTTTGTGAAATTTCATGTTGAAATTTTGATACGCAAACGTGTGCAAATGAATCCGGAAATTCCACGAAAAATAGTCATCTGAAAAAGGCAGCACTTTCTGATTAGCCTATAAAGAGGGTGAGTATGCTTCTAAAGCAAAAAAACCTACAAACTAAGCCTGAATGTGAAAATCAAAATTTGGCAAAGTGCGACAGGATTTTGTACAAGTGGATGTGTGGCATATGTTTACGGAGGCAGTCCAGTAAATATGCCGCATTTATGGGGCTAGTCTAAACCTAGCCATGTTTGGATTGTTCTGATTTTTGTTTCTTAACACAATAATATATTTACGTAGTCAACTTACAAAAAAATGTATATATGATGTGCAAACAGTAGGCATTTTTTTAAAAGGAAAGAACAAATAAATTTAAAAACAGAGAAATTATTGGCGAATATACATGTATACCTTTTCCCAAATTCAATGCACGTGCGCACATGATATGGTTCATGAGTTAGTTTCGAGAGATAAACAATTCGCCACATTCGTGAAAATCATAGTGAGGTACCAACGAAATTAATAGCCAACTTTATTTGCCTATCAATTGTCCCCCCCCCCCCCCCAAGGGAGGGGGGAGAGAACATTTGACAGGCGCATTATTAGTAGATAATACATGTATATGAAGAAAAAAGTCCCATCAGGTTTAGCTGGAGTTACCCAGCCCTGAGTTTTATCATTGGGTAGCTGGAGTTACCCAGCCCTGAGTTTTATCATTGGGTTGTCTATTAGGGCTGGAGCGCATTTTTCTCAAAACTTGTAGTATTTGCAAAAAAGATTTGGAAAATGTTCAATTTTGTCCCCGTTACACACTAATTGCAACTGCAACTCACCCCAAACTTGCCTGGAATAACCATTACACAGGTCCTTGAAGTAAAAAACGATCCACGATGAAGATTCAGCCTACAATTGCAGTGAAAACAGGAGGAATAACCGCTAACCTGACAACCTTTCAGGCATGGCCAGGACTGCTATTGGTTTGTGCACAAAAAAAATTGTGTACAATGAATGGCGGTTGATTAACAGGCACAGAGAGCGATCGCTGTCAACTACTCGTTTTTGCCGGCTGCGCTGGCTGTTGGCGCGTGACGTCACGCGGAAGCGTAACACCCGATGACTGTTTCATGCACTAGTATAAGGTTTACCACTCGCATCACAGCTTTGGTACTGGAACCGCAACCAATAGTGCATGAAACAGTCATCGGGTGTTACGCTTCCGCGTGACGTCAGGCGCCAACAGCCAGCGCAGCCGGCAAAACGAGTAGTTGACAGCGATCGCTCTCTGTGCCTGTTAATCGACCGCCATTCATTGTACACAATTTTTTTTGTGCACAAACCAATAGCGGTCCTGGCCAATCCAGCAAGGTTGTCAACTTAGCAGTTATTCCTCCTGTTTTCACTGCAATTGTAGGCTGAATCTTCATCGTGGATCGTTTTTTACTTCAAGGACCTGTGTAATGGTTATTCCAGGCAAGTTTGGGGTGAGTTGCAGTTGCAATTAGTGTGTAACGGGGACAAAATTGAACATTTTCCAAATTTTTTTTGCAAATACTACAAGTTTTGAGAAAAATGCGCTCCAGCCCTAATAGACAACCCAATGATAAAACTCAGGGCTGGGTAACTCCAGCTACATCAGGTTTAATAGGTTGCAACATTCTTTCCCTATTTTGGTGTTAAAGTTCCAAAACAAATGCAACATGAAAACAAAAGATGGTGATCACTGCGACGTACTGTGTGAATGCTGAATCACACGGCACCAACTGTAAATGTAATTGTAAAATGTGTACGAAAATCGATTTCTACCCAAAGAAACTGTTCGCAATTACAAAAAAAAGTGGTTAGAAATTGAGAGAAGGTTGAAAAGGTATTTTTTTAATGATAAAAAACACCCTTGCCTCTAATATTTGATTGAAACTAAAGTGGTGCCCGTAACTACACCGTCCATACACAATCGCCCAAGTTAATTGTTTGGGTGTTGTTTTTTTTCACGTTATTAGTTAAATGCGATGTCAATGGGAGTATGTAGGTTGAAACTTACCGGAAATGCGCTGCTTTCCACGTAGAGAAGCATGTTTCTTCTACTTGAAATGCTTCTCTTTTGGAAAAATTATTACTTGTCCTTCATCACATGAAAAAGGGAACTTGTTTTTCAAAACTAAAACAACAAAAAAATCAAGTTTTTTCGTAAAGTGCGGAACACCAAACAACAGGTGCAAGAGCACCGACAATCAATTCATTTCATATGCAAATTACCAAATGCGTCACACGCACCCAGGTAACGCGTCTCGCCACGATTTACCGCTAGAGGGCGCTGATTATGATTAACGCTGATTGTGATAAGCGCAGCCATATGAAGTGATTTCGTCTTTTACATTGTGATTGATTTTATTGAAAAGTGCACTTCTTTTAAACCTTTTCAAAAATTTCCCACACTTTTCCGGACAACTGAGGGTGTTGTTGCTGTGATGTAATTTCAGGGAGACACTTTTCAGTTTAAGTATAGGTGTTTTCTGTTCACATTGTGATCCCAAAAATGTGTTCATTGAAACATTTGTGAAAAAAGGTTTGCTCTTCGGCTAACTGTCATCTTAAGAAAACAACTTAAGAAAATAGCATTTAAAACGGCGAAACATATAAGTTTTGCAACTTTTGGTGCAGAAATAGTTGTGACATTGAGGTTTCTGTCTAAAATGACATCACTACATTTGTTTATAAATATATCTATGGAATTTTTTTAGCATAAAAACCAAAGAGACACATTTGAAAATGGTTAACCAAAAATGTTAAATGAGTATAAATGGGACACAAAGGTGCATTTTCAAGGATTGCATCTTTAAGGTACGGTGGCCCTGGAACGACATTTTAATATTGACTTGTTTTAATATGAACCTTGTAACTTCTTAATATTGACGTTGTACCTTCGCAATATGCACGTTGCACGTAGCTTAATATCGCATTGTGGAAGTTGTTCCTTCTTAATGTGAATGTTCCAACTTGTTAATGTTCACGTTCGAACTTGTCAATGTACACCATTGATCATGCTTGATGTCAACGTTGCACCTTGCTTCTTCGCAATATGAACCATGTACCTTCGCATTGTGAACGTTTGACCTTGCATCTTGTTAATATCATTGTTGAACCGTCCTCCTTCGCAATGTGAATCATGCATTCTAAAAAGTACGAAGTCCTTGTCAAGCCCTATAGTTAAACAACCAGTTATGATGGAGTTTCAATCTGACAGCTGTTTAATGTCACTTAACCTGGGTCTACCTTGTAGTGATTTGTATCATGAATCAAGGCTCTCTGATATATTTCACACCTATTGTTGATCACTGTGTGCGCATATTAATTGAAATATTGTAATACAGGGAGTTTCCATAAATATTATGATAGGGGCGCTGTAAGTTGCCGTGCATCGTGGAGTTGCAGCACTGCTGACATGAACTGACACAGTGGAAACCGCATGCAAGCGTGAAGTGTACACGCTTGCAGACATTCAGATGGCCACATGAGCCACGTTATCGCAACTGTAAAGTTCGCTCAAAATCGTATACAAAATAGTGGTTAACTATATAATTATTTCAACCACACAGAGAAAAAAAGAACCATTGAGTTTTTAATTTTACATGTAAACTTAACTGATCGAGACCTATACCGTAGTCTTTGCCCGGCGGGCTGGATGCTGTATTTTATTCTGTATTGACAAGGTAATGCGTGCGCGGAGTATATGCCTGAAATCTCCTGGGTAGCGCTGAAGACAACATAACTGTTGACAGCGTCCTCTGCCGCACGCCATGGCAGCTTCACCGGGCTTGTCAGTGACTGGCTGGGTTCCGTAATATCTCATCTCAACTGGAGCTGTCCGTTGCAGACTCGTCTTTGTCGTCAGTGCGTGATCAAGTGAATTATCACAGATATAAATATATACTCGGCCAGCAACACTCGCTGGTGAATAAGCTAGACCAAACGACTTGTAACGTAACGACACTAAAGGGAATATTATATAGATCTATGCGAACGGTGTCAATTATAAGCCTGCATTGGTATTTACTCGGAAATATTTCCGGAAATGTTTTGTCGTTTCGCTTTCGATGTTGGCCTCTTCCTCGAAACCTGACCAATTACAGATGAGGACGTGTAACCCAATATGATGTGGTTGAATAACAGGATGGGGTTAGACTAGAATTGGAACATTTTCTGGAAAGAAAGGTAATCTATACGGTGTAGATTACATTTCTTTCCAGAAAATGTTGCATGGATGGCTATACATAGAAAAAGAAAACCGGTCAAGATGTAAACCAAAACATACATTTTTGAAATTAAACATATATTCGTCTCCCGATGGCAAAATATCGGTGTCTATGATTGCTTACTATATACAGGTGACCCAAACAAATGCAACCCTGAAACATTTGTCCCTTTTTTTCAAAAACGTGATCTATGAATTTTTAAGTTTTGGATATGAGATAAAAGCTGAGAGTTTTTTCTCTTGTATACTGAAAAAGTCATAAAAACAGTACATTGCGTAGCTGAGAAAATGCAAATTAAGTAACACCACTCCTGGTCCATTTCAATGACATTACCACAGTTAAGAAACATTTAATTTAATATGTCTGTCATTAATTGTGCAATTTCTTTAGTCTTTGGACATATTTATGATGATGAAAAGGTTTAAAATAGGACTAAAAGGATAAGATACCTGTTCGGGTGGAAAACAAAAGGTATTTCCATCAAATTCATTCGTACTCTTGTCATGTGCCGTGTTGTTTGTAAGGATTAGGACACAATGCGCTACACGTATTTCATGCACAAAATTGGTACAATGTAATTCCCTTAACTGTGGTAATGCCGTTGGGATGGACCATAAAGGAGTTGTGTTACATAATTTGCATTTTCTCAGTAACCCAATTTGCTGTTTTCATGTTTTTCTTTTCAGTATTTAATGAAAGAAAAACCTCTAAGCTTTAATCTGATATCCAAACCATAACAATTTATAATTCATGTTCAGGCTAATGAGCGCTGTTTCACTAGAAAAGATGTGTTCAATTCATGAGACTAATTAATTTCTTGACTGTATACTCTCCGTCAATTACAATAATGCAAAACAGTGTTCTGTGATCACGTTAAGAAGGCTTTTATCATAATACTTTACATCCTTCAAGCCCTATTCAGATTTTTTTTGTGTTTTTAATCATAGTTACGAGAGATTTCCGATGGTGTACATTGACAAGATCGAACGTGAATATTAACAAGTTGGAACATTCACATTTAAGAAGGAACAACTTCCACAATGCGATATTAAGCTACGTGCAACGTGCATATTGCGAAGGTACAACGTCAATATTAAGAGGTTTATACAAGGTTCACATTAAAAAAGTCAATATTAAAATGTCGTTCCAGGGCCACCGTATTAAGGTGAGAAACACAAAGGGTGGATTTAATTTTTTCGAACTTCCCAACAAACCATGTAAATGCATGCAATAACACTGAACAATAGAGAAACAAGCTGCAAGGTTAAGACCCAAGTATAAGTACAGTATACCTAAGGTGTACATTCGGTTTTTGTAGAACGGCATTCCCTAGTTAAGTGTAAATATATATTTTGTTCAGCCCCCCCCCCTCCTCACCCCCCCCCCCCCTCCACCCACCCCACCAACTCGCCACTGATGTGAGGCTGACCGGGAGATGAACGGTAAGGCCGGTGGTGGCTCTGAAGGGGACCCGGACTGTAGTGGGGCCTTTCAGTGGCAATCACTGTGCATTACAAAATATTTGGTTGGAATTAAACTACATCTGCCAACTCCCATGTACAAATGCCGAGCATTAAGGTATTCCTGGAGTTATACAGCATCTGCGGGTGATTTTATTTCCCGATAGCAGGCTATCATCAGCAAAAAGCCTATCTTGGATGAAACCCCAGATGGAATGTCATTTACGTATACAGGAGGAAGAGCAGTGGTCCTAAGACTGTGCCTTGAGGTACTCCGGATACATCATCAGCAAGGCCAGAAGCATCTCCCTCAAGTGACTTACGTGATGTCAGGCAGCTAGAGACCCATCCCTGTGATGCCATAATGCCTCAGCTTGACAAGACGTCTTTGTTGTGGCCCATTAGTCACTTAAACTACTCTCCTTGGGCCGGAAACCGCCGGAAACCGCCAGAAACCGCCGAAATGGCATTCTTCAGTAACTAAACCACTGCAAATGGGTTAAGCGTCATGCATCTTTGCAAGAGCGCCGGGCCATGCTTGCATAAGTTTGAAGTCGTGGTTTCATCTTTTGCCCAGAATTGCACGTTCCACCCTAACTTTTTATAACCCTAAGTTATAATGTTGATTTTGATTGAAGCTCCTTTGTTTTACTTTATAGAACAAGGGCGGATCCAGCACACAATTTTTTTTGGGGGGGGCAAAACAATTTTTGGTCCCCCAAAAAAGTGGGTCAAAAAAATTACGGTGTGGGGTTCTAGATGCTCTGTGGTGCGATCTGAGGCAATTTCTGACCACTTTAACCAATGGTTTTTTTTGAGGAAAAGATGGTGGTGTACTCATTACCTGCCTTTATTGCGATGTCACATAAAACAAAAATTTGGTTTCGTTTTTTTGGGGGGCCATGGCCCCCTTTGCCCCCCCCCCCCTCCCGATCCGTCCTTGTTAGAGAAAAGGAGCTCGGTTTTGATTAAGTTTAAAATGCCCAAATTTTACGAAGTGATAAGGAGACAAGCAATTCCTGAGGGAAAGTCAATTCAGCAGGACTCTAAATTACCCCGGTATATTATGGAATATAAATTGCAGAATAAGAAGCCGTCCATATACGAACGAAAATGCCGATTTTTTTTTAGACCTCTCCCTCCCCCATTGAATTACATGGCATACGCAGTGGTCCCCCGTGTACATGTACATTGTACGTGTACATTGTGCATGTGTACCATAGAGCTATATTAAATTAAGTTATAATTTAATATAGCTCTATGATGTGTTCATGTACATGTGTACATTACAAAACATTACGAATGCGCTATGCTTGCTGGCTAATAATTGATGCAGTTTTAATGGCGATTGTGTACAAAAATGTAGTTAGGTCAAACTAGCGACATTTCAAACCAACAAGAGTGTCGTGGATAGGGTAGGGTTTTTTTATGATGAAGATGATATTAAAATGCAATTGACACGTAAATAAAGATGGCGATCACCGCGACGGGTGAATGCGCAAAACGACGTTGATTCACATTGCATAAACTGCACAATGCGTACGAATATCCAATTTTCCACCAAAAGACAGTGTTCAAATTTCAAGGAAAACAAATTGTCATTAGATTTCAGAGAAGTCAGTTTTAGGTTGCAGAAATTGTTTTGGAATGAAAAAAAAAAATGACTCTGTACTTGACCAAAACTGCATAGGGGTTCGTATCCGACCTTTTTATCATGTCGCGGTCTCTGAAGTTTTAAGGTATAGTTCATCATTTGTAATTTCTGCATTTTGTTCCTTTGAAGCAACAAAAGTGCTCAAAATCTAAAGAAGGGTGCTGAACAACTAACCTGATGAAGATTCAGCTCAGCTTCAGCTGTATATTCCGAGAGAACAGCATTATAGGATCTAGACATTTCAAATCAAAAGTTGCTGAATCGTGTTTTGAATTGGGACTGAATTCAGCGTTGGCTCGCGGTGGAAGACCCATACGCATAAAAGTTGGTCCTGATTAAATATCAATAAGTACATTGATTTCATTACAATTTATTAAAAGCTAATTATCGCTCTGCGTATGTACACAATGTTAACAACAACAACAACAACAACAACAACAACAACAACAACCCCTCACCCCTTCGTGCATACGTACTTTATGGACTGCTGCTAATTACAGCAGTGTTGCCCGTCTTATTGGATTGCAGACAATAAGACGGGCAAGCGCAGAAATGAATGTTCAGCTAATTGAATACAGGGAGAGTTGGGCCATAAAAGACTCGAAGATAAAGTAATCTAATAAGCTTGGAGCCAATCTAATCCAGGAGACAGAATTGTCTCGTAAAAGTGGATTGAATAATCTGAATGTTATCCAAAACATGGGTTTTCTTTCAAAGAAATCTTACATTTCCTTTGGCGGGTACTATGGATGATCAAGTTTCGAAAATGTTTTTTTTTTTTTTTAAATCAACTGCACGTGGGATGTCCAGGGTGGAGTGTTCCCTCAACTTGCAGTTCGTTGTCCTTTAGACATTCAGTTAAGAAGTTATTGTTTTTAAAGAATGATTTTTATTGAAACAATTATTGTACACAATTATCTATGGTTTATTTCCGAACCTTTATACGTGCACATTTACAATGTATACAGAAAAGAACAAACGCTTCGTTTTATATAGTCTGGGGTCAGACAATTTTATTTATAGCGCGATCACATGCTTTCATAATTATATTTGCAATTGAGGGCCAGTTTTGTTTTCATCTCAAGGTTCGCTCGTACCCCCCGCCCTGCAAACAGGACGCTGTGATACTCTGATGAGCTTCACAGAATCTTGTGAAGGAAATGGCCTATGACCTATATATAAAGCATCTGGCTGCAGCTGTTCAAGACCGCAGTTAGACAATGTGCGCAAATGCTATCCGAAAACTTCCTATAGAAATGCGCACATTCCATACCGGATGTGATTTCTGTTTCATTGCAGCCCATGTGACAACATTTTGAGCGTCGCATAATGCAATCCGACCGTTCGTGATTCGAAACGGAGCCTGACCAAGTGACTGGAATTGTAAATTTACAACACATGTAAGTTTTACAGAATGTCCTACATTATTACACTTTTCAAAAAAACAAAACATCTCTAAACTGGAATAAAAGAGTAATGAATCAGTCTTAACGGCCGTTTCAAACACTGCAGAGTCATGACCTTGATGACGCGCAGGTCACTGGTCACGCAAAATCTAACCAATCAGAGCGTGAATTCATCAGAGTATCCCAGCGTCCTGTTTGCAGGGCGGGGGTACGAGCGAAATCTCAAGGGGGCACAGTTATAACCGCGAGAGGGGCACTTTTGTTGGCCTGGGAAAATCTGCCCCCCCCCCCGTTCCGCCGCCCCTGCATGCCTCTCCTTTGCATTCTTTTCGTCATCTATTCAAAACTTTCCAAGATATATTTCGAAGAAAACGTATGTCACTCCACTATGAGTACCACATTTAGCTACAAGCCCTTAATTATAATTCCGTGTATCATACATAATACTTGTGAGTGCATGAAATAAATCAAACTTAAAGCAAGAAACTATTATATGAGTGTTCAGTGTTCGATTTCATTCGTTTGAGATCTGGCGGCTAATTTAGTGAGTAACGATCGCATTGCGGTTGCGTTTTCCGCGTCCGACCATCTCCAAAAATCCGTTGCGAAACTGGCGGTACTTGAAGGCGTAGATGACCGGGTTGACGCAGCAGTTGGTGGCCACCATCGCCACAGACAGAAGGTAGTACCACTTATCATGCACCGTCCAACCGACAGTGAACATGAAGATCAGAAACTGGTTTGGTGTCCAGCAGACCACGAACGTGATGAAGACGATCAGTAGTGTCTTGAAGGTGTTGCGCCTGGCCTGCATGAGGGATTCCATCATATTCGGTGCTGGTCGAGAGGTATCCGAGTTGGATGTGCCGGCCGCGGGTGCCGCGGCCACCGGTGCCGGTGCTGGTGCCGGTCCCACCCGGGCTGCTCCTCTCTTGAGCTCCACGCTGATACGGATGTACGCGAACAGCATCACTGCCACCGGTACCACGTACTGCATGAAAACAGTCAGGATCCCCATGACCTGGGAAATTGGGATATCTCTTGCCACACACTTGCCGTTCGGAAACTCGAATATCACCAGACCGTAAGACTTGATTACGACTCCGATGATCCAACAACCAATTATGATGAAGCCGACTTTCAGCCGTGGGTGCGCGGCGAATGCCGCTTGGTACTTGAACGGATGAACGATGGCGAAGTACCTCTCCATGGTCAACGACAGCAGATTATAAGTTGAAATTGCAAACAGGAGAAAAAGTACAAAGTTACTGTTCCAGATGACGCAGATGAAGTACCCCTGGGCACTGTCGGGCAGGGGTTCGGGCAGCGGAACTTCACTCTGTAGGAGAATCATGGTCGAGCCCAAGACATCCACCACAGCTTGGTGGAAGATGAAGGCGTTGGTGCGAGTCTGCATCGATGAGACTTTACCGATGACAAGACAGACGAGACCGTTGCCCAAGATGCCAATAATGCCCACGATAGTCTTATAGATCCGTAAAACTAGTATCTTTTCCATGTCTTTATCAGCTATAGGCCTATTGTGTGCAGCTATTTGAGTAAAAGGGTGTACATGTACACGTTTTTGTCTACATAAACTTGAAACCTCTTTGATCGCAAGACATCAAGAGACAACCGTACCAGTTGACGCATCCTTTATAAGCGTTCCTGCTGAGTAGCTCTTGTCCAATAAACGTGAAGATATTATGCGCATAGCCTGTCTCTGTAAGCACAATACCGAGTACCGGTAAATCGTCTTGGGATAAGAGCTATGAGTGGAATCGGCCAGACTTATTATGATGTTCGCCACTCCCATAATTATCTGAGCCAGGCGTTACAATTATTGTCTCGAAAAGTGGATTGAATCGTCCGAATGTGTAACAAAAGAAAAAAAGTTAGTTTTCGAAAACACGGCTTGTTTGCAAAGTAAATCTTACATTGCCTTTTGCGAGTATTATGGAAGTTCCTGTTCCATCAGTCTGGACAATGGACCGATCCAGTAAGCCCCTCCCACTGCGCACTGGGCAAATTAACACGTGCTCCTTTCCAATGCCACACTGCATTTTCCTGCCGCGCGCATCATACGCGCGTGCTCGCATGTTGGACCTTTGTGCACGGATGTCGGACATAAATCACGGCTGTGATTGGTCAGAATACCATGGGGCGGTGCTTACTGGATCGGTCCATTACAAAACCAGTTCAATGTTTCTGCATCGTGTGCACATCAAGATCTGACGATTTCCACTTGGACCTCAACTTTCACTTGGTTGTCCTTTAGACATTCAGAAAGAAGGTTATTCTCTTTGAAGGACAATTTTATGAAACATCAACATTATTGGACACACACATAATGATTAATTCTTTTATACACATTCACATTTTGTACACAAAGAAACGTGCATTTCATGGTATACAATTCTGCGGGTATGCATGGTTTGTCTTTGCAAACAATGAAGTCATACATAGACATTAAAGAGACTGTTTGTTTAGACTTTACGATGCAATTAATGCGGTTTGGATTTTGTTAAAGGCTCTGTGAACAAGTTATTATGCGCGACATAATTATCTGTACAAGTTAGTGGAAATTGTTTTGCACTTATATACTTAACGTATGAATATTATTCACACGTTTACGTGTTCAGGCGGCATGATTTCGATTTATACTGGAGAAAGTCGAATCGTTCAAACAAAATTTGATAGTTATATTTTTTGGGGTAAACTTATGGGGCATATTTTGGTCCATTTAATTTCGGGGACAGACATGTGCAAAACTGTAAACGCGCATGCGCATCGATCGAAACAAAATCGCTGTTCCGATAAAACCGTCGGCAAGAGTGCCTTTTATGACCAGCGTGGTATTTGGTCCATTAGTCAAATTAGTTTTGGTCTTTCGGGGACAGACATACAGACCGACCGACCGACCGACCACCAATAATGACATGTAGAAGCTCCTGCCAGAGCTTACAAATATTTACAATTCATAACCTTCCAATATAAACATTTTTCATCGTTGAATGATCGTCAACAATTAAAGACAACAGCTTTGTTTTATACACTAAATATTTCCACACAAAATTCCATCGTTCGTTAATTACGCTAAATACACAAAGTAATGAAAGTGCGACGCACTCAGTTTTTCGTTTTGACGAAGTGACGAACCTCTATTACTGGCAAACTCATGTAAGCTTCTAATTTTGTACACGGTGTCAGCTTCACATGCACGTCGTGTATGCCCTGGCGAGTGGCCTGTCCTTTAGACCGTCGGTTTGTTCTCGCTGGAGGCATAGGCTACAGGATCCAAGGGTCAAGTACAAGGGTTATTTGGATCAGTTGAAATCATTTTTTGATATACTATCTACGGGTTGGACGCATGCGTGGTAAAAAAACTAGATTGTGCGATGACTCGAAATCCCGAGGTATTGTTGAGTCATTTCAAATTGATTGGTGCAGTTATTAATTACGATGCCAAAGTCCGGATGTAATGTGCTCATGTGAAGTCACGTGACTTTCTAACGAATGGGTAAAACCTCGTCACCGCGGAAACATATGAACTTTGAAACGCCATTTATAACTACCGAACGGTTGTGTGGTCGTCTCATTTACCAACTGACGGTTTGGAGGCCAAACACAAATCTACAGGTTTTAAAGAGAAAAACAGCTGATTTTTAAAGATGTCGGATTCGGCAGGTGAGCAAGAACCGCAAACCCCCAAGGCCAAAGCGCCGGTGGATCTGACTGGCAAGTGGAAGCTGATCAAAAACGAGAACTATGACGAGTTTCTGCAAGCGCTGGGCGTTGGCAAAATCGCCCGCGTGGCGGCTAGCTCCCAGGCTCCCACCATGGAAATCAAACAGGATGACGACGACAACATGGTGGTGACCCTCTCCACGCCCATGCGCTCCATGGAGGACCGGTACACGGTCGGGCAGGAGTTCACCAACCCGGACTCGACCCTGGACGGAGAGGAGGCCACCTACATGCCCAGCTGGGACCGGGAGGGCAAGAAACTGTCCATCCGGAACATGAGTCGACCGGAGGATGGGATCCACATCACCAGGGAGCTGGTTGGAGGGATGCTGGTGCAGACGCAGATGGTTGGCACGGTGGTTGCCAAGCGATACTTTGTACGAACTGTCTAGAAGATGATGCTACCATTCCTTACAAATTGCCAGTACTGCTTCTATATTAACGCAGGATTTTGACAGAGGAAAGCTATAAGAACGACGCTGAAGCACGTTCTCCGGGGTTCCATCCAGACGTCAATTTGCTCTCCAAAAAAACTTACACGCCAAATGTGACCTTGTGAACAACTATTCGCTATATACAGGATTACCCCCAAAAAGTTGTGCGAGCAGATATCCTTTAATTTCTCAAAAACTATTTAACATTAGTATTTAAACATTAGCATTTAATCTTGATGGAGCATATTTATTATATACTCTTGTATATATTATAATCAGTAAAAATGCCATGGAAATCCGTTCATGCAAACCAGAGATCTAACAGATTGTAAAAGGCTGAGGGTTTTTCACCCATTCCGGTGGGATTTACACAGTTAACGATATCAGTGCATCAGATTGGGCCTTTCACTCTGATGTAAATCCCATTCCATTGGAATGGGTGAAAGACACATAGCCTTTTATAATCAGTTAAATCTCTGGTTTGCGTGAATGGGTTTCTATGGCATTTTCACTGATTATACACAAGAGTATAATTAATATGCCTCATCAAAATGAAATACCCATGTTAGATTTTTTTTGAGAAATTTAACGATATCTGGTTGCCCAACTTTTTTTGGGGGGGGGGGTCACCCTGTACATTAGCAAGGAGCAATTTAACCCAGTCAAGTACTTCTTTCTTTGTTCAAATAGACCTTTTGACAAAAAGACTGTTCTTTTTCCCAAACTTGGCCTAGTCAAAGATTATACATTGACTATAGATGGCTTGCACTGCAGCAGCCATAGTGTGCTGTGTTTTGTTATGCTAATTAATTGTACAAAGCAACTAAGCACACAATTCAAAGCTGACGTGCAGTGCAAACGATCTTATAGTGAAGAACTTTTGATAATTATTATGATTTCTTCGAACGATGTTGATGCTTTAGAAGTGGAAAAGAAATATAAACGATGGGAATTGAAAACCAAAGTCGTATAAAATGCGCATAAATTACCTTATTTATCCACTATCATCGACGTTTCATACCTTTTTATGTTAACATTGTCCCTGAAACTAATGAAGGGTTACAATAATTCATATATTGTGGGGATCAGATTTATTTTAAAAAAAAAACCCATTGTATAAAGTTGATACAATAAGTTAAAAAGGCCCAAAATATATAAGGGCAAGCTTCTTCCAAGCTTAAAAATTAATTTAATTATGCATAATATGAACTTTCTCATGGTTTCTGCCTTGAAATTACGCAAGCCTCTCTGGCAGCTATTTCACAAATAATTGTTGGTCATATTTAAGGGTAAATAATTTCTCCTCTGTAAAGAAAATACCTTAATTCGCATTTGTAATTTCAGCACGTTCATTTCGAAGTATCGTTTCTGAAAATAACACAGCTTAATTAATTTGTCAATTTTTACTATATATTTAAAAAAAAAAATAGCCACATTTGCCTATGCATGAGTTATTATTTCTGTAAAAATATTGTAATTAACCACCGTAATACAACAATTAAGTATGAAAAATGTATGGAATGTAATTATTTTAACTAATTTCAGCACTTGGAATTTATACCAAAATATCTCACGAATGTTGCGTACAACGGGGAAATCCACTCAAGTAGTGGCGATTCACTGTGTCAACATTATATCACCATTCTTCTGGGGAAAAAATTTCACTCTGTTTTGTATTATATTATTCCTATCGATTCACTTATGGAAGTGCAATTATTATTTTGATGCAACAAAAGAATATTTGATTTCCTATTAAAAGTCATTTGATTTTGTTACGCAGAAATTTGTATGGCCTACTGGGTGAGCAACGCCATCTAGAGCTTGTCGGTGTCCAGTCCTTCACAACAATTTACGTCTTACATTTTGGGAAAAAACAATGTTCACTTTGGAGATTCATCTTTATTATTGGTAAATTATGACAAAAAAATTCAACAACTCGTTGATTGATAACTTAACTGCACTTTATCCTCGGCTAAAATATAAAGTTTAGTTCAACCACTGCATGGAGTCTGATATTCTTATAAAACCACACCCGTATAAGTCGCTTTTAGTCATGTATGACCATTGATTAAAAATAGGATGAAATTACACATCGTTGTTAATGATGATCATAGAATGATAACTGTGACCCACTTGCAGTTGGGTTCAATTGCGTTGAGTCAACAGATTTAAAGCAAATATGGCACACTGAGCTAGCGGCCATGTTTAGAGTTCAAGTCCACTGGCAAGCCAAGCCAAAGTTCTTCGAACTTTTGTCCGCCAATTCCCGGTGTGTGTACATTATTCGTTAATAATTACAAATGTACTATATTGAATCAGCATAGTAAGCAGTGTTCTTTGCGAGATAACTTGTATTTTTTTTTTCTGGTACATGTAATTTCGCCATTGAAGAGATATCAGTGCCTAGCCTATTTGCATTTTCAAAAATAAACTATAAACGGCTGCGATGCATGATATTTGCTATCGACTTTATGAGCGAACCGTGAAACCGTCAATATTTTGTCATAATTTCGGCAGTCGGTTAGTATTTGAGGCCCAATTAATTCGATTTAATGCCAAGTATACAATCAGCTTTGCACAAGTCATTGGCGTACTCTCGATCGCAGGCCAGGGCGCAGCCGGACTGGCCCGTCACCAGGATTTTTTTGGGGGGGGGGGGAGCGTGGGGTGCAGCCCCTCTTTAACCACCGCGCCTAGGACAATAGAACTTGAAAGTTGACCCCTGGTAACCCGCTTCCAGACTAGGGTGTAAAAGTAGGAGTTTTGAAAATTATTTTTGGTACATTAGTTTGCTTAAGAAAACCACCCTCGGAAAAGGCCTTTGTAAAATTGTTACTAACATCTCAATTTACAGAAACTGAAAAATCGCATGACGTGAAAGAGAAATATCGTGCCAAAATTAACCCCTCACTTCCGAGAATCTGAAATACATGTGAACTATAATTCGGAGCACTCGTACAAAGATGAAATTTATGAAATAGACCTAGCTACGAAAATGCGGATGTCAAAGGTCCTGAGTAAAATGAGTTTTTACCCATCTACAACCGATTTCTCATCATTTTTTCTTGTGGAATGCCAAGTTAAATTCCAACATGAACGTTCCTTACGGTTAGGTTTATTTTGTCAACCCCGTGTAAAATGCCCACAGAAGGGTCGCGGAGGGTTCCGGAAGCTCAAAGACAAAATGGCGTAATTTTGGGCTAAGGCAATTAGAAAACATGCGGCGGAAAACTTTTGATTGACAGGAACCTATGAATGAGATATTCCGGGGAAGGAGGTGGGGAAAACGTGGTCCCCTTCCCCCTGTTTGGGGTACAGTTTTGATATTGCAAGGCTCAAGACCAAAACCTTCAAATTGCCGAGGGTTGGGGGGGGGGGGAGTGGAAACATCTCAGGCACCGCGGCGCACGCCCCCACCCCTATGAAAAAGAATTGTCGTCGCCCCAGTCCCCCCCCCCCCCCCCCCCCCCACTGGAAATTTTGCAGCCGGAGATAAGCACTCTCTTAAGTTACCATGATTAGCTGGGTGTTTTTTTTTTTACAGAAAGTGCCCTTTTAAACAAATTATTTTTTACGTTACGTAACCTATTGTGTGAAACTGACCAAGATATCGTTTTTGAATAGCGCCACACTTTCGGGGATTTTACGGAGGCTGGGTGTCCGGTGAAAAGAACCTGCATGTCTACCTGTCCAGCTTTCAGCAGTATGAATTTGGGTGCCGCTCCACCCTAATCTCCACCCCCCCCCCCAACAAAAAAAATCTCATCCCCTATGAAAACCCTGGCTACGCTGCTCGGGCGGGAGTGGCCAATGCCCCCTTCCAATACGACGTAGGCCTACATCCCCCCACCACACAAAAAAGACCATAGCAGGTGGGGGTTGATGCTGTGCGCTTCGGTGCGCCTTGTTTTCCGAATTTCACAGGCTTTGTCCCCGACCTTGTAATCTCAACGTGATGATCACCCGTTTCTAGTCATTTAAAAGCTTTTGCGGGGGGGGGGGGTTAGCTGTCAAAAGGGAACAGATATATGCATGGGCGTCGCCAGGATTTTTTCAAGAGGGGGGCAAACACAGACATATTAACGCATGTCTGTGGGGGCAAAGCACATTTCACTAATTTTTTTTTTTACTGTTTTTTCCCCTTCCCCCGCCACGCCCCCCAAAAAATGCTGTTTTTTTGTTGTTTTTTTAACCCGGGGGGGGGGGTTCAGACCGCCTACCACGTCATGCAATAGATATTAAGTAGCGATCTACTTGACGACATAATTATTAAGTTGAAGAACTTTTGATTGTTTTGCTTTTTATAATACCGCGCCACTGTTATGCAATACGACGCCGTATCCGCGGAAACGCTCCACGGTCTAGGATCTGCCGCAGCAGTCCTCACAGTGTTTCTACGACGTGGGCCGGGAGGAATCACATTTATTGACAGACTAAATTAATACGAGTACAACGACGAAATGGGGACACGGAACGAAGCAGTGAAGCCAATTTTCGCCACGAAAAACGTTACGTGATACGCTGACATTTTCAGTGAAATTCCTAGCAGAATGTAAGATTAACTTGAAATTCCCCGTTCCTTTATATATTTGTAAATATATACTTTTGGGATACTTTGGAGGGAGGCTTGGGTGAGTACATTTTGTAGATCAAATTTCATTACAATTTACATTAACCAATTGCGATATGGGTAGATTATTGCCGCGCCAGACCATGTCCAAATGTTAAAAAAGACGATTCCTACGAGTCCTAGTTACTCGTTACTAGGCAGGCCAAAGCAATTGTTTGTTGCTATTTTAAAGTTTTTTACCCGGGGAAAGAATTCCATAATACGTACGCCACTTGACACCCTGTGTACGAACCCCATGAGACTGGTCTGAACAATTCTAAGTAAATTTCCAACTAGGGCCTAGGCCTAGGCCCTTAATGCTTCAGTATTTTCCCTGCTAAATTCAAGTTCACTTTTTAGGACATGTTATTCCTCTCTGAAGGTTGATGAGTCATTGCAGGGAAAAACTAGTGACGTACGAATGGAATTCTTTCCACAAAGAAACAAGAAATTTACAAGTTGTAAATTTCTTGTTACTTGCCAGAAAGAATCATTTTTTATGATTTAAAAAAATCACGGGTACCTGGCTACCTGCCCGTTACGTGAATCGGGTCCCCGGTCCCAACAAAACCCGTATACGCACACCCTTACTTATAGTTATATGGAACGGGGTCCTAAACTACATGATTACCACTTTTTTCCATTCACCAGTAAAAAATTGAAAAAGTAAAGGCAATGCGTTAGATTTATGCAACTCCATTGCTTCTTTTTTTCTTTGGAACTAAATTTGTGATTTTGAAATAGAAAGTGTTCCCACATTTCAATATCATAAAACTGGAAATGTGATTATTGAGTATACAGGCAGGGATCTACACACACTTCCATTGTGATTAAAAATAGAAATTTGTTTTAGTTAATACGACTACACCAAGACTTTTTCAAAGAATAAAATGTGCATACTCCTCATCGATTGTAGCCGCAGAAAGAATTTATGCTAAACACCCTCGGGCTCTGTTTGTTCTGCTTGACGTTAACCCAGGAGGATTAAAGGGGCATGGATGAGGGATTATCTCTGCAATCACTTTGGGAATAAGAGCGTCCAGATCTGACCAATCAATTAATCAATTGTTCTGGTGTGAAAAGGTTCCAAAAGTCCTTGAGAAATTCTCAATCTGCATACAGTGTCCAGATATATACAACTGAAGTCAGGAACGTCAATTTGAAAGTAGTTTTTACTTGTAGGGTGTGCGATATGCTCTCTATCATGAACAAGTTTTTTTTTTATCTCACAGAATAATAAAAGTGATAAAAGAGAAATTTATAAAGCACGGACAATCGCAGAAACAAAATTTACCCTTTGGGTTTGAAACAAATTCCAGTAGAACCTTACTACAAAAAATCTAAAAAGTCGTAAAAAAAAAAGGAGAAAATTACAACAATCAAGTACACATAGATTTAAAAACAAGAGTAAAAAGGTCTTAATCTTAGAATACACCAATTAAACCTTGTATTTAAAAATCAAGATTAAAACACCCATGCAAACTTCTGGTATGAATAGAGGATTCAAACTGGTATATTTATGACTCATATTGTGATTTTAATTAATTTGTATCTTTTTTGTTTCCACAGATTCCAGAAGTCCAGAACTTCAGAACTTCTTGAATACATCACAAGATGATCCAGCTTTTACAGATAATGGTTTCATTTGTTAAAAAAAATCCGTCAATATACCAGCCTTGCGCTAAAACCCATGAATGATGAGTGACAAATCCTCTATGTTCGGTAAACTACAAAACTGGGTGTGGGCAGTCGGGAACAGATGCTTGTCAGACACAATACTTTGTCTTCGAGGCAGCAAAACTTTTGTCCAAGTAGATATTTTTAAAATGTGACGAGTCAAGCCTGAGTGACATGGCCCAAGAATTGGGACTCTTCCAAGGGCCCACTCAGAACGGTCCTCCCAGCGTCCAGCATAAACAGGACCGACGGTCATTCGGAGGGTTTGGTGACGACGGTCAAGGAATGTCAACGGACAGCATGGTACCGGACATCTCTCCAGACCACGCCTCTCGGTCAAGATTAAATCCTGACCAATCAGAGGACAGCAACCCTCAAAGTTCACCCAGACCTAACAGACTGACTCTCTCCAGTGTGGAGTTCCACCGTCGGGCCGGCAACGATGCCACCTCCAGCTCGGCCAGTGTCTGGAAGGACGGGGAGAGTTTGAACAGCGAGGAGACGATGGTGCAGCAACTCATGCGGAAGATCAGCCACGTAGGGAACGGGGACGATGGGCCCAAGACGGCGGCAAACTACACCGGCTTTCCGAGTGGATTCCAACGGAGGAACTACTACGAACATAGCAAGAAACTCACGGATCTTGTAGATGGTAAGCTGAGACGGTTGCAGTTAACACATCAGATATGCTTGAGTAGAACTAGAAAAATTTGATGAAATTGGGTCTTAAAACCAAGACTATATAATATGACTACAGTGACCGATGTTTTACGAGTCAAGGCGAGCCTAGTAAATTGGGGCCAAGCAAACAAAATTCTATTCAATTGATACAGAAGGGATGGCACAGTCATTATTCATCCACTCCAACTTGTGTCCAGACAGGAATTGTGATCTACTTTGCCGGACTTGTGATGGCAATGTGAAGGACTCAATAAGCCATTTGAAAGTTAACTTTGAATAAAATCTGGAACGCTGACTTAATCCAATGCTTTGCACGTTTTAACTTTACATTTCCCCGACCAAAGAGACTGTTTCTGTATCACATGATTCTGGGCAAGTCTTATGATAGCAACCCCCAGCTCCGGCATGGTCTGGTGTCTATGTGCCACTCTCCGCAATTGTGAGCAGTGTATTGGTGCTGAGCGTCTCTTACGTAACTATGCAAGAGCTTGCCCCGAATCATGTTATTAGCAACAGTGTAGGCCATCAGCCTGGGGGTTTGGTTAATAGTATCAAATCAGGGCATAAATGATTATAGGGCGCATGTGCAAGGTATACCGCCCCTAGAGTGGTAACAAGCATTTTGATGGACAATTTGAAAAAAGGGTGATAATACCCAAAAAGCTGCCACCGCTGCAATGCTATCACATATTTTCCAACTTTGGAGGTGTATTCCTTGCCAAAAATCGCTATGACGATTATTCCCCTCATTTGATACCGGTGGCCAACATTTTGGACCGAGGCTGATGGCCTAGTGTCTTTGTTCTGGAGAATTCAAAGTTAAAATGTGCCAAACATTCTGAGCAAGTCAGTGTACCACCTGTTTTTCATATTTAAATCCAAAAGGGTATCTCATGGCTTATTACAACACTGATAATTTGAGTAGGCCTACATGTGCCATGTGATGTATGCATTGCAATTATGATCTACAAATTGTATATATTTGATGTCAGTTCAGCTTAAAATTGTAAAAACTTCACTGAGAATGATTTCTTCCCTTGCAGTAACGTACAACCCTCGCACCAGACAGTTCATCTTCCTTGACACCAGAGGTATCACAACTTGGGACAAGGACGGCATTGAGCACACGGGTAAAAAATAAACAGGAGATTTGTTGAATGACAATACATGATCACCTAGGCTTCAAAGCATCCACACAAGACTTAACTCTAATCTTGGAGGAATATGTAAACTTGGTCTTTCAAAGAAAAAAAGCTGATGATCTCCTGGTTCGATTGAAACCAGCTTCCCCAACCATTACAAAAAGGTTTCCCCACCCTCAGCTTCGTTTAAAGCGACTTTCACGTTTCTCCCACCCCAATAAAAGTCCCTGTTAAACCTCTGGTTCAAACTGTCGTTTGTGACATTTGAATACACTGCCACTTGTGAACATGGCTCGTGTTGTAATAAGGTAGTTGGTTCAATGGTGTGTCAGTGTGTTTTTCAAAAGATACATACTTCACTCTTGTAGAATTGGGTATTGTACTTTTTTCTCTTGTTGAGAGCTTGCATGGGCCTGCAACAATGGCAGTAAAAACAAATAAACAAACAAAACTAAGCAATAACACCAAATGAAGAATTTTGAACTAAAAATAGAGATGGTAGCCTTTGTAGTAATGAGCTGCGTTTACATTGGACTTTATGTTGTAAAAAGTTACTGCGAATGATTGTTAACATTCCATTGTGGTTATTCTACCATTTTTTAATTTTTTTTTTTTTGGCATCAGGATAAATTTCGGCCTGCGGAAAGTCATTCAGTCCGTAAAACTAACAATGTAATTCTTCGGCGACCCAGTTGGCCCTGTAATATTCACCGCTTCGGACTGTAAAACTTACAATCAACAGTTGATGCTTGACAATTTGGGAAAAGTACCGGCTGTTCGCACCGGCTTAATTTGGTTAAGTTGACAACAGTCTCAGTAAAAATTAACAATGGTCTCTTTTAGTTTACCCAGAAAAGTCCAATGGGAAAACGGCTAGAGTGTGACGTGAAAAACATAAAATATAATGTTTGATTCTGAGTCTTAATTTTGCATGCTTTCCTTACTTACAGTTACCCGAAGCCTGAGCTATCCCAAGTATGTGAACAAGCTTCTGCGGAACATCATCTACGCCAGGAAGTACAACGTGTACTTCTGTCTTGCCAAAGATTTCTCTCTCAAGGTCAGGTTTGCTATTTGTTGCTTTTATATCAGTTTAAATCTCGGCTTTGGCAAACACTTTTTTGTAACAGAACAAGGCCATTTCATTCTTCGAGCAATTACAAATGTGAAGTGAATTTGAAGTCACAAAACATATATACTCTGCCAAAATTTGCCTTACAGGTATAGTCCATCATTTGCAGCCATCCGAAAAGTAACTGGCGTAATTATTGTTGAAAAACAAACTTGGTTGAAAGATAGTAAGGGGACTAAACTCCCTGTGAAATTACTCTTTTTGGGAAGCTGTCATTTTGAAGTAATCAATGAAAGAAGGCATTTCCAACGGTGATTCTTAAGAAGCACCGTAGGAAAATTTAAATTAGTAGTTCGTTTTGTTATTCAGCGCAGCGCGCACAAGTATTGGAACGACGCACACGCGCGCGCGGTTGTTATAATTCGTCGGATCAGTGCACGACGTCGCGTATAGCTGCAATTCAAAACAATTCAAAACATGATTCAGTAACTTTGGATTTGAAATTGAGATCTTAGAATGCTGTTTTTCTCGGAATGTACAGCTGAAGCTTAGCTGAAACTTCATCAGGTTCGTTGCTCAGTATCCTTCATTAGATTTTGAACTCTTTTGTTGCTTCAAATGAACAAAATGCACAAATTACAAATGATGGACTGTAGCTTTAATGTAGTGTGTACAACTTTGTGAATTTGCAGCATCAATACTTGCCATGATGTCAAAAATTCACATTCAGATTTACTTTTTTTGCCAAACAAAAAAATTGTGTAGAATTCTATAGAAAATAAATAAATAGAGGCCTCTACAAAGTTCCTATAGAAATATCCATGTTTGATAGAACTGTGTAGAAATTTGGCATGCACCGAGTATGAGCTGGCCTGTAGTTTGTGAGCAACCCTTAGTCAATTTTATCAGACTCATTTCAACTTGAGAAATGTGGTAGGACGTTCATGTAAAACATTGTGAATTGTAACGATCAATGGACCTTTGCAGAATTGGCCATGAGCCCCTGTCCACCTTTGGGTTGTGTACGTTTCACACAGTCCTTGTGACTGAGTTTGACCGAGCTGCCATAGTCACTTGAACAAGAGTACAGTATACAAATATAACATGGTTTGAGGGTGGGCAGTCGATATTCGCTCCCCGAGGTATTGGAAGTTGACAAACTAGTTCCCGAGGCGAAGCCGAGGGAACTACATGTAGTTTGTCAACTTCCAATACCGAGGGGAGTGAATATCGACTGTCCACCCGAAATAATCCATGTTTGTTTTACTATACCTCATACATAATTATTCAGTTGCCGATTTTTTTTATATATGCATCTAAAACAAACTTATTGGTCAATCGTGTACAGCTCACCAAAAGAATATTGTTGCTCAACTTCACTAGTTCGGTTCGTTTGCAATATCATTCAGTAAATACAGTTGTTTGTGTGCAACTTTCTTTTGTATAGGATGAATCTTTATTGTCCATTAATTTTCTCCTGTACGGCATCATTGAGCTCGGGAAATTTATGCGAACCGTGCAACCATGCATCTCTCTTGGGCGATGTTCGCGCGTGCGTACTACACCCGTTCGACAGTTCCTCGTTTGCTCAGTAAAGTGCATGCGCAGTAGACTGTGGCACGGGTAACCCGTGCGACAGTCTACTAAGCATGCCTATTTACCCTGAGCGTGAATCCTCGCGCGCGTTTGGTAAACAGCAAGAATAACATCTGGCACGTGATGGTGAATTGACCAGTGAGAGTTCGGCTCTTGATATCATGAATATGTATGAGGTATGGTAATATTCAGTTGTTGCCTTCTGTGGCAAGGTCCTAGGTGTTTTGTACACCCGAGGGGGCAAATGGCCCCCGAGGCGAAGCCGAGGGTAACATTTGCCCCCAAGGGTGTGCAAAACCCATGGACCCTGCCACAGCAGGCAACAATTGTTTTGTTATACCACGGTAATAGATTACTTACGTCTGAAACTGTGGGTCTCTTCCTGTTGTGTGGTACAGACTTGGCGAACTTTGGGGAACATCACTCATGTACCATGCGCGCGGTGAACATCACTGCACATGCGTGTTTGTGGCATGACACGTGATCAATGATAGACCAATACAAATTCACATTCTGTTTACCGTGGTATAACAAATCTAATTAAATGGTCAATGCGCACTGTTGTATTGACAGGCAGGACGGGTCCATATGGTTATAGTACAAGGGAATGCTTCAAGAAAGTCAACCCAAGGGTATATATATATTAACTCTAGAGTATCAGTTGGTAATCATGACTAAATTTCTTTTATGGTGTACAAATGTCTGCTAGGTACTGAACAAAGACTTTGACGAAACCTGCAATGTGGCGTCGGATCTGAGCTCCGTCATGTTTCTCATCTTCAATCCAGTCAGGGATGAACTCATAACAGGCGGAGTCAAGGGAACGAAGGCAAGATCCGTATCTCTTCTCTTTTTTTTTTCTTCCCCATTCTAGACCAATCCAAACACTCTGTCACTGCACACTCACGGAGCAGTTGCTTTGTACAATAGCTAGCACAATGCTTCCGCCATTGAAGGGGGCCTCCATGAATGTATTCAAACGTGCTCAGACTGGTCTTTATAATAAAAAAAACAAAAGTATTAAAGGGAAAATACAACATTTGCAAATATCAAAAAAATAAAACTACCAAATCATTTTGAAATACCTTGCTGGACTGTTAGTGAATGACAGTGTAAAGCATCCTGTAAAATCATGGCACCTGGTATACTGTCATTTTCAAGAAAAGTGGTATTTTTGTATCAATTTCCAACGCTGGTCGGCCGACCAGCGTTGGAAAAAAACTGGCTTTTTTTCAAATACTGGCCCTAATTGACCATCGCACTTGTTTGCAATTGATTACACACCTATGAACGGGTACAAGCCAGCTAGACTGGTTCCCTGACCTTACAATTCCCCAATGTATGTAAACTGCTCTGTTTCTTCTTAAATGGAGTCAGGGAACCAGACTACAGGAAAATGATTGTTTTTCTTGGTTTTTATAGCATTTACTAACCCAAAACCTCAAATAAGTCAGTGTACATTGTAACTATATTTGCTATATATTTCCAACCCCCCAATTCCATCCATTTCTGAAAATTACAGCAAAAGCAAATGATGTATATTCCCTTTAAGTCCAATAATAATATTCAAGTCTAGAATTGGCCGGGATAAGGAAACTACAAACTGCACATCCCAATAGTTCTCTCTCAAATGACGTCACTGCCTACAGATTGTCACGTGCATCGGCATTTTGGGAGTCAAATTTTCGTGACGCTCATCAGCTATGCTGTATTTAAAAGAAATTTCGAGTAACATGCACGTGTGTTTAGAACATTTTGCACACTGCGTGCACACTAATGGCGTTGAATACGCAGTTGTAATTTTCCTATGAAGATGGCATCCTATGAGAGGGGTCTATAGTGTTAGTGTGAAGATTTCGAGCATCGGAAGACTTGAAGATTTGAATAACTTCAAGCAGTGACACTAGAAAAAGGTTACACATTCAAATTTCATTTTTTTTTGCTGAATTTTGTGTATTTCTGTCCTCGTGCATGTATCAGTAGTTCCTAACTGATGTAAATGTCCATACGTCCTCTGGGCTTGTAGGTATGGGAGTTCAAGCAGGTTACAGATCAAGTCTGGACAGAAATAAAACCCATGGCCAACTACGGGCTCTTCTTGAAGTAAGTGCACTTTAAATTGTACAATATTTTTTTTCATCGCCGTCTATTTTGTTTAGATATTGTCATTATGAAGTAAGATGAGTTTGAACTCTTACAATAGGGTGGAAAATCCTGACAGGAAAATAGAATGGAATTTCTGGCAGACTAGCAACCCATGAACAAAGATATTGGCAGAATGGGGAACCGCCAACATAGGGCTGGATATAGTTCAGTTGGTAGAGCACCGGAACAGCAATCTGGAGGTCGCAGGTTCAAACCCCTGCCCTGCAGTCAATTTCTTTGTTCGAGTTTGAAATACCGTAATTATAATGCACGTAGCCAGTTTTCCTATGTGTTTAATTTGAGAAAACCAAAATTTCAGCTGTCAAAAACACTAGATATTTAGTGTCGGAAAGTCTAGTTAACCTGTAACCTATGGCTTTAGTTGGTAAATAGATCAAACCTTATTACCACACAAAGTTCTAAGCTGACCAGCTTTGTACATTGTAGAAAAACGTTTAAATCCTACACTGCAGTCCAAATGTTATATTGTTGATGTACCCTAACGTGGCGCGGCCCCTAACGTGGCGCACTTGGATTTTTCGCCTCTAGCGCCCTGCTAGAGCAGAAGTTTTACCTGAAATTCACTGAAAGTGAAATTTTCATCAAGCTCTAAACAATCCCGTTCATAAATCGTGAGTTTATCTACCCGTTACAAAGTTAGCAGAGAAATTTATTTCGGCATGATTTTTTTATTTTATTTCAAAGTGCACAATGAACCATTTTAAAATGCGCCCAAAATAAGAACATCATTTCTGACAATACATGTAAGTAGAGATAATAATGGTTTATCAGAGTTTATCAAATTTAAAGAAATTTTTTAATGTTAACTTGGGATTTTCAGAGATCAATTCAAGTGCGCCACGTTAGGGAACAATCAGCCGATTTTGTACCCAATTTCTGGATGCCACCGCTTTTGAATTCCGGGCTAAATTTCATGACACTGAAATTGTTCACAAATGTTCAACAGCAAGCGTGATAAGGTAAAAGCACCAGTATTTAACTGAATGAATTTGGAGTTTCTCAACAAAGAAGTTTTGCAAAACTGCATGAGGAAATTCAGGGGGAAACATCGAAGTGTGCCACATTTAAAGGAGCACCACTATAGGTTCGAATTCCGTTTCATTCAGTTGTTTTTTTTGCCGAACCAAAAATAACAGACGTGTGTTTCCTGCAGGAGAGAGTTGAGTGGGATCAAAGGTGGCTGGATTAGGAAGGTGGAGCTGGAACAGCAGCTACAGCATCTATACTGCTGCTCAGACACAGATGTGCTGTGCTACAATATGGACGGCAAACCGCTCTTCAGATTAGTGGAGTGAGTACAACTAGGAACATATTTAACCCTTACCCTGCCGCGAATTTTTCTCTCCCAAACGACATCCGCATATGGGTGTACGCTATGGCGTTTTGGACTTAACTTTTCTAAAAACATGAGAAGAAAATATAAAATTAGAAAAAAGAATTATTTCGAGCATTATGAAATTCAGACTTTATTTCCCTTTTTAAAAAAAATCCTCAAAAGCCTCAGATTACAAAAGAAAAAAAATTTGGGTGCAAAACCGAGATTCGAACCCGCAACCCCGTGGTGCAAAATTTTGCCGTGCATTGACTGTGCTACCGCACTGCTCAACGGAAAGTGGGGAAAATAATAATTATATGCCTGCATACGTATCACAAAAGTATCATACATAAAGGGCGCTAAACAACCATGTATGCAGATGTCGTTTGGGAAAAGAAAATTTGCTACCCTGCCATACGCAACGCAGTGTTTCAGGTGGAAAAGAACTTGTGCACTTTGATGCATTCAACTACCAACACCAGTGCATGAACGGCCAGCTCTGAAATGATGAGAGTTAAGTCCCATTGAACAATGACACAGTTGTATCCTGCTGCGTACGGTGACCACAGACCCTGATGAGGCAGTGTGGCCTTGATGAGACTTTTCCCCTGATGGATCTTGCTACATTTGGTAGGCTTGTCACTAGGCAAGTGTAGCATGTTGCTACATGCATGTCTGGCAGGGTTCTAGCTAACATACCCTGGAGGGTTAGGGTTAATTCGAAGTTCAGGGATGTAGTCAAGTCATCACAATTCCCTGCAAGTCCATCACAAGTCCTCCAGTCCCAATTCAACTCACAAGCTATTCAAATGAGCTTTGACAAAGGCATTCCTTTGTTACTGTGCGTCCATTGAATGATTTGTGACTCGACTCGTGATGGAATTGACTACATCAAAGTTTAGGCAGATTTGAGAAGGGTCCAACCAAAAACGATTGTTATAAGATTGAATTTTGCGTCGGGGTGATATAAATCAAATTAGGTTTTGCCCTTCACTGACGTTTAAACACTGTATACTCAGTGTGTTACCTCCCGAGTGAAAGTTGGAAAAAATGTACATCAGATTCGAACCGGCCAACCGATCCCGTTAGCTCGGTGGTCGATTGGTAAGACATCTGCACTAGAAAGCAGGAGGTCGTGGGTTCGAGTCCCACCTGAGTGATTTTTTCCAACTTTCACTCGGGAGGTAACACACTGAGTATACAGTGTTTAAACGTCGGTGAAGGGCAAACCTAATTTGACAAAAACGATTGGTTGACACATCTTTTGTTTTTGCGTGTGTTTAATATTCCTTCAGTGCTCACAAATCTCAGATTAATGGCTGCAAGTATTCACCACAAGCCAAGACGCTCATCACATGCTCCAACGACAGTGATGGTATGTTAAAGTTTAGAATATATGCAAACATATGCTCTCTTATGTACAGGGTGAGTCCAAAAAAGCGAAACCCAAATGTCCGGTCCATTGTTTTAGTGAAGTTCTTCATGTATCACTTTCAAAATCTGGGATAAGAAAGCTTTATTCACAAGCTTTCTTTAAGCACACAAATCATTCAAATCACTCATGTAATTTTCAAGTTACGGATTTTTAAACACAACCACCGTTTTTAAGTGCTGTCCACGGATCACAGAAAAGGTGTGCGTTCTTTCAGCAAAACGAAAACACGTCACACAGGGATGTGTGTGAATTGTTTTCGGTTTGCTGAAAGTCCTCACACCTTTACTGTGATCCGTGGACAGAACTTTAAAACGGTTTTTCTGTTTATTAAAAATTCCATAACTTGAAAAGTACATGAGTGATTGAAATGATTCTTGTACTAAAAGAAAGCTTACGAATAAAGCTTTGTTATCATAGATTTGAAAGTGCTACATGCAGAACTTCACTAAAACAATAGTCCTGACATTTGGGTTTTCTTTTTTTTTGGCCTCACCTTGTATAGTGCCGTGGCCTAGTGGTCTGGAGCATTGAATTTGTAGTCTGCGGGTAATTCTGCAGGTTGTGGGTTCGAGTCCAGCCTGGGATTATGGTGCGTGTGCCCTTGAGCAAGGCACTTTCTCACTCATTGCTTCTTTCCACCCAGGAGTAGATGGGTACCTGTGAGGGCAGAGTTGGTGACTGTGAGAGGTTGATTACGGCAAAGAGTGCCGAAATGGCTGCCTACCGGCCGTGTATGCTCCCCAGGGAGTTGAGAAGGTTTCAGGAGAGTTTTGCCTGTTGAACAGGGATAATAATAATTGCAAAGCCCTTTGATACCCTGTTTAAAAGCGCTATATCAATGCCTTTTATTATTAGTAGAAATTATATATGTGATGCAATCAGGCTACATGAGTCGTTTGTCGACCATGGTCAAAAACATTTTTTTTACAGATTTGAAAAGAGCACAATCTCAGCATTACTGCTGTGAAAACCGCATGCTGATACCACCTTTAGTTAAAAAATTATGGAAGTTGGAACACCAAGAGATGTGATGAAGTGATGTGATGAAGTGGCCCTATTTTGGCCTGTATCTCTAAATAAAAAATCCCGACGAACGACTCATTTAGCTTGATCGCATCACATACTATTATTATGATTATCTTAGAAATGAACCAAAAACTTGGATTTGTGTTGTTGTGTTGTGTGTTGTAGGTCTGTGAATTTGATATTGAAAGAAATTTTCAATTTGTTTTTTCTCCTTGTGAAGTTTAAAAAAATATTCCTCGACTTGTCTTCATTCTTTTGGGCCCTTTGCAGTTGTGTGCCATGGGTGGATATTTTCACATTTAGAACTGTTTACAATGATTACATTTGCCAGTGTTTATTTTACACAGAAAAAAGTGGGTTTTTTTTTCAAAGATAAAAATATTTTGAAAATATTTTTAGGACTTCTCTGTGGATGTTTATAAAAACATCTTGATCTTTTTCTTGGGACCATGGCACAGAATTTTTTCTGCCCACTTTAGTACGGAATCCTTAGTTACGTAATGTGCACATACCCACAAGCCAAAACTTAAAAGCATATAGGATCATTGGCTTTTTATGCATTTTATTCGTTTCCAGAAATAACACCACTCAAAATCCAAAGAAGAATGTTCAAAACCTAAACATGTTGAAATTTCAGTTCAGTGGATATTCCACTGAAGAAACCAATGCACAACTTTCCGATCACGAAACACGATTCCATCCCTAGTACTGTTTATTTCCAAAAATCAGTCGGTTGACTGATCGTTGGAAATCACCCACATTTCTTGATTTCTTCTAAATGACAGCAAGCCAGACGGAATCGTTTTACAGGGTGTTTAGTACCAGTGCGATCTTTAATCCAAGTACACTTTTTGATAAACATTTGTTAAATTACATTTGGGATTTAAAGCCAGAGTTCATCATTTGCAGCTATCCAAAAAGTAACTGACGTTATTACTGTTGAAAAACATACTTGGTTGAAAGATAGCAAGGGGACTAAACTCCCTGTGAACTTATTCTTTTTGGCAAGCTGTCATTTTGAAGAAATCAACGAAAGAAGGCCTTTCCAACGGTGCTTCTTAAGAAACACGTAGGAAATTTAAATTAGTAGTTCGTTTTGTTATTCGGTGAAGTGCGTGCAAGCATTGGCACGATGCACACGTGTGCGCGGTTGCTATAATTCTTCGGATCAGTGTGCGACATCGCGTATAGCTGCAATCGGCTCAGTGAGAACGTGTCTCGGACGCCAAATTCAGTCCCAATTCAAAACATGATTCAGCAACTTTTGATTTGAAATCGAGATCCTTGAATGTTGTTTTTCTCGAAAAATGCAGCTGAAGCTAAGCTAAAACTTCATCAGGTTAGTTGTTCAGCATCCTTCTTCAGACATTGAGCACTTTTGTTGCTTCAAACGCACAAAATGCACAATTACAAATGATGGACTATACCTTTAAAAGCAAATGATCCCTGTATGATTTTAATGTGCTTACTGTTGGTATGGCAAGTTCTGCTTTGCTTGAGCCCTGGTCGTGTTTTCACACCTTTTTGCAATACTGTGCTTGACATTACAGTGAAAGTCTGGAGTATGACCGGGGGTCATGTCCACACATTCCGAGGTCATTCCAGGTCAGTGACCGGTGTAGTCCTCCACCCTGACACCTCCACTCTAGTCCTGACCAGCTCCACGGACGGCACGGTCAGAATGTGGTCGCTGGACATCATGGAACCCATGTACACGTGAGTCCAGCAAACTCATCAGTGGTATTGTGAGTCCAGTCCATCACATTCCTTGGGGCAATTCCAAAAAGTCTTTGTCACAAAAACAGTAGATTAGCTTGCCAACCAGTATTGACAACTTGTGAGGGGCAATTCCACGGTTAGTCACGTTACATTTTTGATGTACTTTTGAGTTTCCTTGGGCTGTAATTACCTTACTGAAAAGGTTTAATAACTGTTATCCCCATGGTAGATTGAGTAGACCTAGACTTACCTAAGCACCAAAGATGACATCCAGAAAAATGTGTTACATGTATAATAAACAAGACGCACAAAATTGGTTACTCACGTTACGAAAATGTAACGTGAGTAACCGATTTTGTGCGTCTTGTTTATCATACATAACACCTTCTTCTGGATGTCATCTTTGGTGCTTAGTTTGGTCTAGGTCTACTCTATCTACCATGGGGATTATTAAACCTTTTCAGTAAGGTAATTACAGCCCAAGGAAACTCAAAAGTACATCAAAAATGTAACGTGAGTAACCGTGGAATTGCCCCTCACAAGTTGTCAATAGTTGACAAGCTAATCTTCTGTTTTTGTGACAGAGACATTCCATTGCCATTGATCCTTCTTTGGCTACTTTTGACCGGACTTCTGATTTACTCGTGATGGGCTCGAGTACATTACTGCTTTCAAATGACAGTGCACAGGCCATGGCTTCTTCACGGGCATGAAATGCCACTGATTAAGCCTAACTGGAGTGCTGTGGCCTCGTGGTTAAGGGCACTGATTCATGGTCTGCGGGTAAAGCTGCAGGTTGTGGGTTTGAGTCCTGGCGAGGTCATGGTGTGTGTGCCCTTGGGCAAGGCACTTTGTCACTCATTGCTTCTCTCCACCCAGGAGTAATTGGTACCTGTGAGGGCAGAGATGGTTATTGTAATTGAATTAGCTTCCTTGCGCCTAACAAGCTGCATCGAGCTGTATACTCCCCAGGGAGCTGAGATGGTGTGTGGAAGGTTTCATGTGCCCAATGAGTAGGGGTAATAATGATGTAGCGCCTTGAGCACCAGTCCTGGTGGATACGTACGCTTTATAAATATCCACTATTATTACTATTATTAACTTTACCCACTCTATCAAAATCCATCCCCCCTCCCCATTTTTGGGATTTTGGCAGATTAACCATGTGTGCCAAGTCCATCAAAATCCACCAGCACAAGTGATGGATTTCAATGGATTTGGTTCTGAAGCATGGTGTGAAACAGACCCATCCGTCCTCCTTACTGCAACCCGACTAAACCCAAGGAACTGTACCCCAATTCCTTGAGAAGTTGAGGTTGGTTTACATACACATGAAGTGAACAAAAACAAGATGAATGACATAACTCCTCTAGCCACTGGACAAGAAGCTTAGCTAGAAGTGACTCTCTGCATGACTGCATGTACCAAAATATCCCCAACCCACACCCAAGCTCAGAAAAGTCACAGGACAATGAAAACGAACTTATACTACAGCCAGCTGCCCAACATATTTCAACAACACACCCACCAACCCCCCCCCCCCCATTTCTCCGTCAAGGACAACCATGCTACTGGCATGTCCCCAGTTTCCTGTACACATCATAATGGCTACAAAATCATGTACAAATACAAAGCTATTAATATTAATAATAATAATAATAAAAATAATCGGCATTTAAGAATGCTCTTATTAGTAAACTAAATCACAGCGCTTACAGTATTATTATTACCCCTGATCATTGGGCCAATTAAACATTCCAAATACAATCTCAGCTCCCTGGGGAGTATACAGCTCGATGCAGCCTGTTAGGCGCAAGCAAGCTAATTCAATTACAATAACCATCTCTGCCCTCACAGGTTCCCATTTACTCCTGGGTGGAGAGAAGCAATGAGTGACAAAGTGCCTTGCCCAAGGGCACACGCACCATAACCCCAGGCTGGACTCGAACCCATGACCTGCAGAATTACCCGCAGACCACGAATTCAATGCTCCAGACCACGAGGCCACAGCACTCCACATTCCAATGCACTACCACTTTCACTCAAGGTTTCTCTACACTTCAAATTGTAAACAGTTTGTTTGTAGTTGTGCCTTTCATCCATCACCCCCCATCTCCGCGAAGTGGGTGAGGCAGCTTTGCCGCCTCGTCATAATATAATATAATATAATTTTCTGGATCTGTTCCATCTAGGATCGTGATTTCAACGGACGGCATAGAATGGCTTGGCCTGACCGGCGAGAGGTTCCTGTGGACCGCCACGCACCGCGACTTGGGAGTCTGGCATCTCAACCACGTGGTGCAGTTCTATGCCCTGGCTCGCTGCAGGGTGACGTCGCTGCACGTCGCTGGCTGTGAAGGGAAGACCAGTAGGCTGGTGGCAGTGGGAGAAGATAGCAGGTTGGTATACAGAAATATGAAAATCGTTTTGGATGTTATTGTATTTTATACAACACCTGAATATAGCCCTGTCATCTGATTGGTGGGTGGATCACCTGTCATTTAAAGCCATAGTCCATCATTTGCAGCTATCCAAAAAGTAACTGGCGTAATTATTGTTGAAAAACATACTTGGTTGAAAGTTAGTAAGGGGACTAAACTCCCTGTGAAATTATTCTTTATGGCAAGCTGTCATTTTGAAGAAATCAACAAAAGAAGGCCAGAAGCAACGTAGGAAATTCAAATTAGTGGTTTGTTTTGTTATTCGGCGAAGCACGCCGCAAGAATTGGTACTACGCACATGCGAGTGTGGTTGCTATAATTCGTCGGATCAGTGCGCGACATCGCGTAGCTACAATTGGCTCAGTGAGAACGTGTATCGGACGCTGAATTCAGGCCAAATTCAAAACATGATTCAACAACTTTTGATTTGAAATTGAGATCATAGAATGCTGTTTTTCTCGGAATATACAGCATTCACTGAGCTAAAACTTCATCAGGTTAGTTGTTTAGCACCCTTCTTTAGATTTTGAGCACTTTTGTTGCCTCAAACGAACAAAATGAACAAATTACAAATGATGGACTATACCTTTAAATACATATTATGATATGAGAGGCATTGTACCATACCCCTTTTGTTTTCCAGTGTTCGTCTGATTTCTATGAAGGATCAGAAAAGCCTATCGACTGTCCTTCCTCCTCCATCAATTTCCCCTTTACAACAAGTTCTTGGTGTTACCTACAACCGAGAATGCAGCGTGGTGTATCTACTCATCAGCCCACAAGAAATCTGGGTCTACACAATGAGGTTTGTGCTGTTCATTGAAGTAGAAACCAAATCATTATTATATTGTGTGCTTGGATGCTGTAATTTCATTGGTCGAGAATGGCCACGTGTCCAGTCTGTAAAAATGCATATGCAATGATTAAACCTCGTGTACACTGCGCATTTTTGCGCCCGTGTAGAATCTGTACGCGCACTCCTAACTGAGAACTGCAATGTACAACCCCTCAGTCTCATGTCCAGCAAGATTGAAAACCCCAGAGTATTTTATGGAAAACCTACGGAATCAGGTAGGGACTGAAAACCCAATCCACATGCTGGCCCAGGCGGGATTCGAACCCGGGTCACAGCAGTGGAAGGCGAGGAAAGGTATGACTCCTGGTATGGAAAAGATTTTGTTTCTTAAAAGGCAAAATCACCTCATAGTAGAGCATTCAGTGTTCTGGAGGTCACAGGTTCACACCCCACTTCATTAAAAAAAAATTCCACTTAATAACTGAAAAAGTCACCGTCCTTTCTATAAGCAGCACGGGAGTTCTTTTTGCAACTTGTCAATGTAGACTTTGACAAAACCTGTCCTTGATTCCCTTTTGTTGTTTCTCTGTTTGGCAGGACGGACCCGGCTTGTCGCACTGCAGTCTGGGATACGGAGCATCTGCAAGACAAAGTCAACAGAGGGCAGTCTGCGGGTAGTAGAGCCGGCTCTGCTGCCCCGACAACACCCAGGCAAGTCTGTACGATAGACCCTCCCGCATGAAGTCCCACCCCGCAATGTCTTGACAGATTACAGATTGACAGATATCGACGGAATAATGACGTTAACCCCATGGTTGTCTGCGATTGGGCCACGGATGACCAAGGTTCTCCTACGAATAAAGCATGCCCATATTCGTAGATCTCTTAGCAAGAATCCGAGCATATCGGGGCATATCCGTAGGACATTCGTATCAAATTCTTTAGAGGTTTCTACCACGAATGAGCTACGAATCTCCAAGAATATGTACGAATAGCCAAGAATAACACTACGAATAGTACGGTTGTCCTACGGATGTCCCACGATTGCACTAGGGATTGATTTTCATGACGATTCACCATGGAAGTTTGGAACAATTTGAAATCTTCGTAGCCCCTCCACGAATACCCAAGGAAGATGACGAATAACCACAAAGGGAATTAAGAATGAATACAGTACTTCCAGGGTTTACCACGAATTTTAAACCGTGAATATCCGTAGCTCCAAACCTTGAATGTGTGACTGGGGCTTAATGAACTGGCTAAATCCCGCTCAAGCATGAATAGACACTAAAAAAAATAGCCTTTATGAATCAGCAGAGTTTTTTTGGTGCTCTTGGACTAGCGTTACTAGGGTTGCCTTGTCCTGTTGTTGCAGACTTCAGCCAGGCGTGAAGGGCCTGTCCTCAGTCCAGTTAGGCCACACCCTGCCGACCCATCGTGCCTCACAAGGCAGAGGGGCTCATACCACACCGTCTCCATGTACCTCCATCGCAACCATCACTACACCTGTCATGTACTGGACAGAGGAGGGATTCGTCTGTCCACTGAATCAGAACTTCCTGGTGCTGGGCTTACAGGTGAGTATAAATGCCCCTGTGCCAGTAAATCCAGAAGCATTTTTTTTTTGGAAGGGGGGGGGGGAGGGGGCTGGGTCTTAGTTTCCCCCTTTTTGGCGAGCTGCGAAGCAGATGCGAGCCTATGTAATACCAATTTCCGTCCGTCTGTCCGGGCGCCCGTCCGTCCGTTCTGACCATACCACCCTTGTGGGGTGATGTTCCTTTCAGGACACATCACCCCACTTTTTTCACAATAGAAAAACATCACCCCAGAAGGGAATCTTTAGAAAAAGGGATAATGGGAACACAATGCTATCACCCCACAATTCCGTCTGGCTGGAACGGGCGTCCGCGTTCAGATAAAAATGTTGAAGTTTTTGGTTTTAGTTAACTTGGGGAAAAAAATTAAATGCAGTTGTCATGTATCATCTCTAGGTCTATAACTTCAGTTAGGTTCATATCATTGCAGTAAATTTTATGATTTTATTGAGGAACTTTAATTCAAGGAAATGTCAAAGTTTTTAATTGTTACATGTACATGTATACTGGTATAACATGTACATGTGTGTATACCGGTATAACATGTACATGTACACTATGCATTTTGGGGATGTGCATGATCTTCTGGTTTGATCTTTTAGTTTATGGGGTTGGAGTAGGGATGGGGTAGGGGAGGGCGGGGTGGGGTGGGTTGGGGGATAGGGTTGGAGTTAGGGTTTGTGTAAGTAGGATGAGTAGGGGAGCTAGGATGGGTGGGGCGGGGTGGGTTGGGGTGGGGTGGGGTGGGGAGAGGGGTTGGAATACTGGGTTTGGGTGGGGTGGGGATTTGTAGGGGTGGGGTGGGAACTTGTAGGGGTGGGGTGGGACAGGTAGGGAGAGACAGGTAGGGAGAGGATGGGCATGGATGTAGGGGTTGGGTTAGGAGGGGGTTGGGCAGGGGGCGGGATATAGGATCGGAGTAGGGGTTGGGTTGGGGATGTGTAGGGATGGGTTGCTGTAGGGGTTGGATAAGTGGAGGGGGCAGTATATAGGGATCAGAGTAGGGGTTGCATGGGGTCAGGTGGGGATGTATGGGTGGGGGAATGGGGTGGGCGGGATATTGGAATTCGAGTAAGGGTTAGGGTGGGGATGTGTAGGGTGGGTAAGGACAGATAGGGGAAGATAGGGTAGGTGGGTGTAGGGGGTTGGGGTAGGGGAGGGTACGGGTCAGGGGAGGGGAAGGAGATAGGGATTGGAGTTTGGGTGGGGTTGGGATGTGTAGGTGATAGGGTGGGGATGGTTAGGGGAGGATGGAATGGGTGTGGGTAGGGGGTTGGGAGGGGGAGGGGGCGGGTTGGGGATTGGGTAAGGTTTTTGGATGGGGTAAGGTTTGGGGGAGGTGGTGATGGTGCTGTGTCTACATGTACATGTATGCCCATTCTTGTTCTGCATTTGTGGCGACTACACAAGATTTTTCCCATGGTAATACAAGTATGGGGAGCAGAAGACACTGTTGGGGCTGCAAAAATCCACAACTGGGTCCTAATTACCCTAACAATGGAAAACTCCCCCATAATACAGTGACGGCTAACCTATATACACATGTATTTATTAGGTAATCTGTTGACTTTTTATGTTGACATTTAAAAACTGACCCCTACACCTAGGCACATCAACAAGAATCCTGATCCCCTTCCATCATGCCCATCCCCAACCCTACCTTCAGCCTCCCTTCCTGCCTTGAACTTCGCCGTTCTAGTTTTTGTTTTGTTTAGTATTTCACAAATTCTTGTCAGAAGGGGGAGGGAATGATAAGACTAAAGTAGCCAATGAAAAACAGTCGTTTTACTTCTGGTTTAATACTGAAAAACACCAAAATTTGTTAAACGTTTGAGTGAGGGAGATGGGAAAGGGGGGATTTCGCCCCATTGCCCCCCCCCCCCCCCCCCCTCTGCCTTCCCGATCCGCCAGTGATGCACCACTAGTTGATATTGCAATTACTGGAAACCAGGACTACAGGATAAATAGAAAAAAAATGAGAGATCTATGTCTGTTTGAAAACAGAACATAGGGCTTTTCTGCTTATTTTATTTTGTATGTCATCATGACCTCACCTCAATTTTCATCTATATTAACACATCCCAGTCTACCTACATACCAAGTTTCAACCCAATTGGACTGACAGTTCTGTAGATATATGACTTTACAATATGCACATTGAAAATGACGTCAAGTGACCCATGATGACGTCATCATGACGTCATTCTTCGGGACACATCTTTGCTATAGGGACTATGCCTATGCTGACTTTTAATAATGTATGACAAAGATTAATGCCAAAAGTGGAGGCCAGAAAAGATGTGCACAAAGTCAATGGACTTTGAAATGGAAGCAGCAGCAGCAGCAGCAGCAGCAGCAGCAGCAGCAGCAGCAGCAGCAGCAGCAGCAGCAGCAGCAGCAGCAGCAGCAGCAGCAGCAGCAGCAGCAGCAGCAGCAGCAGCAGCAGCAGCAGCAGCAGCAGCAGCACACAAAAACAAAGGCTTTTCTGCACTTTGCGGAAAAGCCAATAACTTTGACATAAACATACATCTGGTATATCCTGTTAACAAAAAAAAGGTGTATAGCAAACTGCTATTCATTTGTTTATATTGTGAATGTCATTCTGTGCATTTTTTTGTTTGAAAATATGAGTGTAATTTCATTGTTTGTGACAGGATGGACGCATTCTGCTCATGGATCCAATGGAGTACGGCCACCGTTACTGTGAACTACAAGCTAGTAAAGATGCAGTGAGTAACGGTCTTATAATATTACTATGGGGGTTTTGAAAACTTTTCCCTTTGTCTCTAGTTCAGCTTGATATTTTAGGCAGCTGACTTATAGGACTCTGGCTCAAATGAGTCCAATTGTATGACCTCACTGTACCATGTGACCATCTGGTGTCCATGTGATCGGCCACCATTGCAGTAGGCAAGCGTTTGGTTGGCAACCATGCCGTGAGTTGTAAACTAGATTGTATGACCTCACAGTACCGTGTGACCATCTGGTTTCCATGTGATCGGCCACCATTGCAGTAGGCAAGCGTTTGGTTGGCAACCATGCCGTGAGTTGTAAACTAGATTGTATGACCTCACAGTACCGTGTGACCATCTGGTTTCCATGTGATCGGCCACCATTGCAGTAGGCAAGCGTTTGGTTGGCAACCATGCCGTGAGTTGTAAACTAGATTGTATGACCTCACAGTACCATGTGACCATCTGGTTTCCATGTGATCGGCCACCATTGCAGTAGGCAATCGTTTGGTTGGCAACCATGCCGTGAGTTGTAAACTAGATTGTATGACCTCACAGTACCATGTGACCATCTAGTTTCCATGTGATCGGCCACCATTGCAGTAGGCAAGCGTTTGGTTGGCAACCATGCCGTGAGTTGTAAACTAGATTGTATGACCTCACAGTACCATGTGACCAGCTGGTTTCCATGTGATCGGCCACCATTGCAGTAGGCAAGCGTTTGGTTGGCAACCATGCCGTGAGTTGTAAACTAGATTGTATGACCTCACAGTACCATGTGACCATCTGGTTTCCATGTGATCGGCCACCATTGCAGTAGGCAAGCGTGTGGTTGGCAACCGTGCTGTGAGTTGTAAACTAGACAGGGCTTATTTTCACGTAAAATAATCGCAAAGTCTTTTGATATCAAATAGCATGATTTTCACTACCTGTGCTGTTTACAGTGAGTTGGCTCTGCGTTTTTCTCACAGTTTTTGCCTGCATCCCTTACAAATTTGAAGACTTGCCTACTACTTACATGCGGGCGACACTATACGATCTTTGCCTACTAAAATGATGTTGCTGACTTTCTGGTACTCAGGTGGGCAATTCCACGGTTACTCACGTTACATATTTGATGTACTTTTGAGATTCCTTGGGCTGTAATTACCAATACCGAAAAGGTTTAATAACTGTTATCCCCATGGTAGATAGAGTAGACCTAGACCTACCTATGCACCAAAGATGACATCCAGAAAAATGTGTTATGTATGATAAACAAGGTGCACAAAAATCGGTTACTCACGCTACATTTTCGTAACGTGAGTAACCGTGGAATTGCCGAGGTGTTGGCCAGGTCATGTGGGTCAGTGATGGAACCCTATATGGGTCCATGTTAGGCCTCAGGAATTACCAATCTTAAAATACGGGGCCAAAGTTTGAAGTATTTCCGGTTCTTTTTGGATGTTGAAGAAAAATCATTCTCAATCCCAGGTCTTTTACATCTCTACTCTCTGCGTAGATATTTGACATGGAGTTTGACCACGCCCACAGCGCCCTCGTTGCCAAGAGCCACCTGCGAGACGAGGACGTCTACCAGTTCTGGTCCTTACCGAGCCTGGAGCTCCAGCATCTGGTGGTGGTTCCTCGAGACGTCACTGCCTTTGCCAGATTGGTAAGCGCTTAGGACTTATAGAGTTGTAATCGTGTCAGTCACAAGCCAATCACAATTTAAATGACAAGCCAATCACAAGTCAGATGACAAGCCAATCATAAGCCAAATCACAAGCCAATTGCAAGTCAAGTGACATGCCAATCACAAGTCAAATCACAAACCAATCACAAGTCAAATCACAAGCCAATCACAAAGTCAAATCACAAGCCAATCACAAATCAAATCAGGAATCACAAGCAAATCACAACTTAAATCACAAGCCAATCACTTGTGACTTGACTTGTGACTGTAGGGCTTGTCAGAACTTGTGATGGACTCGACTTCAACACTCACCAGATAATAAGCATTTCAGTTTGAACGTTGATTTCTGGGTTGCAACCCTAAACCCCCTCCCCCCATGCCCCCCAAAAAACCGCACGTTCAAGCCATCTTGAATGACTCTACCCATTTTTATGATTTGCAGGGTTCTGTTTTTCTGACCGGCCACTCTGAGGGCAGCTTGTCGCTACACCAGCTGAAACCGGTCACCAACATGATGGGCTATCCCACTAACGATGTAGGGGAGGAGATGCGAGAGACCCGGAGGGACCACACGGCACCCATAGTGGCCGTGGACTCTTGTCTGAATCTGGCCATCTTTGTTTCTTGCAGGTGACGGAGAGTACTTAGGAGTACATCCCATTATAATGTTCCTGATAAGTTGCAGACCAGTGATACCCATAACAGGCCAGTTATATCAGGCTCTGCTTACAGTAAGCGAAAAATTCCTGCTTACTGTAGCTGAAAATTATGTGCTTGCAGTTAGCGTATTTCACAGGTTTAGCGAGGGATTTTGGCTAATGCGCACTCTTGCATCCTGTAAGTAAGGAGACTGTGCTTACTGGGTCAATAGTGCAGAATTGTTCTGCTAGTGCTGTTTGCACAGAATGGTGATCGTAAGCGCGGAATTCTGTGGTTAGCAGCGCCATGAAATTGGGCCCTTCATTGAGGGAAGATTCTGGGAAAGTTGTTTAGAATCCTGAACCATACACTGTCCACAAAGGCCAATAACACCAGTCATTCACAGACGGTTGGTTTGGATTGAAAACACGGTTACCGTCCCAAAAATTGCACACTGTGCTCGATAGACTTTTCCAAACCTTTTACGTTTCTATACACTCCCATAAAAAAGGGTCTCCTGAAATTGCCGAAATAACCACAATAAGGGAAATCAGACTGTTTCAGTTTCAAAAGGGACTGTTCTTTATTTGTGGGTTTTTGCTTGAACCCTAAAAAAACGATTATAGTTAAAAAAAAATTGGAAGTCGGAACACCAAGAAATGTGTTGAAGTGATGTGATGAAGTGGCCCTATTTTGGCCTGAATCTCCAAATGAAAATTCCCGACAAAACGACTCATGTAGCTTGATCGCATCACATATCTTCTCAACCAATACGATATAAATTCAATATTAGGAGCCTATCTGGTGGGGGGGGGGGGGGGGGTTCGGGGGGAGGGGGGGGGGGGGGGGGGGGGGAGAGGAGGGGAAGGGGGCTTCTGGTCCCCCCCCCCCCCCCATCCGACCTAAATGCTGACAAGAATTGGCATTGTTGAATTCCTTCCAGAAATTCTCACTCTCTATTTGAATCACTTTTTCTCTCAGTTCGGATGGTGCAGTCAAGGTGTGGGATGCAGACAAGTTACTCCTGACAGAGATAGCTCTGGACGAGCCTATCAGCTGTGCACGCTTCATCAACGCTAGAGGAGATCTCATGATGGGATACATGAACCACCTCTTCGTCATCGACCACACTAAAAGTAAGTGGTATTTTAAAACTGAGAAATCGTGTGACTCTCTTGAACAAGCGGCATCCCGACGTAAAATAATCGCAACTATGCTCATGTCACCCTCGACGCAACGATTCACCACGATTCCACAGCATAGACAGTCATGTGATTTCTTTACCAATAAGGGAGTAAATATATGTTTTGCTGGTTCGGCTCGAGCCATTATCAGCGCGCATTCTCCTGATACGGTCTTAAATGTACTTGTATTCCCATTCACAAAGAGTCAAAAAGTCGACACAAGTCAAAAATTATACATTTCCAATGATTTTGTTGAACAGTTTTATTTCATTTTTTTTTCAAACACCCCTCTAGCTATGGTATGGAATATCCTCTTGCGAGTAGGTAAACAATCTCCTTATATGGTGATTGTCGCGCGCGTGGTGCGTGCTGCGTGATGTTGCGCAGAAGGCGCGGAGCGCCAGTGTAGTATGCTGATTGGCTTAACAATTGAAAAGGATGATCTTGATGAGCACACGATCGCGACGTCGTCGTAGAAGTTGCAATTTTTCTACTCTTGCGACTGTTGATTTTTTTGAGCGCCGACTAATTCCGATCATTTTAATATCGTCGCAGTTACACTCAGGTCGCACAAAATCGGTGACTGAAATGTTCCCGACGGTCTTAGCTCAGGCACAGCTTGATCCTGAAAAGTCAGTCACCGGCTGATCTGTGTTGTCGCAAGGTTGACCTGAGGCCGGCTTAAGGAACATGGCATGAAGTTTACTTAGCAACATATTTTGTGCATCTTTCTTCTTTTTGAATAATTCTTTTCTTTTTGAAAACTATCTGAGATCTCTTTTGGTACATTTGATTGAAAAGTGCACTTATTTAAACATTTAACATTTTCAATGCTTTTCCTGACAACTGAGGGCGCTGTTGTAAACATTTTAGGCAGACACTGTGCAGGGTTTTTTTGTAGGGGTTTTCTGCTCAAATTGTGAAACCCCCCCCCCCAAAAAAAATTTGCTCATTGAAAACATTCATGAGAAAAGTTTGTTGATACGGGAAACAACAACAAAGCACAACAGAAAGGAAAATTTGTGACAGCAAAATAACCAAAACTCTGGCAACTTTTGGTGCTGAAATAGGTGTAACATTGAGGTTTCTGCCTGAAATGACATCACACTTGTTCTCATGAATATGGAAATTTGCATTTTAAAAAAAAATGTAAAAAGGCACCAAACTACCCTTGAAAATGACAAAATGGAAATTGAAAATAAAGTGACATGGGACACAAAGGTGCATTTTGAAGGATTGCATTAAAAAAAATTTAATAACATGGGCCCTTTGATTGAATAAATTATTATACAAATATTGAGTGGCTCAGCGTGGAATAGGAGGAATATTATTGCAAGGTAAAATCTGCACTTTTCCATTTCAAGAGGCGGAGCCGAGTGAAATGGAAAAGTCCAGTTTTTACCGAGCGATAATATTCCTCCCATTTCACAATTTAAAGCCACTCAATATTTGTTTTATATAACTGACATATAGATCCTTGCCATTTGATATATTTGAACTTTCATTTCAATACAAAACTGGAGGAAAATGTATTTCTCTCTTCCAAACCACACTTTCACGAAAATGTTTGAACCCAACGCGTAACGCTGTAGCACTGGCTCTTTGGAACAATACGCGCAACGCTGAACGCGCACACCAGCATGCATTTGCACACAAATACCGCGTCATGATCCTAACTGTTCAATAGTATTTCCCATTCCCCATGGGCGGATAGTACTTTTTGAGCCGCGGCATGAATGGGAGCAATAACGAATGCCACGTGATGTGAGTTCCACCAATCAAATGACAAGGATCTGTATGTCGGTTATATAAAAACAATTGATGAATCAATTAGTGAATTGCATGTTAACATTCCTGAAGTGAATTATGTATAGACGATATATGAATTGATTAGTAGATTGCATATTAATGAGTATTAATTAATGGATTTCTGAGAGAATCATATTACTAGGTTGGAATTTGCACAACAAATTGAAAGCTTTTAAAATCCACCTGAGTTGCTCGTCAACTCTTCGAAGTTTGTAACTATAATCTGCTCTAAGCTTCCTTTTACGGAACCAAAAGTCAGTTCAAGTAATAATGGAGATGTGTGTGTGATGGTTTTATTTTGCATTAGTTTTGCCATCATCAAGCAAGACTCAGTTCCCAGATGAAAATCTCGAAACAGGTAAATCCGGAATGCTGTACTTTCTTTTATTTTCTTTACAATTTATTTTTACTAGATTTAAACTTTTTTGACAGACTGCAGCACTCTTAAATTTAATTGAGTGTTGTTACTTTTATAAAAAAAATAATTCACATATTATTGAATATTTTTGCAAATCAATTAAAAAACACATCAAGGTAAAGCTGCTGAAAAGTAACTAAATCTACTAAAAGTACAAAATCTACAAAATGGCAGCAATGTCCTTCAAGGGTTTGATGATATAGTGAAAGAAAAAAATTCTAAAATATATCACTTTAATCTCTTTAACTTACCGTCAGAAAAGGATGATTGACAAAGTCCATTGGGGGGGCTGTGGTCCAATAAGTACAGTGTTTGACTCGTGTGCCGTGGTACATGGGTTTGAATCCTGACGGGGAACATGGTCCTTGTGCTCTTGAGCAAGGCACTTTACCACTGATGCTTCATCCTTCGGATGGGACGTAAAGCCGTAGGTCCTGTGTGTTGTGTAATGCACGTTAAAGAGGTTGTGGAATTCTCGAAGACATATCCGTTATTTTTCGGGTATATGTAGCCTAAGGTGTGATGAAATAAAAACAACTATTGTGTCTGTCATGAAATGAGTACAAAAGGTACTTTTGAGAGCTGTTTTTCAGGTCCTGTTTCGACCCGAATGTGCAATTTGTGTAAAAGTCGTCGTTGGGGGCAGCAAAAAAAACCATAGTAAATCGTGACGTAATAAACAGGACTCCCGATGCAGCGTAGTATAAACGAGTCCTGTTTATTACGTCACGATTTAGTATGTTTTTTTTTTTGCTGCCCCCAACGACGACTTGTACACAAATTGTACGTTCGGGTTGAAACAGGACCTGAAAAACAGCTCTCAAAAGTACCTTTTGTACTCATTTCATGACGGACACAATAGTTGTTTTTATTTTATCACACCTTAGGCTACATATACCCGAAAAATGACGGAAATGTCTTCGAGCATTCCACAACCTCTTTAAAAAAAACCAGTAACACTTGTCGCAAAGGGAAGGGGTTTACCCTCTATAAAGGTGCTACATAATGGGTCTCATTGTTCTCATAAACTTCATTTATCTGTCTTTAAAACTAGGCATAATTACCTTGAGTACCTAATTGTTGGTAGATATGTGCGCTATATAAGACTCCAGTATTATTATTACAAGTCAAATCACAAGTCAGGTACCAAGAAATGGGATGAACAGTGACTATTAAAGGATTGCCTTCGTCACAGATTATTTGAATAGTTTGTGGCTTGACTTGAGACTGGAGGTGATTATTTCGTGATTGGCTTGTGCGGACTTCGTTAATGCTCAGAAGTTGCTTCCCCTAAGTAACTGGTTCAGACTCTGTCTTTCTTTTTTTCAGAGTCTGAGATCTATGAAGATCCTGCAGTGCGCTATGAAGGAGCTGCAGAAAACCCTGATCCATTGGACTTGGATAGCTACCTGGTTGGTAGACAGAAACCCAACACACTTGCAGGATTTTCTTAACACACTCAATATTCCTGGAGTCTGTTAAGCATTTCGTCACCGACACCACGAAGTAACACCCATCAACATACCAGTAAAAACTAGCAATCGCAGAAAACGGCTACTAAAGTTGAACGCCTTCTAAAACAACACTTTGCGTCAAAACGACAGAATATTTTCAGTTGGGTTTCTCGTTGCGGACACTTGATGAATTGAATTTATTAAATCTGCTGTTTTTCACCCGTTTGTGTATTAAATAAACAAGAAATAAGAGATAAAAGATGAGTGTTAGTTCGTGAAACCGAAAAGGCTGCGAAACTGTAAATTTTCGTTTTCACGAAGTAACACTCTTCAATGTATTCAACACGAGGAAAGTGCAACTTCAGGTCAGCGCGCGCGCTCATACAACTTATTACAAGAAGAGTGTTACTTCGTGAAAACGTTTTTGCTCACTTATGAGCAGAGTGCGCGCCATGCATTGCAATGGTAAATGGAACTTGAGTGTTACTTCGTGAAAACGAAAATTGTCACTTTTGCGCAAAAGTTGCCATGGATACTTAGCGTAATTATTAAAGTAAAGCTCTTGAAGCTTTGAAACTTCGTGCAATGGTAGGCCTTGATGAATAATGTTTAAAAATCAAAAAAACTGAAAATCGAAAAATATATGGTTTAACACGGTAGAGTGTTACTTCGTGGTGTCGGTGACGATTTGTTGGTCTAAGTACATTTGTGGAGAGTCGTGGTCTGGAGTAAGGAGCTTGTGGTTCTGCGGGTAATTCTGCAGGTTGTGGGTTCGAGTCCAGCCTGGGGTTATGGTGCGTGTGGCCTTGGGCAAGGCAACTTTGTCACTCATTGCTTCTCCCCACCAAGGAGTAAATGGGTACCTGTGAGGGCAGAGATGGTTATTGTGATTGAATATAGCTGCTTTGTGCCGAAATGGCAACATCAAGCTGTATACTCCCAAGGGAGCTGAGATTGACGGTCTTTGGAATGTTTCATTGGCCAAATGAGCAGGGCAATAATGATGTAGCGTCTTTACTACCAATAATGGTGGATATGTACACTTTATAAAAACAAAATATCACATTTTTTTATATTTGTTGGATCCACATACACAAAAAGGAATTGCTCTAAAAATGTGGCATGTTCATGTACAGGGTGAGTCAAAAAAATAAATAAAACCCAAATGTCGGGACCATTGTTTTAGTGAATTTCTGCATGGAGCACTTTCAAAATCTAGGATATGAAAGCCCAATTCATAAGCTGTTTTTTAGTACAAGAATCGTTCAAATCACTCATTTTATTTTAAACACAACCACCATTTTAAGGTTCTGTCCACAGATCACAAAAAAAGATTAGCGTTCTTACAGCAAAACGAAAACAAATCACATAAGGATATGTGTGAATTGTTTTCGTTTTGCTGAAAGAACGCACACCTTTTTGTGATCCTTGGGCAGAACTTTAAAACGGGGGTTGTGTTTAAAATTCCTTAACTTCAAAAATACATAAGTGATTTGAATGATTCTTGTACTAAAAGAAAGCTTATGAATTGGGCTTTCATATCCTAGATTTTGAAAGTGCTACCTGCAGAACTTCACTAAAACAATGGTCCCAATGTTTGGGTTTCGTATTTTTTACTCAGCCTGTATAGTGAAAACGTGTACCACATCTGTAAAACCAAGCAGGATGTTATACGCCCTTTTTGGCTTTCTCATTCGTTTATTCAGGTTCCCTATAATCTAGATTTCAACGAGCGTTTCCGAGGTGGACGGGCTTCACCTTCAACCTCACATGCATCTTCTGTTAAGGTGAGTCTGAGTTTTCTTTCACTTTAAAGCCAGAGTCCATTATTTGCAGCTATCCAAAAAATAACTGGTGTATTTATTGTTGAAAAACATACTTGGTTGAAAGATAGTAAGGGGACTAAACTCCCTGTGAAATTATTTTTTCTGGCAAGCTGTCATTTTGAAGAAGTCAACGACAGAAGGCCTTTCCAACGGTGCGTCTTAAGAAGCACCGTTGGAAATTTCCATTAGTAGTTCGTTTTTTCAATAGGCGAAGTGCGCACAAGCGTTGGCACGATGCACACGCATGCGCAGTTGCTATAATTCGTCGGGTTGGTGCGCAACATCGCGTAGCTGCAATTAGCTCAGTGAGAACGTGTCTCGGACACTGAATTCAGGCCCAATTCAAAACATGATTCAGCAACTTTTGATTTGAAATCGAGATCCTAGAATGTTGTTTTTCTCAAAATATACAGCTGAAGCTGAGCCGAAATTTCATCAGGTTAGCTGTTCAGCACCCTTCTTTAGAATTTGAACACTGTTGTTGCTTCAAACGAACAAAATGCACAAATTACAAATGATGGACTATACCTTTAAGCCATAAATCAATTTTTTTTTGTCGATATCTTTATAGCTATGTGCCATAGAAGTGTGACATCACGCATATCTGCATATTTGCCATACATATTGCACAGTCGAATTACGGCTCCCATTTTTTCCAATCTAATGTTGTTGAATGCGCAGGATGTGCTCTGAATGCATTCTGAATGCAATGCTAGCTTACAGCAAATGTGAGGCAATCTGGCTATTAAACACACAGAACTGGGCAAAGGTCAAAATGAGGGTTTGCAGGTAATAACAATGAAATGTTCCTTACAGTACTGTTTGTTGCACTTCAATCAGATATTCAATTGACCAATTACAGCTGTATAAAATTTGCATTTATTAACATGTCAAAAGAGTAAAATACTGAGAGAAAGGTCTTTAGGGTTTCAAGCTTTATATATTCGGGAAAATGAAAGATGCCAATTGTTTTCCCTTAAAAACAAACGCTTTCATTCCATGATTTTGATACTTCTGTAAAATATGTGAAGTAGACATCAAAGATTACAAATATCAATAAATAAAAAATCCCCCCCCCCAAAAAAAAAATCATCTTCATTTGGATTTTTGTATTTCTCTCCACTACGGCCTGTGCCTGTTTCTGTCTCATTTTGCCAGAACGTCTCACAAATCGTCACCGGTTTCATGAAGGGACGGGCATGTGTATTTTGAAGGAAAAATGTTTTCGAGATAATCGCAAGAGAAGTTTCTCCGTTTTTAAAACAGCAAAAACTACTACTTTGCAACAACTTTATGCAGTAGGGAAACCTTGACGTAATTCTTTGATAGGTAAACTTTAATTTGAACCCAGTAATTATAATTAATAAAGTGGTTAATTAGCCAAAATTAATTAGTAAAGATGCCCGTCCCTTCGTGAAAACGAAAATTCAACTGTTCCACATTTACGCCCTTCTTGTTTAATGTGCTTTTCCATAGGGAAGGGCGCGCGTGTTCGATTGCGCGCACGCAGCTGAGAATGTGACAAAGATGCCCGTCCCTTCGTGAAATCGAAAATCTCCGTTGACCTACTTTTACCGCCTTTCCGTGCAATACGTTTTGTACGTGTTCATGGGGGCAGGCATGTTCGCGTCTCTTCGTGAAATCGCAACATGCACTTATCGAGATGCCTGCCCCTGACGTCATTAATGTTATTCAGGAATTAATGATGTTTTGCTTACGGAAACATGTCAGAATGCTTAAGTACCATTTTTAAAGAAAAATTGGGGAAAAATTTGAAATCGAAAAAATTGTCAATTTTGACATGCCCGTCCCTTCGTGAAAATGGTGACGAAATGTGGCCAGTGTAGGCTTGCTTTGAACAAAAAATAATCGGTATGGTGCAGAGCATAATAAAACGCTTGTTTACCGATTGAGCGTTTCAATTTTTGGCGTATCAGTTTCAATAGCGCACATGTATGGAATACAAACACAGAAGCAAGTATAGCCGTGCAAAAGCTTCCAATATTGTTGAGCTTTCCATTCAGGCTACATTGCATAACGGCATGTAAGCGCTGTAATTTAAAGCTCTACGCTTTGCTACTTTTCTCTTGATTTCTCAGAGCGGTGACGAGGATTCAGGCAGCGAGTTCTCCCTGGCACCCACCGAGATGTACACCTCACCCTACATGACCCCAAGACGTCTGTCTGCCATCGACCTCCTGACCTCAGGTCAAGATACCAGGAGAGCTGAGATCACAAGTCGAGTCAAAGGTGGGTTTCCAGTTTATATTTGTGGCCCAAAAGATCCCATTGCATTCATGAATTTCTGGCACAACTTTCAAGCCCTGTGAGGCATCCATTCTCTCACCCAATTAATGTTTACAAATTTTGCTGACCTTTTTTTTTTGGCAGGGTGATTTTATTTCTCTGATGTCTAAGAAAGAAATTTTCACAGTCAAAGAAGGAATTCCTCGCTATAATGTTCCTTCAGAGCCACCGTATAGGTTGATTGATGATCAGTTTTGAATTGAGAATCGAGGTCCAGAATATTGTGTTTTCTCGACATATACAGCATTCACGAAGCTAACGCTCACGGTAGTTGTTAAACACCCATCTTTAGAGTATCTAAAGCACTGTTGTTGCTTCAAAGAAACAAAAATGCACCAATGACAAACAGTCTACTCCAGTATGTGATGTACAGGCTGAGTCGTACTTTGGACGAATGTGAAAGCAAAACAAATTAATGATGCATACCGGTTTCGGCAAAGTTAAAATGTCTTAAACTTTTGCGAATTGCAGTGTAATCACATCCTGTGATGTAACAAACTTGCTTCCCATTCTATCCAAGTCCCAACTGATCCCAGGGTTCAAAATTAGCGGTAGCTCGCTAGCCAAATGCTAGTCAAAACAGGGGCAGGCTAGTCAAACTATTCCTTAAGTAGCCCGGCTGGCAAGTCAAAAACTTATTGAGATACGGCAAAGATGAAAGGACAGGAAGAAATAAATCATGAAATTCAGAAAGCAAACCTGTATCAATTTGGGTCTATTTTTATCAACTGTTTTAAAGGGTTAAATTATTAGATCTGTTTTTGAAAACACTGACAAAGTTGCCTCAGAATTGAGCCTGAAAGTACGCCAGTTTGTATTTGAGCTTAAAAAAACAACCATGCGGCTAGTGAAAATGCCCGTGGGCTAGTTAAGAGTCTGTTTCAGTAGTTCGGCTGGCTAGTGAATAAAAAAGTGAAGGTCAAACCCTGCTGATCCTCCATTGAGCATGAAGATTCCCAGGCAATACTGTTGTCCATATTTCGACAACGAAGTTCTACGTTCGTTTATATCCACAGCTCTGTCTCTGACTAGAAAGCGTCGCAGCAGATCCAGCAGGTTGAATCTGACCCAGACAGACGATGTTCAGCTGGACTTTGACATGCCTCAGTTTGGCATCTCGCCAGGGCCGTCCCCTACCCCCTCCCCGCCCTCATCCGGAAGTGACTTTGACGTCTCGGAGGTTAGTGTGCCGGCTATAAAGAGTGTTTTGTTATAGGTCTGTCTTTGTCATACAGGGTGAATAAAAAAAAGCGGAACTCAAACCCCCAAAATTATATTTCATATTTAAAAAAATATGTAGCAGCAAAAATAATAATGACTGGAAAGCCAATTTTTTAAGCTACTTTTAGATGAAAAAAATTACTGAAATTGCTCAATCCCTTATAAAAATATTACCATTTAAACACAATGACCCTAAAACCTCTTTTGTCCAAAAATGCGATTTCAAGAATCGTCGTCACAATTGTCTTAAAACATCACCAGTGATAAAACCTCAGTTTAAAAGTTTTAAATATTCAGTAAAGTCCTTTTGAAGGCCCGTCTTAAAAAAAAAAGGATTTTATATAAATCATATTGTTTGCCTAACCCTGTTTGTGGCTACTGGATTTCTTTCCCTAAGGATGAGAGTGAAATTGAAGATGACTCTGGTTCGGAGGCAGAGGAGGAAGGAGAAGAGACACAACATAAGGAAGCAGGCTCTAAGATGACAGTCAGGGCATCAGGTATTTATCTGTTTATTCATAAATACGTCAGACAGTTTAGCTATTCCTATTGGTCGAGAGCCCGTCACGTGGCCGGTCTTAAACGGATGATAAAGACATGGCTAGCTGGTCTTAAACACTTTTCCAGTGTCACAATGAAATGTGGACTCCTAAAAATGCAGTGCCTCTTACCGTTCATTGGTTGAACGTTCACAATCCTCCCGTAGGCATGCGCAACACTACCAGCAAGTCAGAATTTTATAGTTCTAAATTCAAAACGCAACGCCCCAGGTGCGTTCTGCGTGACATCGGGCAGAACGTGCTACACGCGCGTCAATCTCCATAAAAGGGTTGTTTACATTTTACTCACCAGCTGAACACTCCATTATTTTGCTAGAGGGATGTTTCAAAAAGCATGAAGTGAACTTGTTGAACAAAATCGGGATTTTTTGAACGAATTATTTGATATTTTTTTACTGAAAAGGTATTTATGAATGGGAATAAATGTGTGCTCGGTCGGTATTTATCACTCTGTTTAAGACCGCTTAGAGTCTGGGTGCTGATAATTACCCTCGCCTCCGGCTCGGGTAATTATCAGCACCCAGACTCTAAGCGGTCTTAAACAGCGTGATAAAAACCTCCGGAGCGCACATTTATTCCCTTATTCAGCGATTGTAAATTGGCAATTGGCCGGGACATCCCACGAAAGTCTGTTGACTTATTTCAAGTAGGGTACCTTGGTGGGAAATTGCGGTTTTCTGGGTAGGAGGACTGTTGAACCAACTAAATTAACCTACTGCCATTGATGTTAAAGAAAATGCACTAAAACCTATTTGCGGCGTTTGTCCCTTCTCCCCCCCCCCCCCTCCATTTTCAATTCTCAGAGTTAGAGGAGGTTAAGAAGAAGGAATCCAAGGAGATCAAAGTAGGAGACATCCGTCTGTCAGATCTCAAGCAGCCACCTGAGGAAGTGTCCAAGTACAGCATGTCCAAAATGAAGATTGATGCCAAGTCACTACTCAAGCAGAAAATACCAGTCACTATCCCCAAACCACTCAAGCTGGATAGAACATCGCAGGTATGTGCGGGTTATTTTTATGCGTCAAATATATCGTTTCTCATTTATATCATTTGATCTTCAGCAAATTGCATTTTTGTTTGTTCTATTAACACATTTTCAACTTGTATGTTTGTATATTCCAACAAAAAAACCTCCTTATTTTCTTTTTGACATCTGCAACCCTCAGAAAATAGGTTTCTGTTTTGGGCACAAACAGATCTGCTTTCCAAGCACACTGGCTGCCGGTTCGTACATTTTCGATATGGATTGAGGGGCAGAAACCAGCCCAGCCCGCAAGAACAGAACGTCTGGCAGCCAATTATTTAAAATTGTTATACAAATAATGAATGTTTATGGGTGCAATGGTGAGAATATTTTCATGAGTTGAAAGATTGAATGTCTTGAATGGAACATTCCATCTTTCAACGAATGAAAATATTCTCACCATTGCACGAATGCATAACATTCATTATTTGTTTTATATAACATCCAAGTAGATCTTTGTCATTCGATTGGAGGATAAAACTTGAAGAACAAGCAAAACTCACCAAATTGTATCATATCCACTACTTTTTCAGCTTATTCAAGGCTAACAAAGGTTTAAAAGTCAAATCATTGACAATAATGAAAATTAACGTTGTAAGTTGTTAAAACTACAAAAAATCATCAAGGCAACTGCATCAACGCGAAGATCGTATAGCGCCGGGCCGCTGCGCGTCTTAGCGTGCGCGCAGCGTGCAATAGATCAAAAGGGATGGGACGAAAATGCAAGGTGAATGGAACCAAAAAATGCACGGTTATGACGTAGGCCGTGCAATGGTTCGATTAATGAATGCCGCGTGACCTACAATCCTCAATCAAATGACAAGGATTTACTTTGGTGTTATATAATAAGTAATAATTGTTGAGTAACAGGCTGCCATTTTATGGCTGATCAGCTCCCATTGCATTCTTGCTTTCAAAGAATATAAATGTTAAGTAAGATTTGAGGCTTTGCATGGTGGAGATACTAAATAATGAAAGGTATGCGGAAACACCATGTGCGAATAATTTCTCAACTAAGAGAATGGTTCTGAAAAGAACCAGAGGTATAAACTCGACGTTTCGGCCAGTATGCTCTGACCGTTTTTTCTCCTGAAGACGGTCAGAGCATACTGACCGGAACGTCGAGTTTATACCTCTGGTTCTTTTCAGAACCATTCTCTTAGTTGAGAAATTATTCGCACATGGTGTTTCCGCAAACCTTTCATTATTTAATATAAATGTTGATGTTTCTTGATAGTTTCTACATCTTCTGGAATGTTTTGAGAGTAATTTTTCCCCAAATGTATTTGTTTTATTCCCACAGCCACTGATGGCTACTGTCGCTGAAATCAAGACTTTGGAAGAGAAAGTCAAGGTAAAACTGTTTGATATCAACCATAACAATAAGCAACACCTTTGTTAACTAAGTTGGCCAAATGGGTAATGACTTTTACTGTTCCCCAAATTTCTTGCCACTGTTATAATTTGTCTCGGATGCTGAATTCAGGCCCAATTCAAAACATGATTCAGCAACTTCTGATTTGAAATCGAGATCCTTCAATGTTGTTTTTCTCGGAATATACAGCTAAAGCTGAGCTGAAACGTCATCAGGTTAGTTGTTCAGCATTCTTCTTTAGATCTTGGGCACTTTTGTTGCTTCAAACGAGCAAAATGCACAAATTACAAATGATGGACTATACCTTTAGATGATTGTCATTTTGTGTTAATTTCAAGAAACCTACTGGACAGCCGCGGATGAAAACCCCAGTCAAGAAAAAAATGAAAAAGGGAGAAAGAGTCCGTGTCGGAGACAGGGCGGCCGCCAACAGGGCCAAGCTAGCGGCTGAACCATCGGCAGAGACTATCCCTTCTCCCACGGTCCCCAGCACGACAGACATGACCACGGCAACTAAGCTGACTGTGTCACTCGAGGGGGGTGTTAAGGAAAAAGTTCAGAGTGGTGTCATCAAAAAGGTAAAAACTGTTTTCTGGGGAAAATATGCTGTAGAGACTAATTCGTACCTCATGCGAAAGTAGAGCATAATTATGATTTTGGGAGTGAGAGATTTTCTTATGCTGTTTGCAATGTCCTATTATCATTAGCACCTGTACTACACTGTAAAAAAAGAAGTAAAGGGGACGATTGGGCCAGACTCATATGCTGCTGTGGGGGGATCGCCACACCTCCTCCACAGCGAGTCTGTTACCTTCCCAGCATTGAATAATGCTGGTACCCATTTAACACCTGGGTTGAGAGGAGTAATTGAGGTAAAGTGCCTTACTCAAGGGCACAACACGCATGGCCACGGCGGGGCTCGAACCCACAACCTCACGATCATGAATCCTGTGCTCCACCGCTAGACCACACGTGCCCACTACATTGTATTACATTCCAAGTGGGAGTAAAAGGCCAGGCAGGTTTCGGGCAGTACAAGGACTAATGGGTTGATGATAGGGGTGTGCGTCGGTGCTGGGTACCCGAGTACCAGACTGCTGATGTCAGGAACTGGTTCCAGATTATGGGATTGGGTACTTGGTTGGTACTTGGTTGGTTCTTCCACAGGGGAGTATAACTAGGAGGCCAGAAACACCGGGGCAAACCCCTTCTCTTAGGGATAAGTGTTACTGGGTTTTTTTACATGCGTTAGGCCTTATACAACACACGGGGGCTCCGGCTTAACGTCCCATCCGAAGGACAAAGCAATAAAGGTTAAGTGCCTTGCTCAAGGGCACAAGTGTCCGGGCCCGGGCTCGAACCCATGCCACTGTTGCCTCTGAAACACCAGAGCATGAGTCCGGTGCTCTTAACCGCTAGGCCATGACACCCCATATTAGGGTACCCCTAACCAACTATCCAAATTACTTAGTAACTTCTCAGACCATGAGAAAGAAAGCTTTTGAATACCATTTGTGGGAATTTTCAAAATGAAAACCAGGCTGTATTGAAAATCAAAACAGATTTCATTTAAACATGCAACAGATGACACTCGCGAAAGCTGCATTTTACACCACAAAGCTATAACGCCCTTCAGACAACTTCCTGGATTTGAATTTTGGGGAGGGGTTTATTTTGCGGGTACCCAGATACCCGTGTTTTACTTCAATAGGGTACCCGGTTCCCGAACTAGTTTTTTGTTGTTTGCAAATGTTGTAGTTATATTACCGCTGACTGGCTCTCTCACGGACATTACCTTTCCTTTCGTAGCTCTGGAATGGCCGTGATTGGTCATATCACCAAGGGGCCGGGCTACGAAAAAAACGGTGGAAACTTTTCTCTTTCTTTCAGGTCAGTTCTTCGTCAGCGAGCAGCTCATCCGCCTCTCTGAGCCAGCAGACCTCAGACTCTTCCATCAAACCCAAGCCTAAAGTCTCCATCCCTGCTCTGCCCAAGGCTCCCAAGGACTCCAAGCCTGAGGACAAGAAAAGCTCCAAACCGGCGGATAAACCGGCCAAAGCGAAACCGGAGAAGGGTAAACCGAAGTCTGTCCTTGACGATTGGAAGAAACCCAAAGGAGGAACGTCTGCAACAGAGGTGAGCTGCACTAGACACCTGCACCCGATTTCATCAAACTCTTCGTAACGTACGATGCATCGCAGCGATGCGACGCGTCGTATATGTACGATGCGTTGCAGCTGCGACGCGTCCTGCGATCCATTTCACAAAACACGTCACAAGTAGGTGTATTTATAGCACAACTCGGTGAATGTTTTATGTATTTAGTCAGCGTACAGTAAATAGTCGTCTGATGTTGAACGGAGAGTCGTCAGATCTCAGCTCGAAATTTGTTAAAACGTAAAACAAAATGGCGGCCGTGCAATGCAATTTTGAAGGAAAACAAGCTCTCATTGGACTGTATAGCTACTTTGAAATTTCAACTCTAATATTCCAGTGTAATTCATAATTATTCAATGAAATTTTGTATTTACAACTTTACACACATTGCCTTGGTATTATAATCTCATTTATGTAATGTTTACGGCATAAAATTGGCTTAGAAAATGACCCTTTTTATTTTAGACACGTCGTAACGTCGTAAAGAATCAGTCTAGCAGGCTTGTACCCCTTCACAGGTGTGTAATCAATTGCAAAGAAAATGCTGAATAACTAAATATGAAAAGTTAGGAGCAGTTTTTGAAAAAAGCCAGTTTTCTCCAACGCTGGTCGGCCGACCAGCGTGGGAAAAATACAGTTTTTCTTGAAATATCAGCACACCAGGAGCCACCATTTTACAAGATGCTTTAGACTGTCAATCCCTAGCAATTCAGTAAGGTATTTCGTGATTATTTGATCATTTTGTTGTTTGATGTTTGCAAATGTTGTATCTTCCCTTTAAATTGCCACACAGACAACTGCATGTGTTTCAGACGAGGAGGTGCAAAGAGCTATGTCTGCAGGAACCAGTGGTAGTAGCGGGAGACCGGCTTCATCGGTTCACGGTGCCGACGTTGCTACTGATTTAGGAGAGGGTGAGATTAGGGGGATAGTGGACGAATATTCCTTGTAACAAATCAAAGGGCTTTTCAAAGAATCAACATACTGTAACTTGGGAACCTGAAAAACCTTGAGGAAGAAAACGATGAAAAGAAGTGTTCAGTTTTTGAAGTGGGGAGAACTGTAGTTTCAGAATGATGTTGCAGGAAAAACCACACAAACACGTTCCAGCACATTTGTTAGTGGTTCCCTTTTCCTTTGTTTATACTCAAACTTTCTTGCAACAGCTCTCATTGGTTTTGTACACGTTTTCTAACCGAGGAGTCCTCGTTTTGGTTCCTGTCCTCAATTCATCGATAATGTGGGGACCACACACCTTATGAATGATAGTTCATAAGGTGTGAGGACCAAAGATGTCGTGGGGACAGTTGAAAGACCTAGTTGAGAATTGAATCTAGGTTTAATACAGAGGTAAAAGATGAGAAAACAGTACCACTGTGTCAACCTCACCTTAGTTTTTGTATTTTGCTTGCAAATTTGGAAAAGGTGGTGAAGATATTTCAATTTTTCCCCCCAAAATTAACATTCCAAACAAAAAGTTTATATTGCTAGATCTAGCTTCGAACCACTGTGTCAAACTCACCTTAGTGTTGGTATTTTACTTGCAAATTTGGAAAACGGGGTGAAGAAATTTTCGTTCCCCTCCCCCCCCCCCCCCAAAAAAAAATTACTTTCAAACCAAATTGTTCTTACTGCTAGATCTAGAACCTAGAACCTTCAATGTAGATTCTTTCTGGGTATCAGAGATGATTTGGGACAACGTTAAATTTGGTTTTAGCTTTATGTTATTCAGATTATCTTTTCCTTAAACCCTCTTTCCCTGTTGAATTAAAAAACAAATGTATGGTTCATATCGCTTTGAAGTGTAACTTTTGCTAGCCTGAGTTGCATGTTTGACAAAACTCAGTCATTTGTTTTGTTTTGCATGTTTGGAGTGATCTCACATTGACTTGCATGTGTTTTTATCAGCTCATGCTATTTTAAAGGCTTAGAGATTTGTTAGTGTAGACAGTGGGGCATGGGATGTTAACATCAAGATTTGCAGAGACCGAAGAACGAAGCAAATGATTGAATATTTGTAATATTTAGTGATGCTATTTTAGGAAAGGAAAGTTGGGTTTGTCTGCACTTCATATGTAAATATCCACATAATTTCCCTTTTACACCAAAGGTGTTTTAACAAAATCTGAGATTATGGTGTTGATTTTATAGTGTCATTCAGAATTTGCTTTTACTATCAATCTGACAAGTGATTTTGCTCCTCCACGTTATGCCAGTTATATACACAGAACTGTGTGAGACAAATATACTGAGAAACTACACTAGAGTAGCAAATACTGACAAAGATTTACATTCAGCGTCTGACAGACGTCACCCAGTGAGTTCTGCATTTGTAGACGACACTTGGAAAGTATTATTTGTGTTTAAAGAGTTTCATTTTGTTCTTCAAAACACTTTTGTGAAATTGCTGTTGAATGCAAGATGCATGAAGTCATGTTCCACGCTGCGTGGCTATATTAACCTCCCCCTCCCTCTTTTATTCCCCGCCCACCCTCACCTCCTACCCGCCAGGTTCCACTGCTATGTACAAAGCCGCGGCCCGCATGGCCATCGCTAACAAGTACAACCCGCTCAGATCTAAAAGTGCCGAAGCCACCCCCTCCCTGACAGATACCCAGCCAGACACGGTGACAAACCTAGACCCAGAGGGTCTGGGGGACGCAGGGGAGCTTGAATCCCTGCGAGCTGACAGTCGGTTTGACGGGGTCCTATCGCGTGGCTCGGTGCAATCGGTGACGAGTCCTCCAGGCAGAGATTTGGAGTCACCGGCTGCGACATCAGGTCAAAGGTCACGGATGGAAGGGACGTATGCTGATGGTGAAGAAGACCAGGTAGAAAGGTCGAGTCTGTCTTTAATAGAAAACAAAGTCCTCAGCAATTTTTAATTGCAGAATATTGAGATAAAGTTTTCACAATTTTTGTTTCTCCGAAACCGTTTTAGAGCATTGTAGGTATTGGGTACTCCTTTCAAATTTGTAGTGTTACATTTGTGATTGTTCAAACGTTTTTCAAAACTTCTACACAAAAAATACCTTTAAGAACGTTTATCCCAGTTTCACCAAATAATGAAAAGGACTTCTTCAAAAATGGTTCACCTACTAACCCCTCCTAGTTTGCCATGGTCCATTACATTTGAGCAGATTCGCTGATTAATTATGCAAGACAACCGCATCTTGACCTCCAGATTTTGACCAATCAGCGGGCGCTTTCTATATCGGGTCTTCGGTCATTCACCCGTTGCGCATCATAGACATGAATACAAAAAAAACCTGTGTCGTATGCGCTTTGTAGCATGTTACGCGATATGCGCCCAGCTGTTGTTGTAATACAAAACACTGCATTTGGATTGACCAATCAAACCATCAGTCCTGATTTGGGAATGACATGACGTCACGATTTAGTAAGTCGACTCCGATTGGCTAGCGCGCGGCTTGCATATATCTGCATGTTAAGACATATCAGATGTTACACAGGAGACCTGGCTCCGTTGATAACGGGTGATACTCAGACTTACCCCTCCCTTCCCTTCCCCCAAATTCCTGGTATAAAATATCCTTTGAAGGAATAAAAGTACAAATAGATTTTTCTAAGCTTGTCCGTTTGTATGATCATGTTATACCTACTTTTTTTACCGCTCTGTACATACAGGATACAAGCACCAGACCGCCATCCAGACATCAAGTCTCACCAGAACAGGTAGCCACCACCCCATCCCCCAAAATATCCAGCACCCTGCCTCCAAGACCCAAGTCTCACATCGCCTTACCCCCACGGCCCACCAGACTGGTGGACAGAGACCATGCCACAAGGGAGGCAAGACCCGAGGACAGATACAGGGGGAAAGAGGTGTTCGTCCCTACAGCATCGACAGAGGAACAGGTGTTGGTGAAGGAAGAGATGGAGGGTAGGCTAGCCAGACCCAACACGGCTGAAGGTAAGGCTGTGTCCCAAATACGGGGCTACGGCTAGAACATGCATGTCGATTGGAAGTGGCTGCAGCCAGTTCCATAGGCGCAAGTGTAATCGCCAGCCGTAGCCGTAGTCATACAGAGGCAACCTAAGTCACGTGGGAGTATGGCTTAGGGTTTGTGACTCCAGGGCCCAATTTCATAGCACTGCTTAACAGTAAGCAGAAAAGTTGTACTTACTATAGCAGAAAATCATGCTGCTGCTTAAGCACTATTTCATGCTAACTGTTGCGCGCGCATGGAGATTTCTATTGTTGCGTCACTGATTTAAGCAAAGTTTTCTTCTGGGGTTAAGTGTGCTTTTGCTGTGCTTACTGCTTAACGGTCCCTATGAAATAGATGGAGGCTCGGTAAGCACAAAGTCGGCTGTTAAGCAGCGCTATGAAATTGGGCCCTGATCTGAGAATCAGAGGTTTTGATTCCATCTGCTGGCCATATGTGTCCTTGGGCCAGCCACTTCACCCCCACTTGCCTCTCTCCACCCAGGAGTATAAATGGGTACCCACTTCAGCTGGGGAGTAACCTGCGATGGACTAGCATCCCATCCAGAGGGAGTAGAAATATTCTAAGTCGGTTTCATGCCAAGGAAACTGGAGATAAACGCCAGCCTGATGTGCCATATAGAATAAAATTACAACTGCGTGTTCAATTAGGTGCATGTGCAAAATGTTCTAAACACTCGCGCATGTTGCTCGAAATTTCTTCAAAATACGGCACAGTGGTTGCGCATCAGGAATTTGTCTCCGAAAATGCTGATGCATGTGACAATCTGTAGGAAGTGGCATCATTTGAGAGTTATAACCACGATTCTGACGGAGACTGGAAAGGGAATTCCATTAGCCCTCTCTGAAACTATCTTAAAGATATGGTCCATCATTTGTAGTTTGTGCATTTTGTTTGTTTGAAGCAACAAAAGTGCTCAAAATCTAAAGAAGGATACTGAACAACTAACCTGATGAAGTTTCACCTCAGCTGCAGCTGTATATTTCGAGAAAAACAACATTCTAGAATCTCGATTTCAAATGAAAAGTTGCTGAATCATGTTTTGAATTGGGCCTGAATTCAGTGTCCGAGACACGTTCTCACTGAGCCGATTGCAGCTACGCGATGTCGCGCACTGATTCGACGAATTATAGCAACCGCGCGTGCATGTGCGTCGTGCCAATGCTTGCGCGTGCTTTGCAGAATAATAAAACGAACTACTAATTTAAATTTCCTACGTCGCGTCCTAAGACGCACCGTTGGAAAGGCCTTCTTTCGTTGATTACTTCAAAATGACAGCTTGTCAGAAAGAATAATTTCACAGGGAGTTTAGTCCCCTTACTATCTTTCAACTAAGTATGTTTTTCAACAATATTTACGCCAGTTACTTTTTGGATAGCTGCAAATGATGAACTCTGGCTTTAAATTGAAAACATGACTAACAATTGTCAGTTTTTTAAGCTGAGTAAATGTGCAAACTTGTTGTGCCTTCCAGTAGTGAAGACATTCCAGTTTTAGTTTTTTTTTTAGCTGCGGGATAGCAGCTCAACAAATCATCGTGTCTCTCCGTTAGTCGGTTAGTTAGTAACAAACGTTGACACTGTCGATTGCTTCTACATATTTTGACCGATTTCCACCAAACTTTGTCCAAAGTATCAGTAGCCCAGCCCCAACATGTCACATGACCAGACTGGGTCACAGGTCATCATGGGGTCCCTGGGGTTTAAAAAAACCTATTTTTTAAATTTTATTTTTACTCATAGCACTACTTCCAGGAATGACATGGCACAATCACTTGACTCATGCATGAACATGAATTTGTTGGCCCGCAACTTCCGAGATCCGATCGAGCTTGTTAATTCTGAGTACGGTGGTCACTGAGCTTGTAAAAAAACAAGAGTGAATGTAAGAGTTTTGTCTGAGTGGACTGTATTATTTTGTTTGCAGGGAGATCATTGCTGTTGCAGCGGCCTCATACTGCTGGTGCTACCTTGCATGTCAACTTTGAGGATGAGGTACGTAAAATTAAAAGTTGCAAAGAAAAATGCCCCAAAAGTTTACACACACAAAAAAATGGAAGTTTGAGGAATCCGAAGATATACATACAGTGGAACGACGCTATGGGCTCCGTGTGCCAACAAAAGAGGGCGCCCTTTTACCTAGCAACGACGTCCCATGGGCGGGACATTTAGCTGGTTGACGCGCACCGTTCCTTGTCTGTGACGCACGTACACCAGGGGATTTGTACTATGTACACGCAGTGGTACGGCCGCGTGTTGCGGCAAAATTGCAGTCAGGCAAAAATGATGGCGTCGGTCGGTCACCCCCAACTGTTCTTTCGTTGCCGGTGAGGGGGTACTTGTGAAAGAAGCGGATATTGAACTCCGCTTAACCAAAAATTTGGCCATACCGAACATCATCCTTGGATCCCGATTTGTGTACAAAACGTACCGAACGTGTCGTTGAAAAATGTCAACAGAAGCGACAAGTACGGTAGCTATTATTTCCCAAAGAAATCTAAGGGGAAAGCCACCCATTGCTGCAGGTAGTAAGCTCAGAAAGTGTGTAATTACTATAGAGCTATATTACATAGAGCTATATTAAATTACTAGAGTGCTAACTCATGTACAAAGTGATGCCTGCTGGGCGCATCCATGTTTTGTACACAAACCTATGGAGAACTCAAAATTGTGTACGTATTTTGTACGTCTATTTGCATATCTGCGTTTGTGCCCAAAAGCCGATGTGCCCAAAACCAAAACGCACGATCACCAAAATGAGTGTGTCATTTTGCTAATGTGCACGCGTCCTGCGATGCTTTTCGCCGTGACGTTTTTTGAACCGTCACGACGCGCTTAAGGTTGTTTGCATATCTTCTACTTGCGCGTTGCATATAAAGTACACTTTTAAAATTCAATCCATCTATTTTGATTGTGTCCTATAAACACGCACATGCGCCCAGAGCGGCTTCAAAGCTTCGCCTCGCGCAAGAATGAAAAGTTAGCGCTCTAGTAATTTAATATAGCTCTATTGTAATTACATAATTCAAAAGTTGGCACGTGTTCAAAGTCGTCTTTCAGTAACCGTACCAGAGTGTGCAGGGTGAAGTTCTGAAGGGCGCTATAAGAGTGAGTACCAGAGCATCGGTAGCTTCAAATCGCTACACCGAAAGATCACTATTACAAACATTTTCTGTGGATCCCGCGATGTTTGTTATAGCGGCATTCCACTGTATATATAGCATGGTATCTAGGCCATTGCTGTTTGAAATAGTTTCCAGAAATATTGCTTGCCGGAGTGTACTTAAAGGGAACATGTAATAGGATTTTTATCACTTAAATAATTTGAAAACAGCTTTCTTGCCATGTTACTATGACTTTTCCACCTCCTTTGTAGCAGTATAAGGGAGAAATTTCAACATTTTAGTTTTTATGAAAATGAAAATTTCCATATTCATGAGCCAAAGCGTGATTTCATTCAAGGCAGAACAGTAGTGTCTCCATGTCTTTGTGTACAAACATATATCAAACTTTTCTTCATTTTCTTGGAGTGAGTTCCACTTTTTACCTGTTTGTCATGTTAAACAGCTTGCTTGGACAATAGTAGTGGCAATTATTTCTTCAAAACTTTTTATTGTAGGTAATTTTGAAGGACTAATTTTTGTACTGTTCATATGCAGTTTTGACAAGGAATTCCTTGTGTGACAAAAGCAAAATAGCGCCCTCTGTATTTTACCTTTTTGCCATATCGATAGATGCAAATTGCGAACAGCTATAACTTGATTGCCTTTCCTAATACCTACAACCCTTCATTTCGACTTCAGCCCAGTTCTGTCTCACTTTGCCAGAACGCCTCATGATATATTCTCTTCTTTTTTTTCTTTTTTTTTAAAGCAGACAGCCCTTGATGGCCATGATACACCGATTGCCAGATACTTGAGCTGCCCAGGGTATGTGGCATACACCAATCTGGACGCAGAATCACTCTAACTTCACTGAGGCCCTCAGTAATGGCGGACGCACTGTTCAATTAGTCATTACTCAGAATTACAGTCATGGAGCAGTTATTTTGTACAACAGCTAGCACAATGTTTTTGAAAAAGGGGCGAGGGCTAAGTGAGTGTTAAAGTGATAATGTGCCTGGAAACAAATGTTAAGGAAGTTAATAACATGAATTTAACCCATTAGCAACTGTACTACATTGTATTACATTGTGTTTATTCACTGAAGAATCGATACAACAATAAGAGGTTTGGGCGGTTTCGTGAGACGGTTTCGGTTTCTTGGGTGGTTTCGGATTCCGCCTACCCCCCTAAGATCTCGGCCATCGAGCAACGAACAATTTTTAAACTGGATACATGCATTGAGCAACTCATCATGAACATAACGAAGAAATTTCATGACTATAGGTCAAAGGGTTTTGGAATTATGGCTAATTAATTATTCATATGTACGAACGGTAATTCTGCTCTGTGTACACGACGTATATGGGAAAATTCAGGAAATTTTTGGGCTGCGCGGCAACCCGTGGTCCGATTTTTATATTTTTGGTATCAAAAGATGCGCAAGGCTCGAGGCTAAAAAGTCATAACAGCTCTGGTCGCGAAAAAAAAAAAAAATTTCAAGGCTATCGCGGAACAGGGTTAAAGCAACATGAAGTCTGCAACACTGATTTCCTCTCACGAAAACAATGTTTGTTTCTCAAAGAATTGTCAAGTGAAACTGACATTCAGGTTGAAGTAATATAACTTTGACGTCCTTTGTTTTTTAGGAGTCCAGTAGATTTGAGGCATATTTACCGGAATGACGGCCTTCACTTTGAGGACAACTGGCAGGAGAAGATGATTGTTCGGTAAGTCGTAAAGGTCCCTCCCATATCCTTGAAGCAATGTTTACAATTTATTCACAACATCAAATCACAAGTCAGTCAGAAGTCAAATCACAGGTCAATCACAAGTTAGTTACAAGATTAATCAAAAGTCAATCAAGATTTAAAACACCATTCGGTCACAAGTCAATCTCAAGTCTATCAAAAGTCTGTCATGGTCTATATTACAAGCCAATCACGAGTCAGTCACAATTCAAATCTTAAGTCAATCACAAGTTAAATCACGTTCAAGAAACAGAGTACGAACAATAACAAAAAGAATGCTACTGCGTAGTTTATTTGAATGGCTTTTTACTCGACTTGAGACTAACTTTTTACTTGGCCCGAGACTGACTTGAAATTGACTGAAAATGGACTTGTTAGGACTTGTGAAGACTTGTGATGGCTTGTGATGACTTGTGACGACTTGTGAGGACTTGTGATGACTTGTGATGACTTGTGATGACTTGACAGGACTTCTGATCTACTTGTGAAGACTTGTAAGGACTTGTGATGGACTTGTGATGACTTGTTATGACTTGTGATGACTTGTGATGACTTGTGATGACTTGTGATGACTTTTAATGACTTGTGATGACTTGTGATGACTTGTGATGACTTGTGATGACTTGTGATGACTTTTGATGACCTGGGATGACATGGGATGACTTGTGATGACTTGTAATGACTTGTGATGGACTTGTGATGACTTGTGATGACTTGTGAAGACTTGTGAAGACTTGTCAGGACTTCTGATCTACTTGTGAAGACTTGTAAGGACTTGTGATGGACTTGTGATGACTTGTGAAGTCTTGTTATGACTTGGGATGACTTGTGATGACTTGTGATGACTTGTGATGACTTGTGATGACCTGGGATGACATAGGATGACTTGTGATGACTTGTAATGACTTCGGATGACTTGTTGATGACTTGTGATGACTTGTAATGACTTGGGATGACTTGTAATGACTTGTGATGACTTGTGATGGCTTGTGATGACTTGGAATGACCTGGGATGACATGGGATGACTTGTGATGACTTAGGATGACTTGGGATGACTTGTGATGACTTGTGATGATTTGTGATGACTTGTGATGGCTTGTGAAGACTTGTGATGACTTGTTATGACTTGTGATGACTTGTGATGACTTGTGATGACTTGTGATGACTTGTGATGACTTGGGATGACTTGGGATGACTTGGGATGACCTGGGATGACATGGGATGACTTGTAATGACTTTGGATGACCTGGGATGACTTGTGAAGACTTGTGAAGACATGTGAGGACTCGTGAAGACTCGTGAAGACTTGTGATGACTTGTGATGACTTGTGATGACTTGTAATGACTTGTGATGACATGTGAGGACTCGTGAAGACTTGTGAAGACTTGTGATGACTTGTGATGACTTGTGATGACTTGTGAAGACTTGTGATGACTTGTGATGACTTGTGATGACTTGTGAAGACTTGTGAAGACTTGTCAGGACTTCTGATCTACTTGTGAAGACTTGTAAGGACTTGTGATGGACTTGTGATGACTTGTGAAGTCTTGTTATGACTTGTGATGACTTGTGATGACTTGTGATGACTTGTAAAGACTTGACTCTATGTCTTGGTACTTTGTGATCACAGACACCACATTCTGAAGCAACAGAAGGAGCAGAGGGCCCAGAGTGCCGCTGACCGTCGTCGGCTCTTAGAGCTCAGAAAGCGACAGAGAAGGAAAGCTCTACTAGGTCATCATCATTGTGCCACTGACGGGACCTACGAGTCACCAACGCAAGAAAGTATGAATAATAATCGTGGTCTTGATAATTGTTCAATATTCCACTTTTTTCTGGTTTAATAAGCAAGACAAAAATTGCCTAGTCGAACTAGAGCCAAAAGTCTCAAGTTTAGGACATCATTTCAACTCGGTGATTCAGTCCGTCAGTCATTTAGTCAGTCAATAGATTTTACGAGAATACAGAACATCCAGGCACCATGCATAGGATCTACGTATCAAAAAAAACATGCCTTACTTTTGATCCTAAATAATTCTGTTGTTTATAAATGGAATTAAACCAAAATTTCAGATCATGTAAACAAGGCATGACAAATTTTATGGAGCGAGTTTGTCAGCTTTGTGCAAGATGGTGAGATATACGCCATACCACAAACAAATACTCACCTTTTTAGGATAAGTTATTTAGGATAAGAAGTAGGACATGTTTTTTTTTTGTAAACGCAGTACAGTGTGTGTAACGTCTGATGTTGTGCTTTTTATGTGTGTCTTTGACTGGGCCCATCCATTCAAGGGCAATAAATGGGTATTTCGAAAGAAAAGAAAGCATTACAATTTACAACATATTGAAAATATTGAGAATTAATGACTAAAATAACATTAAACTGGTCAACCTGAACTTCAGTTCGATTGATCACGCGGATAAACAAGTGGGTAAATTCAAACACGGGAGTCTGTGACTAGACTAGTCAGTGTTTGGTACCAAAACGTTCCCATAAAAAGTGAACGTAGACTGGCAAGACTTACACACGTGAGTTAATCTTGACTCAGTCAAAGGACCATGGTCGGCCCTTCAAATCCGGCAAATAAATGCAAGTGACAGCTCAGTACAACCTCAATATTAGGTTTTGCTCTTCGCCGACGTATAAACACTTTATACTCAGTGTGTTACCCCCCATTCCCCCCCCCCCCCCCCCGAGTGAAAGTGAGAAAAAATCACTTGAGTGGGACTCAAACCCACAACCTCCTGCTTTCTAGTGCAGACGTCTCACCACCCAACCACCGAGCATACCGGGATCAGCTGGCTGGTTCGAATCTGATGTAGCAATGAAACTATTCATAAGATGGAAGCTTGATCCCGCAAGCTCGGTGGTCGAGTGGTAAGACATCTGAACTAGCAAGTAGGAGGTCGTGGGTTCGATTCCCAAACCGAGTGATTTTTCTCACTTTCACTCGGGAGGTTAACACACTGAGTGTTTATACGTCGATGAAGGGCAAAACCTTATATAAAAATTGCATTAAAAATGCAGATTCCAGCTTATGATTGGTAAAACTTACAATTCAATTTAAAATTCTCATATTTCCAAAAACAGGGAAGCTTAAAGTTCGACTGCAGTTGAGATGAAGTATTTCTTCTTTAGAATGTTATTTTAGAACTTTGGTAGCATATATCCCAAAAATCTGTAAATGACGTAAGAAATGAAGGAAGAAATTTTTAAATAAAGCATTTCTTTCCAAAGGTTTTAATTCTTCAAAGTGTAAGCAAAAACGAAAACACAAATATCAAGATAAGGCCAAAAAAAAAAAATAAGTCGGTGTCTGGTCAGCGCGCGCGTCGATTTTAATCATGCGCGTCAATCTTTTTTTTTTTCAAAAATGTTCCGCGGTAGCTCCAACAGCACCCTCTATTGCTGCACCTCCTCATTGGGAATGGGAAATTGTACCACGGCAAATGATCGAGAGCACCAAAGCAAATTATGAAGGACACCAATGTACATGAGGACACCAAAAAAGCAAAATAGTACCCCACCTTGTCTGTACAATCCAAGCTTGAAGAAAAAAAAAAAAAAAAGCCGCGTCGCCGCGTCAATTCCGGAACTTTGGTCTGACCAGAGACAGAACATTTTTATTTTGATGGATCATGTCTTAACGTTTTAACAGTTTCATATCGGTGAAAGCTAAACCCGAAACTTTACAGCTTCACTGAACATTTCACCGTTAATTGTCCCTGTACAGCCTATGTCACACGTTCCGACACCTCCCTCCACAAGATGAAGCGTTGTCAGAGCGCCCCCATTGGCCGCATGGTGCCATCATCGTCGCCGCCAGTCCAACCGCAGCAGGCCTTTGGGCAGAGTAAAGAAGTGGATCTGAGCTCGGAGACACCTTATAGGTAAGACCATTTGTTGCAAGTCAATCACAAGCCAATTGCCAGTCACTTACAAATCAATCACAAGTCAGTCATAAGTTAATCTCAAGTCAGTCACAAGTCAATCACAAGTTAATCTCAAGTCAATCACAAGTCCATCACAAGTTAATCTCAAGTCAATCACAAGTCCGTCACAAGTTCATCTCAAGTCAATCTCAAGTCAGTCACAAGTCAATCACAAGTTAATCTCAAGTCACTCACAAGTCACTCACAAGTTAATCTCAAGTCAATCACAAGTCAATCACAAGTTAATCTCAAGTCAATCACAAGTCAATCACAAGTTAATCTCAAGTCAATCTCAAGTCAATCACAAGTTAATCTCAAGTCAATCACAAGTCAATCACAAGTTAATCTCAAGTCAATCTCAAGTCAATCACAAGTTAATCTCAAGTCAATCTCAAGTCAATCACAAGTTAATCTCAAGTCAATCAAAAGTCGATCACAAGTCAATCACAAGTTGATCACAAGTCAATCACAAGTCAATCACAAGTCGATCACAAGTCAATCACAAGTTGATCACAAGTCAATCACAAGTCGATCACAAGTCAATCACAAGTCAATCACAAGTTGATCACAAGTCGATCACAAGTCAATCACAAGTCAATCACAAGTTGATCACAAGTCAATCACAAGTCGATCACAAGTAAATCACAAGTCAATCACAAGTTGATCACAAGTCGATCACAAGTCAATCACAAGTCACTCTCAAATCATTCACAAGTCAGCCATAAGTCAATCATGAGTCAATCACAAGACAATCAGAAGTCAGTCAGAAGTCAATCACAATTCAGTCACAAGTCACTCATGAACCAGTCACAAGTCATTCAAAAGTTAGTGATTGTGCCAGATTAATGCACATGGATCAGGGAAATGGTCCTGGAACAAATGATACTGATTCAAAGAGCAGAGGCATTTGTGGATGGTTCAAATCAAAACATTTCACAGTCTTGCTTTGGTTCCCTGCCCACCTGACTCAGTTTTGTCTTGTTGTCTTTGTTTACATGTGCGCGCTTTCCTATGAGATCCAGGTGGAACACATAAACAGAGTGTGATGCCATTAGGTCTTGGGTCAATGAACTGTGATATCTTTGATAAAAGATACTGAGAAAAAATCTCCTTGACCATTTTTGTTCCAGTTGATGGATGTATAAATTTTGAAGGGAAAAAAACCCAACATTTTTACCGTAGGTTTATTCACTCAGCTCTCAAAAGCTCTGTCATCGACATTACATAACACAGTAGTTGTTCAAACGCATTAAATATTTTCTTTTTTTAAATGGTTGAAACGTATTCCAGGGTTATTTTTACCTGAAATAACATTTAGGGGTAGGTTTTTTTTTTTTTTTTTTACAGCAGACTCTTTTTAGAACAGTATAAAAATCAACCTCTAAAAACATGAAAGTAAAAAGCTGACAAAGAAAAAAGTCCTTAAATCTTGCAAAGACAAAAGCCACGAGCAATTCATAGATTTGACATCAAATTTTTATTTTGGGGGACTGGGGGGGGGGGGGCTTGTTGAATTTCCTTATCACATGTCCGTGAGAATCTGTCCAATATAATCAGCTCTAGAAAGGATGTTCCTGTAACCTGAGACAGCAAACACAGGAAGTTTTCCAAGCCGCTGACGGCTTCCTTTTGGCGATTTATGTATTTTGAATCTCTTCTTCCAAGGGGGGAAGTTGTGGTGAAGTTGCTGGTGTCGGAAGGAGTGTTAGTGTAGTCTTTTATCAAAGAATACTTTTTTTTCCCTTTGAGAAAAGTCCTGCTAAGGATCGAAATGTTACTAGGCCCCTCATTCTGTCAATTTGTATGGTCAATCAGGTCAATCCAGTTAGCATTTTGTAGCATTTTTTTTTTTTCATTTTCAAATTATTGGATTCTCACAATGTTTTGTTTTTTCAATTGTTCTTGTTCATTTTTCTTTTTTATTTGGGGAATTTAAAATAGTGAAGTAATAATAAATGCTGGTTTTGTCGATTTTTTTTTTACAAGTAAAGTTGTTTACTGGTTCTACTGAGAGATGAGTATAAGAGTATTATATCTTTTATTTAATTGGGTTTTTGTAGTTCTTTTCAAAATGCAGTTGGAGTGATTGAAATAGTCAAATCTAGCTTCATTTGCAAATGACAGGACCATTTTGATAAAAATGTATGGTTGTAATGTTCAAGTGAAAATGAGACCGTTTGTGGAATGATATTAATGGGTGCTCGCAAGCGTTCACATGACGCCCACGTGCGCGCAGTCGCTAGTATTCGTCGGTTCAGTGCTTGAAATCGGGTAGCTGCAATTGGCTGAATGAGAATGTGTCCCGGATTCTAATTTCCGGCGCACTTCAAAACATGACTTGGCAACTTTTGCATTGAAACCATGAACCTAAAATATTGTTTTCTTGGATGTATGACATTCACTGAGCTAAAAGTTCATCAGGTTAGTTGTTAAGCACCCTTCTTTAGATTTTGAGTACTTTTGTTGCTTGAAAAAAAATAAAACGCACAAATAAAAAATGATCTACCCTACCTTTAAACTTAGTAGTAAATTAAATTCTACAGACCAACAGGTGTTTTTGTCCCATCGCCCCCAGGTTAATTTTAAATATCAGAATCTATTGGAGAAAGATTGAACATTTGCTTTTGCTGTGATTGTCAGAAATGGACTGATTTGGGGCTTAGTATTTAGCAAATGTTGTTCCACTGACCTGTTTAAAGTGTTGGGCATTCTTACAGACTGTTATGCTAGTTTTTAAATTACTTTATTTTCTTTTACTTCATGATTTTTTGATTGATTGATTCATATTGTTTTTCTTATTGCCCTTGGTTTTCGAGGTTGCTTTTTATACACCACGTTCTGTTTATTTCACCATCAGAGGGATTGAATGTGGCATTTTGATCAGGGTGGGGGGGGGGGGGGTCGTTGTTTTCCTGTTCTGTCCTGGGGTGTTCCACATGTGGTTCAGGCTCTTGAATTTCTTTAGTGGTTTGTTTTCCATTTTTAGAGTTTTTAAATAATCACATTTTTAATTTTAATTTAATTGATATTCCTATTTTATTTATATAAATTGTTTGATTTGGTCTAACTAGAGGGGTGGGGGTGGGGAGGGGGTTGTTGTTTCTGTTCTGTCCAGGGGTGTCTACATGTGGTTTCAGGCTTTTTAATGACTTTTTGACCATGTTTAGTTTACATTTACATTTCAGTGTTTTTTGTGCATTTTTAATTTTAATTGAAATTCCTTTTTTACTTGTATAATTTGTTTGATTTGGTCAAGCTTGTTGGGAGGGGGTTGTTTTCTGCTCTGTCCGGGGGTGTCGACTTGTGGTTCAGACTTTTTTAATTACTATAGTGTTATGTTATCAATTTTGAGATTTAAAATCACATTTTTAAATTTAATATATATTCCTTTTATTTATATAAATTGTTTGATTGTAAAGCGCCTTGGAGCATTTTTTTAATGGATTCGGCGCTATAGAAATTTACATTATTATTATTATTATTATTGATGGATGCTGGAAAAAAACAACAGAAGAAAATGCTGTTCTTGTAGTCTGGTTCCCTGACCCGACACTTTTGATAATTCAGGGAATTGTCATGTCAGGGAACCAGACTGGCTGGCTTGCACCCTTCCAGAGATATGTAACTGGTAGCAAACAAAAACTAAATTCGGTCAATTGGGGGCAGTGTTTTAAAGGCCTTCATTTTCCAAGGATGGTTTGGCTGACCATCGTTGGAAAGCGATACAATTAAAATTTCACTTTTCTCTAAAAATGACAGCATACCAGGCGCAACAATTTTACAGGATGCTTGAGATTTTTATTTACTTACAGTCAAGTAAGGTATTTCATAATAAGGGACAGTTTTGTTTTTCAATGTTTGCAAATGTCGTACTGTACCTTTAATACAGGTTTCGCATCAACCGGTCCGCTCCGCAGAGTGCCAAGCCCAGGATCCCCCCAGAAGAGATCTTTGAAGAAGTAGCGCCTGACCCGTCCCACCCTGGATCACTGCTGATCAAGAGACCTCAGAGCACCAAGTCAATCCCTAGCAAAACAAGGTAAAATTACCAGTTTATTTCACCTCCCTTTCTTTCTTCGTTTTTTTGGCTTTTGCGGAAAAGCCTTTGTTTTCCTTCTGATTTTTTATTCTCTTCTTTTTGTTCTATCCAAAATCCTAAAGACTTTGTACACGTTTATTTTGTGACGGCCACTTTTGACATAAAACATAGGCATATTCCAATTAAACTTTACACAAACAAAGACCCCCCCCCCCTACCAAACTACCAAATCATTTTGAAATACCTTACTGGACTGTTAGTGAATGACAGTGTAAAGCATCCTGTAAAATCATGGCACCTGGTATACAGTTGACTCTCATTAGTACAAACTCTGTTAATACAAAATTCTGGTTATAACAACATAAAACTTTGGTCCCGACTGTGCATTTATGTGCACAAGGAATGGGACTGATGTTCCTCTTAATACAAAATTCTGATATAACAAACAATTTGGCTAGGTCCGAACAAGTATGTATTAACGAGACTCATCTGTACTGTCATTTTCATAAAAAGTGGTATTTTTGTATCAATTTCCAACGCTGATCGGCCGATCAGCGTTGGAAAAAACTGGCTTTTTTTCAAATACTGGCCCCAGTTGACCATCGCACTTGTTTGCAATCGATTACACACCTATGAACGGGTACAAGCCAGCTAGACTGGTTTCCTGACCTTACAATTCCCCAATATATGTAAACTGCACTGTTTCTTCTTAAATGGAGTCAGGGAACCAGACTACAGTAAAATGATTGTTTTTCTTGGTTTTTATAGCATTTTCGAACCCAAAACATCAAAAAAGTCAGTGTAACTATATTTGCTATATATTTCCAACCCCCCAATTCCATCCATTTCTGAAAATTACAGCAAAAGCAAATGATGTATATTCCCTTTAAAGCATCCTTGTTTTTACCTTCACCTTTCCAGACGATATGTCCTGGTCACCAAAGTCCAGGACGACCCTGACATCCCAGTCCCAACAGTCTTAGAGAGGCAGCTCCTGAAGGAGAGGTTTCCTCAGACCAGACACAGAATCAAACACCTACAGGAGATTCACAGAAGGAACTCCATCCCTAACATGGAACTCATTAACATCTCCAGTGTGGGCGATGGTCCTTTCTCTTGAGTCCTCTGTCTAGAAAGGTTTCCTGAGATCAAGACTCGGAATCAAATGCCTACAGGAGCTTCACAGAAGGAACCCCATCTCTAACATGGAGCTCATGAACATCTCCAGCATTGGGGGATGGAGCTTTCTCTTGAGTCCTCTGTCTTGAGATGTTTCTGCGAATCAGACGCAGAGTCAGAGACATATTGGAGCTTTACAGAAGGGTCTCCATCCCTAACGTGGAGTTCATTAACATCTCCAGCGTGGGCGATGGTCCTTTCTCTTGAGTCCTCTGTCTAGAGAGGCTTCCTGAGATCAAGACATAAAATCAAACACCTACAGGAGCCTCACAGAAGGAACCCCATTCCTGACATGGAACTCATTAACATACTGCTGGAGATGGTCCTTTCTCTTGAGTCCTCTGTCTAGAGAGGTTTCCTGAGATCAAGACCTAGAATTAAACACGTACAGGAGCTTCACAGACGAGCATCCATCCCTAACATGAAGCTCATTAAGATCTCCAGCGTGGGCGATGGTCCTTTCTCTTGAGTCCTCTATCTAGAGAGGTTTCCTGAGATCAAGACGTAGAATCAAACACCTACATGAGCTTCACAGAAGGAACTCCATCCCTAACATGGAGCTCTGTTACATCTCCAGCGTGGGCGATGGACCTTTCTCTTGAGTCCTCTGTCTAAAGAAGTTTCCTCAGATCAGATGCAGAATCAAAGACAAATTGAAGCCTAACAGAAGGGCCTCCATCCTAACATGGAGCCCATTAAGATCTCCAGTGTGGGTGATGGTCCTTTCTCTTGAGTGGAGCTCTCTAACATCTCCAGCGGAGCCATGGACCTTTCTCCTGAGTTGAGAATCTTGGTCTAGGAAATTCCTTGATGAAATTTTTTGCAGTACGGAAGACTAAGAGCCTTATGGAAGGAGCTTAGGCATTAACTCCATCATCGCGAGAGATTCAAGAATCTTGTGAGCACTAGAAGGGTGGGCGATTCACTTTTTGCTAATGTTTTTGGAAGGACCTTGGAGCCTGAGAAGGTGAGTCTAGGAGGTGTTTGGTGCTTCCAAGTTGAGCAGTTTGCTCATATATTTCTGAGACAAAACCACCGTGAAGAGCCTCAAAGATGGTTATCCATACCCAATGTGGAGCTGATGAAAATGTCTAAAAGACCATACAGGTCTCTAAACTCAACAAAAAGTCCCAGAGAATCAAGTTAAAAAGGGTAGACATTCATGTGAAGGTGTGTGGGAAAGGTAAGCCAAAATTTGCACATTGATATGACAGTGTTGAAGTCGAGTCCATCACAAGTCTTCAAAAGTCCATCACAAGTCCTCCAGTCTCAATTTAAGTCACAAGCTATTCCAGTGGACTGTAACGAATGCATTCCTTTACTATTGTTCACGCCCTTTCACTTGTGACTGGACTTGTGGAAGGACTTGTGATTTACTAATGGTGGACTCGACATAAACTCGAGTGATGTACATGTAGAACTTGAGTGAGTGTGCACAAGGAACAGATCTCAAGAATAGAGAGAGAATTTCATAAGAAGGAAGGTCACTTGAAAAAGAAAGAAGAATTAATAAGGGAAGTGATGAATCCATTTGGAGACGGATTAGGGAGCAAAAAGGCCGATGGGGCCATTTGATATGAATTTGATGCTGTTTTATGTGATACATTGAGCCTTTAATGTTCGGCATGGTGGTGGGTGTTAAAATGTGAAGTGAGAGATGCAATTCGGGCGTTTCGCAATGTAGTGCGCCACCAAGAGTTTGCCACGAAGAGTTCATTCTTCCCGGTGCATTGTGGGAAATGGTCGACAAATTCGCATCCTGGGACATATGAAATTGTTACTTTTTCCAGTCGGTAGTTTCGTAAGCATGATTTGAGTATCTGTTTGCCCTTTTACTCTTTATCAATATGGAGTTTTTTTGTGCCCAATCTATAAGAAATTAACTCAAGTTGACTAGTGACACTCGTTCAAATCGACCATGTTTTGTCAACCATAAACTTTAATAATTGACTCTCCATGGCAAACTCTCGGTGGCGCACTGCATTGTGAAACGCCCGAATTTTGATTGAAGAATGAATGACATGCTGAAGATGTGAGATAAGTGTACACGGTAAATGAATGCATTACAACTATTGTGAAGGATGAACAAGTATTGAAAGTATATGTCATCAGAATGTATAGCTGATAGAAAAATCTTGAGAGCTTGGAAGAGTTGAAGTGGAGAGCATTAAGATGTGATTTTGAAGATTTCCAAACAAATTCTTCATTGCCCTTCAAAACGTGCCATTGATATTTGTAACGTACTTGACCAAAATTAAGATACTTTAATAATGGCTTTAATTTTAATTTTTTTCTCCTTTTCTTTTGTTGTGAACAACATTTGTTTGAGTTTACAAAACTTGATTGGTGCAAATGCTGATCTCACGTTAAAACCTTTCTTTGAAGATCAAATGAATAATGAAATATAAATCGGTAGGCTACAGAAACTACTGTAAGAATTTTAAAAAAGACGTTTTAAGAGCCAGCAGCTGATAGGGGTTTGCAAAAGACGTTTTCCATTCCTCAACTATTTCTTTGTGACCGCCAAACAATATGCTTTTGAAGATTAGAGTTTTGAAGTTTTCTCTTTGCGTGTGTGATGTCTTTTAAATTTTATGATTTAAAATATAGTTTTGGGGATGAATTTGCAATGGCTTGTAAAAAAAAAGTAGCCAGCATTTAGAGAGTACATTAAGGGGCCCATGCAATTTACATGTAATTTTTTTTTACTACATCCTTAAAATACACCTGTTTGTCCTATTTAACCTCATTTTCAATTTTAATTTGCCTTTTTCTAGGGTAGTTTTTTTTCTATGCTTATGGAGCTTTACATATTCACAAGCAAGGGCAGATCCAGAACACAATTTTTTGGGGGGGGGGGGCAAAAAAAATTTGGTACCCCAAAAAAGTGGGTCAAAAAAATTACGGCGTGGGGTTCAGGGCCCGCTTAAGGGCCCCGAAAAATTTTTGGATTCTAGATGCTCTGTGGTGCGATCTGAGGCAATTTCTGACCACTTTACCAATGTTTTTTGAGGAAAAGATGGTGGTGTGCTCATTGCCTGCCTTTATTGCGATGTCACATAAAAAAAAAAAATGGTTTCGTTTTGAGGGGGGGGGGGGGGCCATGGCCCCCATTGGCCCCCCCCCCCCCCCCCCGGATCCGCCCTTGTTCACAAGCAAATGTGTGATGTCATTTCAGGCAGAAACCTCAACGGTAAGCTATTTCAGTACCAAAAGTTGCCAGATTTTTCATATTTTGCCGTCATAATCATAGTTTTGTTTTCTAACGGTGATTCGTTACGTCAGTATTCATGGCAGTAGGCCAATGAGCAAAATTTTCTCACAACTGTTTTCAATGAGCAGATTTGTAGCCTTTATTGTGAGTTTACAATGTGAACAGAATACTCCTCAGACTAAACTGAACAGAGTCTTCCTGAAATGACATCACAGCAGGAAAGCACGGAAAATATTCAATGATTAAAGAAGTGCACTTTTGAACAAAATCAACCAAAAGGGATGTCAAGTACTTTTCACACATATAAGAGAAGTAATAAATTGCACAACATCATGCTCCTTAGAAAAATTCATGTCATGGCCCCTTTAAAAACGAAGAAAGGACCGGGTTTAGTCAGAGCGTGTAAGTATATAGAAATCCGAGGCGGTTGGAATTTGAGATTTACATCCCTTATGTCAAGTCGGCTAAACGTCCTTGTTTGGGGACAAACTTCAAACTAGCATGCAAGCCGCGATTTCGTTTATTAGCCAAACTTTGACATTTAGACCAGTTACCTTTTAAATCTCATCACCACCAACCTCGTCCCCAGTGCTTACTTTATCAGTGCTTACCTCGTTTCCAATAGTAAGCCCTGGATAGGTAACTTTCTTCCTGTATGGCTGATTCGATGTCGCAATTTGCTAATAATGGATTTTAATCGTGTAGTTGGTGTTGTTATTTCCAACGTGCGTTACGTGTTTTCCCGATTATTATAATTATAACGTCCACGCCTTCTCAATAATACTCCTTTTCTTTCCAGTTTGCTCATAGAAATATGAAATGTGATACTGCATATTGGCGGACCAGATTGAAACATTTAAAGTTCCAAAACTATATTGCGTTTATAACTCACGTGACGAATTATGCATTTTTTTTACCCCAGACACCGCATACAAAAACAAACACTAATGTAACGCTCATACAGGCAGTGGCACCAGACTATTCCTCATTTGCATACGTGTTTAAAAATCTTGCACATGCAAATGATCCAATACCAGGGTGAGAGAGAGCAGGTAGTGGTGGGCGCGTACTGCTCGACACCCTGGGGACGAGGTTGCATCACCACAAAATAAGGCCCCGGATTTACAAGACCATTTGAAATTTTATACAATCAGTGTCCCATTTTAAGATTGGATTAGTAGGCTTCCGAGTCACAGTGTTTAGGTACACTTTATTAATCCTGGCCAACATAATTTGGGGTTATCTTGTTCATGTTTTTATCCTTTTTACATGTTCCACTAGTTTCGTTCTGTAAAGGATCATTGTCATATTCTCTGTATTGTTTTTTTTTTTTGGATGAAATCCAGGCCGAATAAATAACAAATAATAATAATAACTTCACAAGTTCGGAGCAGTCCTCTATGGCATGTTAAATTAAGTGTATACTTTGTATACTTTTTCATACAAATTATTTAAAGCTTCGTCACGGTGAAAGTTTTAGAATGTCAAGAGTTTATATTTATTTTGATACAGTTTGGTAACTGCATTCTCCAACTTTGCCGCGTATTTGTATATATATTTGGTAAAGAGATAAATGCTTTATATGGGCTTGGTTTTGGATTTGGATTTTGTCTTTTGTTTATTTTTTTGTGTGTTTTTGTTTCTTTGTTTTCTTATATAACAATACAAGACAAGTGGTAAAACTGGTCCCATAATGTACACAATTATATTCAATTGATTCAAAATGGCTGTTCACATGAAATCTTTTAATGCATCTCGTCTACACAATGGGCTGCAGCTTTATTAGCCCATCCGGCATTACTGAGTAATCCTATGCGATAGCACTGCCCGGCTGTCTTCACCAGTCTGAGTCACGAGTGGCAGTCTATCGGTCAATTTGTTAGCCAGTCCGAGTCGGTCTGTCAGTCAGTCAGTCTGTGAGAGGCTGACCTGCATTACCGTGTACCAGTCCGAGCTCAGTCTAATGTCAATGTCATTGCTTGGAAAACAGTGACGTGACGTGAAGACCTTCGGTGTAATGTGGAACACCTGTTGTGAGAGTTGTATCGGGGACAGTTCAAATTTCGGTCTTATTACTCTAATATTAACAAGGACAATTTTAGGTCCCAAGTCTTTTGTTTTCTTTCTTTGTTTTCCATTACTGATAAAGGTACAGGATACCTGTTATAACAAGTTAACTTTTCCAGCCGTAGGTTCCTTCTATTTTTTATTTAGATGCTAGAAATAGGCCTGGTCTTGCGCAAGGTTACGATTGAACCACTTACGGGCACCGCTGAGCCGCCGGGTACAGGACTTTTACGTGTGGTTGATTTTGCTTCCAAATTAATATTTTACGAAGATCTGTGGCGCGGCTATTGTAATGTGGATACGTACATGTACATGTGTTCATGTTATGGTCACACACGACTGTCACGGCACTGAGGAAGTTGATCACCTGGAGGCCTGAATGTCAATTCCAAAGGTGTGAAAGCAGGTTATCGTGTTTAACTTGGGGATTTTGTTTAGACCTCAAGCTGGGAGGGAAAGAAGAATCTCACACCTCGAATCGCCACCGTGCTTGTTCCCGTAATGGGTCCTTTAAGAACAGAAATAATGGATTCATTATTTGTATACGTTTTTAGAACATTTGCCAGTATCGACATGCACAAGTTATTGTCGCGTCGTCCCGTGCACCAGCAGGAGGTCAACATACTTTATCATGTGTTTTATTGCTCCACGATCGAATGTTGTACGAATATCGTTCACTCAGCGGACGTGCGGTGGTTTTGTTTTCTTAATTTTACCGTTGAGGTGCCTGCTGTGTTCATCATCCGGGCGCGGATCGCGGATCGCGGATCGCGGCAGGTTGTACCAGGCCGTCTCAGGGTGTTCAAGGCAGCTGTATCGACCTCCAGCGACCCCGGTGGTGCTTGGTACGGGCATGGAAGTGTGTTCCTTCCTCCATGGTACGGGCTAGAGCCAGGAGCGACCCTGGAGCTAGGTACGAGTCAGAACCAGGAACGATCATGACCCGCAGGCCGAGGCCGATTTGTCCTTGCCATTGAAGAAAACATGTACCTTAACACATAAATTAGCAGATTGATATAAACAAGCAGGACTTTTGGGCGCTTTATCGCCCAAACCGGCGCGGAGACCACGAGGAAGTAGCCTCGCTGCAACCTTATCTGTCAAAACATTTTGCGACGAAGCTCAGAAGTGAAGCTGGTCTAAGTAGCCTGTTGCACGCTACTAGACTTCGCGTGTCAACGCTGCAGGTGACTGCTGTACTCCCCGTAGGTCTCTTTGTTTTGTGGTAGTATATAAATTGCTGACATTACCACCAGACTAGTTGCGAGAACAACGGTGAAGTTTTGGCGTATTTTTTCCCGACCTTTTTGAATCTCTGTGAATCTCCATCACATCGCTCCAAGTACCGATTGACCAAAGTTTTCTTGACTTTTCGCCTCGAAAACGATACATCTCGAAACGAATCGAAACAGTGGGGTCTTTCCGAGACCGGACTAGTTTCGACATCAAAAATTTCTGTCAAAGAAAAACACTGGAAATCGAATCGCTTGGATAGAAGGAGCGACCGTGAGAATGAGAATGGAATCCCGTCTGTTGAACGCCGTGCTCCTGTTGTTGGTGGTCGTTTCATCACCGATTGTACGCGCCGCTCCCCCGGCATTCGTAACCGCTCCAGCCATACCAGACGACGATGAGGAGGCCATTCTAAATGTAAGTTTTAAAAACGAATGCATTCCACTGGTGTTCGCAGATCACAGATCACTGAAACTTGGAGATTGATGTAGCTATATTAATTTTACCATTGGTAACTTATGTAGGAGTCGGGGGCGGATCTAGCTGTCAGGAAACGGGGGGGGGGGGGTTGCAGGTCAACTCGGTCCCAAACCAACTCAGTCCGAGTCACTCGCTCCCTGAGGAAAAACTAAATGTACGCAAACAAAATAATGTTGGATAATGTCTCTTGTATTGAAAGAAAATGCAATTTTCCGTTTAGGCTTGCTGACAGAGTAGGTTTATAATAAAAGGAAAAGTAGTCCTACAGATGTACTCAAGTATAGACTGTAAGAAGTGTTCCCAAAACAGAAAATGTTCATGTTAATGTAAGGTGGTGTTTTTTAAAAGATGTTTCATGACCCTACTGCAGGATAAAGCAGAAGACGTACGACGGTTAATTAAATTAATTCAGATGTTGAGTTGTTAATCAGCAAAACAAATTGTGAGTCTACGGAGGTTCCTTCTGAATTTCAGTGATTGAACAAATGAGAAAAAGAGCGTGATAACAGATTAGAGGCGAGTATAGCAATACATCTTGTACACTCATCGTTTAAAGGGAAAATACAACATTTGCAAACATCAAAAAATAAAACTACCAAATCATTTTGAAATACCTTGCTGGACTGTTAGTGAATGACAGTGTAAAGCATCCTGTAAAATCATGGCACCTGGTATATTGTCATTTTCAAGAAAAGTGGTATTTTTGTATCAATTTCCAACGCTGATCGGCCGACCAGCGTTGGAAAAAACTGGCTTTTTTTCAAATACTGGCCCCAGTTGACCATCGCACTTGTTTGCAATCGATTACACACCTATGAACGGGCACAAGCCAGCTAGACTGGTTCCCTGACCTTACAATTCCCCAATGTATGTAAACTGCTCTGTTTCTTCTTAAATGGAGTCAGGGAACCAGATTACAGGAAAATGATTGTTTTTCTTGGTTTTTATAGCATTTTCGAACCAAAAACCTCAAAAAAGTCAGTGTAACTATATTTGCTATATATTTCCAACCCCCCAATTCCATCCATTTCTGAAAATTACAGCAAAAGCAAATGATGTATATTCCCTTTAAGTTTGAAAAAAAAAAGAATCGAAGACACACGGGGGATAGTTTTGGTAAATATGTAAAAACAGGTTCGAATTTCAAAGTAATTCAACAGGGGTAATTATAGCTATGTAGCCTGAACGAGCATTAAACTTCTAAAACTAGTTGTCCTTGTTCCATGATAGAAGCTTCGGAAACAATGTTGCAACCTGACGCTACTTCAGCGGTTGTGTACAAAGTCTTTGGAGAGTCAAGCAATTTTTGTGTACAAAGTCTTTGGAGAGTCAAGCAAATTTTTTAAAGCTATAGTCCATCATTTGTAATTTGTGCATTTTGTTCGTTTGAAGCAACAAAAGAGTTCAAAATCTAATGAAGGATACTGAGCAACTAACCTGATGAAGTTTCAGCTAAGCTTCAGCTGTACATTCCGAGAGAAACAGCATTCTAAGATCTCAATTTCAAATCAAAAGTTACTAAATCATGTTTTGAATTGTTTTGAATTGCAGCTATACGCGACGTAGCGCACTGATCCGACGAATTATAGCAACGCGCGCGCGTGTGCGTCGTTCCAATACTTGTGCGCGCTGCGCTGAATAACAAAACGAACTACTAATTTAAATTTTCCTACGGTGCTTCTTAAGAATCACCGTTGGAAATGCCTTCTTTCGTTGATTACTTCAAAATGACAGCTTCCCAGAAAGAATAATTTCAAGTCACAGGGAGTTTAGTTCCCTTACTATCTTTCAACCAAGTTTTTTTTCAACAATAATTACGCCAGTTACTTTTCGGATGGCTGCAAATGATGGACTATAGCTTTAAGTATTTCCTAACAAAATTGGAAATGTTTCTCAGTCCCGGATACATGTCTTATCATCATTTTTGAAATGACTGACCTTCATTGAGATGATTTATGAAGAAACAAAGCAGCCGCGGTCAGGTTGCAACATTCTGATCCGAAGCAAGTCTTCAGTACGTTTCCTGATGGGTTTTAGATTTAATTGTGGGCGAAAGTTTCTGTTGCAAGTAAACGTGATAGATAGATTATACAAATGGACTGGAGACAAAAAGTGCATGTGTAGTTCATTGACTGCCCCTGAACACATTAATTTTCCTAATGCGCGGTTTCTTCCCGCTCACCAGCCACCGCTGTTAGTGTTATGTGCAGGCTGCAACACTCTTAAGTTGTTATTGTTGCAAGGTCGATGCATGTGCAAGATAAATAACCTTTCTTATAGTGGAAAACCGCACCGATAAATCACAAGAACAGCCTTTTCTCCCCCAACTCATCACTCGTCGGGTAGTTATAGACAAGATGTTTATACCAAGAGGTGAATTTCGGTGCCGTCAAACGTTGACGAAAACTTGGGCGGGTGGGAGTATCATGATTGAACTCTGGCATAAATAACGTGGAAGCAATAGGCCTAATCGCACACAATGTGACTTGTGGTTAACCTTTTTTAAAGCCTTGTTTATTGTTTCCCCGAAGTAATATCAACACAGGGTGGTCCCCCCCCCCTTAAAAAAAAACAACTGAACAGCATACTTCCACACCTTGCACCAATTATTGATGGAGAATCCTTTGAGAAGAATTATGATCCCCAGATATCCTGATTCGTTCCAGTAGTTTTTTTTTGCTGCAGTTCCTATTTTGTGAAACTTCTTTCACGTGGGTATTATTGCATAACAATCCCTCTATTAAATACCCAATGTAAGTCAAATTCCCATTCGCGGTTTAGTAATTCATTGGGACAAAAATGACCCCACTTCTTGCATCACAAAGTGGGCTCTAGAACAAAAGCTACTGGACCGCGGAATCGGGCGATCTTGGTTTCATTTTCCTTCTAAAAAGAATTCTCCGTGCATTTGTAGGCCTATGTGGTAACTGCCATTCCTATTTTTTTTTGGGGGGGGGGGGGTTAGCCTGTATAGGCTGCGTACAAGCTAGCCTTGACCAATGCTGTCTAGCCAAGCTTTTTACCTTAACAAACGGTCCCGGGCTGCCGTTTGTGTCACAGCACACGTACGCCGCCAGTACATCATACGTATACGTGTACATGTACAGTACATTACAAGCGCACTTTGCCGGCACGTATACACCTACCTACGTACTTACGTACGTACGCCCCATGCGGTTACCACAACGCGTAGCGGCCGCAGTTGAGGCGAATGGATACTGTATTTACTGTACGTCCGTGTGTATATACAGTGCGGATTAGTGTCCTGGCCGGCGCGGGGCGTATCGCACAGCTAGGCAAAGCAGAGCTAGCTAGGGGCTGCGGGCGGCGTACGGCTGCCGGACTGTTCGGTTCAGAAACTTCAGATAAAAAGCTTGGCTAGACAGCATTGGTAAAGGCTACGTGCAAGCCAGCTCTTGCATTTTTCTGATTTATGAGAACAAACCATTGACTTGCAATGTTGCTTTTGAATTTGAATACAATTCGTTCGTGCGGTTGGTTTTACACGAAATGTAATTTATGTCGCCCGCACATGCAATGCGGTCAAAAATACATGCGGCTGGAAAAATACTGTGGCGCTACTGGCACGTGAGATATGCTTGGTCATTTGGTTTGAGCCTGGAACACTTTTTTTTTTTTGGCAGAAGGAAAAAAGTTTACGATGGACACATGCATATATACAAGCAAACGACTCTGTCATTTACAGCTGAAGGGGTTTTGCTGAACTTAATATAATCTTATATGAATGTCCCATGCTGAAGAACTAAGGAAGGGAAAAAAATATCATTTTCTGTACTTCGCGTGAAAATTGATCCGAATTCAAATTTGAGACTTATCCATCTGTCAAAATGCGATGTCCCGAGTTCTGGTAGCTTCGGGGGAAAACTTGGTCCGTGGAGTATCCCTTTGCACAGCAAGGGTCCATGATATGTGAGCAATTGCGACGATTCATCATGCAAAACAAGACTGCGTCTTGACCTCGAGATTCTGACCAATCAGCGGGCGCCTATATAGGGTCTCCGGTACCCGATGTTGTAATACAAAAAGACCGCATCCAAATTGACCAATCGACAGCTTAGTCCACATTTCTGATCGAAATGGCATCACAAATTTTAAAGTCGACTCCGACTGGCTGGCGTGCGGGGCCGCATGTGCTTGTAAGGATATGACATCAGACGTTCGACCGTGGCTCTTCAAACTTGCATATCTGACACTAAAACTAGGAAAAACTAGCCGTTCAGCGTGATTTTTGTTTTGTCATTTTTTTTGTCTTCGGTGTTTCGTAGCTTGCAAGTTTTAATCACATCTCAGTAAAGTCCTCGGGTTTTTTTTTTATCAGACTTATTTTGGGGCGTAGGCATGTCAATAGCTGGCTAGATTTATTTTAATGCCCCTATACACTGAAAAATTGCCTGGGTTAATTTTACCAAAGAAAGGGTAAAAACTGGAACTACCCAAACTTGGGTTGTTCTATAACCAATTGTTTGGGTTATAATTTATGTTAAATTCAACCAAAAGTTGTAGTCATACAAGACCAAATTAAATTTGGTCTTGAATGACCCACAAGTTTTGGTTGAAGTTAGCAGAAATTTTAACCCAAACAATTGGTTATAGAACAACCCAAGTTTGGGTAGTTCCAGTTTTTACCCTTTCTTTGGTAAAATTAACCCGGGCAAATTTTCAGTGTAGCCTACTACCCGTTATAACAGTTTCATGACTAACGATTCAGGTATATTTTTCCTATAGCATCGAAGTAAAAGAGGTTACTATACTTCGTAGCACTGACAAAATGTATGGAATAAAATCAAGATATTAAAGTGCTCACCGATGATAAGAGGAAGCCCAATTTTCGGACGGTCTGTCCTTCCTCTTAATCAAGATCTGGTTTCCTCATGTCATCGCTGAGCACTGTTATATGTTTATTTTATTCCATATTTATAGGTTTTCTCGCACATTTTTAAAAACTTGTTCATTCAAATTCATAAACGGTCTCGAGACGACTGGAACACGCAAATGTGAATTTAGTCGTTGCTCATTCCAAATGATCAATGGTCAGTCAATTTCAACATTTGTTCATTCGATGTCATCAGATTTCAATGGAATTCATCTCACCTGATGACCATCTACATAATGTAGGGATTGGATTCGTCTTTGTTCAATCGATTTCACGAAATTTTCGATCAAATTCATCAGACAGATGCGCACGCTGGTACAACCATTTAACATTTAACACGGTGTATTGCTAGACAGGAAGTTGAAAGTTTAACAACCAATACAAAGGACAAGAAGAAGAACTGAATTGACTGTTTCCGAAAGATGTGGAAATATGAATGCATTTTGCTTTTCATAAGTACATCATTAAAAGCCTACTGCATAGCACGCGAGGATATGGATATGCCGCCGATTGATTACCGCGTACGGGACGAATAACGAGAGCATTGACCAAGGCTAGGGTATACCTTATTTCTTTCAGTTGTTGACGCATAAAATTGTCTAAGAACTAAATGTATACACAAATTGAATAAATTACAATTTTACGTAATAATTATTACATGAAAAATGCTTATTTAAGGTTATAGACCTACGTTAAAGGGAATATACAACATTTGCAAACATCAACAAATAAAACTACTAAGTTTTTACGACATACCTTACTAGGATGTTGGTTAATGACAGTCTAAAGCATCCTGTAAAATTAAGGCACCAGGTGTGAAGACATTTTCAAGAAAATGGTATTTTTGTATAAATTTCCAACGGTGGTCGGCCGACCACCGTTGGAAAAACCTAACTATTTTTAAACTACTGCTCCAAATTTACCATTTTTTTCAGTCAAATTTGTGTTTGCTATTGGTCTCATGTTCATGAACGGGTGCAGGCCAGATAGACTGGTTCCTTTTTAATACCTTGCAATTTTCCGGCATCTATAAATTGATCCATTTCATCTTTAGTGGAGTCAGGGAACCAGACTACTTGAACATTTTTGTTTTTCTTGGCTTTTCCAGCATTTTCGAACACAAAACTTCAAACATGTCAGTGTAACAATATTTGATCTGTTATACTAACCCCTCAAATAGTTCATTTTTGAAAATTACAGCAAAAGCCAATGATGTACATTCCCTTTAAAGGGAATATACAACATTTGCAAACATCCAAAAATAAAACTACCATGTTTTTGCGAAATACCTTAATAGGATGTTGGTAAATGACAGTCTAAAGCATCCTGTAAAATTATGGCACCTGGTATACTGTCATTTTCAAGAAAAGTGGTATTTTTGTATCAATTTCCAACGCTGATCGGCCGATCAGCGTTGGAAACAACTGGCTTTTTTTCAAATACTGGCCCCAATTGACCATTGCACTTGTTTGCAATCGATTACAAACCTATATGAATGGGTACGAGCCAGCTAGACTGGTTCCCTGACCTTACAATTCCCCAATGTATGTAAACTGCTCTGTTTCTTCTTATATGGAGTCGGGGAACCAGACTACAGGAAAATGATCGTTTTTCTTGGTTTTTATAGCATTTTCGAACCCAAAACCTCCAAAAAGTCAGTGTAACTATATTTGCTTTATATTTCCAACCCCCCAATTCCATCCATTTCTGAAAATTACAGCGAAAGCAAATGATGTATATTCCCTTTAAACAAGGAGATACAGTAAACAGACACGACAAAATAAAGTATAAAAAAAGTAGAAAAGAACAGATGAAAACATACAAATACCGAAGACAGCATACAATCATGAGACGAATTTAAATGAAATGTATGTAACATTGATTGCAAAATGACAAAATTGATTTATCTGTCGCACGTTGGGCAATTGCAGAAATTGTTTGAACGAAGTGCGAAAATGAGCGACCAAAGACGAAATTAAACGTGGGGTATGCAAGATCATGAATTTTCAAGACGAAATTAAAGTAAACCGTTTATGAATTTGAATGAAATTTTAAACTGTGCGGAAAAATCTAAAATTAAAGTGTGCACCGATGATAAGAGGAGAAGCCCAATTTTCGGACGGTCTGCCCTTCCACTTAATCACGGTACTGGCTTTCATACGGTGAGCACTGTTGTAACTTTATTTTGTTCCATATTATTATTCCATTTTGTGTGATATTTATTTTTTAGCGACAGGAGCGATCCGCCGGTTCTGGTTCTGGGTCCGACCCCTACGGGTACGAGGATGACGAGGATTATGCTAACGTTAAAGTAAGCTTGTGATTCACTTGTGATTGATTTGTGATATGATTTGTGATTGACTTGCGATTGACTTGCGATTTGCTTGTGATTGACTTGCGATATGACTTGTGATTGTCTTGTGATTGCAGGGGCGGGTCCAGGCATTTTTGCAGGGGGGGGATTCATCAGCAAATCATTGCTAAAAATGTTTTGGCCGGACACTTGGCCTCCGTAAAATCAATAGATTGCGGGGGGGGGGGGGGGGAGGGCTCGTACCGAACTTTCATTGGGGGCGCTGTTTAAATCTGACGATTACTAACATTATATTACAGAAAAGTGTAAAATACCCCTAACCAAACTAGGTCTGCTGTCCGTATTTTGTGCACAGCAGTAGAATTTTTTTGGGTGTCAGAGCAGGAGGGGGGGTCGCATTATTTTTAATGAATTTCTGTGAAAATGTGGGGGTTTTTTTTGACAGAGCTAGCGGAGGGCGGGGGGGGGGGGGGGTTGTACCCACCCACCCCATCCCACCCCCCATAATTATAATTGACTTGTAATTGATTTGTGATTTGAATTGACCTGTGATTGTCTTGTGATTGACCTGTGATTCGACTTGTGATTGACTTGTAATATTTTTTGTGTAAAAATGGACGGACATTGATTTTTTTTTTTTTTTAGTGACTTGTGATTTAATTCTGATTGAAGTAAATGATTTATGATTGACATGTGATCAGACTTGTGATTGACTGGTGCCAGACTTGTAATTGACTTGCGATATGGCTTGTGATTGTCTTGTGATTGACTAGAGCCCGACTTGTGATTGACGTGCGATTTCACTTGTGATTTACTTGTGATTTGACTTGTGATTTACTTCTGATTGATTTTTGATGACAAGTAAATTGTGTATGATTTACATGTGATCGGGCTTGTGACTGACTGGTGCCATACTTGTAATTGACTTGCGACATGGCTTGTGATTGTCTTGTGATTGACTTGTGATTGACTATAGAGCCCGACTTGTGATGTACTTACGATTGACGTGCGATTTGACTTGTTATTTACTTGTGGTTTGGCTTGTGATTTGACTCATAATCTACTTGTGGTTTGACCTGTGATTTGACTTATGATTTACTTGTGATTTACTTGTGATTTGACTTGTGATTTGACCTGTTATTTGACTTGTGATCGACCCATGATTGTCTTGTGGTCTTTTTTATGGTTGACCTGCCATTTGACTTGTAATTCGACTTGTGATTGACTTGTAATTTGCTTGTAATGACAAAGGACGGACATTGATCTGACTTGTGACTTGCTTGTATTGATCTGTGATTGACTAGTAAATGACTTGTGATTGACTTGTGATTTGACCTATGATTGACTTGTGATTTGTCGTTGTCACTTGACCTGTGAATGACTTGTGATTGCCTTGTGACCGAGTTGTCATTACCTTGTGATTCGACCTGACGACAAATCTCTACCCTTCTTTCCTGATCCTTTGCAGCAAACGCGAGTCTACAAACCAGAAATCCACCATTTCCACGTCGACGCCTCCATCACGGCACGCTTTGCCAGCACGTTAATCAACAGCATGCTGGTCAACGTGGAGGAATACGCGCAAGAAGCAACCTTCTCCGTAGTCTTGCCTCAGGAGGCCTTCATCAGCAAGTTTGTCATGTAAATATAGTCTCCGTGTTTTCCGATAAAACATAGTTTGAGCAAAATGAGGGCGCTGTGACGAAGACAGTTAGCGAAACAAAACAGACTTTAATCCAATGTGATGGACATCAGTTTACATGCGTCAGTTTACAAAAAAAAATAAAAAAAATATGAGCGATGCCTGTGTGCTACAGACCTTTATCATGCTGCCACCATTTCAGTCATGTTCCCTATATCCAATAACAGTACTGAATGATAATGTTTTTGAGTAAAAAAAGAACCAGACTATTTTTCCTTCCAGCCACACTTTAATTAATACGTTGATTCGAATGGGGGGAAAAATAAAAAAGTTGGCAACATGATAATAGTCTCTTTCCCAGGTTGCAGCATTGCTAGTATATCGTTACTTTGGGCGTGATCCCTGGCTACATGGTAAATACAGGTTAATTGCTTGTGACTTTAGCGCCACTCGAACAAAAGGCATTGACAAATTGGGGAAATCGCCAATATAGAGTTGGCTATATACATGTATTTATAAATATGCAATAAATTCAGGATATGAGTTAAGGCCAAAAAAAAAATAAAAATACTCGGTCTCTGGTCAGGCCAAAGTTCCGGAATTGATGCGGCGACGCGTTTTTTTTTCAAGCTTGGATTGTACAGACAAGGTGGGGTACTATTTTACTTTTTTGCGTCCTCATGTACATTGGTGTCCTCCATAATTTGCCTTGGTGCCCTCGATCATTTGCCTTGGTGCAATTTTCCATTCCTTGGTGATCCTTGGTACAAATTTTTTTGAGGAGGTGCGGCAATAGAGGCCGCTGTTAATTGGAGCTACCGCAGAAAATTTGGGGAAAAAAAGATTGACGCGCATGATTAAAATCGAAGCGCGCGCTGACCAGAGACTGTCAATTGTGATAGAAGACGATTTATAAATATATATGTTTTTACTTATGTTGATTCTTTGACCGAAAAGATATTTATTCGAATAGGAATAAATATGTGCTTGGCCGGTATAAACAAGTCCGTTTAATACCGGCTGTGGGCCTGGTCGCTGATAATATCCCTCCCCTTCGGCTCGGGTTATTATCAGCGTCCATTCCCTCAGCTCGTCTTAGCAGACTTGTTTAAGACCGCCCAAGCACATATTTATTCCGTTATTTATCTTCGATAGGGTGATCGACGGTGTTGCGTACGAGGCCGAGGTCAAGGAGAAAGAAAAGGCACAGAGGGAGTACGACGCGGCGAAGGAGCGAGGCCAGACGGCCGGACAGGTTAAACAGCAGTAAGTCCAGTTCTACCACTGCATGTGTAGATCATGAACACTTGAAATCAAACAGAATCTCGCTGAAAATTTGCACGCATCAAGTATGCGGTTGGACTTGTTAAAAGGCAAATGGATAAACTGAGTTACATGTAATCCCACAAGTTACCTATAACGAATTGTGAAAAAAGCTTAAAGATTGTACTTGTACTAAATACCCCGTGAATTTATTCCGTCTGGGTTCAACAGTGCCAAAAAAATCCCATAGCCACTAGTGCTAAATGCCCATACTTCAAAATTCTTTAAAAAATACTCAGAACTCTCACAGGTATTTAAGCTGCACAGAAAAATGATGATCGTCATGTCATCTTTCAATTTCTGTTCATTTTTTGGTGGGTTGACTATTGCCTTTTCGAGAAATTCTCGCCCAAAGAAGACGACACTTATTTTCCCCAAAGCGGAACGGTAGCCATCTTGAAAAACGATCCCTCCACAACATGGCAAAATAGCGCCACTTTCGAGCCCAGTTGTATCCCAAATGCTCAGAATTGGAAGCCCCGAATCCGGGCCAGAGGTTCATTGCCATATCTCTTCAATTCCCCAATTTTATGGCACTCAAAACTCTCTAATATATAATATTTTGAGGGTATAACTTTTATTCATGAGCTCGGCGGATGGGTTTAGGCACCCCAGCTTGCTGTCGTTATAGATGAAATCACGAAATGCATGTTATGCGCTCTGTTCACAAGCACCCCCTCACCGGCAAAGGAAGTACACTTGGGGGTGACCGACCGACGCCATCTTGCCTGACTGCAATTTGTTTGCCGCGAAGCGCGGCCACTGCGTGTAAATAGTACAAATCCCCTGGTGTACGTGCGTCACACACAAGGAACGGTGCGCGTCAACCAGCGAAATGTCCCGCCCATGGGACGTCGTTGTTTGGAAAGGGCGCCCTCTTTTGGTAGCGCACGGAGCTCATAGGCCTATGATTTCCAACGATCAGTAAATTGACTGATTTTTTGAAATAAAAAAAAAGTATTATGGACGAAATCGTGTTTCGCGATCAAACGGCTGCACGCATGTCATACATACATGTATATGCCTTTAAGGGGTTTATATAATATTTATGACGCTCCTTTCCCGTTTCGTTATCAGGATCTGGGGTGTATATAAAAATATTACATGGTGCAGTGCATTGTGTGACACTTGCGCCTCATGTGATCCCATTTAATTGCGCAAACATACACTTCTGAGTGATTTTTCAGTAAAATGGTCTTTGGAATTGAAAAGTAAAGTTAAGGGCAAACGTTGAATTGCTGTTAGATTGTCAGTTTTCACAGTTTGTCGAGAACGGTAAAGAAGAATATTGTTTTCATGAATCCTTTCCAGCGAGACCAAACCCAACACCTTCAGCGTCTCCGTCAACGTTGCGTCCTACTCGGCCGTGCTGTTCAACTTAACCTACCAAGAACTGCTACATCGCCGCCATGGTGTCATTGAATACAAACTTACTATCGACCCTGAACAGGTATGGACAGGCTTACAATTGCGTTCCCGCATGCTATTTTCGAGTTTCACCCCCCCCCCCAAATATTGCCGTCTTTTAGCAATGCAAAAGTTAATCGATTTTAAATGAGACATCGGCCGAAAAAAAAATCGGCCCAAATAGCTATTGAAATATGGCTGTCAGACAATGACTCTGTTCTCGCGGGTTAGGCCGGTTCCTGTCCCACGATATCTTTCGAAAATGTACGGACAGGCAGCTAGCCAGCTTGTAAGCGGATTTGTTCAAATTCACTCAGTTAAATACTGGTATATTACGCAGGGTTCGACCTTCACTTTTTTTCGCTAGCCAGCCGGGCTACTGAAACAGACTCTTAACTAGCCCGCATGTTTTTTTTTAGCCCAAATACAAACTGGCGTACTTTCAGGCTCAATTCTGAGGCAATTTTGTCAGTGTTTTCAAAAACAGATCTAATAATTTAACCCTTTAAAACAGTTGATAAAAATAGACCCAAATTGATACAGGTTTGCTTTCTGAATTTCATGATTTATTTCTTCCTGTCCCTTCATCTTTGCCGTATCCCAATATGGTTTTTGACTCGCCAGCCGGGCTACTTAAGGAATAGTTTGACTAGCCCGCCGCTGTTTTGACTACCATTTGGTTAGCGGGCTATATACCGCTAACTTCGAACCCTGATTACGTAAATAATGCTTGCTGTAAAACCTTTGTGAACAATTTCAGTGCCATGAAATTTAGTCGGAAATTCAGAAACGGTGGCGCCCGGAAATAGGGCACAAATTCGGTTGAGTGTGTACCCTAAACGTGGCGCACTTGAATAAATCTCGGAAAATCCCAAGAGTTAACATTTGAGAATTTCTTTATTTTGGATTACTTTTGCGCCAATAATTCGAATTTTGTTTTCAATAACTGTTCAATAAATAAACGTGAGTGGAATGTTTTTCTTCAATGTCTCATTCAAAAGTGAATAAATGTTTGTATTGTTCGCAAAATCATGACAATTTAAAAACAAAAACAAAAATTCAGGGTGTAACTCGAAAATAGCACTGGGGAATTTTGCATAAGTTTGCTCAATATTTGTTTTATGCATCGTTTTGTTGAAGCGTGCATCAGAGAGCGCTTTGTACTTAGTAAACAAATCTGTTGGATTTTGTTCGTACTTTCCAGGTCGTTAGAAGTCTAAAAGTTGATGTCCACATCACAGAACCACAGGGTTTACTGAAAATGGACGCCATGTGGCAGTCCACTGCCGCAGGGGGCAGTTCCACCAATGACGTCAGCAGCCCGATACAGGATGTGGTCTATCTGGAGAGGATGTCGCAATACCGCGCCCATATTAAGTTCCACCCAACTAAGGACCAGCAGAAAATGGAGCGCGCGAATGGAATCGTTGGTAACCTGCTCCTGCAATACGACGTCTTGCACGACCTGAGTGCCGGGAGCCTGCAGGTATGTATTTTGAATTCAGTAACAGTTGGGCATCTTTCAATCTGGTCCCAATGGGTGCACACCGGTAGATAGGCTTAAACCCATCCGCCGAGCTCGTGAACAAAAGTTATACCCTCAAAATATTCTATATTAGGGAGTTCTGAGAGCCATAAAATTGGGGAATTGAAGAGATATGGCAATGAACCTCTGGTCCGGACTTGGGGTCTCCAATTCTGAGCATTTTGGATGCAGTTGGGCTCGAAAGTGGCACTATTTTGCCATGTTGTGGAGGGATCGTTTTTCAAGATGGCTACTTTTCCGCTTTGGGAAAAATAGGGGTCGTCTTCTTTGGGTGAGAATTCCTCGAAAAGTCAATGGTGGACCCACCAAAAAATGAAAAGAAAATGAAAAATAACATGTTGATCATCATTTTACCGTGCAGCTAAATTACCTGTGAGAGTTCTGAGTATTTTTAAAAGAATTTTAAAGTATGGGCATTTAGCACTAGTGTCTATGGGAATTTATTGCACTGTTGCGCCCCCATGGATACGATCTTGCTGCGCCATGTTGTTTCCCACCATGCTTTGCACGATCGTGAAGGAACCCGTGGGTGCGTTCGAGCGTGTTACTCGTGTTAACACGAGTACTACTCCTAAGCGCCCGAACGGCAGGATACGACCTGCGGGTTAGCAATCAGAGCATACTCTCAGTGAAATATACTCTTGCATATGCAGGAAGAGTAATGCGCACGCAACAGTTTCCTGAACTATAGGGAGTAGCAAAAGTAACACGCTCAAACGCACCCATGGAGTCGAGAATGGGCATCTTGTTGTTGTTTTCTCCTCATGAATTGTGCAATTCCTGTATTCTTTTCCCGTCGATTTGGAAAAGCACTCTTTATACTCAAGGCTTAATTTCTTCACAATGGTTGCACATTTTGTCAGTTTTTTTTCTCGAAAAGATGGGCACATCTGTAATCGTGTTAATATTGTGTTAGTTTCAAACGCGTCAAAAAAAAAAATTAAATTTAAAACAAAAATCACATATTTTTGTTAGCTCAAAATTCACACATCTTGTCTCACAACACATCAATCACACAGAAAACGAAAATTGGAATGAAAATTTATACTTTTATATCTCTTTCCTTCTCAAAAACATCACGATTTCTATTAAATATTTGGAAAAAATTGTGAGGACAGACATCACGATTTCTATTAAATATTTGGAAAAAATTGTGAAGACAGACATAGTTTGAACAATACATGTATAATTTTGATATAAATTATTGTTTGTGTGATAACCTCTTTTCAGTCATATTCAAATACATTACAATCCTTGTCGTAAATTGGGAAAAATTAATTTACCTCCATAGTTAGCGTCCAGTAATATAAAACAAAATTACCTGTCTTTTCACAACGGTTGCACATTTTGTCAACATTTTGTTTTCGAAAAGATGAGCATAATTCTGCAATCGTGTTAATATTGTGTTAGTATAAGCCATCACTAAAAAAAAAACTTAAAATTTAAATTTCAAATGAACCACGCTCAATTTCCAAAAAAAAAAAGTGTCAACGTAAATACACACATTTGTTATCTCAGATTTCCACATCTGGTCCTACATGCACATAAATATGTGCATAACTAACGTAATGTTATATTAAACTAACCCCAATACAAATCAATCACTCAGAAAACTAAAATTGAAATTTTGATTATAATTTTATGTCTCCTTTTCTTTGTTGTAAACATAATCACGATTTCTAATAATTGGAAATGTCGCGAGAAAAGACATATTTTGGACACTTTTATTTTGATATATTTTGTGTGTGATCGCCACTTTTCAAGTTATATTCAAGCAATCATTTTCGTAAATTCGGGGGAAAAATCCATTTACTTCCATGGTCAACGTCAACTAATATAACATAAAATACCTGTCATTCACACTACTGCTATTTTCTCGCATAACATCCAATTACTGTTTATTAACGTTGTAAAGAAAAACATCAGTCACCACAATTAAGAAACTATATACAGGGCGAGTAAAAAAAAACGAAACTCAAATGTCGGGACTATTTTTTTAGTGAAGTTCTGCATGTAGCACTTTCAAAATCTAGCATATGAAAGCCCAATGCATAAGCTTTCTTTTAGTACAAGAATCATTCAAATAACTCATGTACTGTTCAAGTTACAGAATTTTAAACACAACCACCGTTTTAAAGTTCTGTCCACGGATCACAAAAAAGGTGTGCGTTCTTTCAGCAAAACGAAAACAATTCACACACAAGTCATCCCTATGTGATTTGTTTTTGTTTGGCAGAAAAAAACACTGAACTTTTGTGTGATCCGTGGTCTCGACAATTGGTTTTTTTTTTTTTATTTACCCTGTATTTCACATACTCTTCACTAGAATGAGGTATTTGTTGGTTAACACGGACAAATATCGCTCAGCAAAAGCAGGTTACTGGTTATTTTGAGTCTTATTAATATGGGCTCCTTTACCTTATATGGACTCTGCATCTAACACGTGACCTGTCACTTTCTTATTGGGTACATTCGACTAGCTTACACCTGTAAGTGAAAACTTACACGAGAGCGTTCGATTAGCCATCACGTGATGTCTGCCCGGTGTCAACCGCCACTGCCCCCAGCTTGCGAGCGGGTCTCTGGTGGCTGCCCGGGTGAAAGACGGTAAGCGGAAGATTTCCTGGCTAGCTAGATTGAAAATGGCGGGAACTTGAATACGAATTGAGTACAATGAAGAAATTTATTACACAAATATTGCCAATAATTAAAGGTGTTAAATTGGATGGACATACTTTTGATAATTCACAGCACATCTTCCGATTCCAGCACTTACTGATCTGGTTGCAATGATCAAACTAATTCCATTTTACCAGTGGAGAAGTTGACAGTATGCTTGGTTTGTTTACATTGTAAAGTCCGGCCTCGCAACAACCTTTGACCTTAATTTTCCCAGAATGCCAGGTGAATACACCGCAGCTTTTGATTAGCCTCATTCCGTGGCTTCCTCGAGAGGAAACCCCGTGTATACACGGGGAAGCTACTCGAACGCTCCCAAAGAAAAACATCAGTCAGATTGTGAAACTGTGTGATATTTTACAAATGTTCTTTAACTGGAATACTGTTGATTCTATCTGTTCTGCTATACAACTCACAGCAACCAGCGGTCAATCCCGGAGCTGCTAAATAAGCACAGAAAGGGTCCATGCGATGAATTTTTCTTAGGGGCCATTCAGAATTTTCAATGTTTTAAAATTTCGACTTTTTTTCCAAATTATTTTGACCCACCCATCCACACCTAATTTCGATTAATAAAAAACTGAACATGACTGTACATGTACATGCACTTGCATGTACATGTACTTGAACACCATGTACATGTGTGTCTAGTTCAGTGACGGCGTGAAGTTGTTGGTCATCCTCTTTTATGTGATAAAATATGTGATACCTCACCAAAAAGTATCTTTTAACGAAATTCAATCAGAATATTTATCCATTTTTTTTGTTAAAATGTTTAATTGTTGTTTTACTTGTTGGTGTCCCTGCCACACTGTACGATGGTGTAGCCGTGCGTTACGCACGTGGATTGTTTACTTTCGTTTTGACGGGGACTTTATTGAATAGAGTCTGGTGACTGTACATAGAAGTTTCTTTAAATAAAAGTCGAATCGTTCATTCGTGTGCACTTGTGCAAAGCAGGGGCAGTGGTTCAAGGATATCCAGTCGATTTGCAGAAAGTGTGCAAGAACGCGACTTGAATGCTTTTATGTGTCCACAATACAACGACGCTTTTTAGTTATTTCACTGTGTGACACAGTGAAAAATGTTGAAATCATAGGCCTAATGGCGTCAGCGATACTTGCTGGGGAGCTCTTGCGTACGACTTTCTGTACTTTGGTACTGTTTTTTCCAGGACAATTGTGTGTACGGTAACCCGACGTACCAAGATTTTTAAAGACGAAATTGCCGACCTCAAAATTGTTAGTGCCATATTTGGCAACTATATGTGCGTTATTAGTTGAATTAAACAAATGAACAGGTTAATTAAACATAGTACCATTGAAGGTACCTAAAAGTAAACATAACAGCATAGAAGACCGACAGACGAACATAAAATGTTACAAAATAAACATATTTGTCTGGATAATTTTTTTTAGGGCGTTACCGGCAAGTTAACACAAACTTGGTGTCAAATAGATCATGAATACTTTTCTTTGACTTTTCATACAAGTTTACATAAACTTTAACTGTATGACCTGCAGTGGCGTAGCCACGGGGGGGGGGGGGTGCCATCCTCCCCCCCCCCCCCATGAAACCTTGTCGCCCAACCCCCAGTCGCCTCCCCCACTTTTAGATTTTGAGTTTCGAAAAAAATTATCATTGATCTACATGACGCCCCCCCCCCCCCCCCCATGAAATGTTCAAGCCCCCCCCCCCCTAAAAAATTCCTGGCTATGCCACTGACAGTACATACAGGGGACGAAGTTGGAAAAGAAACACGCGTCGCGATATCGGAACGTTTGCGCGTAGTTCAGGCAAGTCAAAAGATCTATCTTTCTTTGTTTTTTTATCTTTTTTTTCCATGGAAAGTGAATTTCGATTTTCAATTATTTAGCTTGACCCACCCACCCACAATTTGGAAAAAAGATCGAAATTTTAAAACACTGAAAATTCTGAATGGCCCCTTAGGAACACATTTTGCACACATTGTCCTACTCCTCTTAAATGTATGAGAACTATTTGCAATCCCTTTTTGGTTAATTTTATTTAAAGTGCACTTTTTTAAACATTTAATAATGTCCGTGCTTTTTCCGGACAACTGAGGACGCTATTGCTGTGATGTCATTTCAGGAAGAGACTGCTCAGTTTAGGGGTTTTCCGTTCAAATAGTGAACCAAAACTTTGCTTGTTGAAAACACTTGTGAGAAAGGTTTGCTCATTAGCTTGCGGGTCATGTACTGACACAACAATGAATCACCAAAGAAAAGAACATGAAGGACAGCATAACACGCCAACTTCTGGTAACTTTTTGTGCTGAAAGTAACATTGAGGTGTCTGCCCATGATGACATCACGGGGTTGCTCATGAATATGTAAATTCTCATTCGCATATGTAAATTCTCATTAGCAATACGTAAATTCTCATCAAAATACCCTTGAAAAGGCAAAACGGTAATTGAAAATGAGGTAAAGTTCGACACAGAAATGCATTTTCAAGAATTGCGTTAAAAAAATTACATTACATGGGCCATTTTTTAAAAAAATTACATTGCATGAGCCCTTTAACCACGGAAAAAAACTCATTCAGCAAAACCCGTACCCGTGTCATTTGAAATTGTGAGTCCTGCGAAATTTGGCATCTTTTACCGTATATGATGGACTCTGCCACGTGAGTGACTGTCACATAATAGCATGCGCAATACAAACAATGAGTCTGCATTTCATAGCGTCCACATTTCATATCACACCGGCCAAAGGCCAACATGTCACGCGACATTGCTTTTGATCCGACTATGCGTTTGTTTTTTAGTAGGCTGACTTCTTACTCACACAATTTGGCAATTTGCCGAGCAACAGCTGGTTTCTTCCTGCTATAGCTCTTTGTAATTGGACCACATGGAAATGGAATGAAGCATATTATATACATGTAACCGATACACTGGGCAAAGTCCCGCCAAACCCTCCAACTAACACACTTTAATATGCATCAAGGCCTCAAAATTGTTGAATATCACTTTGAATACACATTTCAGATATTTCAGAGCAACGGAGACCATGACATTCGTATAAACTAAATGAAGGATTTGTAGCAACAACAAGAATTGACAACAACATTTCGACAAGTTTAATATTTCATAGTTCATTAAAACATTCCTTATTAAATACTCCATAAATTTCAAATTGGGCACCCCAATACAGCTGTATTACGAACGACGTGGAAGTTTATTTTTTTTTCGCAAAAATCGCTATTAAAAAGCATCAACGATTACTGGATTTGAAACAATAATGCATCAGGGCCAACTATCATGGGGATGCAAAGCACACAATATTGCTTAAAAGATTTATGTGCTAAGCAAAAATGGTCCGCACTAGACGTCAAAAATGGTGGATCTTTCACCGTTCACGTGATAAGGTCACGTGGACGCAAAACCTCAATATCCATGCTTAGCATATCTATGAAAGTTGCCCTGTTGACTGCTCCCCGTTTAGCTTGTCCAGTACTTCTCTTCTCGTTGGATTGGTTCGCTGGGGTCCTTCTGATGCGCTCGGTAGTCGAGGAAGACCGACCGTTTCAGCTGGAGTTCCTTCGAGTCCAATCCGTCGGGTAGAACACCGGTGTGGATGCGCACAGTGGTGTAGTACTTGGGACTCAAGTTACTGCAAACAACAATAAAAGTTTTTCCTTTTTTTTTATTTTCAATTTTCGTAATATAAATTAAAAATTTGTTATTGTTTTTGTGTTAAGTTAATTTAATTTCTGTGTTGTATTTCGTCAGTGTTTATATGTGTATCTTAGTCTTTAAATTTGTTCTTATTTTTGTATTCACACCCCTATATTTTACATATTTGCATTTTTGTTTCTTCATTCTAGTTTTTACTTTTACTTAATGTTCTTAGTGATTTTACATAATATTTTTCTTTTATTTCATTTTATTTTATTCTTATCATTTTATACAGGGCCCTCAGTAATAGCAGTTTTTAACTGATGAGGCTACCCTGTCTGAATAAAACTATAAATAAATAAATAAAACAAGCTCGAAATGGTCTCGGGAGCTGCGGGCAAATGCATGTGTGTTCATGCACGTGTGCCGCGATTGTCCCATGTAATTTTTTGGAAGGAATGTTTTCAGTACAAACATCAGGTTTTTTACCCTAGTGACTTAATTTTCCAGGACTGCATAAATTGGAAGGCGGTCAGTGGAGACCCATTAGGGGCCTGATGAACAAGGTGATTGATAGCCATGCAAGGCTGTTGGTGACGTTAGTTACTAACCAACGAACCAACTAACGGAGAGACACAACCATTTTTCGAGCTGCTCAGCCGCAGCTAAAAAAGCAAGACAATTCGGCAAGCATAGCTAGGAGTGGGGGGGGGGGGCAGTGTGAATAATCAGAGGGGTCAGGGGTTCGAATCAGCTGCAGGTCATAATGTTGTGCCCCAGTGTACAAGCCACTTTACTCCCACTTGCCTCTCTCCACCCTAAATGTGTAACCGGCGTTAGCTGGGGAGTAACATGCGATGGACTAGCGTCCCATCCAAGGGGAACAGAAATAGTCTCATCAGTGGTTTCATGCTACTGAAACCATGAAATAAACGCCGGCCTGATGGGCCGGCCACATTGGCTGGTGTGACAGACTTTACTTTTACAAACCTACTTAAGCGGGTCCCAGAGCGCGCAAAATTGAATTCAATTGATTCATAATGGCTAATCACTGAAAGTCTTTTCATGCAAATGGTTGACACAATGGGCTGAATTAAGCCCATTCATAGCGGGACAATTCTATGCAATAGAACTGCCCAGCTCTCATTATAGTCTGCCACCATTCTAATTCACAAGTGACAGTCAGAAAGAGAGTCAGTCAGTGAGTCAGGCAAAGAGAGAACACTGGTAGGTTGGCCATCTGGAAGCAGCAAAAAGGAATGCATCAAGTTCATCTTTAAGTAACAGAAAGGAGCAATGGAGTATGGACCATTGCGGATTCGTCCATAAGCTCCGCCCACTTTTGATTTGAATACATTTTCTCGCAGTTTACAGGACCGAGTTTGACCGAGCCAGCGCGGTCACCTGACCAAATGTCGAAATTTGGTACCCAAACCACTTGGATGTCCATGGTTGCCATGGAAACCGACCTAAAACGTTGGTTGTCATATTTTTTTGGTAATTTTTTTTTACAACTAAACATGGAAATATGCAAACTTGCGAATTTTTTTTAACTCATACATACAATTCCCATCGGCGTCATGTACCAGTACAACATAGGCACTCGTTTAATGTTTATAAATAAAACTATTGTAATTCTTCATACGCTTCAACTTTTAAATGTTACTGTGAAACGTGTTGGTTTTTATTTTTAGCAATGGGAAAAGCTTGATCTTTTAACAGATGTGCATTAACGACAACTGATCAATATTAACGAAAGTAACTTCACTATAATAATGCTTCAAAATAATTGTAGACCTCAAGTTTTAATTTACGTTGTTCAATGTTCATCGTCTGTTACTTGGGACTGTACAACGTTTGCTTTTGCTGCAATTTTTAGAAATAAATGGATTTGGAGGATTAGTATGTAATAGAAAATATTGTTAAACTGACTTATTTCACGTTTTGGGCTTGTAGATGCTGGAAAAACCAAGAAAACCTATCATGTTCTTGTAGTCTGGTTCCCTGACGCCACTTAAGATGAAACGGAGCAATTAATACACTTTGAGGAATTGTTAGGTCAGAGAATCAGTCTAGCAGGCTTGTATCCCTTCACAGGTGTGTAATCAACTGCAAAGAAAAGTCAGAATAACTAAATATGAAAAATTAGGAACAGTTGTTGAAAAAGGCCAGTTTTCTCCAACGCTGGTCGGCCGACCTGCGTTGGAAAAACACAGTTTTTCTTGAAAATGTCAGCACACCAGGTTCCACGATTTTAAAGGATGCTTTAGAATGTCAGTCCCTAACAATTCAGTAAGGTATTTCGTGATAATTTGATCATTTCGTTTTTTGATGTTTGCAAATGTTGTATCTTCCCTTTAACTTGAGATTGACTTGAAGGGAATATACATCATTTGCTTTTGCTGTAGTTTTCAGAAATGGATGGAATTGGGGGGTTGGAAATATATAGCAAATATAGTTAAACTGACTTTTTTGAGGTTTTGGGTTCGAAAATGCTATAAAAACTAAGAAAAACAATCATTTTCCTGTAGTCTGGTTCCCTGACTCCATTTAAGAAGAAACAGAGCAGTTTACATATATTGGGGAATTGTAAGGTCAGGGAACCAGTCTAGCTGGCTTGTACCCGTTCATAGGTGTGTAATCGATTGCAAACAAGTGCCATGATCAACTGGGGCCAGTATTTGAAAAAAGCCAGTTTTTTTCCAACGCTGATCGGCCGATCAGCGTTGGAAACTGTTACAAAAATACCACTTTTCTTGAAAATGACAGTATACCAGGTGCCATGATTTTACAGGATGCTTTACACTGTCATTCAGTAACAGTCCAGCAAGGTATTTCAAAATGATTTGGTAGTTTTATTTTTTGATGTTTGCAAATGTTGTATTTTCCCTTTGATTCCAACTGTGTAAAAAAAATACGCGACCAGTATAGGCCTATGTGTACACCGTCGTTGCGTAATCTTTCCATACTCGAGGTCAAATCTATTGTGTATTGTACGCATTTGCCTTTAAAAGACCTCTCCCTATCGATGTGAAAGGCAAACATGTATTTTGGTGCAAGACCGAACGAGCTGGTCCATCTAGCCACCATTCACGGGAGAAAATACCAGTTGGGTCAATTCTTTCTTATTCCTCCATGGTCCCATATGTTCCATGGGATCCCATTGATGTCCATTGTGTTCCAATGGGACTGAACATGGAATGTGGCACATATTCAATTGGAAACTTGTTAATTTATCCACGGGATCATCAGCCAGAACCGATTCATTCCCTTTGCTATTGATGGTGTCCCATAAAGTCCCACTGAACATGCTGAAAACTGTATTTTCCTGGGTTATTTCAGGCTATTAAGCGAGTGTACATTGACTGATAATTGCCTACTGCATTAAATTTTAATAGTCGTAGCACACAGCGATAATGTTGGGCGTGTCCAAATAGGCGGATGCAATAGGGGTGCTTGGGTGGTTAACCACCTCCCCCGCCCCTCCGACTGACCAATTATTTACACAATGGGAAACAAATCTCAAATTTCTTTAAGTTTCCTGATTTTTTTTTTAATTGGCCTCATCTATCTTCAAGACCCATGTTCTTGAAACTCAAGACCAAGACCCTTGACCAAGCGTGGACTTCTACCCCCCCCCCCCATCCCCATGCACTCCCTTCTGAAAATCCTGGATCCGCCACCTTGTGTCCTGTACCCACTTACTTGATCGCTTCCCGCCTATGCAGCTCCCCCTCCTCCCTAGTCCCCCATGCACTCCCTTCTGAAAATCCTGGATCCGCCCACCTGTGTCCTGTACCCACTTACTTGATCGCTTCCCGCCTATGCAGCTCCCCCTCCTTCCATGTCTTCCCCGCCTCTTCATTCCGGATCACAACCAAGTTGTAGTGGTTAGGATCCTCGGCCGACCAGGCCCCGGTCCCGTACAGCAGAATGTCGGGCTGCCCGCACATCAGCTCCTGCAGGCCTTCCACGATCTCGTCTGCCCGCGACATCAGCTCCGGGGCACGGTCGGAACGCCTCCCCAAAAAACCAACAAAGTTGAGCTTCTTGTCCGGCCGTGACGAGGGCCGATCGCCAGTAGTTGCTGCCGGGTGCCGCTCTGGGTAGAGGAGACCCACGGTATCGGCATGCCCGTGCGGAAACTGAGTCAGACAATACCTGCCGTCGTCCAGCCTTCGTTCCCACCCTTTGGCAGGATCGTAACCCCCTTCCAAAAACTCCCGTCGACCTTCCAAATAATCCAGGCATTCCTTACGGAAAAAGCCCAGCATTTCCCCCAAATGGGCAGCATCTTCCGAGTATGTTTCCACACGAGGAGTGAAATCCATGATTCCGTGACTAGTTGAATCCCTCCATGGTTGAATATGCTTGTTTCGGATACCGCAGAATAAACAGGTCCATGTACTGTATACATGTTTTAGTGTATAATATTGTTCACGTACACGTACATGTACATGTACATGTACAATGTACATGTACATGTACATGCATACGTGCAGCAAGCGGCAAATTAGTTCAAAAACGAATAAAATACATAAATACAAATTTGACTACTTTATTTCGCAGGTTTCTGAAGGGCAAAGTAATATTGCCCCAGGTGATTTATTTTCTTTTTCTCTTTTGTTTTTAAAAGTTGTCGATGGCTGTGACATTTTTGATTCATATTAAACATTTTATATGTTCGTGTTGTACTTTGTGGCCGCCCATACTTATCCTTGACAAACGGGGAGGATTATTTGCACAGAATCAGAGGTCACGCATTTACGTAGCAGGTCACGTTTTACATGCATGCGTGTCTAAAGCTCTGGTAGGAGCTTCTACATGGCACTTGGTGGTCGGTCGGTCGGTCTGTCTGTCTGTCTGTCTGTCTGTCTGTCCCCGAAAATTGACCAAAAATATTTGACCAAAATTAATTGACTGATTGACTAAATGCCATGCCGTCGTCATGCACTCTTGACGAAAGTTTTCAGAACACGGGTTTTGTTTCGATTGATGCGCATGTGCGTTTATTTTGCAAATGTCTGTCCCCGAAAATTGACCAAAAATAAGTCCCCTGAGTTTCTCAAAAAACATAACTACCAAATTGAAATTAAAAAAGGAAAGAAAAAAAATTATTAGTACTTAACAAAATTTGTTTGTAACATTGCACTTAATCCACCTGTCCTGAAAAGTTGTTGGTGACGCAAGTAATTCAGATCTGTAGGCCTAATAAAGGCCGCCTAAATACGGCGCGAACTTGAATATATTTTGGTCGATGTCTCATTCAAAAGTAAATAGGGGCCAAACCTTTCTTTTGCAAGGAAAAAAACACCAGAAATGTGAAAGCACTGGAAGCAGGCCTCTAGCTGTCGTCACTGTGTCCAAAGGTTCTGGAAAAATCAGATCCCTAAACGGGCAAGATATCAGCTTTTTTTTCTCACCATGCGCAATATTCCGAATGCCTGATCAATCAACAACCCATGTTCGGTGGATAATAAAGGTTTTATTCCCGTCCAATTTCAGCGAAACAAAAACAAAACAAAAACCCGTTCATTTTCATCAACACGCATACAACGTAATGTTGTACACGTGCATCGGGTCGACTCGGAGTTGATGAGCAGGCCAACCGACCCGAAACATTAAAGATATCAACCGAATGCGAACCGAAACCAATCTGAACTCCATTTTATTCCGAGCGGTCGGTCGGTCGGTCCATATAGGTCGGTCGGTCGGTCGGTCGGCCGCGGCCGGTCAGTCAGTCAGTCAGTCAGTCAGGTACATGGACCAATAAAGAGACACTATAAAAACACACGGATATTGAATTGTAGGCCTTTTATGAAGTCGAATCGAATCGGTACTTCGATCAGACAGCTGTCACAGTGGAATGAAAAAGGTGAAGTCCTTTCAGTCAAAGTACAGTTCCACGTGATATTTGCACTACGTGCTGTAATTTAGAGGTTCCTTGCCCGTTCTATAATGAGCTATCCGTACCCCTCCATAAAAAAAAATAATTGTTGAGATTTGTCCTTGTATTAAAGATGGTTTTGTTTAGGCAGAGGAGGGAGGGTGTTACTAATATGTTTACTTACTTGATAGCCTCATGTAGATGCAGAGGTTCCCCTTTCCACTTCTGACCAGTCGAATCATGTCTCGTGACCGCCAAGTTGTAATAATTACTGTCCTTCTCCTTCATCTCGGCATATGCATACAAGATCATGTCCGGGTTATCGGACAAACCGGCCATCAAATCACGAGTGAGTCTGGCCATATAGTCGACCAGGTCTTGTTCAAGATTAGCCCGTTTAATTCCGAAGAATCCCACGAAGTGTAGTTCCCTCGGCGGCTGTTCCGTGTGCCGGCTGCCCTCAATATCGTGGGGCGGTTGCTGTAGAAGATACCGGGCTGTCGCCGCGTGACCGTGGGGGAACTGGGTAACACAGTCCCGACCGTCCTCCAGTTGTCTATGCCAACCTTTAGCGTTGTCGTATCCTTCCGAGAAACCGCCTCGGCCCACTAAGAAATCCAAACATTCTCTCTTGAAAAAGGCCAGCATTTCCCACAGGTAGGCTGCATCTGTTGAATACTTTTCCACGCGGGGAAAAAACTCCATGTTTAACCCTAGCTGACACGGCCTGCTATTCTCCACGGTCAAGTACGAAACATTCGTACGTATTATTGTTATTTTTTGTTAGAATGCACTTTGACCTTCTTGGTCATTGTTACAACCATGAACGAATGCAGGTCATATTTGATTTCTCCATATATTACAAACAGCTGCATATGGTAAATACAATGTATATCTATTCATTGGCTCGACAGCCGCTTAGTCGGGCATGACATGGTCGCCAAAGCCGAAATAAAAAAAGGGATTAATTGCTGTAGTATAAATTGAAAGACCTATAGTGTTTATTTCGTTTTTTTACTCATTATAAACGTTTGTTTTTTTCGCAATATTATTTTTGTCACGTTTAAGGAGAGACGCAGTTAAGGGCCTATGCTCAATATCGAGTCGGATTCATAAAAAAAAAACGTCAAACAGTCGGTTAACATGTGCAACTGTTTGTAACTAAATTTGACTTTTAGGAAAACAAATTACAAACGTTCCTACATTAGGACACAAAAAAAGTCTCCGCTTTCTGGTATGCACGCGCGTCGCCGTAGCCATGCGCGTCGGCAAAAAGAAAAAGTTTTTTTTTCAATGAAAGATGATGTCTCAAAACTGCCAAACTCACTGGTTTGACTGGAATCCTGCTGCTTCCTAATTTTAACGTGTTTTTAGATTGGGTTATGGTCGAGAATAAGCTTTATGTGGCCTCTCTGGACTCCCATATATTTGCACTAAGTTTAGTCGGGCACCATTTGCAGTCATCAGCCGACATTTGAAGCAAAAAAAATCAGTTAAAAAAAAAAATCCGCGTCGCCGCACCACTTTTTGGTCAAGCTCCATACCAGAAACCGGAGACTTTTTGGGGGGCCTTATAAAAGCCTGGTGAATGGTTCTGTGTATAGAGAACTAAACATTGTGTTTAGCTTCTAGAAACGCTTATGTTTTTGTAGTATTTAAAAGTTTAATGTCATATCCTTTCAATTTTAAAACACTGTTAAAACATAAGCGTTTATAAGTTAAACACGACGTTTAGTGTCCCTAAAGAGAACCGTTCGCGAAACGTTTATAACTTAAACACGATGTTTAGTGTTCCTAATAAGAACAGTTCACGAAACGGTTATAAGTTAAACACGGTGTTTATTATTCCTATAAATCAGAACGGTTTTATAAGTTAAACACGATGTTAAGTGGTCCTAAACAGAACCATTCACGAGGTGTTCACAAAGTAAACGGCGGTGTGTAATGTTTCCTGGAGGTCGAATTTCAGTTCAAGTAGTTCATCTGCAAAACCTTCGAAATTGTAGACGTGGGCTGTTTAGCCCACAAAATTACCGTTTTTGTTGATACACCAAAACCTGAAAACAAAATAATAGCCCGCGTACGTGCCGGAGGACCAACTTGGGGACCTTGGATCCACCCTCGCTTCTTGCTGTACAGTCAAAGTGAATCATGACCCGCAGAGGGACAAGTAATGGCATCAACTTCAGGCTGTTCCAAAAATAACCAAGACACAAGTTCCAGTCGTAAGAAGTATAATACTTTCATTAATTATAGACCAACAACAAGGGGCCCACATTGGTACAGTCCGGACCATACAGTGAACTTATTATGAATATTGTGCCCCGCCTTCACGCGTAGGACTCACTTTATTAAGGGCCATGCAATGCCATATATTTTTTTAAATACAGTCCTTGAAAATGCACCCGTGTTCCCATTTAACCTTATTTTCACTTTTCATTTTGCCATTTTCAAGGGTATTTTGGTGCTTATGAAAATTTGCATATTCGTGGGCAAAACTGTGACGTCAATCCGGGCAGAAACCTCAATGTTACAGCTATTTCAGCACACAAACAAGTTGCTAAAATTTTGGATATTTTGCTTTCGTAAATTAGTTTTTCTTTGGTGAGCTGTTGTTGCGTCAGTAGATGGCAGTAAGCAAATGAGCAAACCATTCTCACAAAATGTTTCAATGAGCAAATGTTTGGGTTCGCAATTTGAATAGAAAACCCGTAAACTAAATAGTGTCTTCCTGAAATGACATCACAGCAACAGCGCCCTCTGTTGTCCGGAAAAGCATGGGAAAAGATGAAATGTTTAAAGAAGTTCACTTTTCCACAAAAAAAGTTTGTACCCACGTATATAGTTCTAATGGGCGAAGACCTTGGCATTAGATATAGACACGAGATTCGAAGGCGACCTAATACATGAAGTACTTTTCTTATCATCTACAATCATGTTTGTTTCTCTCTATAGGTGATGAATGGCTACTTCGTGCACTACTTTTCGCCAGAGGGACTGTCGCCGGCACGCAAAAATGTCGTCTTCGTCATCGACGTTAGCGGCTCCATGGGTGGCTCCAAGATCAGGCAGACCAGGGAGGCGATGAGGACAATCCTGGCAGACATCCGCGAGGGAGACAGGTAAAGGGCCACTTTTAAACTTTACGATCAATATTCTTCTATCTGTGTCTGTGAAAAATAGCCATAAAACGGCAAAATAATAATCTGCGGCTGTTTTTCCCGAGCCATATACGTACTTCGCAAGAGCATCATTACTTCCGCCAAGGCGGTTATGCTTTCTCCGGCGTTGGTTTGTGTGTGTGTGTTGGTTGGTTAGTTAGTGTGTTTGTCTGTGAACAGGATAACTCACCAAAGTTCTGGGCGGATTCTCATGAAATTTTATTTTAGGGGTTGTATCGATTATATTTTGGAAGTGATCGGGAACTGCGTGTGGATGCAGAATGGTTTTTCACCCAAATGCATGTAAAACATTCACCAGATCGCTCTGTGCATAGGTATACGTTCATGTGCGTGGCACTGACCCGGTGACCCTGTATGCATTGTATGTAACCCGCCTAATCTAACCACACAGGTCAATGGACTGTACCATTTTATAGAATGGGGGAGTGGAAAAGTAGACCAACACAGGCATAATACATACACAATGTTTGAGTTTAAGGATTTTTTAATGTGCAATAAAATATGGAAGTCCAATGGATATGCAATGCTATGTGGGTGTGCTAACAATATGGCACATAAAGTTCAACCCTTGGCGGAGGTACGTGTGCGCTCTCTGAGTGCTTTTAAGTTTCTAATGGTCCATATTCACTGCAGATTGAACATTGTGACTTTTACGGATGACATCGAGGTATGGGAACAGGGAAAGATGGTGGAGCGAACGGACACATCCATCAGTCAGGCTCTGGAGTTTTCGGACGGACTTCGCGCATTGTACGGTAAGACGACTTGCACAAGTGCTGACCAATTTCATGAATTATAATTGGGCATGAAATAGATGTTACGATATGTTCATTTCAAATAGTGCAAATTTGATTAATCATAAGATGTTTTTTTTTGCTGGGGCGGGAGGGCAGCCTATAGTGTCCGCTCATCTCACACACTGACTGAGTCCCTGACTGACTGACTTAAACTTGTCAGCCGGGCAGTGCAATTGTATAGGATTACCCCTTGACGCCAATGAATGGACTACACATACGGCCCATTGTGGAGGCCGCATGCACGACAAAGACCGTGAATATCCACTCTGAATAGAGTTATGGGAGCAGTTTTATTGGACTTTGTTTTGGTCTTGTCACAGGCACCAACCTTCATGGTGGGCTGATGGCGGCTATTGACCTGCTTAATGTGGCTGCCTTAGAGGACAGGCACGACGAGAGAGATGCGTTCTCCATGATCATCATGCTGACGGACGGACTGCCTTCTTCGGGAGTAACCAATCTCAACCAGGTCCGTATTAAATTCATGCACACATACGGTCGCAGAATGAACCAAATAATCTACTCGTGTGACTATTAATGAAAATGTTATTAATGAAAAAAGAAGAAGACACGTCTATTATGTTTGTATGGTGAAACAAATGATGGTGGTTTCCTATACCGTCATGATCCTATGGTAGCAGACCAGTAAATAAACTTCCATAGACCCCAATGGTAAATGCTCCCACTTCAGAAATTCGGGGAAAATACTCACAACTCTCCAAGGTGTTCGAGACACACATCAAATTAAAGCTTATTTCATCATCTTTCATTTTCTTTTCAATTTTCGGGGGGTCAACTGATGACTTTTAGGAGAAATTTCCATCTGAAGATGATCACCCCTGAATATAGTCCTGAAGCCCATCGCCATTTTGAAAAACGATGCCTACACTCCATTGCAAAATAGAGCGCTTTTAGGGTCCAAATTACATCCAAATTACACAGAACTGCATGCTCCCAGTCCTGTGCACGGCTTCCACCCATATTTTTTACAAACCCTCAAGTTCATGGCCCACAGCATGCTCAAATACTGAAGATTTTGAGGGCATGCAAATCGTGATTTGGCCGGCGTAGGCAATTTCGGACCGATTTACTGGTCCGCACCCCTATATCGCCGTTGCACACAATGTCAGATCTGGAAAGTGCTATACATGCGGAATTTCTTTACAAAATGGGGGACGCCATTTGGGATTTCTTTTTTTATTTACTCACCCTGTAGGCTATATATGAGTATAGCTCCCAACCCTCTTTCGAACTTTTCGCTGACGAAAAAAATAGGATTGTTCGCTTTATGACACCACATCATGTAGTGGACGATTGATGTATTAGAATTCGAAATGGGTCACAAGTCAGCGCAATACATAAGAAGAAAATGTCATATAATTATGTCGATTTGCCACTAAATCGTTATCAATAAGATCTGAGTGTTTGTTTGAATGTTCTGGCAGGCAGTTCCATATAGTCGCGCTGAACGAAATTATTACTACACACGCATGAAACAGTTATAGGAGCGACTACCTAAACAATATCGATTGTTGCAGTCTTGAAATGAATCCAGAGTCTGTATTTAATGGGAAATTAATACATTAATTTGAAACTATTAATTTGGATCGACATGCGTATCGATCCCAAATCATTTAGGATCAGCGCGGTACTGCTACAGGGTCAGTAAAAAAAAAAGCGGAACCCAAACCAAATACATTTCATATTTAAAAAAAAACATGTAGCACCAAAAATAATAATGACTGGAAAGCCAGTTTCGTAAACTATATATTTTCAGATGAAACAAATTGACTGAAATTGCTCAATCCGTTCAAAGAATATCACCATTTAAACACAATGAGCCTAAAACCTTCGTCGTCGCAAGAATCGTCGTCGCAGGTGTCTTCAAACATCACCAGCGATAATCCTGAGTCAGTTAAAAAGTCAAACGTATTCCACAAAAGTGTTTTTATTTTGAAGGCCCAATCTTTTGAAAAAAAGTGAATAACATGTATATAAGTCGTACTGTTTGCCTAAGCAGGGTTGGTAATAAATATATTGTGTACTACAGTTGTTGACAGTTGTTGAAACAAGTATTCTGTGTCATTCTCTTTATTGTTTCAAATAGACAGAACACACAGTACATTGCATTTTTTTGGGACGAAACAGGTCATTGCGTTTAAATGGTGATATATTCTTTGAAAGGATTAAGCAATTTCAGTAATTTTTTCATCTAAAAGTAGTTTCTGAAATTGGCTTTCCAGTCATTATTATTTTTGGTGCTGCATATTTTTTTAAAATATGAAATATATTTGTTGTACTATAGTCTGAAACGGCTATGATTTTTTTGCTATGTTTTGAGGATGTGAAGCGTTTTAAGATACATCTCTTTAGCGGACTTCCTTTCTGAATATTTCTTGCACACCCCAAAGATACGTGACGACGTGCTTCGGGCCATCGATGGTCAGTTCTCCCTCTTCTGCCTGGGCTTCGGTTCCGATCTTGACCACAACTTCCTGGACAATCTGGCCACCGAGAACCAAGGCGTGGCCCGCAAGATCTACACCGACAGCAGCGCCTCCCTCCAGCTCAAGGGCTTCTACAACGAGGTGGCAACCCCACTGCTCTTCAACATCAACATCGAGTACAACAACGTGGAGTCCAGCACACAGACCAGCTTCCTCAGCTACTTCGAGGGGACGGAGATCATTGTGGCCGGCCAACTGGCCAACGAGCTCACGGTAGTGGAGGGCGGAGTTGCGGAATTAGTGGCGACAGTGTCGGCAAACTCTATGGACACGTTTATACAGCTGGACACCAAGGTGGATGTACAGGTATGTCTCTAATGCCGACAAAACGAGTTTACTGAAACATCACGGTACATGTATATGGTTTGGTTATGTAAAGGTGAACTCGCTTTTTGAATGAGGACCTAATAGGAATCCACGACCAGTGGTTGATGCAGGATTTTTAGGGTTAGTGGAGGTCTTGAATTAAGCCTAGGATTTTCAAGGTCGTTGAACATTGATACGATATTGGTAGTATTGTGTGACGTAATTTTAAGACAAGAACAGTACATTTTGTGCTGTCTTCAGTACTTTGTCGGTTAGACAAAAGGGAGGTGTAGTTAAACAACCCAAAGCATGCTCTACAATAATCTGCCCTTAAAGAGAATTTCTAACGATAGATAAAATAACAATTTGGGGGAAAAAATGATATTTTGATCTTATCAAGAGTAGCTTTCATTTTAAATTAACAAATTGTAAATTATTTGGTAACTCATAACACCACAGGGCCTTTCGGTATTTTGTTGACTTTTCTTTTATTTTATTCACGCTCGTATAGACCCCTCCCCCAGCCGTTCTCAGTCGGCACTCCGTGGATGATTTCTGTCAGCGCCTGTGGGCCTACCTGACTATCAAGTCGCTTCTGCAATCTCGCAAGATCTCGAGAAATAACAACGAGAAAGAGGCATTAAAATCCAGAGCTTTGGAGCTGTCCCTGAGGGTGAGGTTTAGAATGTCGAGTTGTTTCGATGTCAACAACTCGGGTGTTCAACTTTGTTTGCGGAGATGTTGTCATGTCATTACGCTGTAAAAAGAAAAAGTTGGGAGGAACACTGTTGGGCAATGTTATTTGCCGATCTTAAGTATGAAATTAGTTGTTGTAAAAACAAAGTGTAGTAATAAAACACATTGTTGAACAAAGTTACTTGCGTGACATTTAGTATGAAATTACCTCACTTGTTGGTTACCTCCGGTAAAAATATTCGACCAATATTGTGAAGAATTTAATTCTTCAAGAGTGTCGGCAGTTGGTATATTGTATAATTGCGGAAAATACCAACCAATTTTGTGAAAATTTATTAAGCAAGGAATAAGAATTTGATATTTCAATTCAGTTCAATTCTGTGTTTTTCAAACGCAACCACCAAATAAATTGAAGTTAGCTACCAATACTTTTACATTAAAAGTACAAGAGAAGTCAGGGGCGGATCTGGCTTCCGAATGGTAGCACTCGGAGATCGATCGAATTCATCTTATATAAATCAATTAGACGAATTTGATATCTGAATAGCAAGGTTTAGCGTAGACGAGACAAAGTCGAATACCCCCGACGAAAACGTGTGATCATGGTAGAATTTGTTTGAACTGAATTTGAAATTGTCTGACAATAGACGAAATTAAACATTGAAAGTGCACTAAATCGATGTAGATTGACAAATTTGAATATAGGTTTCCCCCGGCTTTTTAAAAACATTTTTCGTTCGAATTCACCGATTCTTATATTCAATTTCGTCCATGAACATCGATTTAGTGCACTTTCAGTGTTTAATTTCGTCTTGTGTCAGACAATTTCAGATTTAGTCCAAACAAATTCAAACAATGAGCACACGTTTTCGACCCGGTGTATTCGATTTCGTCTCGTCTACGGCGAATAGTGTTATTCAGAAATCAAATTCGTCTAATCGATTTATATAAGACGAATTCGATCTCTGAATGCTGCCATTCGGCAACAGCTTAGACGAATTGGATCTGTAATGACGAATAGTCTAGACCCGGTAACTAAAGAGGGTGACCAAACTTCAATGGTAAATGACTAAATTGGTTTTGTTAAAAGCGTGTGAAATTTTTTCGTGGACGAAATTGAATGATAGAGTGGGTAAATTTGAATGAAAAGTCTTTTAACATAGCTGGGAAAACCTATAAATCCGCAACTGGAAATGACCTCATAAATACTGCACTGCATCCATTCCACAGTACCATTTCGTCACGCCATTGACATCCCTGTTGGTGGTGCGACCGGAGGAAGTGGATGAGGTCCCGGCGCCGATCGATGGCGAAGCCCCGGTGGCTGAGGCAAACGAGGCGACTCAGGGTCAAGGGCCGGCACCCCCCCAAGGACACCCACCCCCGAGAAAGCAATCCTCACCGCAAAACAACCCATCAGGTATTCTGTCAAATAATGCGACCCTTTGGCACAAAATCGGTCACCTGGACCAATTTCTGAAAACTGGTGTTTTGATCTCATTTGGAAAGGATATTGAATGAGCTTTCCAGTGATGTATAGAATATGGCAATCGGACAAAATCTGACGGGCCTCGCAAAATAAATTTTAAAAAACCGAGAAATTTGTCGTTCGAGTTTCCAAATGAACTCCTTATACACCAGCACACTACAACAGCCATACAAACAATCTGTATTAAAATTTGGAGTATACATTCATCATGCATGTCCTAATTCATACACATTTAAATTCATCAATACGCTGCATCCATGCAATTTCCGACTGGTTTTGTGCTGCGTGGTCACAAAATGGATTGCCGTTTTCCTTTCCTAAAAAAACCCAGATCTGATTGTTTACGGTGTTTTTTTTATTGACCAGAGCATTAAATGTTGGGAGTTGTTATCCGTCCAGGAGGATGAGTGCCATGGTTTGGTGGGCCATCAGATCAGTCAGAAAAGATTTTGCGAGTTGGTTGGTCAATTTCGAGCGTATTTTCATACCCCAGTCAGTGCCCTCCACATAGCTATTTGATGACAAGAGAACATTTTCATGGGGCCTATAATAGGGTATGTGTTTCACTCCCAAAATCCTATAGGTAGCTCCGGTGCTCAACAGACAGGACAAAGTGGAGGTCGCGGTGGGGGTCGCGGTGGGGGCGGCGGTGGAGGCGGCGGTGGAGGAGGATTTGGTAAGCATGGCTTAAGTCAGAAAAGACATTTTTTAAGTTGGTGTAATTTGCTTGATCACCTATTAGAGGAGGGGGTGTGGCCTTTAGGGTTTGTGACTCATGATCAGGGGTTCAAATCCAGCTGCTGGCCATTTTCTGTGTCCTTGTGCAAGCCACTTCATCCCCACTTGCCTCTCTCCACCCAGGAGTATAAATGGGTACCAGCATTAGCTGGGGAGTAAACTGCGGTGGACTAGCATTCCGTCCAGGGGGAGTAGAAATATTCTGAGATAAACGCCGGCCTGATGGGCCACATCGGCTCCTGACAGACTTTACATTTTGTTTAACTTTAAATATTTTTGCGTAGAATTGTTTATTTTGGTGTAAGTTTCTTTTTTTTTTTGGTTGGTATTTATTTTCTCCAGCGGATAGTGATCCCCACTTCGTGGTGCATGTCCCGGCGAGTGACGTCACCGTCTGTTTCGACATCTTGGGCCAGGCAGGCGAAGTCTACAACCTACTGACAGACGAGACATTGGGTAACGCACGACGCAGTTGTCATTCCTCCATTTTTCATTTGATAACGTTTTATTTTAATTAATAGAATTGAGTTAAAAAAAAAAATAACGACCAGACAGTTATTCTATTACGATTCGAATGATTTTTGCATAATGCATTAAGATCCTAAAATCACCCAACAGTTTCGGGTGGATCCTGTTCTCAAAAAAATAAATCTGTTCTTTTCTGTAACCTTTTGTTATAACGTTTATTTTATCAGCTGGTAACTTTTTGAAAATAAAAGTTGGCTAGTAAGCTAATAACTTTTATGCAAAATACAAAGAGAAATTTCCGGATGTTTCGCAAAAGACCAGCGTACTTTGGGGAACATTTTTGAACCCAACTCTGAAGCGATTGTGGGCTAGGGCCCTACACTGTGACACGAGAGCTAACAATGACACATCACTTTAATACGCGCACTGATGGACGAAAACGTGTGCTTACTGTTTGAATTTGCTTGAACTGAATTTGAAATTGTCTGACACTAGACGAAAATAAACATTGGAAGTGCACTAAATTGATGGTGATGGACGAATTTGAGTGTTAGAAACGGTGAATTCGAATGATGAACGTTTTAAAATAGCCGGGAAAACCTACATTTAAATTGGTCCTAACGCCCGAAGGTCGATATACGTAACCTTTCTGTTACATTAATCTTGCCAGGTATCCATGTCATGGGCTTCATCGTAGCAGCACCCAAGCCCAAGCCAGGGGCGCTCCGTACCCGTACGTACTTCGGCCGCATTGCGGTGCAACTCGGAAGACATACCGTAAAACTCTCCACCGGTGATATTGTCTTTGACAATAATATGGTGCTGTCTTGGCAAAACGCTGTAACTGTACACAGAGGTAATTCAAACGGAACGTTTGTCTGTTCCCATTTTCGTTTTTCGCTTATGGATATGTTTCACTGTTTATTTATTATATTGATCTGTTGTAATATTTTGCCTCCATCTGCATTCAAGGGCAAATAGTATAGGCCTAAAGTTGCCTCGTGGTGGTGGTCCAGAAAATGAAGAAAAAAATCCCCACAACTTAAAATTAATTTTACTCACCTTAACTTACACTTTCGCAAAAAGGTCTTTTTATACAATCGAAAACTACATTCAGAACCAGAACCATATTCAAAACGCAAACGTAAAAGTACATTTGTTATTTCGATGAGCAAATCCAGAACCATCCCAGCTAATACCATTACTTGCTCTCCGTATACCCTGTACGTAACTCACTCTTTCACAAACATTTTCACACACACTCACACTAAAGCACGTTTTTGCAAAGCCAAGCAAACATAACAAAACAAATTAAATGTGTAATTTTGCTACTGCAAATCCCTTGTAAGTATTCCCAGGACTAGCACCTTCATATCTAAACTATATAGTGGGGCAGATACGGAAAATATTTTGGGGAATTGTGCCTTTAATGATGCAGGCATGACATTTGGCACAATGTCACCTTATAAAAAGTGTTTGGTAAAATAAGAAAATATAGGTAGAATAACAAGTAATTTTCCAAATGACTGCCATTGCTTGTTATTTCACCTGTATTTTTTTCAATGGACAAATCTGCGATGGCCCAGTAACAGTAACCAAATATCTTTCTTATATCATACTCTGACTGTGTGCCAAATGCCATGCTTGTATCATCAAAGGCACAATCCCATCACCTATCTACCGTGCTAGAACTCTGATCGAACGGATCTTTTCCCCCGATCATTTTCTAAGGTAATTGGTCTCTGGCTGTCCACGACAAGCAAGTAGAGATTACCAATACCGATGGTGGTATCAGTCTTGCCTTCATGCTGCATCGTATGAACCCAGACAATACCTTCAAAGTGGACCACTTGGGATTCTACATCGTCAACCACGAGGGGCTTACGGACCAAGTCCATGGATTGATAGGTAAGTGGCGGATTTGGGGTGCGCCATCGGCACTCTCTAAATCCCAAAGAGTGAAAATTTACTCCATTCGAGCGAAGATTCACTCCCACAGTCGGAAACTAGGGACTAGACGTCATAGAGTGAAATTTCTTCAATCGTTAAAGATCGAGTTTTCACTCGAGCTTCGACTGAAGTGGTTCTTTTTTTCAGACTATTTCAATCGAAAATGAGAGTGATTTTCACTCTAAAATGTCTAGTCCCTAATTTCACTCTTTGGAATTTAGATAGCACCATTTCACAATAACCCTCTGTTCTACTGACGTCACACTTTGTTTACATGTGCACCCCCAATGGAGCCAGTGGGCCGGGGCCCATGGTCCACTGAGCACCATAGGAAAGCACACACGTAAACAAAGTGTGACGTCATTAGTACAGAGGCTTATATTGACCCTTCTTAAGTAAAATTCAAATCTGCTCCTATATTCAAAGTTGAACGATATAAACAAGAAATGATTGGTGTGTGATGCCGTCATATACAGACAGTGACCGTAAGAAAGTGACCGAATTAGAGAAAATATTTTTTAAAAATTTGACTCTCACCATTTTCAATAAAAGTCACCACTGTCATTAGTACATGTTATTGACTAGTAACTGTGCACATTTCACTTCATTTGCATACTGTACTCCCAAGTTACATCTATTTTAATGTGAAGATCACAAAATTCAGCTGTCCACCACTGATCCTAATACCGTCATATACGAACTGACGAATACCCATTAAATGCAATGAAACAAGAACGTTTTCCCACCTCCATGATTGGAGGAGACCTCGCAAAGGAAAATGTACCAAAATCGTCATTTATATTTCAGACAGAAATAGATGGCTTGTACCCTCGTATTCAAAACACAAAATCTGACAGTAAAAATTACGTTTCAGTCTTTATTCAATTGATTAAAATCTCCGTTGTATTTGAATACCTGTGTGTAATCTGTTATTCTCACTGCTTCTAATGGCATTCCATGGACAGCCATAAAAATTGGTTCTTTTAGTAAAACGTGCATAACCTTGGATAGCATGGATCTATTTCAGCATTTTTTTTTAGATGAGTGGAAGAAAATGTTCTTTTAAGATATACTACATTGGTGTTTCAAATTTGATGTTTTTAAGAAGAAAAAAAAATCGTTAATTCTAGTCACTTTCTTTTTGACTCGCACTGTATTCCAGTCATTATCAAAAAAGTCACAGTAGATTGACTGTGTCGCCTACCAAAACAGAAAAAGACCTTATGCCAAATTGTACCGTTGGTATTATTGCAGGACAATTTCAGCGCAGACAGGTACGCGTCAAGCCGCAGAGCGAGCCCAAGGATGGAGTGATGGGTGAACTTACCGTCATGGACCGGCGAGTCGACGTGGTGCAACGGTCGAGGATGAACTCGCTCGTCGGTCACAAACAACCCTGCTGGTTCGCGGCCGGCAACGACCACGGCCTGATAGACGGCTCGCATGCCGATTACTTGGTGCCACTGGAGATGATGCCGTGAACCAGCGTAGCTTTGTTCGGTTTGTAATAAAACAGCAATAAGTTGTTCTTTTCTAGAAGGAACTCGACAAGTGCTACATTCCTCAAAATTATACTCCATTTAGGCTACTATTAATAGCTCTTTGAAGTTGGCCTCCGTTTTATGCTGTAAAGCTACCTTTGTTAGCTCTCCTTTTCAGCTGAAGAGACAATAGACCTTGATCATGCTGCCACCATTTCAGTCATGTTTCCTGTATCCCATGACAGTACTTAATGTTAAAGGGAATGTACATCATTGGCTTTTGCTATAATTTTCTAGAAATGAACTATTTGAGGGGTTAGTATAACTGATCAAATATTGTTACACTGACATTTTTGAAGTTTTGTGTTCGAAAAGGTTGGAAAAACCAAGAAAAACCAAAATGTTCAAGTAGTCTGGTTCCCTGACTCCACAGAAGATAAAATGGATCAATGTATAGATTATGGAAAATTGTAAGGCAAGGGAACCAGTCTAGCTGGCCTACACCCGTTCATGAACATGTAACCAATAGCAAACAAAATTTGGGCTGAAAAAATGGTAAATTTGGAGCAGTAGTTAAAAAATAGTTAGGTTTTTCCAACGCTGATCGGCCGACCAGCCGACCTGATCGGCCGTTGGAAATGTATACAAAAATACCATTTTCTTGAAAATGACTTCACACCAGGTGCCATAATTTTACAAGATGCTTGAGACTGTCATTTACCAACATCCTAGTAAGGTATTTCGTAAAAACTTGGTAGTTTTATTTTTCGATGTTTGCAAATGTTGTATATTCCCTTTAACCAGCAAAAAGGAACCAGACTATTTTTTTCTTCCAGCCTAACTTTGGTTACGTTGATTTGAATGGGAAAAATCAAGATGGCCGCAACATGATAATGGTCTATAAGCAAAATGTAAGATATTGCCAGGCCACATTTTTGTTATACATCTAACCTGCTTTTTAGTGCATGTTTGTTAACAGCGTTGGTACAGAAGAAATTATGTCTATACATCAGTCTTTGTTGCGTTTAGCATTTAAGTATCATTTCTATGCTAATAACTTAATGTCAAAATATATTGTATATGACATAAAAGTTAGCTTTTGTATGCATGCACTTTTACGATACTTTGTGAGACAACTGGACAAGTGTTCATTCATAATGAGTACAATTATTTTCTGCTCCATTCTGCAGTCGTATACCAACTGGGCGTCCTTATGAAAAATTGTGAAAAGTGTAGTTTAGGCGATTAGTTACAAGAACTCATAATATTCTGACACTCGTTGCCAACCCCCAAAACCCACAATTTGTGTGTGGAACATCCAACAGAAACAGGGTGAAGCGCCCCCATCCGAAAACAGAAGTCCAGCCAAATGACGTCATTCCAACAGCATCTCTGCCACTGACAATTTCGACCATGGAGCTATGTGTTTTATAGCTCCATGTTTCGACAAGCCTCGAATTGGCCACAACAAGTCAATCCTGTTTCCTGTAAAATTTGTGTTGTGCATTAAAAAACATAATTTCAGTTTTTTCAAGAGCTTGTATCGAGTCGTAAGTTTTTTTTTCCATGTTCGTAATAAACGATCTATGCCCCTTCAACTACTGAAAGCATTATTATTATTATTATTATTATTATTATTATTTATTCGGCCTTCAACAACAGGTACAAGGTACAACATGTAGGCCTACATGAACAACATACAATTTCAAAATATACTAAAATTAGAGACAAAAACAACCCTATCAAAGTTGGCCAGGACTGACAAAAGTATAATGAAACACTTTGACTGGAAAGCCTGCCGATCCTAACTTGAATAGGTTACACATAGAATAGAAATAAAAATATATAAAATAATGCATAAATTACTACATGATTAAAATTTGCTTAGAAAAACAGTGAATTAACAAAAGTTATTAAAAACATTATTTTATAACATAAAAACAACAAAAAAAAAAAAAACAACAAAAACCCCCCAAAACCAAATCCCCTTCTGCAATCGCTCTCCCTCTTTAAGTCACTCCCTCATAACCCCCCCCCCCCAACCCACACCAAATACATGCAAGCTGTCTATCTACAAGAGAAAAATCAGAACAATGAATAGGAAAATAATTGAATGAGCTGCAAAAATTTAAGAAGTAATTCAAATCAAAGAACAAGGCAAGAAATATCAAAAATATAACATACATGTAGAAAAGGAAAAAGAACTAACAAATGAATTTAAAGCAATGCATATTCTCAATTTATCTTCTTTTTTGTGTGAGGGTGGGTGGGGAAACATTTGCCCACCCCACCCTCAGTGACACCCCTGCGGACGCCCATGTCGTTGCATTATATTATAAACAAGCAATACGACTTGGCACCTCGTCTTCATTTTCTTTGTTCTCTTTTTTGCTTTTCTGGGGGTTCCCCGCATCCCCACCCCCACGCCTCAAGACGCCCATGACATTGCACCAAAATAGAAGAAAATCCCACTTTCTTGGTGGAATTATTACTTGTTTGCATTATCACTTCATCTACGAGTACCACATAAACTATAGAAGTGAGACGACTCATTTTAATTTTTTTAGAAATGCAAAGATCAGAAACGGAACTCCCAATCGACGTGGCGTAGTATCAAGAATCGTTGCTAATTATCGCACGCGCCGTCACCCCTGGGAACAGCCTATTGTCATGCCCGTCAACTGCAATATATTGCTCGCCCAAAGTCATTAAGGTAAAAGTCACCTTGAATGGCATAGCACATACAGCGCGCAATATACCAAGGTAAATTTTGTGCATGCGCAAGTGGTATGACATTCCTTCCACAGGTGTTGCGATCACACGAACGCTACGCGTTGAAAATATAGGCTCTGCCTTTTTTTTTATTGCGCCACAGTTCTTGTCGATTTTTTTTAGTTTCTGGAGCGCACGTCTCATAGAGGAGACCCATCTTTAGACGTATTATCGCACTTTTGGTAGAGGAAGGATTACTTACTGAATTCGGATAATCCAGGGGAGAGGATTTTGATTTGTTTCTGGGAACGTTTTTGAGAATTTTTTTTTCACCATGCGGTTAGCCATGACGCAGGTCCGTTTGTGTCTTCTGTGCTGCGTGGCATCGCTGATTCATGGAGGTAAGGATATTTTTTTCTTGCTTAATTATTCTTTTCATTAGACTCCAATTTGTTTTTAAAGAGATACCATTGTTCCACTGATGACTAGACCTGTCTTAACTTAATCGTGTACGTGGTTCTCCAGAGATTTCTTATTAGAACTCTTGTGATTTTTCATTCCCCATCCGCGCGATGTACCTTTTCCATCTTGTCTGAATCCAAGGGATTCTTGGATAGATTGATTAGAAATATTGTCTAATTGAAATGTTGTCTCATTTCCATAACACGATAAATAAAAGTAATTGACATAATGTGTAATTTAGTAAGACTAGAGAAACCTTCAGCAGGAACCACATTTTTTACATAACCCATATGAAGAGATCATTCTTTATCTTGCACCAAAAGAATGTGCAAGATGAAATTTAGTAAGCAGGAGTATTTTTGTTAATTTTTTTTGTGGGGGGGGGGGGGGTTCAGCTCGTTCTATGAAAAAGCTAGTTCTGTCAAAATTTAATGTCAAAGCTTTTCTATAATTATGCAAGTTGTTTAATATTGAATGATTCATAAATATTGAATATGTATAGAAATTATGCGTGAGCCCGTAGTACTGTGAAAAAAAAATTACTGTCAAAAAACTGTTCAGGCTTGTGTCCACTTAACCTAATGAAAATTTTAACAGCTTTATGGATTATTAACGGTTTAATTTAAGCGACTCGCTGCAAGTGTCAAAGTATATTTTTGTTCTCTCTTCTGACTGCGAAAACACTGGACATAAATAGTGCTGTCGAAATTTTTAGAGCTAGTGTCACAGTGTCATTGAGGACATCTTAAAGAAATAATTTTGACCATTTATGAACGCAATTATCCCTTAGGTGCTGCGTGGCGTACATTATTCCGTAACTAAATTTCCGTATTTCTGTAACGCCAAAACTATATGCGATACTTAAATCCTAAGAATTCTTTCTTTCCACCACATTGTGTTTTGGTACAGACATTGATCCGTCGAAAGAAATTTCACATTGTCCGCAGATTTTATCTCGAGAATATTTAATTCAGCTGTTTTTAATTTCACTTACCGATAATCATTTACATAATACTTTCATATTTTGAAAAACTAAATTGTTAATAACCACACCAACACCTCTGTCAACTCGGAGTGATAGAGTTCCTCAAAGAGACTATTGTGGCGAGAATAAAGAACTTCCTGTTGCTTTTATTGTGCATATTTGCGTCTTCAAGAAGCTTAATTGTAAGGGTAAACAACTCTTCGTACGCGTGGTTATTGGGGTTCATCTTTTAATTAAATCTACCACCGCTGGCTGCAAATTGACTTTATAGCCGCGGTTCCTCCGACTGTTACAACAAGCCTATCGGTTGCACTCGAGTAGTTAGGATCATGTATATCAAACTTACAATATTTACTTAAATAGTGTCAGAATTAATATTGCTGCCATTTTCAATCAGTGTATTAAATTCTAAAACAGCCTCTTCTCAAAATATACGGCACGGTATAGCCGGAAACACAGTTTAATTGTTTGATTAAAGGGAATATACAACATTTTCCTTTGCCGTAATGTCCTGAAATATATGGATTTTGGGGGTTAATTTTTAAAGAAAACGTCATTACACTAACTTGTTTGGAGTATTGTGTTCGTATAGATGTTGTAAAAACCAAGAAAAACAATCGTGTTCTTGTAGTCTGGTTCCCTGACCCAGTTAAATTTAAATGGAGCAATTTATAGACGTCGGGGAATTTTAAGATCAGGGTACTGATGTATTTGGTTTTTACCCGTTCATAGGTGTGAAATTGATTAAAAATGATATTCAGACTAACTCAATAATGGTAAAGTGGGGCAATATTTGAAAATAGCCAGTTTTTTCCAACGCATTTTTCTTGAAAATGTTAACACACCAGGTGCCATGATTGTACAAAATACTCTGTCGTTCACTTTCAGTCCAGTAATTTTTTTTAATAATAATTTTGCACTTTTTTTGCCCGAAAATTGCCCGAACCAAAGGCGAGGACACCGGCAGCCAGCAGGCCTCTTGCCGATTGTAAACGTACTTGTTTAATACCGGCCAAGCACATATTTATTCCCATTCATAAATACCTTTCGGTCAAAAGGTCAAAGTCCAAAATTCACAACTTTCCAACTACGTTGCGTTTTGTGAAACACCCCTCTGGCACGTCTATGGCATGTGACTTGCGCGCGCAGTGCTAAAAATTTCCTTTTATGGATATTGGCGTGCGCGGCGCGTACTGCGAGATGTTGCGCAGAACGCAGTGTTTATCGGCGGCTTGCAACCAACCACGTGACTGGCTCTTGACTAATAGAAATTGGTGAACTGTCTCAGGTATATATGAAAAACAATGGTTTTATAGCAAAGGTTGTTTTATTCACTTGGAATGCTCGTCATGTATTTTGAACCCAACACAAGAAAATGTATTATGTATGAAGCCAGGGACAGGGTGGAATTTTTTTTTTTGTAATTTGCTAATTCGTTCCCACGAATTACTAATTCGTTCGCACGAATTGCTAATTCGTTCCCACGAATTGCTAATTCGTTCCCACGAATTGCTAATTCGTTCCCACGAATTGCTAGTTCGTTCCCACGAATTACCAACTCGTTCCCACAAATTACTAACGCGTTCCCGGATGCACGAGTTAGCAATTCGTTCCCACGAATTAGGAAATCGTGCGAACGAAATAGCAATTCGTGGGAACGAGTTAGCAATTCGTGGGGAAAAAAATTCCACCCTGTCCCTTCCCGGGCTTCATAATTATGCGGCTTACCGTTTTCTTTTAATTTACTGGAGCCTCACATGAAAAGCTGTCTAGTTGGTTCGCTATAGCGAGTTCAGTTCAAGCAACCATATTATCGCCACAAAAAAAAATATACAAACGAATAAGATAAATGAACTAAATGAAATGAAACTTAAACAGAATATCTGTTACTTGTTGTCGGATCTCATTCATTGGATGATTAAATCGATTCTTAATTCGAACATAAAGACCGAATAAAAAAAACCCCACAATTATCATGTCTCCTATAGCGACGAATCACCCATAAATTAGGTTATGAATTAATTGTCAGTACCATGCGCACAACATGTACTAGGAGTCACGACTGCATGACATAAAGAATTGGACAGGCCTATTTTCAATACAATATAATTATTTGGAGGACCTCCATCTTTAACATGCGTAAATTAATTCCCCAAAAATCGATACTGACAGTAATTAAGACCACACTGCGTCTTTGAGTTGTAAGAGAACAAAAGAATTATTGTGTGACGTCAACACCAGAGTATCGATTTGGATTGTATTTTTCTCCATGAGAAAACCCGGCATCACCATGACAACAAAGCGACCTGAGAATCAATTTATCCACATTTTTTTTTTGAGAAGGGAAATATTGCATAAGGATGTAACAATTCCAAGCGTAAAATCGATTGAATCTCTTTGCGGTATATTTTTACATTTTTTTTTAAAAACAACTCTCCGTTGACATTCATGATATTCAGAACAATTGGCATTCGATGTAGTAAACTATTACTAGTTTACTGTTTAAGATTGAGTGCATCAATGACAATGTAAAGAATAACCAGGGAACAACAGTACTGCCAATTTCATGAGGAAAACACGAAGAGGCACTTATACCATTTATTTTGCGTGAGGAGGAGCACTATTATTTTTAAAAAGCCAGTTTTCCACGAGAGAGGCGCAATAATGTTGTGAGCGGGGCACTAAAAAATTGTGCTTTCGAGGGGCAGTTGTACATCTCGAGAAGTTATCGCGAGATGAACACTCTTGTTTTTGATGGCCAATTTGCCATCTCGAGAGGGGCACCATTTTATTATTGCGACAGGGGTATTTGTGCTTTCGAGGGGTAGTTTTGCGAGAGGGGCACTTGTGTTTTTGAGGGGCAGTTTTCCATTACAAGAGAGGAAACAATTTTAGCGCGATCATTATGCTTTCATACGTGTGCGTTTGAGGGGCAGTTTTGTTTTCATCTCGAGGGGGCACATTTACATCCACGAGAGGGGCACTTTTGTTGGCCTGGGAAAATCTGTGGGGGGGGGGGACACACACAATTAAGTGCCCCCGCCCCCCCCCCCCCCCCGGTTCAGCCGCCCCTATTTGAATCAACGACATGTTTTGTCACCGTATATAGAAGCTAACAATTAGTACCATCAATTGTAAAAGTAATAAAAATGACTTGTTGGTTTGACTTCAAATGAAGTCAAGTGTGACTTTCATCACACTTTCATTATCATCTCATTCTGTCTCAAAAAAAACGAACGTTAAAATATAAATTTGACCTTTTTAAAGTTGTAATTGCACTATATCCGGCTTTAATACTATGCATAATGCTAAACATGTCTTAGACTAAACATGTGAAACAAGTGAATACCAAAAATGTTTAAACTCTGAGAACTATTTTTACAGTGTAAGCTTGTCGCAGACATCCATGTCTAAACGTGTCGTAGATTCCAACGTGAAAAAGTGGGTACAAAATTAAGGGTGTGTACAGGCATAACATTCACTGTGTGGACCTCCGAACAAAAGATGTCTACATAAACCAGGTTATGTGGACTTGCCCATTTCCAAACAATGTTTCCCCCTCTCTGGAAAACAGGTTATGAGGCATTTTTTGGGTTAGGTTTATCCGTGGCAAAATGAAGAGAAACACTAAAGGGAATCATAGAAAAAAAACTTTGGGTTGAAAGAGTTTTCATAGTGTGAGTAAAATGAGTTTTTTACAGGTTTTTCTTAACTACACGAAAACAAAAGAATGTCGACACCAAATATGTAACGTAAACAGGTGTGTTTAGAAATGTGTTTAAACTCTAGACACAGTTTTTACAGTGTATACCGCTAATCTGAAAGGAATAAAGACACAGTCAATGAATAGTCAATCTTTTTGTTCATCTTTTTTTTTCTTCAAATTCAAAATCAGTGGGGTTAAATATTAGCAGATTGCAAACGATGACTTAGTTTTCTTCAAGTTTTGTTTAGTATCCCTTAAAAATTCAAAATTTGAATCGCAAAGTTTGAGGATTAAAAAAAACCCAATGCCTGCTCTTCTCATAAACTGACGGAATTAGTTTCTCTGTTGTTTTGAATGTAAATTTGACATTATGATGTGTTTATTTTTGGCAGAATTTGGTGAAGAGTCGCTCGAGTCCCCACAGTTCTGCCACAAGACAATTAAAGACGAACCCTGCATGCTGCCAGATTGTACGAGGTATGTCAATAATATTAAAAAGAATAATAAAGTACCAACAAATACATCGATCTACTTATTACAAATAACATACGAATAATAATAATCAACTGTATAATACACATACAAGGCTAAAAACAGTGAAATTATGATACACTTAATTTACAAAAACAACTTCACTTTGCCCCAGGTTCAGTCAAGCAGCGTTGCAATTAAGAAAATTGGTAAATAAGACTCCTGGATTTACCAGATCGATCCAGCAGGGAAAAAAATCCTGGCTGGAGCGATAATCAGCGAACAAAATAAACGTTTAAATATAACAACATGTAGGGCCTATATTAACAGTAGCCTGGCTGATTTGAAGTGTATGCAAGGGCCAAATTCAGTCGGTGTTTTCAATGCAGGATTTCCTTTCATACAGGAATCGCATTTTGTTGACCAAAAGAAGTGTATGAGCCCAGGCGCACATTCATTATAGACATTGATCAAGATCTAAGGCCTTGCAAAAAGCAATCTACCGTAAACTCATTTAGCAACGCGTTGTCGGTTGCCATGACAATCTGTTATTGTGTAAGGCCACCAAAACAGCAGTCTAAACGTATAGTCTGCCGGTTGAACGGTGGACGATGTAGTTTTTGGCGAGCGCGCTGCCGTTTTTGTACACAGTTGTTTTCATGTGTTAAAGCAAGGGTGTAAATCCGAGGGGGGTTGGGAGGTTGGAGAGAATAAATCCCCTCATTTTTAAACCGGGGAGATTGGCCATTGGATCGTTCCCCCAATTTTAACGTCATTTTCTATTTTTCCAACATCGCAAATGTATCAAATAGAATGCACTGAATAATGTAGAATAAAAAGTAGAAATTAAAGCTTTACATATATAGCCTATACGTCCTTTTGTTGTACGGTCACGCATAAGCTCTCCAGTTTGCATGGGCCTAAAATGTACATAATCATGAAGAGCGCCCCTTGTGCAGTGCCTTGTGGTGTCCAGCCTCCCCGCCCCCCGCCCCGCCCCCAAACTTTTCTCGAATTTTGCTTTGCAATTAACGAAATTGCGATGCTTTGTGGGCGAATTTGCAGTTAGCTATAATTACCATGTCAACGTGTTGAATTTGACCGCCAATCTACCTAAAAGCAGTCGCAGCAGCGCAGCGCCTTGTTCGATAGAGTGCCTTTGTAGTTGTTTACATGTACAAAACAAAACAACTTTTTTTTGTAAACAGACGGAGGCCTTTACATCTCGTAATTATTACACTGTTGCTGAACAATAAGGCAACTTACAACCGGTCTTCGGCCATCGATAATACTTGTCTATTCTCTCCCGTTTTGACAGATAACGTTAAAACCCATCTATTATGTTTACCTCAACCTGTGACAAAATAATTACAACTTTTTGACTAAATCTTCATTTATAATAGGGATCGATATTGGTGCAACGCATCAATGCAACTTCAGGCAACACATTTGATGTTTTCAAACCTTATTCGTCTGATCTAGGACTGAGACAAAAACAAACATTTCGTCTGAAAATTTTCATGTTTTTAAGTAATACCCAAAGACAAATTTGTTGATAATATTCAAAGCTATTTAGGAAAACTAATAAGTGGTTTTTTTTTTAGCTTACTAGGTTATCATTCTTATTCTTATCATTTAAAAAAAAAAAGGCCTTACTTTTTATTTTCACAAATCCGAATAACAACAATTCTCTATTGGTGTTGGTTTTGTTTTGTTAGCTAGCTGGTCTGACTCAGCCTATTTATGCCAATACCGAAGAAAATATACCAGAAACCAAGAAAATATGTTCATTCAACAGTACGTACAGTGTGGATTCAAGTCAAACGTGTACGTGTATTCGCGATATTTAGTCGTAGAAAATTGTTGATGTGCTTGATGTTGATGCTCCATCATTTTCATCTTCATTTATATGACTTGACAAAGGACGAGCAGGGAGGTCTGTTACCATGGTGATTGCTCCGACACTGGTGATTGCGTGTGCGCACCATGCTGGCGAGGTCCTTCGTGCGATCAACCAGGTTAGTACGCCAGTTTGGTATTATACAATGTGTTCCTATATGTGCGCATCAATATTTGAGGTCTTGTCATACAGCAGGAAAACAAAAATGATATGCAAGAACACAGTGGCGGTTCTAGGGGGGGGGGGGGGGGCTAGCCCCCCCCCCCATTCCATTTTTTTTAAAATGCACTAGCAAAATGCAAGAATTTGACGTACATGGGAACGGTCTCCCCTAAATGAGAAGGGTGCATTTGTACACTTTTAGTTAATATAGTGTGCCTGATTGTAGGATTTTATCAGCACTCCCCATTGAAAATATGGCACGACCCCAAGCAACCCCAAGCACTCCTTGAGTTTACTCTTGTCTTGTTGCAAAATTCGTCACATCTTGATGCACTATGTGCACATGCGCTTTTGGAAAACCGAACCGTGTGCATTATTTTGAGTGCGCTCTTTTGTTTTACCTTTTACGTGTGTGTGAGTTTCTGGTCCTCCAATTCCTGAAGGTCCCCAATTTGGCGATCATGTACAAAACATAAGGGAGGTCTTCCTAAAAAGAGGGACATAAGGGGTCCCCGATTGCAGGCAAATACACACTTGTGTGTGTGTCCATTTTTAGTATTCATTTACACCAAGCATACGTGAGACGGTTCAGGCTGGATGTGAGACAATCAATTTTTGTTGCAAATAAATGCAAAACATAATTATTGTATAGTACTTTCAATACAATCAGTTTTTTTATAGCCACATATTGATATGCATTGGCCGTTATTATTTTCTTAAGATCGAAATAAAAAAAATAATAGGCCTATATTTAGTTACTTTTTAAAAACAGAATACGAGCATTCATTTGCTAATATAATTTCTACTGTCGATTTTGCCATTGTTTCTTCTGTAATACATTGTTTTTCTTCTAAAATATCACTTTCAGTTTTATTTGTTCCTAAAAAATAAGTAGCAGTTGTTTATAGAGCTCTCCAATGATCTTGCAGATGAGCTGTTCCACAAACAAAGTTATTGCTGCTATAGTGACACAAAATCAGTCTTTAAACTCATTTGTTATAGGCCTATGAGACTTGAGGGTTTGCATGGTGGAAAGATCAATAAGTGACAGGTTTGCGGTAACAGTTACACCATGTAACTATCTCTTTTGTGAGTATGTGTGGTTCTGAAGAGAACCAGTATGATTAACTCGACGTTTCGAACAGTATGATTTGTTTGTCATCAGGAGAATGCCGGGCTCTAGCTGGGATGGTGGTTTAAGTACTGCCAGGGTGCTGTGTGTTAGGTGAATCGTGCAGAACCACCATCCCAGCTAGAGTCCGGAATTCTCCTATGACAAACAGAGCATATTGTTCGAAACGTCGAGTTAATCCAACTGGTTCTCTTCAGAACCACACATACTCACAAAAGAGATAGTTCCTCATTTGTTATAGTTTCAGCCGGCCTCGTTGATTTTTCTTTTTCTGACCTCACCCCTTGCTCTATGGTTTTTAGTAAACGAACACGCTCCAGTGTTTACCCAGACGTTCTACGAGGAGTACATCTCGCCCGATGAGCCAAAGGACTATCCTTTCATGTACATCCGGGCAACCGACGAAGACGAAGCGACCTGCGGCGCGTCTAGCGCGCGCCGCTGCCCATGCTCAGAAGTGCTGTACTCATTGGACGACCAGGGAGACGCAAATGGCGCAAAATACGCGACCTTCGTAATCGATCCCAAAACGGGTGGTATCAGCGTGGCGCCGGGGACCGGTGCAACACTGACCCCAAACACCAAGCACAGGCTGAAGGCATACGCTAGGAATCCAGACGATGATCGCAAACAGGGAACGGTGCTGATTGTCGTCATTGTCAGTGATGTGCTTCTCAGTGAGCAATCGGTCAAACTAAGAAGATTGCAGGCTGTGCCCGAGGTACGACTTTTTTTTTTTTTTTTTATTCAGATACAGTTCTGATAAATGACGAAAAACAAACCCAAGTTGCAGGGAAAATATGAGGCCAGATTTCTACGAGTGATAGAGTGAATACCAACTGTCGGAGGTGACGTCACTTTTCACCATCTGACAAAATAATGAGAACATCCACCTAGCTAGGGGCGGATCCAGAACCAAATAGACTGATCGAGTAAGCACCGCCCACTGCGTACGTGGTGACAAAAACATGTGACCGCAATGACGCGCGCGGCATTTGCGAGTAACTCATCTTGTCGGATTCAAAGGGCGGGGCTCGATCAGTGTCTCAGTCTAGTCCGAGTAGCTAGGACTCTACGAATCGCCGTTTTTAACAGCGATTCGTAGAGTCCTAGTTACTCAGACTAGTCTCAGTCTATTTTTTTTTTGGGGGGGAGGACCAACAATAAAAACAGGGGTAAGGCTAGACCTGATTTGACGTATTACGTCACAAAATAGAAGAAAGGGATAATAAGTAGTATTAAAAAAAATCCTCTTCACTCTTTTTTTTTTTGGTTTACTTACTTAAAAAGACTCTATTAGTTTCCCAATCCGTCTATGACCTCAGTGATGGAGTCATTCAAATTGTTTATAAAAAGAAGTTGTCTTCGATTTTTTCTTCTTCACGACTCTTCGTAATGCCTTACACTCTTACTCAACCAATAAAAAAGTTGAATTTGTCCTCAATTTCTCCATACCAGATAACCGTTCTTGGCGAAAATCACACCCTGGATATCAGCTTCTTACCGTCCAGCGAGGACGTCGGCGTGGGCTCTCTGACTATCGGATCCCGGGTGGACTGCGTGCTGACCATCAACATCCCCGAGGCTGTTGTCGTATCGGACATCAACGTCGAGATCTTCACGGACGATGAGAATAATACCTTGTCGGTGATATGTCCGCCCTCCGTCAGCAAGGGAGTGGAGCTTGAGTTTACGCCGGATACCACCAAGCAACAAACGTCCTACAAACAGGGAGAAGAGAACCCGTTTTTGGTAAAGTATATGTGAGATATACTATAGCCAACTAGGCCGTCTTATAAACAGCTTTTCGGGTTATCCTTGGCTTTGTATTTACATGAAATACGTTCGTTTTTTATACGATTGTATGTTTGTTTGTTTTTGCCAATATAAATAAATAAATAAATAAATATGTGAAGTAGCATTCTTCATGTTAATAGCTGTTTGTTTGGTTTAAATCTGGTACCTTTAACTTGTCATCATTATAGTCATGTTGCTTTTAATGTTTGTCTTCGTGTCCGCGCATCTTGTTTTGTCTTGTGAAGTATCTTTGAGGTATATATGAAGTATATGTGAAAGTATTGAGGTGTATGTGAATATATTTTATGTGAAAGGCTATATGAGGTATTATGTGAAAGGGTGACTGCTCTATGTTCTAACAACCCTATGTTCCGACAACCCGCACATAAGAGTGTGTTACTCCCGGTTAGGGTTATAGGGTTAGGAATAGGAACAGGAATATATGCAGTCGGAACATAGGGATGTCGGAACATACGGGTGTAACCATGTGAAAGCATATGTGAAATATATGAGAGGTATATGATCAGATTTATATGTGAAAGCATTTGTGTGAGGGGCTATAGGGACGCAAATGGTACGGTATCCTGGTTTGGGGCCGTGGATGGACAGGTCTGCCATCGCCACCGTGGAAAGAAGAGGAGGGGGTTCCAGGCAAAGGACCCGCAGGTTCTAGTGGTTTATACCTGCACCCATAATAGTCAGGGCAGGCAGAGGAAAAACAGGTAGCTACCCAAATTACGAACCAACAATAGAGCCGGTATCTATTTTTTTGGTTTTGTGGCGCACAGCGTCAAACACTAGTAAAATACACAACAGTCAAAATTCCATCTTATGAAAAGTTAATGCGGTACCCGATGATATGTACGTCTGATTCGAACCAGCCAACCGATCCCGTTAGCTCGGTGGTCGAGTGGTAAGACATCTGCACGAAAACGCAGGAGGTCGTGGGTTCGAGTCCCACCCTAGTGATTTTTCCAACTTTCGCTCGGAGGGTAACACACTGAGTATACAGTGTTTATACGTCGGTGAAGGGCAAAAAGCTGGTATGATTTACATCACCCCGACGCAAAGTTATGAATAGTCAACATGTTATTATGCATGCAAAACATAATCACCTATGTTCATTTATGATTGGACAGGGTACCTCGCAGATTTTTTACTATAGGCGAGTCAGTTATCAGCATTGAGAAGGCGTGGGATTCCGTGGTTTGTTTTGGCAGACTGGGACATTGAGTGCTGAAAAAAACATGCAAAGCGAAATCAGGCCAAGTTTACTCACTCTTTCGATGACAAAATTCTCCAAAATGTTTAAGAGGCAAAGACACGGTCCTCATTGTTTCACCAACAAAGTTTGAAGTCTCAATTCAATTTTTAAAGGAGACTTTTCTTCAATATTTTGCATCTGAGAGTCCAAAGACTTGACTGGTACATGTCCAACCATGGTCTAACTGTTTGAAAGACGGACCTCTTCATTTATAGTGGCTGACTATCGAGAAACGTGTAGCAATAGAGACCATTCAGTAGGAGACATGCCAGATGTTTCTTACGGCTGCCGTAGCGATAGCCACTACGTTATCTTAATCATAATCTTTGTGCCCATTTTTTTTTTGTCTTCCTTGTTTTTTACCTTCGCCTTCTTCCTCTTTTGTGAATTTGTTTCCAGTTCTTATAGTCAAGTTTCCAGTCTTTTATTTATTGTTTCCTGCTATTGTCTTTGGTTTTCAGCTGGACACTGTCACCTTTGGCTTCGGCAACGTGACCAACCTTAACACCTCGACAAACGCCCAGGATTCCAAGATCGTCATCACGTTCTCCATCACCTTGAAGGAGGACCAAGGCGTTGCCGTCGACGAGAGGTACTGGGTCAGCGCCGGCGTGGAGTACAACGGGGAGTCCAAACTATGGATCGGCCAGATTGGTTTCCTAATCGACCAAGTACCCCAGGTAGGCCGAGAGCCAGATTGGTTCGGACCTTGAGTGTAGAAAAATATGCAAAAGAAAACCAGGCCAACTTTGCTCACTCTATAGAGAAAGGACCTCTTAGCAGACAAATTCTCCAAAATTGTCATGAGGCAAAGACAAGGTCCTCATATCAGTATTTCACCAGCCAAGTTTGAGGGTCTCAATTCAATTTTTATTTAAAGGAGACTTTTCTTCAACATTTTGCACCTGAGAGTGAAGCCAAGACAGGGCAAGAGATTTTAATTTGAAGTCTAAGACATGTCCAACTTTTTGAGAAGGTTGACAGTTCAGTAGTCTGGTGGCATGACTATGGAAATATGCAAAAAAAGAGATTGGTACCGGTACCAGATGTTTCTTTTGACACAGTTGTTTGATTCAGTACTAAAGGGTATTTTGAAGTCTAAAACCTGATCTTTTGTGGGGTGGGGTCAGGTTAGTCCGAGTAACTTGGACCCAACTTATCGCCTTTTTTAACATTTGGACATGTTAAAAAAGGCGATAAGTTGGGTCCAAGTTACTCGGACTAGGGTCGGGTGGGATTCGCGTCCCATTTTGAGGTCCTGACGAAACACTGTTAGTTTACCTACTGCTATTGTCTGAAAAATTTATATCATTCAACACATTCAAATTGCAATTTCTTTTCCTTTAATGAACTTGAATGTTTTATTTGAATGACCATTTTTTCCATTTAGGCCTCTCTGAAGTGCACACCTCTAAAAAGGACTTTATTTTCAGGTGCTGTTGCACCTTTTTTGGACAAAAAGATCTGCCTGGCTGCAAATATTTTAAAATTTGTAGGGTACGGTAACTAATTTCTACCTAAACAATGGCTGTTTTTTGTTTCGCTCAATGTCTCATTCATTATTGACCAATTTTTGTATTGGAAGAAAATTGGCAATTTTTTTTTTTGGGGGGGCCCACTTGAAAAATAGCACAGAAAAGTATCTCTTTGACAGAAAATCATCAAGCATTGGCTTATAACAAAAAAATTCACTGCAAACCTAATATTTTCTTTCAGATAACAGGTCATTGAGGAAGACACATAAGGCCAAGTTAAACAAAAAAAAGTTTCTCATCTGGACTTTTTGAAAAAATTAGAAGCCCTTTTTTTCCCTTTTTTTTTTTAAACATGGTGGAATTTCAAAGATGGTTTTCTTTGCTGATAATTTTGTGTCCAATGAGCTGTAACGCCTTAAAACAGCTTCTAAACTTGCATACAATAGGCTTAGTCCAAAACTGTTGGACTCTCAATACTGTGTATGAGAGTCCACTGGCACCTGAAACAACCAGTCCAATACTGCTTCAGTACTGGATCAATCAACTGTGCCAAAAGAAACATCTGGCATGTCTGGTTCTAGTCTCTATTTCTACACATTTCTCCACAGTCAACTACCAGACTATATAATGACAATATAATGAAGAGGTCAGTCTTTTCAAATAGTTGGACCATGGTTGGTTGGACATGTACCAGTCTAGTCTTTAGCCTCATTTTGAAATCACTTGACTTACCTCTCATGTGCAAAATATTTAAGAAAAGTCTCCTTTAAAATTGAATTGAGTCTTCAAGCTTGGTTGGTGAAATACTGAGGACCTTTTCTTTGCCCAATGAAAATTTAGGAGAATTTTGCTGGCTAAATAGTGAGTAAAAATTTGCCTGATTTCGTTTTACATTTTTTGTAGCACTCGAGGTCCCAGTCTGGCATGGGCCTAGCTAACAAATTTAATATTGCAAATGATAAAAAAAAAAAAAAAAATCAGTACTGTTATTGGATACAGGGAACATGACTGAAATGGTGGCAGCATGATACAGAGTTGTAATGACTCGAGTCAATAACTCGACTCGAGTCCGTCTCGAGTCACAATTTTTGGTGACTCGACTTGACTCGAGTCCCTAAGGGCAAATGGCTCGACTCTACTCCAGTCTCTCATCTGAATGACTCGACTCGACTTGAGGAAGGCTAACTTGAGTCCCAAAAATAAAAGCAAAACTATGCGAAAATATTTGCAATGACTTACGCCGGTGCCGGTTTTTGTTCACGTCACGCTAGAATGATTGCGAAAATGTTCATATACATAGTGGGTTGATCAGTGTCCTCATTAGTTGAATGGGGAACAGCTAGCACCCCCTTTTTATTTTCATTAAGAGTCAAATGTGGTGTCTCCGCATGTAGAAGATCGAATGTAAAATTTAAAAAGTCAAAAAATGACTTTCTCTCTTGTGTTTATTTATTGTATAGTCAAATATATGTGACTCGAATTGACTCAAGCTAAATACTTGGACTCGACTTGACTCGACTCGACTCGACTACACAATGTGACTAGACTCGACTTGACCTTCCTGACCTAATGACTTGACTCGACTCAAGTCACTTCTTTAAAATGACTCGACTCGACTCGAGTCACAAAACTCAGTGACTGGTTACAACTCTGGCATGATAAAGGTCTATAGCAATGATATGTTGATAATTGGTCATGAACTTGTCCCCTCTCAGTATGGGCCAGACACAAACGTCACAGCTGAGGGCCCCTTGGATTTCTACAAAGGCGAAGTGGAGGTCTTCAATGTGGATCTGAATGTCTACAAGAGCGTAGCCAACCTCACTGTACGCGCAACCGGTAAGACATAACTTAATCGGCACTGTTTTGACAAAGCTAGATTTGACCATCAGATAACAATTTTTTTAAATACTTTTTTTCCCCAAAACTACCGTCACTTTATGTTTCATTTCAGCCGGGTCGACCGCCAAGGAGTACCTGTTAATCTGTGAGTTGCAGCTGTGCAATACCGGCACCGGCTTCTGTTTGGATGTCAACAAAGACTTGGCCACGTTCCAAGTAGACATGGTATCCCAGAATGCTTACGAGTCCGTCTTTGGCTTTGGAAACATCGTCAATGGAGGTAATCCTAGTTTACGGGGAAAAATATAAGTAACGATTTTGTGATTATCCAGGAAAAAGGTCCACTTTTGCAGTATGACTCGATCCAGAACTTAGTGGAAAAGTAACACACTGGCATAAAGTTTGCCTATTTGCAGGCGCGGTTCTAAAGCCGATATTTTTTTTGGGGGGGGGGGGGGGCTAGCAGGGTGGATCCAGAATTTTTTTCAGGGAGGCGTGCAGAAATGTAGAACGGTTATTTTCTCTGGACACTTAGGCCTCCCCTCCAAAAATCAATAGGTGGGGGGGGGGGGGGGGGGGGCACTGATAAAATCCTACAATCAGGCACACAATTAACTAAAAGTGTACAAATGCACCCTTCTCACGACTACCGTTTGCATGTACGTCACATTCTTACAATTTGCTAGTGCAATTTTTTTTTTTATTGACTTTTTTTTTTGGGGGGGGGTAGACAACATTTTGAGGGTGCTAAAGCCCCCCCCCCCCCCGGTAAAACCGGCACTGCCTTTCAGAAACTAATATCGCTGCATAAGATAGCTCCTGATGTTTTTGGTTGGGCAAGAGTCTGGAATGCTTGACTGTAGCAGTGATCGGTTCAACTGGTATTATTGTGGCTTGATGAAATACAAAATCTGTGGAGCAATCCACGGACATATCGCTTCTATCACGAAGGCCCCATTGTACAAAAGCATTCACAGTGTTTACAATGAAGGGGGCGTAGAGTTGTCAATTGTGCCTAGCCTGGATTTGTCTGTATAGACTATAATTCTGCCATCGCTATATTAGGCCTACTCAGGAGGTGCAATGACTGTTCACAAATCAATAAGGTTTTGCCCTTCACCGACGTTTTTTTTTTTTTTTTTTAAACACTGTATACTGTACTCAGTGTGAAGGGCAAAACCTAATTGATTTATATCACCCCGACGCAAAATTCCATCTTATGACTGTTCACAAGTTGCACATGCGTTCTTCATTTGAGGCGCCCTTCGGAAGAGTTGTTGCAACTGATGATGTTGGTTGTGAGAAGAGCACAATGCTTCCAAAATGGATAAAAAAATTGCCGACCGACAATCCAAATGTTTCCCGTTATGTCAGGTGCCGCCAACAGTACAACTGACAGCCGCATCTCAATGGATGTGGTAGCCTTTCTGAGAGACGATAGTGGATTGGTGGCCGAGTCGTCGCATGAGCTGATAGCCAATGCCAATGATGGCTACAAGGACACTACGGACAATGCGGCATTCACTGCCAAGGCCACACGTACTTATATCACCGTAAGCGAAAAAAGGACTCCTGGCAGCATATTTTTGTGACCTAGCTGTTCTGTCAAAAGACGACACTTCTGGGCAGGGGTTGAAATTGAGATAGGGCCAAAAAAAAAGCTGTGGGGGTGATTTTTGTCATTTTTTAATTTTTGCATATTTGTAATCTTGAACATATGTCTTAAATATACTATAAAAGTTTGAAACCCTTATTTGAACTCTAAATATAGCATTTTTGATGATTTTATAGGGTATGTCAGTTAAAGCAATGCCACTTGAAACGGGTCTTTAAAATAGACCCCAAACTTTAACTGCCATTTTCTCTGTTTTCTACTTTTCGACACGATGAACTTCAAAATAGCATAACTCTGCCCAGGAATGACCCGGTTTCAAAAATTAAACCACCTTTTAAAAGGAAAATGTACATTTTAACAATATGTTAAAATCTCATTTGTGACCTCATGCCCAGAAAAGTCTAATTTTGACAGAACAGGTCACATTTTTGTTTCTGCATGGGGTGAGTAACAACTTTGAAGTTATTCACACCACAAGCACACTAGGGTATTGTGGCCTACTAGTGGTAATAGGGTTTGTGACTCATGATCAGAGGGTCGGGGGTCCGAATCCATCTGCTGGCCATATGTTGTGTCCTTGGGCAAGCTGCTTCACCTCCACTTGCCTCTTTCCACCCAGGAGTAAATGGATACCAGCATTAGTTGAGGAGTATCCTTGTTATGGACATCCCAGAGGGAATAGAAATAATTTAAAAAAATTTTTCGTGTCAAGGAAACCAGAGAAAAAATGCCAGCCTGATCATCAGTGGGCCATATACTGACTCATGACAGACTTTCCGTTACACCCTGCATGTAATGGTCCCTCTTTTTAATTCTTTTTTTTTTTTTTATTTCCAGCCGGGCAAAGTCTTGACCATAAGCGCCATCGCAAATACCACCAGTGGCACTCAGATCGTCCCGGGGGAATGTGCTGTGGTCCGTGTGTCTATTGCGATGACCTTCTCTACCTCAGTCGCTCCTGTGTCAATCATGCTAGCTCCGCAGGTCACCGGCACGGACTTTCAGATCAACGCAGTTCGTATCAACCACGTTGGCAATGACATCAGCTGTCTGCTACAGCGAAGAGATGATATCGAAGACACTGTCGTCTATGCAACAGGGTAGGCCTACAAATTGCATTTTCCGTCTGAATTGTTTTTATAGAATTTTTTGTACCCAAAGAGCATGGACTGGTCTCCTACTAATTGACCTATCGCAGTAGAATCGCGTTAGAATCGCATCAACGCAGCTTGTGACATATTGTCAATTACATGATATACAAATGGACGCAGAACGGGCAACATCTGAGACAAACAAAAGTTAATATACAAAAATTCCATTAGGTTGTCTTAGGGGCAGGGGCTAACTCGATCGCTAACTGCGATAGGTAAATTGCCTTAAGGGTTTAACTAGAATTTGAGTGCATTCAATTACTTCCCCCAGCTTACTCGCGCCTGGCTCCTCGCGTGATGACAGACATGCGCAGTGGAGCTAACTAAACAAACGGTTTCGGGTAAAGCTTCGTTCAAGAACAGCTGGAAAGATGAACTTTGACATGACGCAACTGCATCCGAACTGTCTAGAGCTATATAGGTCTAGGTCCACGCCCATTGAAAATACGCGGGGACACCCTGACAATAGACCCGTAGCCGTAACTCTGGAAGACTTTCGGACACGGCCTGAGGCGCCCGCCGGACGTCACGTTGGCAGCCATGTTTATTGCATGGCCTTATCAGGCTCGGCGAGTCGGTTACTTGGGCTAGGCTCGTGAGTAAGCGCGAGAAATCACGTGAGAGGTAAATCGAACGCTGTCGCGCTTGCAAGAGTAAGCGCAGGGGAAGTAAACGAATGCAATAAATGTTACACTGGCCTCAGTCAAAGATAAACATCGAGAATCACGGTATAAAATGGGCCCAGGCTTTTAGAAGGGAAAATCACCTCAATTGGCACTCATTCTATCCTTCCATGCAGACCGTCTGCCACAATCAACCTCAAAGGGATAGCCAACACGGGCGGTGACGCCACTGCCGACGGGTTGAACAACGTCATCGGCGTGGACTTTGTGGTCAAGTCAGCGGTGACTAATCTCGGGTCAGACGGCAACACGCACACGCTTGACGTGACGGTGAATTACGCTGGTAAAACACCGTGGACTCAATCACTGACTGTGACCACAGTGACCAACCCAAGCTCTATCACCTATCCGGCAGTGCCAGAAGTGAGTTGAATTCCGGTGTTTCTTTTTTTTTTCTCTTTTTTTCTCTGAATTTTCCTTTTTTGATATGAACGACTATTCATAGCAAAGTCTGAGGATGTTAATTACCATGTGAAAATTATTATGGTGAAGATATATGTGAACCCTCAGACAAAAACAGCCTGTAAATTTTAGAACCAAGTACATTTTTTCACAGAGTGGACTCTGCTGGAGGGGATGATGGGGGATATTTTTTTTGGGGGGGGGGGATTCCTGTCAGCAAAATTATGTCTGTCCGTGTATGCATTGATATATAAATCCACCCATTGTCTATAAGTGTCCAAGATCATCCACTTCTGTGAACAGCCCGCAAAATTAGTCAGATGGTGTCAAGCCAACCCCACCTTTTTGATTTTGTGGCGGCCAGATGTGATTGGAAAATACTAATCCCTGGCTATTTTGAATACTGGGGCATATTGTCACGAAGTACACCCCCTATTAAAATGGTTTTGAAACATCCATGTTAAAAACGGATTGATCTTCACCTAGCCCCATAAATGCGGCCAATTACTGAAAAGATCATGCGCGGATTGTTTCTTCTGTCAGTCACGTAGACTTGAGTCAAGGCACACGAATACAGTGGCGGTGCATGGAGCCAGCGATTGAGCTCGGCCACTCGCGTGGTCTTTTTTCGGGTATTACCACATGTGGCTTGACTCAACTCTATGTGACTGACAGCAGAAACGATCCAGCACGCGAGTGATCTTTTCATTGTTGGAATTTAGATACGCAAACATGTGCAAATGTACCTGGAAATTACACAAAAAATAGACATCTGAGAAAGGCCGGACTTCTTCTCTATTGCTATAATAAACTACAAACAAAGTCTTAATGTAACAATGAAAAATTTACAATGTTCTACATTTTCGGGTACATGTTCCAAGTGTGGCCCTTATATTTACGCAGGTAGTCCAGTAAATTTATGGGGCAAATCTTAACAATGTGCACCATACGCCTCAATTCAAGAATGCATTAAACATGTACATGAACACTAGTCTAAAATGGCACCACCTGGCAAGGGCGGATCCAGGGGGGGGCCAAAGGGGGCTATGGCCCCCCCCAAAACGAAACCAATTTTTTTTTTTTTTATGTGACATCGCAAAAAAGGCAGGCAATGAGTACACCACCATCTTTTCCTCAAAAAAACATTGGTTAAAGTGATCAGAAATTGCCTCAGATCGCACCACAGAGCATCTAGAATCCAAAAATTTTTCCCCACGCCGTAATTTTTTGGACCCACTTTTTTGGAGGACCAAAATTTTTTTTGGCCCCCCCCAAAATTTTGTTCTGGATCCGCCCTTGCCACCTGGAGTGATGGCGACTTTCAGTTTAGTCTACGGTACCACCACAGTGTACACCTTCTGTGGTCCTTTCTCTGTGATTGCACCACCACCGATTTTTATTTCCATTCTGCCAGGCTGACCCCAATCCTTTCACCAGCACCCTGGAGCTCCAGGACCCCGCCGACCCTGCCACCATCGCCCCCGGTGAGGTTGTGGTGCTAGCCATCCGGCCGGTCATTGTGCGCGGTACCCAGTATCGGTACGTAGCCACCGGTCTGGCCAACACCACCGGAGTGACCGTTGTGGACATGAGGGTGCAGTCCGTGGGCAGTCATGTTGCGGGTGGTCTCTTCGTGGATCCCGTCGCTGTCTACTACCCTTCGGTCGGACCGGCGGACTCAGCCGAGTTAGACTTGGGAATGATCTATAACTATGGTATGTAGATCTCTAGCAATTACTTCATAAACACGATGAGAAATATTCAATTTCAGTTCCACAATGTGAAGTTGATCTACTCCACTTTCTCGGACTGCGGCACAAACATGTGCCATGCACTTGCTCAGACAGCGACACAAACACATGCCAAACACTTGCTCGGACAGCGGCACAGACACAAACACATGCCATTACATTGGTTACCAGTTAGACAACGTATCAACTTCAAAACAGCAGTTTCCATGCACAAAGCACTTCATAACACAATGCCGCAGTACATAATGGGATCACTCAACCTTAATGCACCCAGCCGTAGTGGCCTCCGCTCCAGTATCAACCTAAGAGTTCCACGCACATTAAAAAAGGCAGGGGACAGAACCTTTTCAGTGTCTGGTCCCCAGTGTTGGAATTCCTTATCACAGAACATCCGTAATATATCAGTTCTCTTGACAACTTTAAGGGTATGGATTGAAAACTGATCTGTTCTCTCCACATAATCTGTAACTTGTGTTCTGGAGTTGTCCTTAGTCGCGCATTGAAACTTGCGAATATGCGCGCTATAATCGTGTTATTATTATTATTATTATTGAATCTGCGACCTCCGGATTGCTGTTCCGGTGCTCGCTAGGTGTTGAAGACATCTTTTCAGTAACAATTATGACCGTCAGTCCCAAGGTCATGATGCATGTCACTTTACAATAGACTTGTGACTGCACCCGATTTCACGAAGCGCTGCGACTATCGCAACTCAAGTTACAACATGTAACACATCGCAACTCGCGACGCGTCGCGTCATCCATTTCGCGAAAGTTGAGATGTGTTGAACGCGTTGTAAGCTCCTTGACAACGGCTTAAAACACGTCGCAAGTTACAACGTGTCTAGTGGTCATCGCAAAATACGAAGAGTCCCTTTCTAAGCCAGTTTGATGCCATAAACATCACAAAAACGAGATTATAATACCGAGGCAATGTGTGTAAAGTTGTAAACAGAAAATTCATTGAATAATTATGAATTAGACTGGAATATTGCAGTTGAAATTTCAAAGTAGCTATACAGTCCACTGAGAGCTTGTTTTCCTTCAAAATTGCATCGCACGGCCACCATTTTGTTTTACGTTTTAACAAGTTTCTAGCTGAAATCCGACGACTCTTTGTTGAATATCAGACGACTATTTACTGTACGCTGACTATAAACATAAAACAGTCACCGAGTTGTGCTGTAAATACACCTACGACGCGTCGCACTTACGACGTGTTTCGTGAAATGGATCGTAGAGATACGATGCGTCGCATCGCTGCGATGCATCGTAAGTTACGAAGAGTTTGATGAAATCGGGTGATGACTAGCGATTGCATGCCCTGTCATTGACTGAATGCATTGATGACAACCCAGTTAATCTTACTCTTCCAGCCCGTCCTGGTAACTCAACTGACGAGGATGGCCTAATGATCCAGCTCATCGTTCAGGTCACGGAGGAGGTGCCAGACTCGATTGTCCCAATAGCTGTGGCCCTACTGGCCGGTTCAAACCGTCTGTGGGTCGCTGAGGGAAATGTCACTGTCAGTGCCAGTGTAGCCGGGGTAAGACATGGTTTCACCGTTAAGTTTGTATTATACATATTTTGTTGTTGGTTGTATTCCGGCCCCACCTCAAAAAAAAATGTATGCGAATGGACATACTCATTGTTAGCATTAGTTGATGCCATGCAATGTACACGCTCAAGCCCTTGTCACGTGACAATGAAGTGTGTCTTTCAATTGTTGTGTTTACGTTAATAGCGATCTTTGAGTGTAGCATGTAATGGAGGGCGGAAGAGTTTTGAGTTGACCAAATGGAGCAAAGAACGCATTCTTTTTCGGTCTAAAATATTTCAACAAAGTAGGAATATACTAGTGTTGTGCATCTAGTCAGGTTGACCAGGCCAAACTGACCTGAAACATTATAGATATACACCGAATCCGAACCGAAACTGATCTGAACTCCCTATTAAACCGACCCGACCCGACCCAAAACAAATTCAAAGTCGACCCGAAACCGAACTGACCTGAAAAACCTGAATTTCTGGCTTGGGCAACTGTGTCCATTTTGACTCTGCAACAAATATTGTACTGTGTGAATTTCCGAACTGTTTGTTTTTTGGGGTTTATTTCAGTTTATATCGGGTTTTTCCAAACCGTACCCGACCTGACCCAAAAATTGCAAACGTAAAACCAAAACCGACCGGACCTGACTGAAATGATGAACAAACCGACCTGACCCGACCTGAAGTTGGGGTCAGCCTGGTTTCAGTTCCGGGTCGGGTTTGCACAACACTAGAATACACTAACTACGAAGTAGTAGTTGGTTCAGAAATTTGCGTGAATTGGATTTGATTTCCTACTTGAGATTTGGGAAATCACCAGTGGTTTATCTATAGGTTTTGGGACCGGGGAAAAACATATTATAAAATGGGGCAGTACGCCCATTTCTCAAAAAAAAGTTCCCCGATTGGGAAAATATTTGTTACCAGTTTGTGATGAAGTAGTTGTAATTCTCAACAACATAAAATATCACAAAATGTTGTCACCCACTAGATACATGTATGACTGCACTCTCAGATTGGACTAGGAAACTTCACTTGACGAGGCATTTATAGATAACTGAATTTTGTAAGATGATAAACACATACCGTACACCAGCCGTCATGTAAAACAGACTCTGTTTTTATGTTAATGCTCCGTATTTCTTTCTTCCTATCCGTAAAGGAACCTGTCCTGCCCAACAACACCCTGGCCACGGCCCCAACCTACTCAACCGAAGTCACTCCTGGATCGGAGACTATTCTCGTGCACACGCTTGTCATAGCAGCTGGCACGTCATCCAAGTACGTGGTGAATTACACCACGACGGTACCCTGGTTACAGGTCACCAACGTCAACCTGACGTCTGTCGGACTGAACCTAGCTTGCACTAAGGAGGGTCTACTCACTCCAGTTTCTGGGTAATTTATCTTCATTATAGTGTTTCTTACTTAACAGTCAGGCTGCATCTAAATGTCTAAATGTGATGCGATCAAGCTAAATTTTTATTTGGAGATTCAGGCTAGGCCAAAATAGGGCCACTTCATCACATCACTCCATCACATCCCTTGGTGTTCCCACTTCCATAATTGTTTTACTAACGATGGTATCCGCATGGGGTTTTTGCAGCAGTAATGCTGAGATTGTGCTCTTTTCAAATGTGTAATAAAATAAAAAAATAAACCAGGGTCGACAAACGACCTATTTAGCTTGGTACTTGGTACTTGGTTGGTTCTTCTCCTAAGGACTTCCACAAGGGAGTATAACGAGGCCAGAAACACTGCGGCAAACCCCTTCTCTTAACAATAAGTGTTACTGGGTTCTTTTACGTGCGTTAGGCCTTATACAACACACGGGACCTCTGGCTTAACGTCCCATCCAAAGGACGAAGCAATAATGGTTAAGTGCCTTGCTTAAGGGCACAAGTGTCCGGGCCCGGGCTCGAACCCACGCCACTGTCGCCTCTGAAACACCAGAGCATGAGTCCAGTGCTCTTAACCGATAGGCCATGACACTCCAGATTTAGCTTTATCGCATCACAAATGTCTAGGTTTTTTTGCACATGCTGACAAAACTCTGACCATCCGTTTTGGACACAACTTATGTTTTCATTTCTACTTCTGATGTGTGCAGATTGTAGAGTAGATCACTTTGAAGCTATCCAAAAAAGTAACTGGCCAAGTTATTGTTAAAAAGCTTTTTGGTTTAAAGATAGTAATAAACTCCCTGTGAAATGTTTCCTTCTGGGATGCTGTCGCAAGAAAGAAGGTCATTTCCAAAGATGAGTCAAGTGACGCAGTTTTGGAAAATTGGGCCAATCCATGAATGGGTGCAAGCAAGCATTGACACAACGTACACGCGTGCGCGGTTCGGTTTTGTTTCGAGTATCAGGCACTGTGGTCCAATGGCTACGGGGCCGGTGTTCGACTCTTGTGCCGCGGTACGTGGGTTGGGACCCTGCATGACAGGGAACATGCATGGTGCTTGTATGTGTTCTTGGGCAACACACTTTACTACAATTGCCTCTCTCAACCCGTATAAATGGGTACCTGTGAAGGTAGAGACCAAATTGCGCTGATCTCGAGCTGCTGCAGATAAAATGGTCTCATTCCTGATGAACAGGGATAATAATTTTAAAGCGTTTTGAAACTTTGTCATTTTCAGTCACACTTTTTGGGCAACTTGAAAAGAAAAATTCTCATTATCATAAAATGTTATACTCTCAGGAGTTCCGATGCTGGAACGTACACCTTAGTGGACCTGGGCTATGTCTGCAATGTTCCTATTGGCAACGAAACGGATGAAAACAGTAAGGTAAGACCAAAATTGTCTTTTGCAATCTACCCTGCTAAGAACATTTTGCATCAAGTCTAGATGATACAGAATGATGCAAAAAAAAAAAGAAAAAAAAAAGGGAAACCCAATTTTGACAGCAATTTTCACCTACTTGTGGAGCATTTTGCACACATTAAATTTAATGGTATTAAAGTACTGATCTTTAAACATAAGAGACGACATTATGATTGCAAATGCATAAAATTGTCTCTGAGATATGGTAGTTTAAAAAATTTCATGTGCCAAACCCGTTTTTCCACGGACGGCTTTATTCCATCCACTTGACTGAGCTTCCGGAATTTGATTTGAAGAAGAAAAAACCCACTACACTAGATGTACACGTGGACAACAATGATTTTGGTGACTTTTTGTATTCAAATTAGCATAATAACACTATTCTTGCGATTTTTTTAAGATTTGCTCACTACGTATGGTTGAAGAGTTAACATTCACTACATTATAAAAAAAAATCAAAAAAATCTAATAAGTTAAGTAAGTAGGTTAAAATTCTTGTCAAAAGTGTCTTTTTTTGTCTTTTTGCACCACACAGTATAATGATAAGAGGATGCATTTCTGGTTGTGAAAACTGCAATGCCAGTGGGTCTCTTCTTTTTTTGTTAAGAACTGTTTTTGTTGTTGGCGTTGAGTCCGTTTTCGTTGAATCCGTTGTGCATCATGAAAATTCTCACAAGTTAGCGACATCCCAGTTTTTTAATTTAAAACGTCCAACAGAGAATTGCTGATCTTTTAACCCAGTGACTGACTGAGGTCCAACTTACACAAGGGGGTAGTTGATCACGCCTCATTTTTTTGAGGGGGTACTTGTAGCTTGTTCTTGCCGTCCCCATATTCTGAGAAAGGGGTCGTACGGCCGGGGGGGGGGGGGGGGGGGTGTTGAGTTTGAGCCTGTGTCCCCAGCCACCCAATAATGACGTCACAGGTTTAACCCAGTAAAGAGAAGTGAAATATTGTGGCTCAAAAGGACATTTGCAGTGGCATGAACTTTAATTTTAGGCTCAAGAGATGTCATCCACATAACACGTGCTGCATGCCACAAATGTGGACCTGGAACTGGCCTGTACGGATCGGTTTAATAACCCTTTAACCGATCGTCGTCTCTGTTGTTTCTTTGATAGCTGGAGATTACGTTGACAGTGAACACCCTGAACACCAGCGACGTGGAGATTGGATTGACCACTCTCGTGGAAGCTCACGTGGAAGTTTCCAATGCACTTGGTGTCACGAAATCCGATAAGGAGGATATAATATTCTACGTCGAATTACCAAAGGTATATGTTCTTTGATTGAATACTAGGGACTGTATCATCATTATAAACGGGTATCTTTCTGGCCTCTGAATGCGTTGTTTGTCTTGCGTTAATTGTGCTTAACTTATGCTGGGTTTGACATATGTCTAGCATCTTGACTAACATGATTTCAGATGGATATTCATTTATGCGCCCAGCGAAATGCATAATGCATTACGTTTCCATAGAGAGTGCCAATGATATAGCTCCCCTGCACTGCTGAGGAAGCATCCATTATTAGAGAGGGGATATCTTTCTCTATAGTTCAGTGTACGTTTCTGTCTTTTTTCAAGAGATTCTCACTTGAACATTGAACTCAATGGTATCATTATAGTAAAATTAGAAAATACAGGGTGAGTAAAAAAAATGAAACCCAAATGTCGGGACTATTGTTTTAGTGAAGTTCTGCATGTAGCACTTTCAAAATCTAGGATATGAAAGCCCAATTCATAAGCTTTCTTTAAGTACAAGAATCATTGAAATCACTCATGTACTTTTCAAGTTATGGAATTTTAAACACAACCACTGTTTTAAAGTTCTGTCCACGAATATCACAAAAAGGTAAGTGTTCTTTCAGCAAAACGAAAACAGATCACGTGTGTGTGAATTGTTTTCGTTTTGCTGAAAGAACGCACACCTTTTTTGTGATCCGTGGACAGAACTTTAAAACGGTGGTTGTGTTTAAAATTTCGTAATTCAAAAGTACATGAGTGATTTGAATGATTCTTGTACTAAAAGAAAGCTTATGAATTGGACTTTAATATCCTAGATTTTGAAAGTGCTACATGCAGAACTTCACTGAAACAATAGTCCTGACATTTGGGTTTTGTTTTGTTTTACTCGCCCTGTATTAAAAATGCCAACTAATTGTTTTTCGAATTAGAAAAAATAAATGACAGAATACCAATCATACGGCTCAGGAAGTAGCTTTTGACCCCTCGAAGGATGGGACTCGCTCATTCTGTATTCCATTCACCAAGCATAGAACACAACGTAAGTGAGTATGCACAAGACGATATGTAACATGAATATTCAGATTCTCCTGAATCTTAACCAATCAGACTGCCCCATCCAATTCTGGTCGCAGTTTGCCGTATGTTGTGTACAAAGCCGAGAACAGGTTATTCAATTTGAAAAAGTCAGTGCAGTGAAACACCGCTATAAGGAACATCGTGGGATCCACAGAAAGTGTTCGTAATAACGATCGTTCGGTATAGCGATTTTGAACCCCCGGTTCCCTCTTTTGACCAATAGTGAACTGGCATTTCTCACATCCCGCGGCCGCACGAGGAGTCGTCACGAAACTTAAGCAATGGTTTTTCCCTTTTATTCCTTGGGGAAATAATAGCCATCTTTCGCTCTTCAAAATTCGAACACGATGTAACTATATGGGTCGTTTGATGTTCGGGAATTAAAAGTGGCCCAAATATTGTTAAATACATGTACAACCGGTAGATGTTTGTTAATCTGTTGACTTTTTTCACCAACGATGTTCGGTACGTTTTGTGCATTAAAACCGAGAGCCAAGGATGATGTTTGGTATAGCCGAATGCTCGGTATAGCGGTGTTCGGTATAGCGACGTTCCACTGTAATTGGAATCGACGCACATGCATATTGGGGCCGAGGCGGATGCACAAAAACTGTCCCCGCATGTAAGTGTTATACCACACACTACACGTATGCCAAAGTTCCCTTTTTTTCCCTAGCAATAAGCAAATAGCTTCATTTTTTGTTGAAACTCAAAATATATTTTCTGTGATAGTTTTAAATTAACTGAATCGCGGTTGATTAAGAAACGGCCCGTTTCTTGTCAATCGCAAAAACTAATGTAACAAATTTTCGGCTAAAAGAACCTGAATTTTTCAAGGCATCCTAAAATATAGACTTAGAATACTTTTGCTTCAAAAGATGTGGTTTAAAAAATAACGTAAAATAATGGAGCAGAATCAATGATGTTATTAAAAAATTAGAGACTCTTACTTTAATACTTCTCATTGACAAAGTTTTGATACTTTTTCTCTTGGGAACAGTCCACTTTCAAACTCTGCTGCCCTGAGTCGGCCTACTTTATGCGCCCCGGTGAAATAGAGCGCTGCAACATCACCATGACGATCCTAGACGCGGCACTTAGCATCGTTATGGAACTGGACACGCCCTTCAACGGCACGGCAACCATGACGCTGAATAACGTGGAGGTCGGCATGGGCGGAATCAACGTACAGTTTAACGTGCCCGAGGTCGTGTTGGAGTCAAAGGGGAACACCTCACAGAATAACATCGCTAAGCTGGATTTCGGGAGGATTGTCAACACAGGTATTAATTGCGTCCGTGCACAATTTGAGCTATAGTCCATCATTTGCAGCTATCCGAAAAGTAACTGGCATAATTATTGTTAAAAAACTTACTTGGTTGAAAGATAGTAAGGGGACTAAACTCCCTGTGAAATTATTCTTTCTGGCAAGCTGTCATTTTGAAGTAATCAACGAAAGAAGGCCTTTCCAATGGTGCTTCTTAAGACGCACATTAGGAAATTTAAATTAGTAGTTTGTTTTGTTATTTGGCGAAGCGCGCGCAAGCATTGGCACGACGCACATGCACGCGCAGTTGCTATAATTCGACAGATCAGTGTGCGACATGACATCGCGTAGCTGCAATCGGCTCAGTGAGTACGTGTCTCGGACGCTGAATTCCGGCCCAATTCAAAACATGATTCAGCAACTTTTTATTTGAAATCAAGATCCTAGAATGCTGTTTTTCTCGGAATGTACAGCTGAAGCTGAGCTGAAACTTCATCAGGTTGGTTGTTCAGCACCCTTATTCAGATTTTGAGTATATGTTTGTTGCTTCAAACGAACAAAATGCACAAATTACAAATGATGGACTATACCTTTAAGCACCCCCTCAACATTAAGAACGGGAGAGTTGGGGAGACCACGAAGACAATATGAGTGTGTGCTCACTCAGAATAAAATAGGTCGTGCATAATTCGCACCATAAAGGCACCTTTCCATATGCACGTTTTGTGGGTCCGCTATGCACCTGTTGAGTGTGCGCTGCATTCATGCAGGCGCGGTTCTACGGGGGGGCTGGGGGGGCTTGAGCCCCCCCAAATTTTGTCTAGACCCCCCCAAAATAAATTCTGTAAAAAAAATTGCATTAGCAAAAAGAAGGATTGTGATGTACATGCAAACGGTCTCCCCCTAAAGAAATAGTCGTGGCAAGGGTGCATTTGTAGTTAATATAGTGTGAACGATTTTAGGATTTTATTGGTGCTCCCCATTAAAAATATGGCATGAGGCCCCCCCCCCCCCCCCCCCCATTGATTTTCGGAGGCCTAAGTGTCTGGAGAAAATAACCGGTCTACGTTTCAGCACGCCTCCCTGAAAAAAATTCTGGTTCCACCCTGCTAGCCCTCATCCCCCAAAAATATTGGTTCTAGAACTGCGCCTGCATTCATGCATTTCATTTTTACGGACACAAAACTCGACTTCATTTTATCGTATACTGTATGTCTCAGATGTTTTTCCAATCTGGCTTTTCTCAGGAGAACACACGGCTGAAGCGGGCGACCTAGTAGACGGCGACAACGACATCATCATCTACATCGACGTGCAGATGTCGGACAGTGACCACAACGTGAACGGTTCCTACCACGCCTTAGAGAGTGGGGTCAGCCTGAGCCAGGGGGCGGTGGTCTGGGTGGCTTACTTCAAACTGGCCGTGATGAGAGACGGCACGGAGAAGCCCTCTCTCAATGTTTCACTCAACCACAACGGATCGACGTCAACGTATTCTGTTGGGTTAGTGTTTGGTTTACTTTTAATAGTCGAGAGGTTTCGCGTGCAAACGGATACGCATATGACGTCATACGCCACTCACTATCCACTAAACGTGCAGACGACACGCATATCTCGCTCGCTACACGTAAGTAAAAAACGGATACGGATAGCTAAACGTAAGTGTAAGCGTATCCGTTCGCTTGCGAAACCTCCCTAATAAGCCAGTTCAGTATCTCAATTGTGTATGCACACAATTATATGGCCGGTCATGGGTCATTTGGGATAATCCCCCCCCCCCCCCACTTAAAAAAGTCGGGGGGAGGGGGGACTTGTCCCCCTGTCCCCCACTGATTGTCGCACATGACGCACGCGTTCAGAACATGCAGTCTTGCATTGGGTGACACGTGCATTCCCACGTGCGCAGTGGTCGCGAGCATTTGCATCAGTCTATTCTGCAGAAAGCTTATTGTACAGACTCCAATTTGAACAGATCCGATTTATTTCAGGGACACGGTCTGGTACCAAGTAGACGTCAGCCACGCCACGGATTCCTATGCCGAGGCAGTCAATGTCAAAGGTCACGTATTCCTGCCACCCTACATTCAGTTTGACGGCATGACGCTCAACTACAATCTGAGCAGCAAGCAGCCGGACGTCATCCCATCAGATGACAACACGGGATTCTACTTCACGGTAAAGAACACGGGGAGAGAATTTGGGTTTATTATTAGACATCTTTCTTTAATAACTACATCACAGCTGTAGTTTTTTTCCAACATGATGCTGTTGGTGTAACTGTTGGTGACCATTGTTAAAGGAAAAATCACAATAAGTCCAGCACCCGATTTCATCAAACTCTTCGTAACTTACGATGCATCGCAGATCTGCGACGCGTCGTATCCCTACGATGCGTCCTGCGATCCATTTCACAAAACACGTCGTAAGTGCGACGCGTCGTAGGTGTATTTATAGCACAACTCGGTGACTGTTTTATGTAATAAGTCAGCATACAGTAAATAGTCGTTTGATATTCAACAAAGAGTTGTTGGATCTCCGCTCAAAATTTGTTAAAACGTAAAACAAAATGGCGGCCGTGCGATGCAATTTTGAAGGAAAACAAGCTCTCAGTGGACTGTAAAGCTACTTCGAAATTTCAACTGCAATATTCCAGTCTAATTCATAAATATTCAATGAATTTTCTATTTACAACTTTACACACATTGCCTCGGTATTATAATCTCATTGATGTAATGTTCATGGCATTAAACTGGCTAAGAAAGGGACCCTTCTTATTTTGCGATGACCACTAGACACGTCGTAACTTGCGACGTGTTTTAAGCTTGTGTCTAGGAACTTATGACGCGTTCAACACATCGAAACTTTCGTGAAATGGAAGATACGACGCGTCGCATGTTACAACGTGATACACGTCGTAACTCGAGTTGCGACGCATCGCAGCGCTTCGTGAAATTGGGTGCAGGCCTCACAGCGAACACTTTAAAATCTATGAAACCCTATATTTCAACTTGAAAGCCTATTGTGTTTTTAGAAGTAACCTATATATTATTCTGTCATACTTTTAACAATTTTTATAACGATTTTAACAATTATGAATTTGACCGACAGTTCGCTGTATTGCTACTACCCTGAGCATCCTGAAAAATTGCACAGTTTTGCTCCCTTAAAACCTATAAATGCCGTATATTTTGGAATTTGGAAAACCTTTAAAAAGTATGTTTTGAATTTCAAAAAAGCTATTAAAAAACACGTATATTTTGATGAAAACGGGCATTGCGAGGCCTGTAACTTACAAAATAGGATTCACTCATTATCTAGAAACAAATATTTGGCGCATTGATTTGAGTCGACCTTTTGGAAAGATATAAGACTAAGTGGGGTGCTGTGGTCCAATGGTTACGGTATTCGACTCGTGTATCGTGGTACATGGGTTTGAATCTTGACCGTGGAAACATGGTGCTTGTGCTCTTGAGCAAGGCACTTTACCATTATTGCTTCGTCCTTCGGATGGGACGTAAAGCCGTAGGTCCCGTGTGTTGTGTAATGCACGTTAAAGAACCCAGTAACACTTATCGCTAAGAGAAGGGGTTTGCCCCGGTGTTTCTGGCAGTGGCTGCAATGTGCGCCGCAGCACCTTGTAAACCATTATAAGGTGCTACATAATGTGTCTCATATTTCTCATAAACTTTATTAACCTTTCTTTAATAATTGACATAATTTCCAGTGCCTTGAGTACCTAATTGTTGGTAGATACATGCGCTATATAAGACTCCATTATTAATATTATTATTATTACTAATGTTGCCTTTCTCCACATGTAGAGACAAAAACTTTCTTTCCTTTCCTTTCTGCAACCAGGTACCCAGGATGTTCTTCACGGACCGCATTGCATTGACCATCGAGACCACCATTAAACCAAACTACCGCTACAAGTTGACCAAGAACTGGAAGGGAACCACACCCATCGAGGTAAACATGACAGGTTAACAGGTTGACTTGGTGGTTCCAATACTGTCTGGTCTAAGACAGTGATTTTTATTGCGGTACTGGTAGGGGGTTATATTGCGCTTGCGTCGGGCGTTGCGTACGGACGATCGGAACGGACACGCAATGTATACGTACAAATGAAAAGGGACATGCGCTACCTATATAAAGTCAATGTTTTGTGTCCGTAAAAATGAAACACGTACACAAGTATAAATTTGAGTCTTCGTCTAATTCTGTTGGTATTTCCCTGACGTCCAGTTCTCAATGAAATATCCTTTCTCCAAAAGAGGTTTGGGAGTTACGTGGCGCATCTTGGGATTTCAAGAAATATCCATTTTGCTTCATACATGGGCATTTCACTGTTCCGAAAAAGACTTCGGAAAAGGATTCTTTAAAATCTAAATTGCAGGTGTTATTTTTGTTTTTATTGGCTGTTCATCATCTTAACTGATAACGTAATTATTTTTGAATAAATACTAATTGCATTATTAATGTTGATGAAACGGAACAGTGTTAACTTTGGTCAATATTCCTTTATATGAAATAATCTCTCAAAATCAAACTTTGCTTAAAAAGGGAGATAGATAGGTTTGCTCAATTTTTAGAAAGATAGCAGCAGTGTTTTATTGGAAGTTGCTCATGTCTTTCATTACTCTAGGTTATATATTACATGACGGTCTATGATCCAAACTATTACGTTGACGGCCAGTACTTCAACGAGCCTATGGACTATACGACTTTTGACTTCACTGTGCCCTACCCAGATATACCAGGTAAGAAAGTCTTGCCATTAAGTACATAGCTTTTGAAATTGTGTAATGAGTGTCATATTGGGGGAGACCATCGGATGAAGAGGCATTCAAACACATCGCCGATGACGCTCACGCACAAACACTTGGGCTTGTTGCACATTCAGAATAAAGTAAGTCGTGCGTACTTAGCGCTGTATGCGCGCGAACCAGTACGAACGTATAAACACTGCCTTATGGGGCACCGGAACAATGGTAGGTACCCCACAAGGAATGCCCACCGACTTGCGGGGTACCGTTTTGGTACCCCACATGTTTTTCACGAAATAGATATATAGACTTTACTCAAAAACTAGGAATTTCCAAGGTGGGTTGATCCGTCGCAAATGGAAGAGTTTTAGAAAAGGGATATTAAGTCCGAATTTCAGCCCAGGAAATTAATTCTGGTTAAAATAAGAGCATTTTGAAATTAGTGTGCGACATTGCAAAATTTTAGTACACGAGAACAAAGAAAGTACCCCACTTGTACGTGTGAGCTTGTCTTACATATGCAGTGTGGACTTCCGAACAAAACACGTCCACATAATGTAGGTAAAACAGGTTTAGAGGCATTTTGGGGTTAGGTTTATCTGTAGCAGAATGAAGAGAAACACTAAAGGGAATCATAGAAAAAAAATTGGGTTGAAAGAGTTTTCACAGTTTGAGAAAAATGAGTTTTTCCACTGGTGTTCCTTAACAACACGAAAAGAAAGGAAAGTCCACACTACGTATGTGAAACAAACGTGTGCGTGTAAGCGTGGGTGTGTGCACGTGGTGTGTCCCGGATCTTTTCATGGGGCTCCCAAAAGTGGTAAAAAAGTGCCCTCCCTTGTTGGTGCATGGAGCCCATAGTGCCGTGGAAGGTTTCTGACGTGAAGGCACCTCAAAGGTGTTATTAAGGGAGGTTTGAGTTGCTGATTACCGAAATGAGTATGAGTGTTTTAGAGACAAAGTGGGAACATTGAACATTCAGGATCTTCTTTTCTCACTTCCCCCTCTATGCCAATTGTTTTGTTCAGTCCTTTCTTACAACTATCATTCTGTGGGGTTTTCCTCCCATCTAGCTGTACATTGTTTTCTTCTCAATCCAGCAATGAGACTTGAGGGACAACTGTTCCAATTAAAGCACTTAGAATAAGACAGAAATAAAAAAAGAGAACTTCACCATGCAACAGTATTTTGCCAAAATATATCCAATTTATGCTAGTTTGGTCATCTTTTCTTTCTTGAAGTTTGTTTTTGTGTGAAGAATGTCAACTTGATTTAACTTCTGTTTTGCCTGGTTTGAATGTTATTCCCAAAGGCCAAACTTTGTTACCTACATGTGACAGCCCAACAGCCTTGGGAATGGAGGTTGGAAGCATACAAGACTGCCAGATCACTGCTTCATTTGCACCAGACCCAACTAATGCTGCAGGACATAATGCAAGGCTAAATGGACCTGGTAGGTTGGGTTGGGTCGGGTCGGGTTGGGTTAGGCTGGGTTAGGTGCTTGGGATGGGATTGGTTGGGTTTGGGTTGGGCTGGGTTGAGGTTGTGTTGGGTTAGGTGGTTGGGTTGAGATGGGCTGGGCTGGGTTGGGTTATGTAAGGCTGGTTGGGTTGAGTCAGGCTGTGCTTGGTTGGGTTGTGTTGGTTTGGATGCGTTGGGTTGGGTGGGGTTTGTCTGGGTTGGACTTGGTTTTGTTTTGTTGGATTGGGTAGGGCTGGTTGGGTTGGGTTGGGTAGGGTTGGGTTGGGCTGGGCTGGCTTGGGTTGGGTAGGGTAGGATTGGGATGGGTTGGGTAGGGTTGGGTTGGGTTGGCTGGTTGGGTTGGGTCAGGTGGTTTGGGCTGGGTTGAGGTTGTGTTGAGTTAGGTGGTTGGGATGGGCTGGGTTGGGTTGGGTTGAGTAAGGCTGGTTGGGTTGAGTCAGGCTGTGCTTGGTTGGGTTGGGTGGGGTTTGTCCGGGTTGGACTTGGTTTGGTTTTGTTGGGTTGGGTAGGGCTGGTTGGGTTGGGTTGGGCTGGGCTGAGCTGAGTTGGGTTGGGTAGGGTTGGATTGGGCTGGGCTGGCTTGGGTTGGGTAGGGTAGGATTGGGATGGGTTGGGTTGGGTTGGGTTGGCTGGTTGGGTTGGGTCGGGTGGTTTGGGCTGGGTTGAGGTTGTGTTGGGTTAGGTGGTTGGGTTGGGATGGGCTGGGTTGGGTTGGGTTGGTTTGATTAAGGCTGGTTGGGTTGAGACAGGCTGTGCTTGGTTGGGTTGGTTTGGATGCGGTGGGTTGGGTGGGGTTTGTCTGGGTTGGACTTGGTTTGATTTTGTTGGGTTGGGTAGGGCTGGTTGGGTTGGGTTGGGCTGGGCTGAGTTGGGCTGAGTTGGGTTGGGTTGGGTTGGGTTGGGTTGGGTTGGGTTAGGATGGGTTGGGTAGGGTTGGGTCGGGTCGGGGTTGGGGTGGTTTGAGTTGGGTTGGGCTGGTTGGGTTGTGTTTGGTGTGGTTAAGTTGGCTTGGGATATGGGTTGGGTTGAATTGGGGCTTGAGTTAAGTATAAATCTAGCGCTGAATCTATAAACCGCAGTCATGTTTACTTGAGTTCTACAACTTAAAATATTTTTAGAATTTTGCTACGTTGAATGTTAAGAAATGGATGAATCTGACTTGAATGCAATTACAGCTTGGAAGACCCAAGCCCGAGCTGGTCCATTCCTCTACGATCGTTGGATAAAGATTGACCTGGGAAAGAGGGCGTTTGTCACTGGTATCCAGACCCAAGGAGGAAGCAGTGCGAATGCCGATGGGGACCTGGGAGAATTTGAGATCCTGTACAGCCTGGATGATACGCTGTATAAGGCCGCAACTCCATCAGATAATAAAGTGGTAATTCTTTAACTGTGTAAAACTTTGTAAAATTTGATTAGATCAATAGAAGCTTGAACTTCAAGAGCTAACCGCGCTAGCAGAGAAGTTCTGTGCTAATCGGTAAGCACAGACTCCTTTAGTTATGAGATATACGCATGCACAGAAGCAAAACTTCCTCACTAACACCTGAAATTTTCTGCTACACTAAGCAGGGATTTTTCGGTAACGGTAAGCAGAGTCAGGAAATTGGGCCCCAACTTTCAACATTGACAAAAAAAATTCACATTTAAAATTTGAATCTGAACAATAAGTTTGTATCTGTAGTGTTTTTTCCCATTTATTTTCCGGATTTTTGTTGGAATCAATTTGTCACACAGTTTTCATTTCTTGATTTCTTTGGGTTAGGCCAAAAAAAAAGTCTTTGGTTTCTGGTACGGAGCTTGCACCAAAAGTGGTGCGGCAACGTGGCTTTTTTTTTTTAAACTTGTTTTTTCTTCAAATTTCGGCTGATAACTGCAAATGGTGCCCGACTAAATTTAGTGCAAAACATATGGGAGCCAAGAGAGGCCACATAAAGCTAATACTCGATCGTAACCCAATTTAAAAACACGTTAAAATTGTGCAGCAGCAGGATTTCAGTCAAACAAGTGAGTTTGGCAGTTTTGAAACATCATCTTACATTGAAGTTTTTTTTTTATTTTGCCGACGCGCATGGCTACAGTGACGCACGCAAACCAGAAACCGGAGCCTTTTTTCGGGGGGGCCATACCTAAAACATATTGAAATCAGACAAAAAGTCCAAAGACTACTGATTTACAAGGGCATAAATGAGGCAATGAAAAAAATTGAAGAAATATAAGAGATTACCAAAAAAATATTCCATTAATTGTGGTCTAATAAAAGAGAGGACCGTATAACTATTAAACACAGAGAGCAAACAAAATGAACACTTGAATTCTTTTCTAGTTTGACCACCAAAAAGACGCCCCGGCCGACCACGACACAATAGTGACCCACACCCTTCTCATACCAGTAGAGGCTCGCTACGTCATCGTCAACCTGACTGCATACGACTACACGTCCCGGGCCAAGTGGTACAATGCACTCCGGCTGGAGATATTTGGATGTGAGATCCCGGGCACCACAGCGACAGGTAAGAGACTACCGGGCCCGATTGCAGAGAGCAGACATGCCAGTTCTCAGGCTGTGGGCTCCGTGCGCCAACAAGAGAGGGCACTGTTTTACCGCTTCAAAGAGCCCCTCGGACGGGACACTCCGTATTAGCGTAATGGTTTCCGAGCATCCGCTCCGTTCACGGGTACCCCCTCACCGGCAAAGAAAGTACAGTTGGGGGTGACCGACTGACGCCATCTTGCCTGACTGCAATTTTGTCGCAACACGTGGCCGTACCACTGCGTGTACGTAGTACAAATCCCCTGGTGTACGTGCTTCACACACAAGCTAAATGTCCCGCCCATGGGACATCGTTGCTAGGTAAAAGGGCGCCCTCTTTCGTTGGTCCATTTTCTCTAAATGTGCGCAAAGCCATAGTGTCTTTGCGTGAGCGTCAGGGGTGGTCAGCATTCATTCAAATGTCTCTCCAAGTTGTCTTTCCAACTCCAGAATAGTTTCTCTTTTCCTGCCGCCCAGGAAAAGAGAAACTCCTTTAGTTCCTCCTGGGTCAAATCCTTAGATTATGGCATAACTGAAAACTGTTGCCATATTCCACCCTACAAAGCCTTGAATCCTATTACAGCTTTAAAAAACACCCCTTTTGTTCGACAGATACCTGTCCGACGTCTGCAACCCCTCTGAACACTCAGCCCTATCAGCGAGGCTTCTTGGCTGACATATCTACCAACACTCTCTTCGTGTGCGATACCATCCCCCACGGTAAGAGTGGGGTTCGCAAGGAGATCCAGGCATCAGTCTATGCATTCCTCTGGAAGTAAGTAGTCAGCTTGAGGTTTTTGTAATTCCCAGAAGGCCAGCCTAGTGTCTGCTTTGTACTTATCTCACTGACTGACTGACTGACTCCCCGACTGACTGTCACTTGTGAGTCGGGCAGTGCTGTTGTATAGGATCATCCTGTAACGCCAATGAATGGGCTAAATCCACAGACATATGAACACATAGACCGTCAGGTCCTATATGAAACTACACGCGCATTTCGTGATTTCGCGCGCCAGACTAAAATCCAAACTATGGGCAAATTCAGCTCTCGGTATAGGGATTTGACACACACCAAAACTGTTCCATTAAAACAATTAGTATGAAGTTACTTTTCGATTGTAAAAAAAATCCCTTGTGTTCTTAATATGATTTAGGTAGATTAAAAAAACAATAGCATGTACAACTTTTTTCTAACGGATTGTGAGCAAAACAGCCTTTTTAACTCAGAAACTTATGTTCTGTATGTAAATGTATGTACTGTACTAAGCACGTATCTGCATTGAACGCGTGTCGCGTGATTCATACCTGCCAATATTGAAAAGTCAGAAAGAGGAACAGGGTGCCTACGCATCACACATGGTGAGCGGCGCAGGCGCGCGCTAATGGGTTGGGTCCAGGGGCAATCATACTAAGTACATGTACATGTACATGTGCCTAGTATTAGTAAAATGTTACATGATATCCAGAAGCAGACCCAACAGACACTAATCTTATTTAGTGGATAATTTTCTGAATTTTCCAGCCGGTTTTTGCTGATCAAAATTTTACAATTTAAGAATAAATGACTGCTGACTTACATGCTTCACAGTTTAATCACATGTAGATATTCAGTCACAGTAATACATTTTACATGTACACTGTACAAGCAGTGACAAGTACAATTTTATTTGGAAAAGTTCGTACATCATTGTACGGTGTGCATAGGCCTGTTACAATACACGTTTTTAAATTTTTCACGATATTCCTCTCGGAATTTTTGACTCCATCGCTGCTTTTTCTCCTTCAGTGTATCATCCTCCTGGTCCATGTTGCAGTTGAAATGCTCATACAAAAACGTTGACAAAAAAGTGTGACTCAGCACGGTCAAAATATCAACGAAAAACCACCGAAGACTATGAAGAAACGTGTGTGGAAAACAAACATGGTATCAATAATGTCAATACGTCCACCGCGCCGTGCCTGGCGCGGCCCGCGCTTAATTCAGTAAGCACGCAAGAGAGGCAGTACACCAGACGGATGACGTAGCGGGTCTCAGTATTGGCTGCGGCTAGGTTCTGGCTGATCGCACAAGCCTGTGTGCGCGAACGGCTGCAGCCGCAGCCAATTCGGACATGGCCTGTTCGATGACGTTTGAGTCTGGTTTACGTCCCTTTCGTCGTACATAAGAGCGAGGCAGATTTTATACCATTATGGTAGCGGCAATAGCGCCCTCAATACAATAAAACATTTTTCTCGGAAAAGTGTGCGACGGCGGAAAATCGCAACTCGGAAAATCGGGACGTTCCGATTTTCGGGCACTTTTTATCTCCAAAATCGGAACAGTTCCGCCTAAATCGGAACAGTTGGCAGGTATGTGTGATTACGCGCGCTGTCAACAAGCATTTTGCCCATACTTTTCAAATCACGGTTTTAAATGCACGACTGACGGTCTATGCGTTTATATGGCTGTGGCTAAATCCGGCCCATTGTGCAGACCAGATGCAATGAAAAGACTTCCAGTGAATAGCCGTTCTGAATCGACTGGATAGAACTTTGTGTGCTCTGGGACCGGCTTTACTACATGAGTTTTCAGAAATTTCCTTACATACTACAAAAGTAAGGCATTAGTGGGGTGCTGTGGTCCAATGGTTACGGTGTTCGACACGTGTGCCGTGGTACATGGGTTCGAATCCTGACCGTAGGAACTTGGTGGTTTTGCTCTTTAGCAAGGCACTTTACCATTATTGCTTCGTCCTTCGGATGGGACGTAAAGCAGCAGGTCCCGTGTGTTGTGTAATGCACGTTAAAGAACCCAGTAACACTTATCGCTAACAGAAGGGGTTTGCCCCGGTGTTTCTGGCAGTGGCTGCAATATGCGCCGCACCACCTTGTAAACCCTTATAAGGTGCTACATAATGGGTCTCATATTTCTCATAAACTTTATTTACCTTTCTTTAATAATACACATTTCTCCAGCGCCTTGAGTACCTAATGGTTGGTAGATACGTGCACTATCTAAGACTCCGATATTATTATAATTATTATTATTATTCTGGCAAAATGAGACAAAACAGGGCAGAGGTTGAAATGAGGGTTTGCGGGTATTAGAAAAGAGACTAAAAATTCTCCTTACAGTACTTGTATGTTGCACCTCAATCAGACATTCTGTTGACAAGTTTATTATTGAAACTTCATATTTATCGACAGGTCGAAAAAGTAAAAGGCCTTTAACGGTTTTGAAGTTGAGAAAATGAAATTTTTGTGTGTGCATTTTTTTTTTACACTTTTCCGTCTCCTTTGCCAGAACTCACATTTTGTCAATTTTTTAGGCCACATTGTAACCTACAATTCTGGCCAAATCTCGCTGGGTCCGCAACCCCCCGGCCCCAGCTCAGTGTTGTCTCTCATTGCGCGGTGTGGGCTCCATCAGCTGGAGAGAACAACATTGACCGGGGGAGCGGGGGAGTGGGTGATCGTGGCAGGCTCAGGAAGTGTCCCAACCATTTTGGCCGGGATTGTAGCTTGTTCATAGAAGATAAAGTGTTTCAAAAGGCATTTCTGATGTTGCACCGAGTTGATCGATCTGGTTTTTTTTGTGTTTGGCAGAAAACCAGACATGCATTGCTTCATGATGATATATGCTGAAAAGCAGTGGACCGGTAAGTTATAAAATGGCTTGGCCATGATGTTGATGCTGGAAGCTTGGAAGCTTTACTCTATCAATGCAAGACGTTATTGTTAGACAATGATATCAGTGATCAGACTCAGCAAATGATGGACTGTAGCTTTAAGCGTCGTCCACACAACAGACCAATCTATGATGTTCTAACCAATCACAGTGGTTATTAAAGTCTGACATGCATGCACAAAAGTCCGAAATGTATGTACGTGCTCTACATAAACCCCAAGGACCGTTAACAAAGGGAGAACAACAGATCCTTTCAGTCCTAGGACGTTGGGTCTTTTGTTGGAAACGGTCCTCTGTAGTAAGTTTGTGTGCCTGGTCTATGGGAGAGTATTATATTACAGGGACATATAGAAACACAAAGCATTGTCCTTGAGAGTATAGTAAAACATGACTGTGTGCGCATGCGTGCATATGACACGTGCAAGCAAGACACGTGTCGTTGCCCACGTTCGCAGTGGATCTGTCCATTGGGTTCAAGATGTAACCATTCATTCTATCTTGCCCAGGTCTGGATCCCCGACTGCGCAACATCGTCGGCTTCTTGCCCAGCACTGGCAAGCTGTACGGCATCATGGACAATTCTCCCGACTCCTACGCCGCCAGTGACAAACCCTTCACCAGCTGGTATCTGATTGAGAAGAGCAACTACGACGTCGCGGCCGCAAGCGATGGCTTCGTTAGCAGCATTGCGGTGCCGTTCGTGTCCAATTCAGGGTTTAGTTATTCCAATCCTGACAATTTTGCCAGCTCTGTGTACGCTATCGGTGACTGGAAAGGTATGTAATAATACACAAATAATGATTGTTTGAGTGCAATGGTAAGAATAATGTCACGGGGTGACAGATTCGCCAAGTGGAATGGAACATTCCATCTGTCACCAAATTAAATTAATGAATGGGAGGTTTGCGGTAACACCATGTGAATGATATCTCTTTGTGAGTTGTGTGGTTCTGAAAAGAAGCAGTTGGCTTAACTCGACCTTTGGAACAGTATGCTCTGGTTGTCATCAGGAGACTGATGACAGGAGACTGATGACTTTTGACGGGATGTCTCCTGATGACAAACAGAGCATTCTGTTCAAAACGTCGACTTAAACCAACTGGTTCTTCTCAAAACCACGCAACTCACAAAGACATATCATTCACATGGTGTTACCGCAAACCTCTCATGCATGGATCATGTCCACCATGTACACCCTTAAGTCGGGAATCCTTATCTTTAGGACACCTCTATACTTTATGAGTTTTGTTCAAAACTGACTTTTGCAGATGATTGTCCAGTACCAAAGTGACCTTTGCAGGCTAAAGCAGTTCTTTTTTCTTTAGATAAACTCATGTTAAAATTGTTAGTTGTAATTTTGAAAGCACTTTCAAAGAAAATGTGACTTTCCTACCTTTTTTTGCAGTTTGCCATCTTAGTTTTTGAGTCTGTTTCCTGTTTGTCGTCGTCATCTTTACCCCCTAATTTCCCCCATGAATGATTAAATCAAAGCCCTGCCCTCTTTCCGCAAAATTAAACCTGCTGATATTCAAGAAGTTGTCATTGTCAACTGTTCAAATGTGTCAAGAAATATCAGAATGGCACTTTTGAGTGTCATTTAGTCAGCTTTTTGGGAGCGAGTCTTTTAACCTTATAATAGGAATGGGGTCCCAAAGGTAAGGATAAAAAGTCTCATTTAACCAAATGAAATTATTCTTTCCATTGCACGAATGTGAAACATTCATTATTTGTTTGATAGAATGCTTGAATAAATACTCATCACCTGATTGGTAACTTGTCAAATGGTACTATGAATGTACGGAATCGGAGCCATCACAACCAATAGTGTAATGGAAGTTATATTAACCCCTTAAGCAGGACATTCCTCCACACATAGAGCAAGTGGCCCGCATGACTGCACAGCCTTTGTGTGGTAGCGGGACTGCACAAAAGCAGCAGCTGTGGAACTACCCACTAGCCGTGTGCCACGGCATACCACAGTTGGCAACTGCATTCCAATCAGGATTAGCGGCCGCGGCCATGACCGCTTCCCGTGCGCATGGGGTTAACTGTGGAATAGAACTTTTTTTGCTGTGTGGTCGTGCTGTGCGTTGGGATGAATAATTCAATGACACGTGAGCAACAACCCACCAATCAGATGGCGGGGATTTGTTCAGGTGATGTGTCATAGTTTCTAACCTGTGACAAATGTGATAATAAGAGTGTGCAAGTTGACCTCCTTAACCTGCGAGATTTGACGGGATTAAAGCACACCCGGGAACCATGTATGGGCTCCGTGCACCAACGAAAGAAGGCGCCCTTTTACCTAGCAACGACGTCCCATGGGTGGGACATTTCGCTGGTTGTCGGACACCGTTCCTTGTGTGTGGACGCACGTACACCAGGGGATTTGTACTATGTACACGCAGTGGCCGGCAAATGAATTGCAGTCAGGCAAGATGACGTCGGTCGATCACCCCCAACTGTATTTTCTTTGCCGGTGAGGGGGCACTTGTGAACGGAGCGGATAGGACCTATTTTTTTTACATTTCTTCTGTGTCCTGACTACGCTTATTAAATCAAGGGCAATAAATGGGTTCCGTGACAAACAGAGAGGATATTGTGAATTGATGACTATCATAAAATTAAAAATGTTTACCCCAACTTCCGTTCAATTGATCACGCAGTATAAATTGATCAGCATATCAGGTTACTGGGACCATTACACTGGCTACAGCCAGCCGGTCGTGAAATACTTGCCTGGGGCTACTGCTCTTTTGGAAAGTAGGTTATATGTCCAATTTTTCTTTGACTTTCTTTACAGCAACCATGAGTGGAATCTACAAAGGTTCTGAGAAGGTCATGGATTGGAACGAATGCTGCCAGCCGACCTGCTCGGCTAACGGTGGCCCGGACAACTGCTCCTAAATATGGACAGCTAAAGGGTGAAGTCAGTTGCTTACGATTTTCTATTAAAAATCACGAAATGCACTTTCGTCATTCGCTATATTGCGCACGTTCAATTTACATTCATACAATTAGAGCACGGGAATTATAAATGTGCCTTTTTAAAATCATTGAAATGTTAACAAAAAATAAAGCTATGTGTTCAAGATTAGTTCTTGATACTATTTTTTTCTCTAAAAAGTAACTGCGATATGTATAGAAAATGTTGCACATTTTGAATGTGTTTCTGTGTTATTCACAGTGTTGTGCCTTATTGTAAATAGTCACCGACAAATTAGTGCGGAGAAATACTTTATTTTAAGAATTATATCAAGTTGATGTATAAATTTATAAATGTAACTAAACACCATTAGTTCTGCTGTATTTTGAGAAACCAAGTCTGCTTTGTATTGCACTTTGTTGATCGGAACGCAGTAAAAATAAATAAATTGTAATGCTTATATAGCGCTTTCCATCGTATCAACAATCTCAAAGCGCTTTACAATTATTCCCCCGTTCATCAGGCCACGAGACCACGCGACAGCTGATATCAGTGCACAATCAGTCCTCGACTCTCACAGGTACCCATTCATACTCCTGGGTGGAGAGAGGCAATTGTAGTTTAGTGTCTTGCCCAAGGGCACAAACACCATGTTCCTGGCAGGGTTCGAACCCATGTACCACTGTACATGAGTCAAACACCGTAACCACTTGGCCATGGCATTCTACAGTAGTAAACAAGGGAGCATGTTCCTGGCAGGGTTCGAACCCATGCACCACTGTACATGAGTCAAACATCGTAACCACTAGGCCAAGGCATTCTACAGTAGTAAACAAGGGACCATGTTCCTGGCAGGGTTCGAACCCACGTACCATCGTACGTGAGTCAAACACAGTAACCACTTGGCCATGGCATTCTACAGTAGTAAACAAAGGACTTTTTTGTTCTAGAAGTGATAATTTGCAAGATGCAAAGACAAAAATGGGGTTAAAATAAAAGGAAGCGAGACAAAACATTTTATTTTTGAAAGTATTAACGATTGGAATTTATTACTACAAATGTGTAAAATTTGATATACAGTTATATGCATGTACAGAGAATTCCAAAAGCATGTTAACGCATTGTACAAATCAGTAGAACGTCAACGTTTTCGTCAGAAAAGTGTAAAAAGTTTGAGAAATATTTTTAATTACACTATGCCAAAACAAGATGGTAAATTTCTCTTACTGTATGCAAAATACCAGAAATGGATTGTACAACTTTTAATATTATCTGTAAAACTTTAGTATAATTAATGATTACTTAATCATCTAGCTTCATAGTTTCTATGTTTATATGCAATATTATAGTTATTCCACGTTATGTGTACTTTTTCCTCACTGCAGTGAATGAGATTATATTTGAACCAAAATCACCCTTTTCTCTCAATTGACCACACATTTGAGCACGGTTCTGAGATGGGACTCTGATTGTTCACTTGCCCTAAAATTATTTAACACTGTTGCAATTTTTTTTATATGAGAGAAATATGACTGGAGGATCATTTAAATTTAAAAAAAAATCCACCATGCTTGCAAAGGCAACTTGTACAACAAAGCGAGCTCGCTAGCCTTTTAAGGAGAGAGTCCCATGAGCAATAACGTTACAATCCTTGATCAGTGCTATGCAACTGAGCAAGATAATTAAGCAAGATACATCTATTTGGCCTACAAAAACATTTTTTCAGCAACTTAGGGATAAATATATACAAGTAGAACCAAGCTAAATATTGACACACGTAGTGCAGCTTCCTAAGATGGAATTTTGCATCGGGGTGATGTTAATCAATATTAGCTTTTTGCCCTTCACCAACGTTTAAACACTGTATACTCAGTGTGTTACCTCCCGAGTGAAAGTTGGAAAAAATCACTCGGGTGGGACTCAAACCCACGACCTCCTGCTTTCTAGTGCAGATGTCTTATCAACTGAGCTACTTTTTAGTGCAGACGTCTCGACCACCGAGCTTGCAGGATCAGTTGGCCAGTTCGAATCTGATGTACATGTACCGTAACAGCGGGTACAGCAATTAAACTATTCATACGATAGAATTTGCAACCAATTCTTATTTAAATGCATAGTGCAACTTCGTTCCCATAGTATAAGATCAATGCATTTTCAAAAATCTTGCACATTAGGAAGTCTGGTGCCTGGCTGTGCTTTCAATCAGTGCTTGTTTTTTGTATGCGGCGTCTGGGGTACAACACAATCAATTTGTCGCGGTGTGAAATCCGAAAACACAATTTTCTTCATATATATGTAAAATGTTACAATCTTATCCAGCCAATATGCAGTATCGCATTACATATTATTACAAGCAAAATGGAAAAGGGGAGTTGTTTTTGAGGAAGTTTTGAAGTAATAATTCACATTGAATGATAAAATACGTAAAACACATTGGAAATAAAGTACGCGATATAAATCCATGACTTGCTATTGCTGTATCCAATCAGGAAACAGGATGCAAGTTTCTGAACCAGGGGTTGAAAAAGTAGCCCTGGGGTCGAGGTTGTACTTAGTGCCAATATTTTAAAAGAAAAAAAATTAAGATTAGGGATGTTTATGTGCAGAGTTTTGTTTTTCCGAAATGCTAATAATTTTGGTCAAATTTTGTAAATCTTTAAATGCACTGTCTTAGTCTGTGTAACATCAGAAGTTATGCCTAGAGGCAAAGAAAGGAGTAAAAATCATTAAACTTTTTGAGCGTATTCTACACCTAAGCCACCTGGTTTCTGAGCTCTGTCTATTCTTATTGCATTTTGCTACATTCTGTGTACTTTCTATAGATACATTGCGATGCAGCCATATTTGAGGTGCATGCAGGGATACATGAGTAGACATGTGAGGCATTACGAGACAAAACTGGGCATAGCCTTGGTCAAGGCGCTAGTTGTTATTCATCCGGCCGTAGCGCGGTAAAAACGATATTTTCGCTAGCGCTGTGCATGCAGTCATTATGTCTATGCATGCAGTGCATTAAAAATACATCGCGAACAGCGACCTCACGCGGCCACTATGTTTATGCAAATCAGTTGGACCCAATCTAGCGCCTTGGTTCAATCGTCCATGTGAGGTTTGGGGGGTGGTGCTCATTATGTTAATAGCCTTAGCTGACCTTAAATGTCGTTTTCTTATTGGTCGATCGTTGCGTCGGAACTTGCATAGTGAAACGTGGCACTGTACATAATCCATACACGTACACGTTGTGTGTCTCTGCACACGGCACCAATGCACAAAAACTGTGGTTCCTGTCACGTCCGCAAAAGGCGAATGGCTGCAAATAATTTGATGATGTCCGGATTTACCAAGGTGTGATTGGACACTCCACATATTAGCCCCGCCTACACTTATCTGTATTCGCATACAAGGTCGTGCGCTAGAAATCCAGCGGAAAATAAAGAAAAACATAAGCTTTTGCCGACGATTGAACCAAGGCGCTAGATTGGGTCCAACTGATTTGCATAGAAATGGTGGCCGTGTGAGGTCGCTGTTCGCGCTGTATTTTTAATGCACCGCATGCATAGCGCTAGCAAGGATATCGTTTACTGCGCTACGGCCGGGATGAATAACAACTAGCGTCTTGACCAAGGCTAAACTGGGCACAGGTTGAAATGAGGGTTTGCTCGTATTATTAGAGAATAAAACTCTCTTTACAATACTGTTTTTTGCACTTCAATCTGGCGTTCCATTGACAAGTTATGGCTGTTGAAAATTTGTCAACATGTATCAACATGTCAAAAAAGTGAAAATACTTTAAAAAAAAGGCCGTTAAAGTTTCGAGTTTTGTATCCGTAAAAATTTATGCCAATTGATTTCCCTTACAAACACTTTTATTCCACATATTTTATACTATATAACGTGTCTGAAAATCGAAAAAAAAAAAAAATTATTCTCTGCTACTGCCTGTGCCCAGTTCCGTCTCATTTTACCAGAATGCCTCATATATATTAAGCATTCATGGGTCCAGATTTAACTTTGTGACTACCCAAGCCCAGTAAAGTTGATCCGTGAGTCATTTTTGAGCCATGCAGAGATGCCACAGGGTTTGCTTGAAAAAAAACCCGGAACTGTGTCTGCTTGAAAAAAACCCGGAACAGCTGCTTGAGAAAGCCGGAACTTAATTTTTTTGGGTAAAAAAAACACTAAGTCCCCGTTGTCATCTTTCTCTTGTAGCCAAGCCAAGTTCCATTTAGTTTTTTGCTTCTATGGCCTTTAAGCTGTCCATTCGTTCAATCACTTTGATTTTTCCATATTCCTATTATTTTTTCTGCCTACCCGAATTTCCAACGTAATATTCGACACGAAACATCGGAAACACGCACGATTTCACAACACTGTCGGTGTACATGACCTTTGCACTACACGAAAATATGCTTGGTACCCGGCGCTTTTTTTGTGTTCACATATATTACTGCGATCTGGAACCATCGATAACTGAAATGATAGACTTGATTTCCAGGCTGAATGCTACGTATGCTTAGCACACAATACGCCTGCACACGGTGCATGCAGCACGCGAGGCGCCGTTGTATACGGCCTGAATAATGAAAGGTTTGCGGAAACACCATGTGCGAATAATTTCTCAACTAACAGAATGGTTCTGAAAAGAACCAGAGGTATAAACTCGACGTTCCGGTCAGTATGCTCTGACCGTCTTCGTCTTCTTGCACATGGTGCTTCCGTAAACCTTTCATTATTTACATGTAGTATCTCCACCATGCAAAGCCTCAAATCTTACATATACGGCCTGTATCGCATGCAGGCTCGGCAACAACAAAGACTTGATTTTAAAACTACTTCAACGAACAATGTTGTGCCAGACCGCTATTAAAAACAAGGTAAAAATCAATGCATTTCCACATTTTTTTCCTCTTTTTCCAGTTTTTTTTACGGCCGGAAAAACCGGAATTTGGTGAGATTTAAAAAAAAACCATGAAATTCCGGTTTAAACCGGAAAAGTGGCATCTCTGGCCATGGTGTGACTGAATCAAGTCTAATTCACAAGTGACAGTCAGTCACATGGTACAACAACGACCCTCGGCTGGCCCTCTGGGACCAGCAAAGACACCTCCAAGATGTGCGCTGAATGCAAACAGTGTATATTGATGGCTTACTTTGTTTGAGCTTGGTACGTCCTTGTTAGAAACTCTCACTGCACGACTCATCGTCGCTGTCAGATTTCTCCTCCTGCCCCATAGTGGTCGTTGACTGCAAAAACAACGGAAGAGAGAACATTTGTATTATTGAGATGTGTACCCCATGCTGTTAAAAAAATGGAAGTTTCTTTTGTACTAACAAATTTTCAATTTGCATGTTTTGTTTTAACCAAAAAAACTACTTTATTCCCATTTTGGCGTCTGCAACCTTCTGAAAAAGGGCTTGTATGCACATTGTATGCACAAATAACCCAGCCAATAATTAGATTTTTGTGAAGAAATAATTCAATAACTAAATGTTGGTGGTTTCACTCTTCTTTTTTCGATGTCTCATTCAAAAGTGAATGGAAAAAGAAAACAAATTAAATTGAGGTGAAACTCGAATAAAATTGAGGTGAAACTCGAATATAGCAGGGGAATGCATCTTTAAGAGGTTAACTGGGTGATTGATTACATCTCTTTGCTCCATGGTGCTCCATGGGGACTACACTACACACCCTAAATATCTCTTTCTTAGGCGGTTTTTAGAAGCGCCGCCTGGACAGTGTTAAAGTCAATTCCATCACAAGTCTTGACAAGTTCATCACAAGTCAATCTGAAATCACCCAGACCAAAGTTATGGCACAAGCTATTCACTGAATTGTGACCAAAGGCTTTCCTTGGTTTTATTATCCCATATTCACTGGCGTAGTTGTGACGCCACTACTCGGAGGTCAATTCGGTGCAACCATAGTTACTGGATCACGCGCACTACACCGGCTCAGTGAACGCCGTGGTTTCACTATGGCTGTTGTGAATCCGTTTCATAAATTGGCTTGATTCTCCTCTTTGAAGTGAAAATAAGCCCAACTATGGTTGTAACTGGTGTGGTGGCAATCTGCTGAAAGGCAGCGATCCATTTTCAGGTACTAACTTGTGAAAATATTCTATGAAAGCAGGATGTAAAGTTGCTGTCTGTGATCGTGTGTGTTAAACGTGCGTGAAATTTGTCGTTATGGAATGCACATGAACCATTGTTGTGGAAGTGAGCCTAACCTGGGGGCGAATTTTCTTTTCCCAAACGACATCCGCATATATTGTTGTTTAGCGCCCTCTACGATACTTTTATGATACGCACGCAGGTATATAATTATTTGTTTCCCCACCTTTGCGAGCAGTGCGGCAGCTCAGTCTATAGAAGGTAGGATTTTGCACCACGAGGTTGCGGGTTCGTATCTCGGTTTTGCACCCGATTGTTTTTTTCCTTTTCTAACCTGAGGCTTTGGAGGATTCTTTTAAAACGGAAATGAAGTCTGAATTTCATAATGCTCGAAATCTTTTTTTTTCTTCTAATTTTATATTTTCTTCTCATGTTTTAGAAAAGTTAAGTCCAAAACGCCATAGCGTAAACATATGCGGATGTCGTTTGGGAGAAAAAAATTCGCGAACTGGGGAGGAGGGGACGTAACACTTTCTCAGCCAGGACTTGTGAATTGGTTTATGATCAACTTGTGAACTGAACTTGTGACGGACAGTGTCTGTCACGGCGACGTTCTACCGTACTGAATTTTGGCCGATTTGGGAGGATTTGGGATCAAGGATTACCTCATCACCGCTGCTGCTGTCTTCTGAGGGAAGCTCAGTGTCTTCATCTGCATCATCTCCGTTCTCGCTCGCTGAATCGTTGGCTTGCTGGGACAAAATCTCCTCGCCCTGCATGACACAATTCCGGTTCAAAAAATGTACGAAAACCATTAACATAATCTCCAGAAGGCTATCCTACAATACTTTGTAAATAGTTTTGCCCTTTACTGACGTATAAACACTGTATACTCAGTGTGTTACCTCCTGACAATACATTGTCTCATCATTTGAGAAAACACATTCGTAAAACAAAACATTTCTTGAACTTTGTCCCTATGAATCACTTAACTACTTGCAAAATGTATGAACAAATTTTCTGTAAAATGACATGGGCTGGGGAATTTCAGACATATTTTATAAAACCGTTATATCAAAACCTGTGCACATGAAAATGCACTTTTTTATTTCAAATACAAAACACCTTTTAATGCTTCGTTTTTAAAGATCTGTGTCGAAATGGATCTTGGAAGTACAGTTGCAGTTCTCCTGCGCCCAAGCTCTTCAGTGTGTGATTTACACATGACAGTGTTTTATAACACCCTTATGAAAAACATTCAATGAGACTTCATTTTTCGGAGTTGCGGGACAAAAAATTTAGGAAAAGGTAGAAATTTAACCCTGCGCAGCGTTTACAAGAAATGTGTATCAGGAGTCGCCACCTGCGTACCCTTGGGACGCAGGTACTTCCCCTGCTAGGCAAGACCCTATCCATGTCAAAACGACACAAAAACATGTGCCAGACCCTCTCCAGGCAGTTGCCAGAATGGGCACTTAAAAGATAATTGACTGGAGGCTGTGGTTTGCGGCTATGAAGGGAGATGGCTGTGTCAAGTTACAGGTGTTTGTATATGTTTCAATGAGACTTGGCAGGAGGCCTGGTCGAAAGTTTGTTGACACGGCTTTGGTGAAGCCCTGGCTGCAAAGTTCATTGAACCAGCTGATCTGGCATGGGTTGAATGAGAATTAGATGGAAGGTGACCGTCATTGGCCCTCAATTTTTTTTTTTTTCAAAAAAAATTCGGTCACCTGCGTACCCACGATACGGAGGTCACTCTGCGCAGGGTTAAGGAAAGAAGTAGGAAAAAAAGGAGCAAGGTAAAAAAAATAGAAAAAGTAGGAAAAGTAGGAATACTTCAGAAGTCTCAGACAAGACAATGTTCCCTAGGAGCCTTCCAAGACTTCCAAATTTTGAAATGCTCCCTTACGTGTAGATCTCTGTTCTTGAGGTTGCCCACCCAGAACGCCTCTTGGCATTTATGCAGAGCCAGCATGGCTTTGACTCGATACACAAACAGCTCCAGGTTGCGTTTGACGGCCGGTACGTGATTGGTCAACGATACATCCTTCGCAACCTGAAACAAAAATGACACAGTGAACACAAATTTCAAGACATTTACCGGCCATCCTCATGATACAGCGCATAACTGTATACACCATTTTCATTGCTGCCAACTTTTCTAAATCCAAATTAGTAATCAACCCGCGCGGTCATTTTCAACTGCTCGTATATTAACAGTGTATGTACAAGCTTTACCAACATCGAGTACAGGTACATGGTTTACATGTGCATACCATTCTTGTTGTGATTAATAATGTACTGTAGCCATAGGATAATAAAAAATAGAAAAAAATATTGAAATTTTTTTTAAATATTTTTTTTATATTAATTTTGTTTTACTGTCTGTATTTGTTTGCTGAGGTCAAATAAATAACAACAATCATAACATGTGTGCATATTTTTTTGAGATGCATGCTATTGATGTTGAGTTTCAAGTTCGTATCATGTTTTACACACAATGATTTAGGGCCTCCGTATGTAATAGAAATATTTGGTTTTTACATAGTTCCTTTGCTTCACCGTACCTTAGAATGACTACACACGTGATGTAGTGACCTGGTGCTTTGCTGCAGGGTTTTCAACAGCTTCAAGACTTCTTCCCTCTGGGATGGGAACAGCCTGTCGAGTAGAGGCATGCCGTGTTTCAGGAAGAGCTCAATGAAGACACGTCCATACTGGGAAGACGAAAACATTGAAACTGAAAATCAGTTGATGGACAATTGGCCTTTAAAATTAAAACTAAAACATCTCATATAATCATCTGCACTGACAGTCTTCGTGCACACGCGTGACGCGCAAAAACCAGGGAGGTACTATCACACACCTGGGTCGCAACCTTAGATTTGTTCCAGTACTGTGTTATCTCTTTACCAATGACGCATGCGCTTTACATGCGTGCCGTGAGATCACCAGGGTGGACAGTTGCGCCAGTCTATTACGGCATACATCAAAATAAAGACGTGGTGCTCGCTTTGTGATTTTAACCAAGGATGAACTGGGTGAAATTTTGCACAATAATAACAAATCCAGTGTTTTTTTGAATGTTAAAGTTCTTAAATGAAAAAAAAATTAACTTTCTATTCTGTTTGCCTCCTTAAATTAAAATAACGTTTCGCTTTATCAAAATACTGCACGATCAAATACATAGTGGAGTGGACCAATGAAAATACCGCGGCTGTCTGCTGAATATTTATGAGATATAGTCAAACAAATACAAGCAGGGGAAATAGTGAAAACAAATGATCCCTCCGTGTTAGAGGCTTTGCCTCGGGAAATATTTGTATAATATCCCACCGACGTGTACATCTATTGCACCTGTTTTGTGTCTGGCAGGGATAGAGTTAAATAATGAAAGGTTTGCGGAAACACCATGTGCGAATAATTTCTCAACTAAGAGAATGGTTCTGAAAAGAACCAGAGGTATAAACTCGACGTTCCGGTCAGTATGCTCTGACCGTCTTCAGGAGAGTGCCTAAACTCTAAGAAAGTGACTACTTAAGTAGCAAAAAGCGAAATCAATGAAGTGTAAAGTTGCATCCTGGGATAGAGTTACCAAAAAAAAGAAGAAGTTTAATACCTTGAGTGCAGACGTCAGATTGCTCCTTGCTTCAAACACCTTGAGAAGACTTATCAGGACGTGGAAGACATGGACGGCCATGCTCCAGCGAATCAGTCGCTCTTCGGTCAGGTGACCGCCGCGCTTGGACGCCCCTCTGGCGTAAAGGTCACGAAGGTAGGTAGTCAGGTGGTCAAATAAGACGCGATAGTAAGTTCCAAACGTCAATCTGTGTTAAGATAACGTACAACAAATTTATACAAAATGATGATATACTTTTTGATAAATTTGTTTAAACAAATCTGATCAATACTTTGTAAGTGCTCACAGGGTAAGTTAAAAAAAGCGGAACCCAAACCTCCAAAAAAGAAAGAAAAAAAGGTGAGCGTAATCATCAGCATACAGACTCCAAAAGGTCTTAAGCCTTATTGCACTCGTCTTCGACTCGTGCAATATTGTCATAGCTCATGCAATATATTCTTGTATCCACCGAAAAAACAGCCATCCAATATTGTTATTATTATTTAGATCAGGCTGACTTGATCAGCAAGAAATACAATTCAAGACACTGTCCTCATTTCATCTTTTTCTTCAAACTATTTGAAGCTGCCACAGTAATATTGTTGACAACAGTGCGTGTATACCTGGCCTTCTGCGACAGTACACGCGCGCTACGCTCTGTTGAGTGGTTGACAACTGTGACTTTCTATGCTCTTGATCATGTGGGAACCAGCGAAAATGCCCGGATGACTGCAAAAATAACGTTATTGCAGTCAACCTGGTACTTTATTATTGCAGGCATCCAGGAACTTTTATGAAAGCATACAATACGCAGATTTATTTTTACTGCTGGAAGCCTGATATAAATAATGATACCGAATATCGCCATATTTTTGTGGAGGTATACTGTGGACTCTTAAAATCCAGTACCACACAAGCCTACTAACAAGTACCTGTTGAGGGTTTGGTAGGTAGTAGAGTAGCCCGTCCTCTCATTGCTGTCTATCAGTTCTGGGATCGCGATAGTACAGATGTCCTGAATGCTCTTCAGAACGTCAGGTGTATGGCACAGGTAGATTCTACGAATTACAATATATTTTACAAAGTCACACCAACTGGCAAACAAAGCAGCAAAACTCTTTATTAGTGTTCAAACAGTTTCATTTCATAAATAGCTGGATGTTGATAAAATGTATAAAGTACATTTGGCGCTCGGCACCAATAAATTGTTCACAATGGGTGAGAACGGCACAAAGACACCAGACCATGCCAGAGCTGGGGGTTGCTAGCATAAGGCTTGCCCCGAATCATGTGATATAGTAACAGTCTCTTTGGTCGGGAGAATGCAAAGTCAAAACGTGTAAAGCATTGGATTAAGTCGGTGTTCCAGATTTTATTCAAATTTAACTCGCCAATTATTTATTCTATACTTAACACTGCTGTTACTATGGGCATCAACCAATCAGCAATTGTGATTTCACAATAATAATAACACCGGAGTCTTAAATAGCGCATGTATCTACCAACAATTAGGTACTCAAGGCGCTAATTAATATGAATTATACAGGGTGAGTAAAACAAACGAAACCCAAGTGTCAGGACCATTGTTTGAGTGAAGTTCTGCATGTAGCACTTTCAAAATCTAGGACATAAAATCCAAATTCATAAGCTTTCTTTTCGTACAAGAATCATTCAAATCACTCATGTACATTTCCAGTTACAGAGTTTAAACACAACTGCCGTTTTGAGGTTCTGTCCACGGATCACAAAAAGTTCAGTGTTCTTAAGGCAAACCGAGAACAAATCACGTAAGGATGTTTGCTGAAAGAACGCACACCTTTTTTTGTGATCTGCAGACAGAACTTTAAAACAGTGGTTGTGTTTAAAACTCCGTAACTTTAATGTTACGCACATTCCATTCCATTCATTGGGGGAAAAAAATCACCTTTGTATAAACAGACGATTGGTCCGTCAATGTATTTATACTGAATCATCAATGAGTATAAATGGTATGAGAGTGTCAAAGTAGGAAAATCTCCTTGTTTTCTCGCCATTTTTCATTGTCTTGGCTTACCTGAGCAGTGACTGGAGGAGTTCATTGTGTTTGGCACCTTTCTCTATTAGGCCGTCCTGGTTCAACCATTCTCGCTTCAACAGACCTTCGGCCATGTCAGCTGCAATTACATTAACTTAATCAGTTCTTCAATTACAAAAGACAACACGAAGCGTTGACTATGAAAATTTGGGCCATTATCAAAACGCAAGAAAATTGAAATCCTGAAAAAAAAATGTGACATTTGAGGTGACCATTGCTATAACAAAATGTATAAAAATGAGTGCTAAGGCCAAAAAAAAAAATATTCGGTCTCTGGTCAGACCAAAGTTCCGGAATTGACGCTTTTTTTTTTTTTTCTTCAAGCTTGGATTGTACAGACAAGGTGGGGTACTATTTTGCTTTTTTGGTGTCCTCATGTACATTGGTGTCCTCCATAATTTGTCTTGATGCTTTCGATCATTTGCCTTGGTGCAATTTCCCATTCCTTGGTGCTCTTTGGTAAAAGAAAATTGAGGAGGTGCGGAAATAGAGGGCGCTGTTGGAGCTACCGCAAAACATTTCGAAAAAAAAAAAGATCAACGCGCATGATTAAAATCGACGCGCGCGCTGACCAGAGACCGACTTATTTTTTTTTTTGGCCTAATATAATTTTTTTTCTCCTGAAAGCAACTTGACTTGTTTCAAATTTATTAATTTGTCCACATTAATTACTTTTTACTTCTTGACTTAACATTTTTTCACTGTTTTTCTATCACTGAATGACATTCAGCAGGTTTAGGACAAAAAAATATTACGAGTTTAACTGCTCATGTCGATTATTCAAAGCAAAAATAGATAAAGCTAATATTTAGGGAACTTTTCTGTAAGCTTTGGGGAAGTTAAAACGATTACTGTATTCCATGTGTCACATAGCTTTCCAGAGAGATGCCCTTTTTTTTGTTCAGCCTAGGGGATTTTCTCAATATTTACAGCATGCACCATTTCATGGATACCCCCAACTTTGTGGTCACATCGTCACCGTTTTCACGAAGAGGCAAATTTAGTATTTCACTGTCTGAACAAACATTCGAGATAATCGCGTTTAAAGTTGGTCCTTTTTTCATTTGACAATTTGAAACTTAAAGATGCATAATATATGAAAGATTTAGGTATCAGAGGATAAAAGAGCTTCTAATCTTCCTAAATGTGGCAAACTTTAGGAAAAATAGGTGATTAGTTTTGCAGAATTAATCACTTAAGAGAAGTGGCTGTTCGTGAAAATGAAAAAAAGACCAATTAGCAAATTTGCCCCTTCGTGAAAACGCTGAAGTGACTACGCGCAGATTTCGCCCTTCTGCGGTCTGAGTCAATGCATTTTTGTACAGTACGCGCAGATTCTGCCCCACTGCGCACGCGCATGGAATTCGCCCTTTCGTGATATACGCACCATTGTATTACAATGCATTTATTTACTGAAAATTTATTAATACCATAGAGTGCGGAAATTCGCCCCTTCGTGAAAAAGGCAAAACGGCACTTTTAGAAAATTCGCCCATTCGTTAATTAAGATTTTAAATAATTTTTTGAAAGTATAGCCTCACCAGGTTGTAGATATTGATATATTTATTCATTTTCACACAAAAAAGCAAATTTCGAAAAACAGACGATTTCCATGAAATTCGCCCCTTCGTGAAAACGGTGACGACATGGTACAGGGGGCATGTCATTGAAACTACGTCCTATCATTCCATTGCATCCTCAGCATGATGGGATGTATTTTTAATGGCATGCCCACCTGAGATGACCATGTGACCACAAAGATGGCCGTATCCGTGGAACAGTCTCTGGGGGTGGACTGCCACCCTTTGGTGCAATCTCTGTAGACATTTGAGCTTACCTATACTCTCACTGTTATCGGTTGTCTCAGAGTGTTCGCTGAGAGAGACAAGAAGACGAAGCAGGAAGATGGCTGAAGACAAGTCAGGCACTGTGTCTAAGAACTTCTCCAAGTAGCTGAAAGCGTGCCTGACATCACATAATGCAAAGAAAAAACAACAGAAATCCACATATGAGACCTGCTAACAGTGTTTTTATCTGCAGCAAACATCGTCAATAGATCATGATTATTCAGCTAGTTCAATGTTTATTCATAAAAAAATAACAATGACGTCACACCATTGCTACCACCCAGTCATGCATGTATATTAAAGCATTTCAAAGAACAGCTTTCGTCAAGCTGCCACAGTGGCCTGGTGGACAGTAGAACGAACTACGTATCGCAAGATCTGTTGTTCAACCCATGTCCATTTTCATCAAATATTTTTGTTGGTTGGGATAAGTAAAGTTGAAGGAAAAACACTACGAAGGTCATTTTCAAAGATGTGTCTAAAGACACATTTTTGGAAATTTCCATTAGTTGTTCGTTTTTAATTCGGCGGTGAATGGGTGCGCACAAGCGTTGACATGACGCGCATGTGCTTTCATTTGTCGATTAAGTGCGTGACATCGCGTAGCTTCAATCGGCTGAATGAAAATGTGTCCTGGACGCTAATATCGGGCGCAATTCAAAACCTGTCTCGGCAACTTTTGAATTGAAACCGAGATCCTAGAATATTCTTTTCTCGGAATATACAGCATTCACTGATGAGCTAAAACTTCATCAGGTTAGTTGTTAAGCACCTTTCTTTAGATTTTGAGCACTTTTGTTGCTTCAAACGAAAAAAAATGCACAAATGACAAATGATATACTCTACTTTTAAAGCAATAATCCCTGTACTGCCCAAAACTGCCCTGCCTAATACTTCCTGTATTGCCCGGCCCAATAGACACAATGTAATACAATGTAATACAATGTAGTTCAGCTGCTCATGGGTTAAGTCATTACAAATTTTAGCTCTTAGACATGTTCAGCTTACTTGTGAAGTTGTTTGGCTGTGAGTTGCGTTCGGCCGCTGCTCTTGATACGGGATGTCAAGACTTTCAAGGCATCCAAGAACAAGGACTTGTTCTCACTGGACGCAAAGCCATTCCTGAAAAAAATGTAATGATAAGACTGAATTAGAAAACCGAATTCCTTCCTTCGGCATCTACTTTATTCTTCAGCTTTACACATGAATTTGCTGTGATCACCAGCCTCTATATTACCTGTGAATTACATTTCGACTCCCATTTATACAAACTCAGCTAGACCTGGTCAAAATATTTTGTTACATCGAAATGTTTTATTAAGAGGAGCGCTGGTCCCATTCCCTGCGCACATAAATGCACAGTGGGGACGAAGCTTTCTGTTCACTTTAACCAGAAATTTGTATGAACGAGAGCCAACTTTAATAACGCCTCCTTGTTCAAGCCACTTAATTGCAAGAGACATTGTGTTCCAAAAACAGCAGACCACTGGAGCCGGATACCTCCACTGCGACAGGAAGTTCAAAGTTGCTAGCCTAATAGGTGAGGTTAAAACTACGATACCTCAAGATATTTAATACTACTTCCTCCCATCAAAGCTAAAAACAATATGGGCTTTGGTCTTGTTATTCAACAAGGGTGAATTTCATAAGCCCTTTTCACACTAGACAAATTTCGGGGTTGATGCAGGGTTGACACAGGGTTGAAAACATGCATCGTTTCACACTTGAAGAATTTCAACCCTGCGTCAACCCCGAGATTGATTTCGCTGGTTGAACTCAACCCTGCTCCAGACCAGGGTTGAGATTTTCAACCCGGGTTGAAATTCTTGCCAGGGTTCAAAACAGTAGTAACTGAGCATGATAAGCTTGATTTGCATGAAACAAGTGTGAAACGATGCGAAAAATCAAAAAGTCAACCCGGGGAGGCACTGGGTTCGCCCAGGGTCGAGTTCAACCCGGGTTGAGAGGCTCTAGTGTGAAAAGGGCTTATAATAGAGTTTCTCACCATGAGAAGAGAGAGAGCAGTGACTTGAGTAGGAGGTGCAGACACGTTGCCATTTTGTGGTATTCAGGAGTATTGGCACCCGGACCATCAACGACCCCGTCATTCTGCTCTACGAGGGCCTGTAAGAGAACCCAAAACTTGGTTTTTCGGATTTTAGTTTTAGTTTATATTCTACTCAAAGAGTGCGTTCAATTACTTCCCCCGCGCTTACTCGTGCAAGCTTGACAGCGTTTGATTGACCTCTCAGGTGACTTCTGGCGCTTACTCCAAGCCGGTTAGTTGGGTAAGTATCCCATAAGGCCATGCAAAAAACATGGCTGTCAACGTGACGTCCGGCGGACGCCTCAGGCCATGTGCAGAGCTACAGCAATGTCAATTGTCAGTCCGTCCCCGTGTATTTTCAATGGGCGCGGACCTAGACCTAGCTCTAGACAGTTGATTCGGATGCAGCCTCAGTGTCATTTCAACATTCAACTTTCCAGCTCTTGCATGAAACTTTACCCAAAACCGTTCCTTTATTTAGCTCCACTGCGCATGTCTGTCATCACGCGAGGAGCAGGCGCGAGTAAGCTGGGGGAAGTAATCGAACGCACTTGTAAAGTTTGAGAAAGACATGTTGCATTTAGATTTATGACTTGGGGATCATTTTGAAACCACTTTGGGCCGTCTCAATTCATATCCGGGACGAGTACCGGACAAGTTGCGGGTTGAATCATTCACTTTGTCCGGAAGAAGCTCTGCATTTGTCCCGGACATGTTCCGGGCAAATTTTCATGAGCAACTGCTGACTCACCAATACTGATAACTTCATTGCGGGAAGATTGCAAGGAAGTTGTTCAGGATCCTGCAACTTATACCAGACATAATGTCGCGAAAGTTGCAGTTTAAAACGTAAAGCCATAAAGCTCTTCAGACGACTTCCAGGATTTGCATTTTCAGGTTGGGCTTCTTTTATGGGTACCTGGGTACCCGTGTGTTACTTCAGTAGGATACCTGGTTTTCGTACTACCCATAAAAAAGCACACCACTAGTAGTTTAAATATGTTCATGCTAGGAATTTTAAATACGATAATAATTAAGACGTGTAGAGACATGCCTTGGAAAAACCAACAGACTTTAAAGTGACTAAACTTGAACCAACTACAAAACACAACGGCCTACACCACTGTTCAATAGAGAATTGAAACCAGTGTGACTTGCCTGGAAGAATGCGCTGGTTGACTCCAGATGATCACAGAGATGAGGCAGGAGCTTGATAGCCTTGACGGCAATCTCCCGAGGAGTGAAACGGTTCAGGTGGGAGAAGCCTGTATTCTTGTCTGATTTGGTCTACGGAAATTCAAAATAAAAATTCAGAAAAAATATCAGTTGTTCAAGGTTTATTTCTCATCGTCAATTTCCCATATTTTTTTTTTAAAAAGTATCGAATGTTTTGATATAACTTTTGTGGCCCTTTTTATAGCTTTCGTAGTGTAAATGGAACTGGTCCAGAGCTTTTTGACTTTAGAATTTGGAGGCCTTACAAAATTGAAACCGCTGCAGCTGGTGCGGCTTATACGCCGGTGCGGCTAATAAGCCGACTTCAAATCTTAATTTGCAGATTTTTGCGTGCTGCAGCTTTTACTCCTTTATTCCGAAAAATTACGGTACAAGGCAATAACAGACAGTCCACTTTCACTTCAAATCACAAAGTCCGGATGTAAATCTAAGACGGTGTAGTTCAGGATTTAGTTGAGGTTTAGGTCTAAACTCTAACTCTGCTATTTCAAGGATTTCAATGTTTTTCTCAATTATTATTGGCTTGGGTTTATAAAATCACCTTATTAAAGTTACAGTCCATCATTTGCAGCTATCCAAAAAGTAACTGGCGTAACTATTGTTGAAAAACATACTAGGTTGAAAGATAGTAAGGGGACTAAACTCCCTGTGAAATTATTCTTTCTGGCAAGTTGTCATTTTGAAGAAATCAAGGAAAGAAGGCCTTTCCAACGGCACCGTTGGAAATTTCAATTAGTAGTTCTTTTTTTTTTCGGCGAAGCGTATGCCATGATGCACACGCACTTGCTATAATTTGTCGGATCGGTGCGCGACATCCCGTGGCTGCAATCCGCTCAGTGAGAACGTGTCTCGGACGCTGAATTCAGGCCCAAATCAAAACATGATTCAGCAAATTTTGATTTGAAATCGAGATCCTAGAATGCTGTTTTTCTCGGAATATACAGCTGAAGCTGAGCTGAAACTTCATCAGGTTAGTTGTTCAGCACCCTTCTTTAGATTTTGAGCATGTTTGTTGCTTCAAACGAACAAAATGCACAAATTACAAATGATGGACTGTACCTTTAAAGTTTGCTTCACACACTAGTTTTGTACATAAAGTCTTGATTGATGTATTACCCTGGAACAGAGCAAGTACCCTAATACCTTAAGGAACGTTCTCCTCTTGGTAGAAGACGCCAGTAGTGCATGGTCCAACTTCAGGCTCAGGTCTTCCAAAAGGAAATGGAGCTCTGGCGGTTGAAGCTTCAGCACCACAACCTCCTGCAAACATTTGGCACAAATATAAGCACAAAGTCAGGATGATGTTGATTGATACTGATCTTTTACTACAAACTGGAGCTCAAGTGTAATACAGTTTAGTCTAAACAAGTAAACATGCATAATTTGAATTCTATAAAGCTGCCTACACTTAAGACTAGTTTTAAGACATTACTGGAGCTACTTTATTAACAAGTAAAGCAAAACAACTCAGTGGCGTATATGGTGAACAACGTTGGGGCAAGGACACTGCCCTGTGGTAAACCATTCTTCTGGCGTCTCCATCGGCTGTTCTGACCATTCAAGTGGACGAAAAAGCGGAGATTTTCCATCATTGTCATGATGAACTAGACAAGATGCGAGTCCTGTAGTGTTTGTTGCAGCTTGACTTTCATGGTACCAACAACTTTTTGATACCAAAAACATAAAAATTGGACCACGGGTTGCCGCACAGCAAACATGAAATTTAATACCCATATATGATGTGTACACAGAGCAGAATTACCATTCATGCATATGAATAATTAATTAGCCATAATTCCAAAACGCTTTGACCTATAGTCAGGACATTTCTTGGGTGTGTTCATGATAAGTTGATCCATGCATGTACCGAGTTTCAAAATTTTTCCTCACTCGATGGCCGAGATCTCTCAGCCCCCCCCCCCCCCAACCCCCCAACCCAGAGAAATGTTCAAAATAACCCGGCCCTTTTAGGGTTAAAGGGAAAATACAACATTTGCAAACATCAAAAAATAAACTACCAAATCATTTTGAAATACCTTGCTGGACTGTTAGTGAATGACAGTGTAAAGAATCCTGTAAAATCATGGCACCTGGTATACTGTCATTTTCAAGAAAAGTGGTATTTTTGTATCAATTTCCAACGCCGGTCGGCCGACCAGCGTTGGAAAAAACTGGCTTTTTTTCAAATACTGGCCCCAAGCTAGACTGGTTCCCTGACCTTACAATTCCCCAATGTACGTAAACTGCTCTGTTTCTTCTTATATGGAGTCAGGGAACCAGACTACAGGAAAATGATTGTTTTTCTTGGTTTTATAGCATTTTCGAACCCAAAACCTCAAAAAAGTCAGTGTAACTATATTTGCTATATATTTCCAACCCCCCAATTCCATCCATTTCTGAATATTACAGCAAAAGCAAATGATGTATATTCCCTTTAATAGATAAACCAGTTTTACCAGATAACCCAGTTTTATCAGATTAGCCAGTTTTACAGTTAAAGCTACTAACTAAGTTTAAGTTGGTGACCCAAGTTGACCAGATTACCCAATTAATCCAGGGTTACCAGAACCATGCTAATTTTCTTTTGATTTTCTTTATTTCTCACCCTTGTGTGCATCTCTGAATCTAAGACACTCTTCGTCACCAGTCCGCAGCCCAGTATATTGAAGACATCAATGTCTAGCTCCCTAAAGTAAGTCCTATACCGAGACAAGTCCACAGCCCCCTTGGTGACAGACTCTGACCCGCCCGCTTCGGTATCTGTAGATCTGTTCTGGGTTGTGTTCTGGGTTGTGTCTAGGCTTGTGTCCTGGGTGCTGGAGTGAGCAACGGTGTCGTTCAAGATACCGGATGTGTTGGCGGCATTTTTCTCCTTCCTATTTCGAGCGAGAGAGCAAGAATTATTGGGAAAAACTTGAACATCGGTTGAACAGAGATGAGATTGACAATTAAAATAAAAGCCTGAAAATTGATGAAAGGTCTGAAAGATGCATATGTCTTTCTCTCAGATTCAAAAATTTTGATTTTAGACAAAAGTATGAAAATATCAAGTCTGGTTGAAGCATAAAATTTAACAAGTGTAAATGTAGTTGACCAATTTTATGAAGTGGAGAAAAAAAAACCCTTAATGGTTCAAACTCAACTGTTATACCGCTGTCTTGAATGCTGTATTTTCATTGGCCTACAACGATCACGTGTTAAGTTTATGAAAAGGCATAGCACACTCCCTGTGGGATATCACATACGTGATATCCAAGTGTGCTATGACTTTGTACATGCGATACATTCGGTGTGAAACGCTTGTATCGTTGGTACCCATGCTATTTTCACCATGTTTTCACACATGAGTGGGAGCGGCGAACTAGCAGACGATCAGCTGTTTCGAGCACGCAAAATGCATGTGAGTTGATGTTCGTTTGACATGATTGTTGTGTTTACTGCTGTTTATTTTTGTGATTTTTCATCAAAATCCAAAGAATCCAAGACAGAGGTATACCAAAACAATTGTTGACTGCTGTGATGTGGGATATGACCTTTTGAACACCCTAGGGGTGCATAGCACCCCCGCATAGCACAGGTGCTATGCGCCCCTCGGGTGTTCAAAACGTCATATCCCACATCACAGCAGTCAACAATTGTTAATTATGTTACCTCCCGAGTGAAAGTTGGAAAAAATCACTCGGGTGGGACTCGAACCCACGACCTCCTGCTTTCTAGTGCAGATGTCTTACCACTTGACCACCGAGCTAACGGGATCGGTTGGCCGGTTCGAATCTGATGTACATAGCAGCGGGTACCGCACAAACTATTATAAGATGGAATTTTGTGTCGGGGCGCAAATCTGCACTGGTAAGACATCTGCACTAGAAAGCAGGAGGTCGTGGGTTCGAGTCCCACCCGAGTGATTTTTTCCAACTTTCACTCGGGAGGTAACACACTGAGTATACAGTGTTTAAAAAACGTCAGTGAAAGGCAAAACCTAATTTGATTTATATCACCCCGACGCAAAATTCCATCTTATAATTGTTAATTATAAAAATATGGAGATAATATGAGGCTAATTGCTGCCTTGAAATTTCTAAAGTTATATCTGTATACAATATGACAGCTACAATTTACAAGTTTAGCAACCTTTCAATATGTGCATTTTTTTAAAAATCTGTCACGTATACGTAGCGTATGCATTTCATTTTAACGGACATGAAATATCGATGTATCTGTCACATATACGTTGCATATGTGTTTCATTTTAACGGACATGAACATTCAATATCGTAATGTGGCACGCGTAGCGTGGTTTCGATTGGCTGTCAAATCGCTCCATGGAGTGATTTTGACGGATACGCAACGCATACGCAACGTTTTCATTAAACGGATCAAAATGCGCACGTTACGAAAAGGCGGCTTTTACAGTGGTGTCACCAGAGGGGGGTGTCACATGTCCTGCCACATTTCTTGTTTTTATGTCGGCAAAACTGTGTCCGTATTGGCACAGGGATGTATCAAAACGGTCTCTGATGTTTGCATGAAATTTGAGGTATACAGTATACATGTACACAGGTCAGTAGGATGGTAGTATGTTGTTAACAATTTTTTAACTGAAATCCAGAAATTGCAGGAGGACATTCATCCCTGCTGGCAAAATCACGTGCTTGTCAACAAAATCATGTTGATATGCCACGATGAATAGTGCCACCTATTGAATGACAATGGCCATTTATGTCCCCTATGAACAGGGCTCCCATTTATTTTCAGTCGGTGTCAAGCCACCCCCTTTGGGGGGGGGGGGGAGGGGCTGGCTGGCAGGTGACAGGGGAAAATTCCTGTCTACCTTCCAGCCTTCCAGCACGGAGTGGTCTTTCGGCAAATTAGTCATCACCCCACCTCCATTCAAATTCGTCTGGGGACTCCCAGACCAGTCATCAAGTTATTTAGAAGTCCAGCTCTTGCATATTCTGGTCAGTTGGTTTCTGGACAATTACTGCAAGGATAAACCACTGATCTCTGTATAAAGACTGGATAGCGTACAGAAAGCCGCAGAAGAGCGCCATTTGAAGCCATATTGGAGAGACCGGCTGGTGATCTATAGAGGACAAGTTGCCGTCATTGTATATTGTGGTTCGCCTGGTTTACATTTTGTCCACCGCCACTGACCACGTTTTATAATTTGTCAAAAGTTGTGGTTTACTTTTGAATGCCACAGTTCACCTTTTGCGACGTTTGGAAATATAATCAAGACAGAAATTTGTCCTTTTTAGATCACCACAATACGTGTACGTGATCAAAATGCACATCAACTCATGCACACGCAGAACGTTTGTATATACACGGCCATTTTTGAAAGACCGGGGGCGAACTGGTCAAAATGTAAATTCAAGCCTGTGACTCGTGTGGGGGTTTCCGCTAACCAGTCTTTATATAGAGATGAGTGGGATAAACTCTACTTCCATTTGTGATTGCACCAATGTCACTCACTCCTTGGGCTTTCGTCCTCTTTTGCTCCCGACGGTAGCTGTGTTCGTTGGGCCGGATGTGGAAGTTGAGGCACCATCGCTACTCAGAACTGAATCGTTGTCAAAGTTGGCCAGGGGCGGGCTGAAGTTAGGGGTTTCTGCAAGCACGCATGATTGGACAAAATAGCATGTGTTTGTGGATTTATAAAGATGTTCAAAATTGACGGTTCTCAGAAGGCAAGGTCTGCTTTTTTTAATATCTCGGAGCTGAGGTGAATTATAGAGCGAGGAGAGTTGATAGCAATGTGTTGCATATGAGCCAGTATATGGGCGCCAGTTAGTGCACATATAAAGGGGAGAAAACACAACAAATTTTCTGAGTGTTCACAAATCCAAAGTGTCTTTGCAGAGGACTGGAAACTGGAAAGATGCTCAAGTGTCCTTTTCACTGTTGGGGGAGGGGGGGGGGGGTGCAATGATGTCCGCAGCATTATTTGCAATTACACAGGAACTTAATGAGTAAATACTTAACCCCTTAGCACCTGTGCTACATTGTACTACATTGTACTACATTGTACTACATTGTACTCCATTGTATTACATTGTGTTTATTCACTGAAGAATCAATAAAACTATAATGCTACAGTGAGTAATTGGCAGGGCAGTTCTGGGCGCTACAATTACTAAAGGGTTCATTTGGAAAAAGACTTGATGATACCACAACATGTGTAAAACTGTTTTACCTGCCATAATGAACCAAAACAATTCAAGATAAATAACTGCTATCTGTTTATCATACCTGCCAAGCACGTCTGTAGATGTTTCTGGACTTCTGTGATGTTCTTGAGTCTCGCCAGCACCTTGCCCCGCATCTCAGCATCTGTCAGTCCACTGAAGGCATTCACAATCTACAAAATAATAAGATAAATACAATAATTTATTGGCTGTATCTAGCGTTTTCTACCAAAGTCTCAAAGCACTTCACAATTATTACCCCTGTTCATCAGGCCATGAGACCAATTATCAGCAGCAACTCGAGATCAGCGCAATCTGGTCTCTATCCTCACAGTTACCTCTTGATACTCCTGAAGAGAGGCAAATAAAGTGTCTTGCCTCAGAGCACAAGCACCCTAATTCCCTGTCAGGATTTGGACCCACACACCACTGCACACAAGTCGGACTCAACAACCACTGGACCACGGCATGCAAAAAGTGATCAACCACATTTCATGTATACATTTTTCTCCAACCCGATTATTTTGGTACAACTGACAAACCATAAACATAACCCTGCTACTCACTGTACAACCTTATTGAACATTACTTGTCAAGTACCAGTGTGAGTACATTTCCAAGAGTATGAGTGTACATGTACTTCAGAGAGTAAAAGTAACAATTCCATGAGCAGGAGTACGATTATCAGCACGAGTATGAGCACAAGTACGAATACAAGTACAAGTACAAGTACAAGAACGAGTACGAGTACAAGTACAAGTACGAGTACAAGTACAAGTACGAGTACGAGTACGAGTATGAGCACAAGTACGAATACAAGTACAAGTACAAGAACGAGTACGAGTACGAGGACGAGGATGAGTATGAGCACAAGTACGAATACAAGTACAAGTACAAGAACGAGTACGAGTACGAGGACGAGGACGAGGACGAGTATGAGCACAAGTACGAATACAAGTACAAGAACGAGTACGAGTACGAGTACGAGGACGAGGACGAGTATGAGCACAAGTACGAATACAAGTACAAGTACAAGTACAAGAACGAGTACGAATACAAGTACAAGTACAAGTACAAGTACGAGTACGAGTACGAGTATGAGCACAAGTACGAATACAAGTACAAGTACAAGAACTAGTACGAGTACGAGTACGAGTACGAGTACGAGTACGAGTACGAGTACGAGTAAGAGTATATATGAGTATAAGTAGAGTGAGAGCTGCTTTTGCTGGGTAGACATGTTTCCAAGTACTTCTTGTCAGAATAGGCATCACTGAAAGCGGAAAATGTGTGTGTGGGTGGGCTGTCATCACGTTTGCTAGTAAGCTTTTCATTGTTAGGAAAATTAAGACCGAGTTATGGGGACTTTCTGCTGTCCCCACAGTGTCTTCGGTCCCCAAAGTACCATGGGACAACAAGTGTGTAGTCCCCACAGTTAGGGAACAAGAATGGGTGCGTGTGTTCAAGAGTTGATCGGTCACTGTTGATCCCACGCAGAGCATGTGACAGGGGCGGCGGTGAAGCCAAAACATATATGCAAAAGCCATTCAAACAGAAGGAGAAGCTTCTTTCCCTGCATTTCCCTCTGTGACTACAGGTACTTTGCCATGAGTGCTGGTAAATTCTTTCTCATGAGTACAATTATGAGTATGAGTCATAGAGCTATATCAAATTACTAGAGCGCTAACTCCTCATTCTTGATATGAGTACTACAACAGTGATGAGAACTACAACAGTAATGAGTACTACAGAACTGACTCCTACCTCTCTGAACCAGTTGATGGTCAGGAACAGACAAGTGCAGAGCATCTCTCGCTCATTCTTGGCCAAGGAACTGATCTTAGATATGACTTCATTGCTGACGTTATAGAGTGGGCAGCCTAACAGTGCATCGATCCCCTCCATGTTATCGTTCTGCGCCATCTCACACATCCTCAGCAGGCGGAAGTGGGGAGTCATGCAGAGGGGCGAGACAGTGCGAGATCTGAAGGGAGCAAGTAGGGAAGAAGGGTGGGGGGGGGGGGAAGAAGTGCACATGAAATTTTACCACTAATAATTGAGAGGCGTTCTGGAAAAAAAAAATGAACAAGGTTGATTATTTTCCAAATTTTCCGATTTACTTATATTTGCGGTCTTTTACACATCTACTACACATATATGTTAAAGATATATTATAAAATATGTGGAGTGAAAGTGTTTTTAAGGAAAAACACTTGGCATCTTTCATATTCACATGAACAAAACTCAAAACTTTAACGGCCTTTTCTCAGTATTTTACTTTTTTGACATGTCGATAAATGCAAATTTTAAACAGCTGTAACTTGTCAACAGAATGTCTGATTGAAGTGCAACAAACAGCATTGTAAGGAGAATTTATTCTCTTTCCTAATACCCGCAACCCTCATTTCGACCTCTGCCAAGCTCTGTCTTATTTTGCCAGAACGCCTCCCGATTCAGTAAAACTTTTTTTGCACTCTTCTTTGGAAGAACATTTCCAAACAATCGTTTACAAAAAAAGTTCCAGTACAGAATATTTACTCGTGGAATGGCACAGGCATTCCTTTGTCATTCTTTGTATTGTTTTGATCGTGATTTTGATTGTGTCGTAGTGGAGTCTATCACAAGTTTGATCAAAAGTAGATCCCAAGTCCTTTTAACGAGTCTAGTCACAAGTAACAGGGGATGAACAATCACAAAGGAATGCCTTGTCACAGCTCATTTGAATAACTTGTGACTTGACTTGGGACTGGAGAACTTGTGATGGACTTGTAACCACAACACTGTTCAATTGAAACCCTGGAAACAAAAGTGCCAATCCGCCGTTTCTTCCACCCGTTTGAAACTGGCATTCCAGGGTCAAGAATTACGTTTTCAACTTGGCTTTACTCAGTGTGACTTGAAAAGATTGGGGTAAGGGTGGCGTAGCGGTACTTTCCTCCCCTTCCACCGCTGTGACATGGGTTCAAATCCCACCTGGGCCAACGTGTGGATTGGGTTTTCAGTCCCTACATCATTCTGGAGTTTTCCTCCCACCACTAAAACTGTAATTTTCCTTCTACATCTTCTACCAAAAGACCCCACTAGAAGTAAGCCCTATCCATCCTGTTCTGGCCCTTGCGCTATTGGATGTTGTCGAAATCAATAAAAATTAACTAAAATTATAAAAAATAAATAATCAGATGTCAGTTTTAAACAGGTGAACTTTGCTTTCAACCGACAAATAACTGCGATAGTCGATCTTTCAATGTCGTCGTTCCGGTTTCAAATGTCAAACTTTTCGCACCCTAACTTCAAATCTCTGGAACAGTTTTATTCAGAGCGACTCAGTAACTCTAGTCCAAAACAGGTGCGAGCAACCCATCTAACCTGTCAGTTTCTGATTCCTCATTTGGCAATGAGCCAAGGTTCAGCTGGGCCCTCTCCGCCTTACTGACGAGGGGCAGCAGGTTGATGGCCACGCCCCCCTGGGACTCTTCAGCTTCCAGACCGTACACCTCACTCAACGGCAAACCGTAGTCCCTTGGGTGAAAAATAGATAAGAAATTCTTTATTACTTGGTACTTGGTTGGTTCTTCTCCTAAATACTCCACCGGGGAGTTTTAACAACAGGAGGCCAGAAACACAGGGGCAAACCTCTTTTATATTCTTCAAGTTCTTCTTTCTGTGGCGTGTCCTTTCCTCATTGACAGACCGTAGTCCTTAAAAGATGTGCTATCCACGCTTTTCAACAAAGTTGAATTCCTTTTCTCTTTACACAAATTTTGAATTGTATGTTTTATATTTAACGAAGAAAACAAAAACTACTTTTATAAATTTTTGAGCATCTGCAGATCTCTGAAGAAAAAAGCTTTTACTTTGGGTTGCTGGTATGCACCCAAACCAGTCTACAATGAGTAGACTGGTTTCCGGTCCTTCATTATCGCTTCTGATAGGGACAGAGAACCAGTCTACCATGCAAGAACTGAATTTCTGTCAGACTGCAAATAATTAAAAGGGCCTATGCGATGTATCTTTGTTTAATGCAATCCTTGAAAATGTATCTTTGTGTCCCATTAAACCTTATTTTAAATTTTCGCTTTGCCATTTTGGTGCCTTTTTGGTTTTTATGGTAAAGCACATTTCCATATTCATGAGCAAAAGTGTGATGTCATTCAGACAGAAACCTCAGCGTTACAGTTATTTCAGCACCAAAGGTTGCCAGAATTTCAGATATTTTGTTGCTGTAATTTGTTTCTTTGTTGGTGATTCGATGTTGTGTCGGTACACCAATGAGCAAACTTTGCTCACAAACGTTTTCAATGAGCACATTTTTGGGTTCACAATTTGAACACAAAACCCCTAAACTGAGCAGCGCCTTCTTGAAATGACATCACAGCAACAGCGCCCTCAGTTGCACAATAAAGCGTGGTCAAATTTGAAATGTTTAAAGAAGTGCACGTTTCAATAAAATTAGCCAAAAAGAGATGTCATACAGTTTTCATACATCTAGGAGGAGAAATTTGCACAGAATATGTTCCTTTTAAACCACAGCCAGGTTCCACTGTTTTAAGTCCAAAGCAACGTTTCACTCCATTAGAACCATTGGCAAAGATAAAGAAAGCAAAGTGTATAGTGCATAGTTTCTTTCATTCATATAATTCTATCAGTTAAGTTTATCGTCAAAAGAATTTGTTTTACCCCGAGACTTGATCAGCTTCGACGTCGACAACAAAGTCATCTTGAAAGTCATTCAGAATGCTATCGCCTATAAATTCCTGGGAGAAAAATTTATAAAAAAGGCATTTAAAGGGAATATACAACATTTGCAAACATCGAAAAATAAAAATACCAAGTTTTTATGAAATACCTTACTAGGATGTTGGTAAATGACAGTCTAAAGCATCCTGTAAAATTATGGCACCTGGTGTGAAGTCAATTTCAAGAAAATTGTATTTTTGTATAAATTTCCAACAGTGGTCGGCCGACCACCGTTGGAAAAACCTAACTATTTTTCAACTACTGCTCTAATCCATCATTTTTTCCAGTCCAAATTTTGTTTGCTATTGGTTACATGTTCATGAACGGGTGCAGGCCAGGTAGACTGGTTCCCTTACCCTACAAATTTCTGGCATCTATAAATTGATCCATTTTATCTTTAGTGGAGTCAGGGAACCAGACTACTCCACCATTTGTGTTTTTCTTGGTTTTCCAGCATTTTCGAACACAAAACTTCAAACATATCAGTGGAACAATATTTGATCTATCATAGCAACCCCTCAAATAGTTCATTTCTGAGAATTACAGCAAAACCCAATGATGTACATTCCCTTTAATAACATGTTGATAGTTTGGACATTTCAACAAGATAACGCAAGCCTGGTAAAGCCAGCCCCACGCCAGTCAAAATCAGAGCGCACAATATTCTAACCAATTGATTTGGAATTGCTGTTCACACTGGAATTCTTCTCATGCATCTGGTCTTAACACAATGAGGCAGATGTAGCCTTTACGGGAATCAAGTTGGCGTAGCAGTTTTGCCCCGCTTTCCACCGCTGTGACCCGGGTTCGATTCCTGCCCTGGTCATATGTGGATTGGGTTTTGAGTCTCTACCTTAGGGAGCACAGCGAATACCCTGACGCAGGAAAGCCTTTAAAAAGGCCCAGACATGCCGAAGCTAAGCCTTGGCCCCACGGCCTTTTTAATCCCCATCCAATGACAATAGACACAGACCCTATGAATAGACGACAAGCCCAGACTTGGCTGACAGATCAGCTTCCTTTTGTGTGCCAGCTGGCCAGGCGCATTCCAGTATAACACAGGAAATGGGCCCCCACCCCAAGAATATTATCCTGGGGTTCCCTATCTCTAAAAAAAAAAATTGTTTTTTTTTTCATTGTCTTCTATTAATTAACAGGTTTCTTCAGGCTTGAGAGCTACAGTGCATAGGTCACTTTTGAGGAGTAATAAGAATTAAGCAGCGTTACGGGATAATCCTATATAGGCTATCAGCTTCAGTCCAAACATTGGGCCACCGATATCAAATGATCGAAAGAAGCAATGCTCATAGCGATTTTTGGCAAGGTATGCACATCTGGAGTTGGAAAATGTGTGATAGCTTTGCAGTGTGAGCGGTGGCGTATTTTTGGTGTTATCACTTTTAATTGTTTTTTTTTTTAACTGGCCGCCAATATGCTTGTTACTGGATTAATTTAATGTGGCAACAAGCATGTTTTGGCGCCATTTTTAAAAAAAAAGTAATAGCACCTAAAAAAGCTGCCACCGCTGCAATGCTATCACATACAGGGGTGCATACCTTACCAAAAATCACAATGAGCATTATTCCCCTCATTTGATACCGACTAAACCCCCAGGCTGATGGCCTAATACAAAAGCACTGCCCAGTAAACTACAACCAGTCAGAAGTGTCAGTCAGTCAGTCGGGGAGTCGGTCAGTCAGTCAGTCAGTCAGTCAGTCAGTCAGTGAGATAGTAGCCTTTAGTCAAGGCGCACATGTCTACCCGGACGCCTGGCGCCCCAGATTCTGGCACGAAAAAAAGACCAGTCGAGTGGCGAATCCACGAGCGCCTTTACCATCTCGTGGAGCTAATCATTATTCATTTTTTTTCAAGTAATATGAATCACGCATGATTGTATGCGTATGAACCAATCACCACGAACAAGCCATTTTTGAGGTGATGACACGTGTGCACGCCCTTGAGCGTGCGCGCCACACGCGTTCTAAAAAAATACAAGACGCGCACGCATTCACAACATGTCATGCATCATGCATGAAAATTTGTCTACCGAATTGGTAAACAAATTTCATGGACAAAAAACATAGGCGCTCTCCATGAAATGGTAAAGGCCCTCGCGGCTTCGCCGCTCGTGCTAGCCTTTTTACGTGTCGGCATCCGGGGTGCATCACGTGTCTGGGGTAAGCGCGTGGGACTTGGCTAAAGGCTAGTGTGATAGGCACAAAGAGGACATAGGCGCTCTCCATGAGATGGTAAAGGCCCTCGCGGCTTTGCCGCTCGTGCTAGCCTTTTTACGTGTCGGCATCCGGGGTGCGTCACGTGTCTGGGGTAAGCGCGGTGGACTTGGCTAAAGGCTCGTGCGATAGGCACAATGAGGACACTAGGCTGGCAGTCTGGGACCAGCACAAACTGGCGTCCTACAATGCAGTCATGCATGCAATGTACAACTGTAAAATATGTGCCAAAATCAAAACTATTTCGTACTCTGATAGAGTTAACTTGTTTCAAATGACAGAGTCACACAGTATGTCCCCCCCAAAAAGTGTCTGTCTAAATATTTTTGAAATAACAACAAAACCACAAAGAAAATAATATTGTGCAGATACTCCTAATCCTTGGCCTCAACCCCTATAAGTTTTATTTAATTTTCCACACGCCTCACTGCACTATGGACAATTGATCACAACCAAATTTTTGGACACCGTGACCAAGTTCCTTGCCTTAATCAATTTCAGTGCTGTGTTAAGTGAGCTGTGTAAAATTCTTCATGTTGTGACAAAGGGCTGCGGTTGGGATTGGAATCATTTGCCTGGCTATCAGTCATCATTTGCCCTTGAGCATTAAACTGAGGTCTAGCTATGATGACCGATAGCCAGGCAAATGATTCCAGTCCCCAATACAAGCAAATACAAAAAAGTGAGCATACTTCTACTTTCTGGTCCAGCTGTCGCTGTTCCACAATGTTGGCCAATTCATCAAAGAACAGTGCTGACGCCTCAGGCATTTTACTGCTACTGCTCCTGACTTGCCCCAGCAACGACACAATCTGGGGTTAAAAACAAAAACCATCCTGAAGTTTAATTTTCAGATCAGATCCAACGGTTCATCGAAACTTGACAAATGTTTTAACTGGACCCAATACAGGGCGAGTCAAAAAGGAAGTGACCTGAATTAATTAATTTTTTTTTATTAAAAAGCAATCAAATCTGATACACCAAATGAAGTATGTATTACAAGACCATGATCTTCCCATCATCTGAAGAAAAAAAAAAGTTATCTGAAGTTCTGCATGTTTTACTAAAAGAGTTGAAAAAAACGGAAACCCACAATATGTATTTCATATTTAAACAAATATTTAGCACCAAACATAATAATGCAGGGGCAGATCCAGGAATTTTCGCAGGGGGGTGTTTTCATCAGCAAACAAATCTGAAAATGTACACGGGTTTTTTTCTCCGGACACTTTGCCTCCGTAAAATCAAAGACTGGGGGGGAGGGGGGGGGGGAAGGGGGGCTGTTACCATATTTCAATAGGGGGCGCTGTTCAAATCCGACGATTATTAACACTAGATTACAAAATGGTGTACCGTATTTTGAAAAGGCGGACATTACACCAGTGTAAATTTTGGGCGGGTGTCACGGCGGGTGTCACAGGGGGGGTTTCGACTTATTTTTTAGGATTTGTATGATAATTTTTTTTTTTGGACAGAGCTGGGGGGGGGGGGGGGGGGGAGGTTTGACCCCCAAAACCCCCCCTCTGGATCTGCGCCTGTAATGACTTGAATGACGACAAGCGCTCAGACAGCTTGATTTGTGAGGACCAAAAGTTGGTTCCCCCATAATCTCTTCCCGCAGTTGTTATACCAAAACAGCAAAATTCCCATGGTAAAGTCTCAGTGAACGTTCGTACAGGGTGACCCCCCAAAAAGTTGTGCAAGCAAATTATTGTTAAAATTCTCAAAAAGTACCTTACATGAGTGTTTCATTTTGATGGAGCATATTAATTATACTCTTTGTGTATTATCAGTGAAAATGCCATGGAAACCCATTCATGAAAACCAAAGCTGTATTAATATTCCAATGGGAATCGCTCGACCAGCACTCTGCAATGGGTCTTGTCATTATTGTAAATCACATTGGAACAGGGGAAAAAACACATTGCCATTTATAACCTGTTGTATCTCTGGTTTGCATGAATGGATTTTCATCAAAGTTTTTGCTGTGATTATACACAAGAGTACAAACAATATACTCCATCAACATGAAATGCTTTTTGAGAAATTTAGAGATGTCTGCTTGCACAACTTTTTTTTGGCTCACCCTGTATTCTAGTTTTTAACAATCTTTTCAAATACTACCATTTCGTGGTAAATGCGTTTTTCGGGCATGCAACTGGGAATTTAGAAAAAAGGAGGAAATCCCAAACCACACAAGACTTTGTACAGTGTTTTTCAATTTTTAACCCTCCTACTTTTTAAGAGGTCACCATGGTCAAAATGTTTGTATCTCACCTCCTGGCATACTGTGTACAAACCAATAGGGGTCTTGACCAATATTGACCCAAGTAATAACCAGGCTGACAATGCATGTTTCCATAGGAGGGTAATGGCATTCATGAGAAGTAAAAAACAAGGAAATCAGCGGATCCGAGGAAACGTTGCATGCCTGGTTTTTGAACCCGAATGGATGGATTCTTTCTAGGCGCTCCTTAAATGTCCAGTTGACTTCTTTGAAATTTTATTGAAGAGGAAGAATTCTTACGGTGTTGTACATTGTTTGCTCCTTTAATGTCCAGTTGAGTTCTTTGAAATTTTATTGAAGTGGAAGAATTCTTACAGTGTTGTACACTGTTTGCTCCTTTAATGTCCAGTTGAGTTCTTTAAAAGTATATTGAAGTGGAAGAATTCTTACAGTGTTGTACATTGTTTGCTCCTTTAATGTCCAGTTGAGTTCTTTGTAATTGTATTGAATTGGAAGAATTCTTACAGTGTTGTACATTTCTGTAGAGAGCTCCCTCCCTTGACCGGGCTCCTGACGGAACGCCATGTTGCGTACGATCATGAGGGAGCCGATCACGCCAATCCGCTTATACTTGGGACTGTTACTGGACAGCTGTTTCCTGATGACAATGTGCAACTCATCCTGTAGTTGAGAGAGAAAAGAAGCACACAGAAAAACTCATTTAACCCCCTATAACTTCCTCAGGACTACCCTGCTAAATCCAACAGAGTCCAACCGGACTTTCCTGCTCAATCCACTGTGCCTCATTTTCAGTTGTCTGCTGAATCCAACGGAGTCCAACATGGCGTTATAATGGGGTTCAGTTTCCTGCTGAATCCAACATTTTGCATGAGGAATGTACACCAGGGGTTAACTGCTCAATCCAACAGGCTCCATCGGGTATGTGACACAGTTGAATCCTGTTCGATTCAGCAGGGTTAGGGTTAAAGCAACACTATAAGTGATTATCATATAAAACAATGACGAGCAATAATGAGGAAAAATACATGATTATCAATATACAGCCAAAGTCATTGGCTGCATGTTTCGCAAGCACATGAACTCTTGAACTTTTTGGAATACTCAATGAAATGAAATTGATTGACCGTCAATGAAAATGAACTTCATGAATACCTAAGCCAGTTTACCCATGCCTATGTTGGTCGAGAGCTTGTCACTGGGAGTGGTTTTAAACCGCTGATGAAACACTGGCTGGTTTTAAACACATATTCCTGCACCGCTGCATTCTGCGCCACACTGTGCAGTACGTGCGTACCCCAATCTCCATGAAAGTAGATTTTCAGCACTACGAGCGCAATGCACACATCATAGACACAGCCAAGGGGGTGTTTATTCATGAACATTTGCCTGAGTCAATAAAATCAACTGACCTGTATGTTGGCACATTCCTGGGTGTTTCTGAACGCGAGGACGCTGAGGATGGAGAACAGTTTGCGGATCTGCGGCAGAGACAGGTTGCCTAAGTAGTCCAGCACGCCCTGGGAAAAATCAATCACAAAATGAGTCTCAAATTAGCAAATGAATAAATGAAGGTCTCTGAAGCCCGGTTCATACTTCACGCGAATGCGAAGCGAATTTGACGTCATGGCACGTTCGCTGTGAAATTCGCCCGAGTTGAAATATGTTAAACTTTTACGAATTCGCAGCGCGAATACTTGACATGACGTCACAAATTCGCCTTCGAGCCGACTATGAACCGGGATTTAGAATTCATTATTCAGGAATGTAAGTGGAAAGTAACCCAAAAAACAAAGAGGGAATTCCAAGCTTTAATAATAATCATTATTATGCTTTAATAATAATAATTATTATTATTACCCTGGATTGGACATTTGGGAGACATCCCCATAGACTTGTGCACACAATTTTTCAAACTTAAATGTGCCCTAACCCAATATTCCCTTGTCCTTTTCCCACGAATTTCGGTATGTTTACTAATTAGACCACGAGCAACAAATATAAACTAATTTTGACAGAAAAATTGTGCCTCTAAAGGGGGGGGCTGTGAATGACCAATGTCTCCTATCATGTGAAGAAATTACGATAACGTGTCTCCTTAGTGGTACCTTTACATGTATAATAATATTGGCTTCTTGTATAGCGCTCATGTCCGTCACGAAGTGATGCTCCTGGCGCTCTATTATTCCCCTGGCTTTAGCACGGCTGCCATTACGGCGCTCAAGCATTGAAGGAATTTCTTCCTACCAGGCACCCATTTACTACACCTGGGTGGAGAGAGGCAATCGTAGTAAAGTGCCTTGCCCAAGCGCACAAGCACCATGTTCCCTGTCAGGATTCGAACCCATATACCATGGCTCACGAGTCGAACACCGTAACCACTGGACCACAGCACCCCACACCCTTTACAAGAGTTTATACAGTGTTTTTCAATTTGTAACTGCATAAGTGTGAAGTGAAAAACGAGGACAACTGCTGGTCCGAGGACAAGTTGCATGTTTGATTATAACTAGTACCAGTTTTGAGGATTTGGTGTTATCATTTCTTAAAACAAAAGTGGAGTGTCATGGCCTAGCGGTTAAGAACACCGGACTCATGCTCCGGTGTTTCAGAGGCAACAGTGGCGTGGGTTCGAGCCCGCCGGGTGGACACTTGTGCCCTTGAGCAAGGCACTTAACCATTATTGCTTCGTCCTTCGGATGGGACGTAAAGCCGTAGGTCCTGTGTGTTGTGTAATCCAATGCACGTAAAAGAACCCAGTGACACTTATAGCCAAGAGAAGGGGTTTGCCCCAGTGTTTCTGGTCTCCTGTATAAACTCCCACGCGGAGTATTAAGGAGATGAACCAACCAAGAACCAAGAAAACAAATTGACCAAAAATCACCAGAAGCAGTAAGTGCACCCCAAGGATCCCTCAGTTTGACCTTGTGAGGACACAGAACAGCCGGTGACTGACTTTTCAGGATCGAGCTGCATCTGAACTAAGACCGTCGGGAAAATATTAGTCGCTAATTTTTTTACGACCTGAGTGTAACTGCGATGATATTGAGACAATTGGCATCGGTTGTTGCTAAAAACAAATCAACAGTCGCAAGTGTAAACAAATTCAGGGATCAACCTCAAAACAGCACTTGCTTAATTGTGTAGGTACCTTTATGAAAATGGCAAAGGGTGCCACGTCACTGGCATGGTGCTCCACTAGGCTGAGTAGGACATCAAGTCCAGCCTCTATCTCACCCTGAAAACCGCTGCCGATGTGCGCTACCAAGGAACCTATCACCTCCTGAGTAGAAAGACCAAGAAGTTGGTGAGCCATCTGAACTAGAAAGTTGGGGTCATTGGCTCGACAACCACCAAAGTATAATTTGTGAAGTCTGTCTCAGAACCTCTAATAGTACAGAGTGCTTATTACAGGTACATTAAATCAGTGAAAAACAAAAGCAAGTATTTTTGAATTTAATAATTGCAAAATTGAACTAAGAAATTGACTGGAGCAAGGTTTGAACCTGTGACCTCTGGGTTACCGTTGCAGCGCTCTACCAACTGAGCTATCCAGCCCTATGGGCCTTATTCACGAATCGGCCATATTGGATTGAGAGTGAGGTAAAATCTTCATTTTTGGAACTTGTGTCGAGAAATGAAACCAAGTTGATTACTAATTAATTCCAGTCTGCTTCAATGAATAATTTAAAATGTGTAATTAAATATTCCCTAATGTTTAAAGCCAGATTAAAAAAAAAACACAGTAAAAAAAAGCTGCATTATGCCTGCAAAAATAGTCTGGCGCCATCCCATTCAACAGATAAGAATTAATGATATGATGTTCAGGGAACTCAACAAAAATGGCCAACTCGTGAATAAGGCCCATGTTGGTGGTTGCCCATTTTGTCAATGTCGTTGTTCAAGGGGTCCTAGTCAGAAGCTGTAACCCATATAAGCAATGCAGTCAGGGATCACGCCCAAAGTTACGATGCTAGCAACATTAGCAATGCTGCAAACCTGGAAAATAGCAAACAGGGATCACACTGAGAGGATATGGCTTCTGTTACAAATTGACAAATATACCACATTATTGCGGTCCTACTAAAATGCGTCAACAAGAGTCAACAAGGGTCAACTGGCGTCAACAAACTTTAACCCTAACCCACCTCATTCCTCCAAAATCCTCCTGGCGCTTTTGGAGGATTCTAGAGGATTGAGGATGAATGGTGATTGAATCAATGAGGATTCTGGAGGATTGAGGATGAATGGTGATTGAAACACACGAGGATTTTGGAGGATTGAGGATGAATGGTGATTGAAGCACAAGAGGATTTTGGAGGATTGAGGATGAATGCATTTTGAGGCAGGACTGTCTGATGATTTTGAAGGATTTGGCGTTGGTTATCCTTCATTTAAACACGAGTGCAAAGTTTTGGGATGAGGAGGATTTTGGAGGATTGAGGATGAATGCCGAATTTGAGGCAGGACTGTCTGACAATTTTGAAAAATTTAGGCGGAGTTGCAAAATTTTGGAGGATTTTGGAGGATTGAGGATGGTTGTAAGCAACAAGGGCCTAGGGGGTTAGGGTTAATGGTCGTCAACCGAGCGTCAACAAATTTTGTAGAAGTTTTAGAAAATCAAAAACAGCTTTATATGGTAGAAATGGCAACAAAGAACACCTTCAGCATATAAATTAAAGTAAAAACTATTTCAAAAGTTTTTTTTTTTCAACGCAAAACGTACGTTGACTCTGTTGAGTTTGAGTTGGCCGCCATTTTGTTTACGTGAAGCTAGCCGTACTACGCATGCGTGAAGTGTGCAGAGCCATACTACGCATGCGCAAAGTGTACAGCGCCATCCAAACAAAATGGCGGCCATCACTAATTGGCAAACTCGTTGTACATAACGTGTTCAAAAAACAAGTTTTTAAATAATTTTAACTTTTAATTGATATGCTGCAGATGTTCTTTATTGCTTTTTCTACCATATAAAGCTACTTTTAATGTTCAAAAGCATAAACAAAATGTGTTGATGCTTGTTGACCACCGTTGACGTTTGTTGACGCATTTTAGAAGGACCCCATTATTGTGCAGGATTGCAGAGTGTGTAAGATGGCAAACTGACCTGTTTATAGTACATGACATCAAACGCCAGGAAAGCCTGCCTATAGATACAGCAGGCAAACAGGCTGACGGCCGGCTCCGGGGATCTCAACAGGACCTCAGCGAGAGAGAGAATGGATGGGAAATATTCCCTTATGACCTGTGGTACCAGACCAGAACATGAAAAAAAAGCAAGACTCAACACCAAAGATAGAATTCTGGAGTTAACTATTTAAAATGCAGGATTCATTTCCAAGTTGCAAATTAACATTGTAAAAAACTCCAATAGGACGCTGTGATCCAGTGGTTAGTTTCTAGTGTGTGGGTTCGAACCCCGATGGGTATCGACATGCTTGTGTCCTTGTGCAGGACACTTTACTGAAATTACCCTTTTAAAGGGACAGCCTCAGGTTTTAAAGACAAATTACTTCTTTTTTCTGACTTAATAAATATAGGCATTCAGTTGTAAAAAACTCCAATAGGACGCTGTGATCCAGTGGTTAGTTTCTAGTGTGTGGGTTCGAACCCCGATGGGTATCGACATGCTTGTGTCCTTGTGCAGGACACTTTACTGAAATTACCCTTTTAAAGGGACAGCCTCAGGTTTTAAAGACAAATTACTTCTTTTTTCTGACTTAATAAATATAGGCATTCAGTTGGGAAAAAAAGTTCACAAATATCTCATACTGTATCGGGCATGTTTGTTGCAAAAAAGAGAAAATAAATCAACAGTACAAAAGTATGAAAATGAGGTGACACTTTTTTATTTCATTTTTTTTATTTTGTTTGAGGAATCTAGTTTTTCTGTATCTTCTGAGATTGAGAGGATTTTGGCATTTTCTGGGAAAATATATTTTGCGAAGGGAAAAAAATGGCAATTGACCTTTGCATGGGAGCTGAATGCCGCTTTAAGAAGTTCCTCCCGGAAGTGACCGGAGCGAACTTTGCTGCGGAACAAACTCTCTAGAGCTTTCTTACGATTCGATGCAACGGTGTGAGCAATCAGAAGGATGAAAATGTCTATGACCTGCAGGGAAGCGGGAAAGAATTGAAGACGGACACAAATGACGATGGGACAGTCTTATCATGATAAATTCATTCTTTCAGTACACCATTTAACTCTTTCAGTGCCCGCCAAATTTGAAAAGTTTAACCCTAAAGTGCCCAACTTCTAGCGTTTTTGTTAATTGTTCAAAATTCTGTAAAAAAAAAAGTAAATAAGTTTTACGCACTAAATTTGTTGTTGTTGCTCTCTGGTATATCCTTGGTATATTGGAAAGTCAATAGTAGTCATGTACATAGTGATACACCCTGAAACACTGGCCTGAACACAGGGGAATTCCGCACTTTTTTGCAAAAAATACAAGGTTTAGTGCTGCGCTCTCTCGCAAGAACTCGAATAAAAAAATTAATACAGGTCGTACATGCATGAAAATGGTACCATTGCGAGAGCACCCCCTTTTAATAACATGTTTACTCTACCTCGTACATGTACGAGGTTTGGCGATTTTAATCACAAACCTACCTCGTACATGTACGAGGTTGGCGCTTTCTCACTAACAAATATACCTCGTACATGTACGAGTTTGGCACTGAAAGAGTTAAGTAGTGCTTAGTAAAACTCAGACAATTATATAAACAGGGGAGCTTCTCAGGTCCATTTTTTTGGCCAAAATCCTTCATTTTATGGTCAAAACATGAAATCGGGCATGCAGGGCTGAAATGGGGTAAAAATGGTTTTAAGAGGTGGACCCATCTTGAATCTTACCCATTTTGGGGCGGAGCTTGATTTAAAAAAAAAAAGGGGTGCGAAAAATAAATATCCTTAAAAACTGTTAACATCCATTTTCCTTGTCTTTTTCATTCTTGAACATGTTGAAATAAACTTAGACGCAAAATAAAACATTCTAGCATTTTAACACGTTATTTTCCACCCAATGTGTAAAAAGGCAGTGTATTTGTAAACTGGCTTATAAAATTTTGGTCAAAAAGCTTATCCGATTCTCGTCACAATTTTACCAACAAGTTAATAGGTAAACTGTCTCAGCTACAGGGGCGGCGGAACCGGGGGGGCTGGGGGGGCATTTGCCCCCCCCCCCCAGATTTTCCCAAGTGCCCCTTTTGCGGCCATAAATGTGCCCCCTCGAACAGTAAAGTGCCCCCTCAAGATACAACAAAAATGCCCTTAAAGTATCTTACTATTTCTTAGAAGTAACCATATCCCAATAATGGTATAGATATTTTTTATATAAACGAGGAATATGAAACCAAGTCCCAAAACCCATACAATACGGCCTGAAAATGGGCACATAATGCATATTTAGCATATAATCATTGGTTTTGAAGAGCGGCCCCTATGTTGGAAGATGGTACCAGCCCAGCCCCCCCCCCCCCCCCTTATTTGATTTTACGGAGGCCAAGTGTCCGGTGAAAAAAACGTGTCGACATTTCAGCACGGATGTGCAAGTGCCCCTTTTTGGTGATGCCCCCCCAGTTTCAAACCCGTTCCGCCGCCGCTGCTCAGCTAAACCAAAGTCAAATTGTTTTTTTTTTTCAATTCTAGTGTGATTACAAACTCCTGGAATTACATTACCTTGTGTTCACTAGCTGTATGCACATTCTCTACTGCCTGAAATGAAGACAAAAATAGTACCACTAATAATACTGATAGTCATGAAGTAATGATATTCACAAAAACAATATTTTGTTTCACAAAATTATCAAAATAGGCGTTTGGATATAACTACACTGTCAATAATAAAAACAATCATTTTGATACATTTCACAGAGTATTTTAACCCTAAAGGGGCCGGGGCGGACCTTAACTTGTTCCGTGACAGCTTTGAAAAAAAAATGTATTTGCGACCCGAGCTGTTCTGACTTTTTAGCCTTGAGCCTTGTGCATCTTTTGATACCAAAAACATAAAATTGGGACCATGGGTTGTCACGCAGTGAAACTGAATTTACATAAATAGTGACATAATAAACAGGACTCCCGATGCAGCGTAGTATAAACGAGTCCTGTTTATTACGTCACGATTTACTATGTTTTGTTTGCTGCCCCCAACGACAACTTTTACACAAATTGCACGTTCGGGACGAAACAGGACCTGAAAAACAGCTCTCAAAAGTACCTTTTGTACTCATTTCATGACAGACACAATAGTCGTTTTTATTTCATCACACCTTAGGCTACATATACCTGAAAAATGACGGAAATGTCTTCGAGCTTTCCACAACCTCTTTAAAACAAAGATACTGCCAGTCAAACTTGTGGGATCCCCCTGGCATGCTGGCAATATTTATACAGTCAGTTGGTAAGCACACTGTTCAGTGTACCTAACCAACTTTAACAATGACCGCATTTGACCCCTAGATGACCTTTGACCTCCAAAGTCTCAAGTCATCTGAAGTCCCCTTACCCAAAGATTATTGTCACCAAGTTTGGTTGAGATTGAAGTCTGAGTTGTCATATGACAGCACCAAACAGTTAACCTAACCAAAATGGAACACACAGACACACACAGAAGGAATACACTATCGCAAGATCCCCCTTTCTGGCTTAAAAGCCAGGAGGATTACGGAGGACAAGTTCAAGCTCCTTGGACATGTTTTTCTTAAACAGAGACACACTTACTTTAATCCAACCTTCAGTCACCACTTTCTGGAAGCGCATGTTGGTCTTGATGGCATCGAGAATCAGTAGTGTGTTGTCATGGTTTTTATTGCCTGATCTACACATAAAATATTATTCAAAGCAGCTCGTTACTATAAAAATTGTCAAAATCGTTTCAAAACAGACTTAAATGTGGACTAGATTCAAGGAAGGAGTGGTCAATTTTGCTGGTCCAAGAGGGCAAGTCTAGAGGCTTGTTTGCCCCTATCTTACAGACTGACTGACTTGATTGACCAACCGACCGACCGACTGACTGACCTGACCGACCAACTGACTGACCTGACCAAGTGACCGACCGACCGACCGACCGACCAACTGACTGACCTGACGGACTGACTGACCGACTGACTCCCCGACCAACCAGTGCATGAATGTAAAACACCGGGCAGTACGAGCATAGCATGGATCAAGGCACGTGGAAATGTAAGGAGATTCCTTTCTCTAGTTTTGGGCTAAATACCGGGATTCCAGTTTAAAAGTGAATCAAAAGCTTGTGATTACAACTGGAAGGGAATTTACATTTATTGATTTTTTTCCCCCGTTTTTGACATCAAAAGTAGATTTTTTTTGGCAGCGATTTTAATTTTGTTTTTTATTTCCGATTTTTTAGTAATAAAAATTAAATGGCCTAACAGCCACAGCAATTCACACAGAAAAACAAAAACACCAACCAACCAACCTACCCTCTCTTGCGATGCGGTGTGAAAGGCGAGGCAGAGGGAAGATTTGTTGGGAATTCCAAATTTGTCCTCACTTGGCTGATGACCTGAAATAAATCCACAACGGTTGAATTAAATAACCGGTAAAATAATAAGTAATAAACTCCATAAACTTGACAGACATGTGTCTAGGTCTTTGAGCTATTGTCTAGGTCTTTGCCAAATACAACTACATGGGAACAAGCTGACGATAGATCCAGCTGTAGCCCTGGAAGCCAGTTTCGAAATTGGACTAAGCACCAGTCAAAAGCACTGTACATCACATATTTTTTTGTTAACTGTTAACCTGCAGAGCAATACAGGGGTTCCCCAAAAAAGGTAATCCACAAACACTTTTCTGCAGCAGCTTCTGATCTGGTCTCTACCCTCACATACCGTACTCCAGGGTAGGCAGAGACAATCATAATAAAGTGTCTTGCCCAAGAACACAAGTTCCATGCTCCCTGGAAGGGTTTAATCCCATGAACCATCGCTGGGGTGTGCATCGGAACCAGATAGTCGACCAATTATGTCATGAACTGTTTTTGGAATATGGCATCGGGTACCAGTAGCCACTTTTATACAAAGTGTACTTCGCAGACAATGAAACAGAAAGGTTTTGAATGCCATTTGTGGAGAATTTTCAAAATGTTATGTTTATGTTGCACCACAAAAAAACGCGTACCTCAACAGCATCAGCACTGCTGACTGACTGCAGAATGAATTTGATGATGACTGGCAGGTCCTCCAGATCAGCTGAGATTAAGGTCTGCAGAGCTGCGTTACGTACCTGCAAAGTTCAACATACGGCGTGACACAATGGATATATTAAAGGGCCCATGAAATGGGCTCTGTGCGCCGACAGAGAGGGCGCCCTTTTACCCATGGGCGGGACATTTCGCTGGTTGACGCGCACTGTTCCTTGTGTGTGACACACGTACACCAGGGGATTTCTACTATGTACACGTGTACGCAGTGGCCACACTTCGCAGCATGCATAATGAATTGCAGTCAGGCAAGATGGCGTCGGTCGGTCACCCCCAACTGTACTCTCTTTGCCGGTGAGGGGGTACTTGTGAACGGAGCAAATAGAAGACAAATATTGAGTGGCTCAGAGTGGAATGGGAGGAATATTACCGAAAGGTAAAATCTGGACTTTTCTATTTCATGAGGCGAAGCCGAGTGAACTGGAAAAGTCCAGATTTTACCGAGCGATAATATTCCTCCCATTTCACAATTTAAAGCCACTCAACATTTGTTTTATATAACTGACATATAGATCCTTGTCATTTGATTAACAGTTAAAATGAACTTTTATTTCAATACAAAATTGGTGGGAAATGTATTTCTCTCTTTCAAACCACCCCTTCACGAAATGTTTGAACCCAATTCTGTTATGTAGCTAATGGCTCATGGGAACAATACGCGCTACGCACAACGCACATGGAACAATGACGATCCTTACTGTTGAATAGTAAATCTCATCATGGGTGAATGGGACTTTTTTAGCCCCGGTGTGAATGGGAGCAATAGTGAATGTCACATGATGTGAGTTCCACCAATCAAATTACAAGGGTCTGCATGTCAGTTGTACAAAACGGTTTAAATGCAATCCTTGCACAGCCAATTTCATGGGTGCCTTTTTGGTACCTTTTTATTGTTTTTTTTTGTACAAATACGAAACTTCCATATTCATGAGCATTTGTGAGTCTTCCGTGTAACAGTTGTACTTCAACATCAAACGCAGCCAGACTTTTGTATGTTTTTGCTGTGGTAAATATGTTGTTTTGGGTGCTTTATTGTTGTTTCAGAACTTGACAATAAGCAGGGTAAGTCACTGAACCAATTTTTATGCACAAATGTTTTGGATGAGCAAGATGTGGGGTTCACATATTGATCAGAAAACCTCTTAAGCTGAAGAGCGAGTGCCTTCAATTTCGGGAAAAGCACACTGACGTAAGGGTGAGTAAAGATAACTTTTTAGGTCTTTACCTCCGTCATGAGGTCAGGGGTCAAATTCAGGTTGCTAAGCGCATCCAGGACAGGGACGGTCAGCTCGCTACTGTTGAATAACAGCTCCCTGAAGTACAAGAACATTTTGAATGATATCAATTTAAATAATACTGCAACTAAAACTTGCGCAATCCCCCTGGCATGGGAATAGTTCAAACACATCCGATCAATAACCCACCAATTAGGTGACAGAGATTTATGCGGCGTTGTGTAAAGGAAAATATTTCTTTGTGAAAAGTGTCTTTAACCAATGACGAGAAATGAAATGAAAACTTGAACAAGTGTCTGTCAGTAACTGTCAGGAATCAAGAAAAGGTCTTGAGGCTATGAATTACGGTCTATTCTAAGGACTCACTTGAGCTGTGTAGCAACAGTATTATGTTCGCTGTCGCTGACAACCTCAGGAATACAGGCGATGATTTCTTGCTGCACAGCGAGGGAGGACACGCTGACCATCTCTAGCATCTTATTGGTCATTTCCTGGGGACAAAGTGGCCAATCACAAGTCATATTCCAGTCCAGACTGGGAACCGATAGCAGAAAGAAATGCAAGATATCATCAGGCCAGCTTTACTTTACCGTTAGCAAACAAAATTCTCCAATTTTTTTGCGAGGGAAGGTTAAAGTCTTCAGTATGCAAACAGCCAAGTTACACATTTTTATTAAAAAGGAAGTTTTTTTTTCTCAGTCTTTTGCAGCAGAGAGTGATTTTGATTTGAAGCCTAACACCAGACTAGCACCTGTCTAACTTTTCAAATTTTTTGAAAATTCAGCAGTCTGGTCACACGAATGTTGATGAAACGTGTAGAAAGAGAGACTGGGTACCAAATAAATCTTTAACCATACTTTAATATATTAACAGACAAAGTTGGCCTGTCTTAAAGGGAAAATACAACATTTGCAAACATCGAAAAATAAAACGACCAAGTTCTTACGAAAGACCTTACAGGATGTTGGTAAATGACAGTCTAAAGTATACTGTAAAATTATAGCACCTGGTGTGAAGTCATTTTGAAGAAAATTTTTTTTTTGTATACATTTCCAACGGTGGTCGGCCGACCACCGTACGAAAAACCTAACTATTTTTCAACTACTGCTCCAAATTTACCATTTTCTTCAGTCCAAATGTTGTTTGCTATTGGTTTCATGTTCATGAATGGGTGCAGGCCAGCTAGACTGGTTCCCTTACCGTACAATTTTCCGGCATCTGTAAACTGATCCATTTCATCTTCAGTGGAGTCAGGGAACCAGACTACATGAACATTTTTTTTGTTTTTCTTGGTTTTTCCAGCATTTTCGAAAACAAAACTTCAAACATGTCAGTGTAACAATAATTTGATCTATTATACTAACCCCTCAAATAGTTCATTTCTGAAAATTAAAGCAAAAGCCAATGATGTACATTCCCTTTAAACCAAACTCTACTTGGGTCGATTTGAGTCGCTCCTCATACTACATCTTGTTTGGCACGTCTCTGGAATGCCATCCTTATATTGGTGTGAGCAAAGGTGTCATCAATATATATATATTTTTTTACAACATACAAGTATTAATGCTGGGAGGTAGCCAGTGATGTTTTGGAGTCATCTGGCCACTGCAAATTAAAGCAGGGTGGGAGGGAGGGGGGAGGGGTTGAGGGGGGAGGGGTTGAGGGGGGAGGGGTGGAGGGGGTCGACAACAAATTCGTGCTGGAAGGTAGCAAGGTATGTTTTTGAGTTATCTGGCCACTGCAAAAAAAGTGGGAGTGGGGTTGAGGGGGAGGATTGAGGGATGTGGGGGTGGGGTTGAGGGGTGGTGGAGGGGGTCGACAACAAATTCGTGGTGGAAGGTAGCAAGGAATGTTTGCGAGTCATCTGGCCACTGCAAAAAGTGGGAGGGGGGTTGAGGGGCGGGGGGTTGAGGGGGGGGGGAGGTCGACAACAAATTCGTGCTGGACGGTAGCAAGGAATGTTTTTGAGTTAACTGGCCACTGGAAAAAGTGGGGGGGGGGGGGGGTTTGAGGGGGTTGAGGGGTGGGGGTCGACAACAAATTCGTGCTGGACGGTAGCAAGGAATGTTTTTGAGTCATCCGGCCACTGCCAAACGTGGGAGGGGGGTTGAGGGGGAGGATTGAGGGATGTGGGGGTGGGGTTGAGGGGTGGTGGAGGGGGTCGACAACAAATTCGTGCTGGAAGGTAGCAAGGAATAATTGCGAGTCATCTGGCCACTGCAAAAAGTGGGAGGGGGGTCGAGGGATGGGAGGGGGGTCGAGGGATGGGGGGGTTGAGGGGGGGTTAAGGGGTGGGGGGTCAACAACAAATTCGTGCTGGAAGGTAGCAAGTAATGTTTTCGAGTCATCTGGCCACTGGAAAAGTGGGGGGGGGGGAGGGGTTTGGGGGGGGGTTAAGGGGTGGGGGATGGACACTATCTGACTAATGGGGGCGCTGTTCAAAGCTGACAATATTTTGACACCATCTAACAATCGGTGGTGTTTACTTGATGTGGCACATTTGCCGATTGGCAAACGATTTTGCCAAAAAACAAATAATGGGGGGGGGGGGATGTCACACACCATCAAGCCCATTCACCTCACTGTTCAGCACTCTGTCAAGCCACTGGAACTGATTCAGAATGAGTCTGGGTAGATTGGCCGCATCGCTGTGGTCAAACATGCTACTACAGAAGGAGGAAACAGTTCATTGAAAATGTTACTGTTTAATATTTGGTTACTGTAATGACGCAAAAAATAATGCTCACTTTGCCAATTATTTCTCAATTAGTCTTACCGAAAAAAAATAAAAATAAATGCAGACCATTTTCACAAATACCTGAGACAATACCGCAGACAAAACCTATTCCTATTGGTCGAGAACCACTCACATTTAAAACCACCAGTTAATTACCGGCACAGAACGTGCCAGGTTGCGCAGTATGTGCCGCGCACGAGGTACATACCATAGACACTGCCAAATTTGTGTGTCACAAAACATGAAGTGGAATTCGGGCATTTCACAATACAGTGAGCCACCAAGAGTTTGCCATGGAGAGTTCATTTTTCCAGTGCATTGTAGGAGATGGTCGATAAATTCGCAGCGTGGGCTATTTGAAATTGTTAGTTTGTCTGTTCAGTGCTTTCGTAAGCATATGATTCCACTATCTGTTTGCCCTTTTCTTTTCTTTTATGGTGTGTTTTTGTAAGGCGGCAGAATGCTACGCCTAATCCTTAACAAATTAGGTCAAGTTGTCTACTGACACTCGTTCCAATGGGCTTTGTTTTGTCGACTGTAAACTTGAAAATTGACTCTCCATGGCAACGTGGCAAACTCTTGGTGGCGCACTGCATTGTGAAAAGCCAGAATTGTTGAATACAATCATTGGAAGTTTGTCAATGTTTGACTTACTTTGACTTTTTTTACCCAAAATGGTATTTATGAGTGGGAATCGAATGCTCGGGACATTATCCACGACCAGGCCCCTAGCCGGCTTTAAAGGGAAGATACAACATTTGCAAACATCAAAAAACGAAAGGATCAAATTATCACGAAATACCTTACTGGATTGTTAGGGAATGACAGTCTAAAGCATCCTGTAAAATCGTGGCTCCTGGTGTGCTGACATTTTCAAGAAAAGTTGTATTTTTCCAACGCTGGTCGGCCGACCAGCGTTGGAGAAAACTGGCTTTTTTCCAAATACTGCTCCTAATTGTTCATATTTAGTTACTCCGCATTTTCATTGCAATGGACTACACACTTGTGAAGGGGTACAAGCCTGTTAGACTGATTCTCTGAACGTACATTTCCCCAAGTCTATAAATTGTTCTGTTTCACCTTAAGTGGGGTTAGGGAACCAGACTACAAGAATATGATTGGTTTTCTTGGTTTTTCCAGCGTCTACAAACCCAAAACGTGAAACAAGTCAGTTTAACAATATTTGCTTTAACATACTAATCCTCCAAATCCATTTATTTCTGAAAACTGCAGCAAAGCAAATGTTGTACATTCCCTTTAAACATACTCGTTTGAAACTGGTCAAGCACATATTCATTCCACTATCATATCGCCTACTCTATTTGGCATATGACATATGCATGTTCTGAATTTGTCAAGTCTAAGTGCTGAGATTCCGTAGATTGGTTGATTCATCTTGTTGGTCAAGTCTTTGTTGGGTCCAGGCTTTGTTTGCAGAAATAACCAACAATGAAATCTATCGGGACTCACTCTTGGTCTTCCATAAACTCTGGCAGCTTCTCCAAGAGAACGTTGATTATGGGCGACTGAAAAAAACGGAAAACAAATTGTACAAGAAAATGGTGAGTTTGTAGGTACACCATGGAATGAATCTCTTCTGTGAAAAAAATCTGGTTCTGAAAAGAACCGGTGGGGAGAATGGTTCTGCAAGTTTCAGAGAGTGTCTTTTGTCCATCCTCCGGAGAATCCGGTTTGTAAGTGACTGCGTCACACACGCGGACGCAACCATGATTACTAGCGCCCACTGGCTAGACACGCCACTTTGCACTTCCGGTTCCAGTGGTTCCAATGATTTTCAATGCTACTCCATGTAGTGGGCATGGTTTAAAGTTGAAATGAAGTCGCACTTATGAACCGCATACTGTGTGAAACAGTGAGAACATTTGTTATTTTTAGAAACATACTTTTTCAGAGAAAAAAAAAATCAAGTGTTGGGACTTAACAATGGGCCGTGAGATCAACTAACTTTTTGTTCACGTTTGCTAAGGGAAAAAAGGTCAAAATATCGTCCAAAATGCTTCTATACTGTAAATTGCTTGTATAAGTTTATTATACAAATATTGAGTGGCTCACAGTGAAATGGGGGGAATATTATCGCAAGGTAAAATCTGGACTTTTCCATTTCACAAGGCAAAGCTGAGTGAACTGGAGAAGTCCAGATTTAATATTCCCCCCATTTAACAATTTATAGCTTCTCAATATTTGTTTTATATAACTGACAAAAAGATTCTTGTCATTTGATGTATTTGAACTTTTATTTCAACACAAAATTGGCGGAAAATGTATTTCTCTTTTCCAAACTACCACTTCACGAAAATGTTTGAACCCAACTCTGTAGCGCTGGCTCTTTGGAACAATACGCACTACGCGCAATGCTGAACGCGCACACCAGCATGGATTTCCACACAATACCGCGTCATGGAACAAGAATGATCCTAACAGTTGAATAGTATTTCCCATTCCCCATGGGCGAATGGAACGTTTTGAGCTGCGGTGTGAATGGGAGCAATAATGAATGTCACGTGATATGAGTTCCACCAATCAAATGACAAGGATCTGTATGTCAGTTATATAAACATATTTTCTACACAAGTACATTTGGCTTAAAAGCTCCATGAGATTGAGCCCAGCGTTTGTACATACTCAGAAATGTAGTAGTGAGCCCAGGTTGTGGTTTGTTACACACCTGTTTAAGGTCTGAGTGGTCTTAAGACTCCCATCTAGAATCTGGAAGTCCAGGCAAGCCCAAGACCAGTGTTGAAATGCAATGCTGGAGCAGGGCTCAAGACAAGGCCTGACTAAGCCATTTTTCTCCCAAAGTTGGGACTGAAGCGAATTTGAAATCTACTTTTTGCTGATACTGCCTGAAACTCATAAAAGGACTCAACTATGACACAGTTAGAGCCCTTCTCAATTCATATTTAGCACGAACTCCCGACAAGTTGCGGACCTTGAATCGGGTAGAAGTTGAAGGATTCTGAACATTTTCCCCTGCAATCTTCCCACGTTAAAGTTATCGGTATTGGCGAGTCAAGCATTTGCTAGTGAAAATTTCTCCCGGTGCAAATGCGGGACAAATGCAGATCTTCTTCGAGACAAAGTGAATGGCTTGATCAGTAACCTGTCTGGAACGTGTCCCGGAGATGAATTGAAACGGGCCCTAAGATCTCCTTTGCTTCTTCCATACCTGAAGTTCATCTATTCCCAGAAGAAGTCGCATCAGACTGTCCTGGTTTCCGCCCCTGGCGCTGCGTACAAATCACACAAGAAGGCATTAACTAGCAGTTTGAATAGGCCAACTCAGCATATATCAAGATATGTCAATGACTACAGATTCAGCATATATCAAGATATGCCAACTATGACTTCAGGTTAAAGGCAGGAGGTCAATGTACACAAGTCGGGGGGGGGGGGGCAGTGGTAACCAATTTTACAATCTAGTTTCTAATTTTGGTCATCTGATAAGCCCATACTGTACCTCTCGCATTCAGCGGATGTTAATGTGGGTAACAAGCTGTACTTGAAGCTGTGAAGAAAGGAGAGAAAAAAGACTTGAGTTTTTTTTTACTTTTTTAGTAACGAAAGAGATCTCGGATTGCCATTTTCCAGCTTTGCAGTAACTCTAGTACTACTACTATTCAGAGTTGTAATGACTCGAGTCAATGACTCGACTCGAGTCCGACTCGAGTCACAATTTTTGGTGACTCGACTCGACTCGAGTCCCTAAGGGCAAATGACTCGACTCGACTCGAGTCACTGCGAGCAAATGACTCGACTCGAGTCCCTCATCAGAATGACTCGACTTGACTCGAGGAAGGCTAATGAGACTCGAGTCCCAAAAATAAAAGCAAAACTTTGCGAAAAATATTTGCAATGACTTACGCCGGTGCCGGTTTTTGTTTACGTCACGTTAGAATTTTCGCGAATATTGTATACATATACATACGTGGTTTGATCAGTGTCCCCATTAGTTGAATGACGATCAGCTGGCACCCCCTTTTTATTTTCATTAAAAGTCAAATTTGGTGTAGCCACTTGTAATAGCCCGAATGTAATATTTAAAAAGCCAAAAATGACTTCGCTTTTGTGTTTTTTTATTGTATAGTGCTCAAATACTCGTTACAACTCTGCTACTATTGTAAAGAGGGTAATGTACATGTACGGTACATGCCAAGTGTACATAGCATGTGTTGAAATAATGAATGTTTGTGAGTGCAATGGTACATACATGTAAGAGTAATTTCATGAGATGACAAATGGAATGTTCCATTCCACGAGGCGATGCCTAGTGGAATGGAGCATTCCACTTGTCAATGAATGAAATTATTCTTACCATTGCGCTCACAAACATTCATTATTTGTGTAATATTCAATCCGAGTGGAATAATATACATACTTTCCGAGTGGAATGGAGCATTTTATACAACACCTGAATAAATCCCCGTCATCTGATTGGTGGATCATTGATCACATGTTCTTGAATTATTCGTCCCAACGCACAGCGCGTGCAGTGCACAGCGCAATGGAAGTTCCATTGCACGGTGAATAGAACTTCCATTGCACGGTGAATAGAACTTCCATTGCACGGTGAATAGAACTTCCATTGCACGGTGTCATAGCTGTTGGCGGTGGCGCTGCCCCAATCTCCATAAAAGGAGTTGTTTACATCTTACTCGCTAGCTGGACACTCCACAATATAGTTAGAGAGGTGTTTTGAAATACAGAAATTAAAATTGTTGAACAAAATCATTGCAGTTTTTTAATTTTTTGACTTTTTTGACTTTTGGACAGAACAGTTTTGATTTGATGACCGACAAGGTATTTATTATCTTCGGGTAATTATCAGCATTCCCGACTCCAACCAGTCTTAAACATAGTGTTTAACACTTCCCAAGCACACGTTTATTCCCATAATATTGAAAACTATTCTGTATGGATTTCTAAGCATTGTGTTTGCCCTTCACGGACGTAATTTCAACCCAACTTTACACTTGGCGCTGTCAAGAGCTTGAAAAAAAAAAAAAATCTCGAGCTGGCTTGGGTGGGACTCGAACCCATGACCTCTGGCTTACAAGTGAAGCAACTTTGTTGGACTAATTTACTTACCGAACAGGATCCTCAATGTGATTTTGAATTCCACTTGTGAATTCTTCAACAATCTAAAAAAAAAAAAAGCAAGAAAGAGGTGGATATTTTTTACGCATAATCTTCAAGATAAGCATGGTATTGCAGATGTTTCGAATAATGTTTAAAACCAAAAAGAGAGATTCTGTAGTGAAAGGTGCAGCAAATAACGTTCAAACTTTGAGCTACATGCACTTTTATCTAAACTACTTTATGGTATATTCACATATGCTAACCCAACCTTAACACTGGACCAATTCTAACATTAATACTATTCTCTTTGTGGTATGTACATTAAATGTAATGAACACCAGATGTGATGCGATCAAGCTACATATAAACGAGTCGTTTGTCGACCCTGGTCAATTTATTTTTTACAGATTTTAAAAGAGCACAATCTCAGCATTACTGCTGTGAAAACCGCATGCTGATACCACCTTTAGCTAAAAAATGAGGGAAGTCGGAACTCCAAGAAATATGATGAAGTGATGTGATGAAGTGGTCCTATTTTGGCCTGAATCTCCAAATGAAAATTCCTGACAAACGACTCATTTAGCCTGATCGCATCACATTTGTGCTGATTCAGGAGACAACAATACAATAAATTTGAAGCAGATTATTACATCTGCCGCTATTTCAGTTCGTAAATATCCAAGTTTTTGAGAAAACGGTGTAAATACACCTCCGTTTTTCTCGAAGCAAAGCATAAGTTTCTGCAGAAGGCACGATGGTTTGGTCCTTACCGTCACAAGGAACTGAAGGTGGATGCCTCTTAAAATTTTTTCAAAAATGACAGCATACTAGGCGCAACAATGTCACACGATCCTATTATCTACTTTGTCAAGTAGGATATTTCATATTGGGACAGTTTCCTTTTGAAATGTTGGCAAATGGTGTCTATTTACCTTTAATTGGGAGAAAACAGTTATTAAGTACGTTTACATGTACATGTAGCTTCAAATTTTGCCAACCCTTAAAAATCGAAAACTGAAAATCAGACATTGGGTATTAAAGCGTATTTCCTGAAATGCGCTTTTAGAATTTGAGCGTGTGAACAAAAGTGGACAATAAGACACGTGGAATGTGAACTGTAAAATTAAAGGAAATTCTACAAGTTGAAAGAGGTTTAAATGGAACAAAAAGAAAAGAAAAAGAAATGATTATCAAGACCTGTTCCAGATCGCTGGACCGCTTCAAAGCCTTGGACAGCCTCTGCTGAAACATGGCCTGGTCAACACCTGTAAGAATTGAAAAGCATGAAATGTTGTCTGCACATTTAACAAGACTCAAAACACAGTGTAAATGCTGATGCAACGTATACAATTTATACAAACAATCCACCCATGTACAGGAATGCAATGCAATTTGATAAAAAAAACTTCAATTTAATGGAGAATCTGCAAGAGTTTCGGGTTAATACATTAAAAGGGATGGTCGTCATCATTCACATTCCACTTGATGACAAAAGTGTACCCCCTCCCCCCCCCCCCCCACCCTCCTCTGAGGGGAGTCAGGTTGGTGCAGTGGCTACTATCCCCGCCTGCCACCACTTCGGTCCGGGTTCGATTCCTGCACTGGTCCACATGTGGATTGGGTTTTCAGTCCCTACCTAATTCCTTGGGTTTCCCCCAGAATATTCTTCTGGGGTTTTCCTCCCACCTCTTAAACTGTCATTTCTTCTCATTGTCTTCTCTCTTCAGGTTTCTTCAGGCTTGCGAGCTACAGTGCCCAGGGGGCTTTTGAGGAATCCTTGGTGTCATTACCAGAAAGAAAGAAAAAAAAAAAAAAAAAACAATCAAATATCACGGATAAATTACATTTGTACGGTGAAGTTTATCTGCAGTAGCCCCATTGCATTGGGTAGTAGTTGCAGAACTCTGAATGTCTTCCCCAGAATCCTCCTGTAATGACGTTTTAAGTCCCATTCACAACCTTTCAAACTTCATTTTGGGGAGACTCCAGGAAAATTGCTTGGAATCTGGCAATTAAATCCTGAAAAACAATAGGGCCTACTAATAATAATATGGTGCTTATATTGCCCTTTATACCAAAGGTCTCAAAACGCTTCACAATTATTACCCCTGTTCATCAGGTGGTGAAACCATTTTTTTGCAGCAGCAGCAGCTTGAGATCAGCGCATTCTGGTCTCTATCTTCACCAGTACCCATTTATACACACGGGAGGAGAGAGGTAATTGTAGTAAAGTGTCTTGCCCAAAGACACAAGCAGCATGTTCTTCATCAGGGTCCGAACCTACGTACCACAAGGTACAAGAGTAAAACACCGTTGGACTATGGCGCTCTACAATGGGACTACAGCAGATACACTTGTCCGCAACATATCCAGGATATGTAATGAGACAGTAGGCCTACATACTTAGCTGATTTGGGGAGTTGTCAGCCATCAATACGAAGCCAGCGTCCTTCACTAACTGACCGAAAGTCGAGTCATCGTTTAACACCGTGGGTTGAGAAGGGCCTTGGTTTGCGCTCCCACGAGCCAACTTTTTGCTCCTTTTGCTTCCTAAATTCCAAACGAAACACCGAAAATTACATTAATGAAAAGGGGGGGGGGGGGGAATGGTTTCATGCAATTTCTGCCGATTTGTCGTTGATTTTTAGAAATTTCAATCTTTATATGTTTCATACATATATGTACTTTTTTACAAAATTAAAACAATTTCGGATGCGGTGAATTGTGAATTTTTCCAATTATGAAAATTGTGCCAAATTGAACCATTTCTCATAATTGACCACTTTTTGTTACATGATGTTCAGGATTTATCAGCCCGTGTGTTAAACCACACAAACAGCAACAAATATTTCAACTGAAAAGCAACATTGAAATAAAAATGAAAATAAATACGTGCTATTGATACATGTTTTGCACCACACATTTGCTTATGTTTTGTTTTTCCGCAAAGTTGCAGGAAGGCCTTTGTTTTTGTTCTGATTTTTTTTTCTTCCCTCTTCTTTTTGTTCAGATCCTAAATCCCACATGTACCTGTAGGGCGAGTAAAAAAAAACCAGAACCCAAACCCCCCAAAAATATATTTCATATTTGAAAAAAATTTGTAGCACCAAAACATAATAATGACTGGAAAGCCACTTTCATAAACCACTTTTTAATGAAAAAATTACTGAAATTGCTCAATCCGTTCGAAGAATATCACCACTTAAAGGCAATGACCCTAAAACCTCTTTCGTCTAAAAAAAAAAAAGCATTTTATTGTGTGCTCTGACTGCTTGAACCAAAAACGAAAATGCCTCAGAACACTTGTTTCAACAACTGTTAACAACTGCAGTGTACAATATCTTCAATAATCATGCTTTAGGCAAACAATATGATTTATAAAATCCACTTTTTTAAGACAGGCCTTCAAAAGGACTTTGTTGAATGTTTTTTACTTTTAAACTGAGGTTTTATCGCTGGGTGATGTTTGAAGACACTTGTGACGACGATTCTTGTAACCGCATTTTTGGACAAAAGAGGATTAGGGTCATTGCGTTGAAATGTTGATATACTTGGGACAAATTTGGATTCTAGACTCTCTGTCATGTCTGTGGTGCGATCTGAGGCAATTTCTGACCACTTTTATCATTTTTTGGGGGGGAACAAAAGATCATCATTATCTGGGTGTCCCGATGTATAGGAATACGAAATCGCTTGGAAAATATGCAGGGTTCGATTTGGCTATGACACCGCTGCTGTGTATTGCGTGCTGAGGGATTTTCCCCAATGAGAAATCATTTTGTGTGTGGAGCACGGTGAGAAATTTGCACACATGCATGAGATGGAACACGTAAGTGTCAGGGAGTGCAGACAGCCACCGCCAATGCGATGACGGCCAATGCAATCGTTCGTCGCGCGACCAGAAAACCCCGCACACACGCTGGGACAGCATAGAAATTGTTAGCCCCACTAGTGTGGCCGTCGGTATGCTGCGCTGAACCTAAGGCCACACACCGTGGTACCGCGCGCTACTGAGGACGAAGTTTTCATAAAATTTGCAGGGAATTTCTTACATATGGTTGTATTCTGCGATGTCCCATCTATCACTTCTGGGATGCTTAGGTGTAATGATGTTCAATTTTCCGAGATATTCTTGAATCTTTCTGGAGCCAATATGCACTCGTGAAACGTCCGGTGATTGCAGCCATCTTGAATGTGACAAGAGATGACCTCAAGCTGTGACGTCGCGTTTGTGCAAATTGCTTGTCGAGTGAGGGCGCGAGTTGCAAATCGACGGCTGTTTCCTGTGCCATAGATCCTGAATAGAGATCAGTGCACGTGGCCCCCAGACGATAAATGCATGGTACAGGAAACAGCCGTCGCATTTGCAACTCGCGCCCTCACTCGACAAGCAATTTGCATAAACGCGACGTCACAGCTTGAGGTCATCTCTTGTCACATTCAAGATGGCTGCAATCACCGGACGTTTCACGAGTGCATATGGGCTCCAGAAAGATTCAAGAATATCTCGGAAAATTGAACATCATTACACCTAAGCATCCCAGAAGTGATAGATGGGACATCGTAGAATACAACCATATGTAAGAAATTCCCTGCAAATTTTATGAAAACGTCCTCAGTAGTGCGCGGTACCACGGTGTGTGGCCTTAGGTTCAGCGCAGCATACCGACGGCCACACTAGTGGGGCTAAGAAATTGTATAATAAAGTTGTAAGATTCTTAAATACTTAATTGTTTTATTTTTTATTTTTTTATTTTTTTATGCGTGGGAAATCCTGTGTGGGCGTGAGAGCGTGAGAATAACCTGAAATGCTTGAGTGAAAGTTGGCGGCCCTGTGAACACCCATTGATTTCTGTCAAAAAAAGTTACATCTTGTGCAATTGTAAACAAGGAACTCAAACGACCCCTATGACCTTTGACCTCTAATTTCTGAAAATTTGTGAACCTCCATCCAACGATCACTCCATCAAAGTTACATTAAAATCTATCAAATTCTGTAGATAAAGAAACATTTGAAACATGTATGAGAAACAATGACCTCTAATGACCCCTGCATAACCTTTGACCTCAGTTATCCAATGCAGAATTGTGTCTTCCCACCCAAGAGTCACTGCATCCAAGTTTCATCAAAATCCAAGAAAGCATGTAGAAGTTACATGTTTTTTTTTTCTCAAAACTTAACCTTAACGTTATACAGTCGTATGGGGATACAGAATTTAGGACTGGTAAGTGCCCCCAAAACTTTGATTAGGCGACACAAAAAAAGTGGCGGCCGGGAAAAATAGGAGCTGGCAGTAAGGCCCAAAAAAAAAAGTCTCCGGTTTCTGGTATGGAGATTGCCCCAAAAGTGGTGCGGCAATGCGGCTACGTTTTTTAGTTACTTTTTTTTCTTCAAATGTCCGCTAGTGACTGCAAATAGTGCCAGACTAAATTTCGTGCAAAATATATGGGAGTCCAGAGAGGCCACATAAAGCTTATAGTCGATCGTAACCCCATCTAAAAACGCGTTAAAATTGTGCAGCAGCAGGATTCCAGTCAAACCAGGGAGTTTGGCAGTTTTGAGACATCATCTTACATTTCATTTTGCCGACGCACATGGCTACGGTGACGTGCGCACATACATGTACCAGAAACTGGAGACTTTTTTGGGGGTCCAATGAGATACTGTTGTAAATTTTTTTATTTGCCCTTAAATTTTGCTATTACATGTATCTTCTGTTTGTCATTCATGCACAAAATAATAGGTTGAAGTCAACTCACCCGGTGTTGTCTCCAAAGTGGAAGCACTTTTACGCTTGGTCCTCGCTTTGCCCATGATGACCTCGTTTTACAAAAGTCTGTCTTCAGATCTGAGCTCCAAAATGTCTCTCAGTTAAAGTTATAAAGAAATTCCCAGTAGTTTGTTCTGGACGATTGTACCAGCCTGGACTGCTCACACTGGACCAAGGCAAAACAAAACAAAAACATCTTGTGATTCCTGTAACACCGGAGCTGTAATGACTCAAGTCAATGTCTCGACTCGAGTCTGACTTAAGTCACATTTTTTGGTGACTCGACTCGAGTCCCTGAGGGTAAATGACTCGACTCGAGCCACTGCGAGCAAATGTCAGGACTCGACTCAAATCCCTCATCAGAAGACTCAACTCGACTCGAGCAAAGGCTAATAAGACTTGAGCCCCCAAAATAAAAGCAAAACTTTGCATAAAGCATTTGCGATGACTTACAATGTACAATGTACGGTGCAAAATTTATGTTCACGTCACTTTGTGAATACACTACGGTACAGCAGCCGCTTGTCTTGTATAAACACACAACGTGTCACAGACTCCCACCTCATGGTTGTAGAATGCACAAAATACTAACCAGGAACCAGACTTTAAACACGTCTTCCAATTCGTTGTTTCATTGTTAATGTTGGGTTTGGGCGATTTCTTATCAATCTCTTGGATTCGAACACCAGCTAAATTTATGCCCTCCTTTTATAAATTTTGGTATGTAGTGTTCAAAATTAAGTCGTGACCCGAATTGACTATATATATTTGACTTGACTGTCTTGACCTAATGACTCCATTCGACTTGAGTCACTTCTTTAAAATGACTTGACTCGACTCGACTCGAATCACAAAAATAGTGACTCGTTTCGTCTTTGCATAACACTGACAAAAAATTAAGGGTTGGTTTGTGAATAAATTGTTTTTATTAGCTCCAAGTTTTTATAGCCAGACAAAAAAGTAGGGTGGGATGATGGTCAATTAATTTGTTCATGTTTAATTTTTTTACATGCATTGTTTAATACCTGAATCAACTATTCTCAACCTGCGTTTGCTGCACTTTTGTGGCACCCTGTGACAAGACCGAATTCCAAAAGTTTCCTGACGATGTCTGCAATTTGAACTAGTGTGGGGGTAGTCCTATTCTATAGCCTACACTGGAGTCAACTCCGTGCTCAACGCCATTCCCACATGAGCTTGAAAACTTGGGAAAATAATGGCATTTTTAAAGCTCTGGCAACAGATTTTCTACAAGTCACTCAGGTGTCGGTCGGTCAGTCGGTCCCCCCAAGAAAATTGACCAAAAACAAACCCCCTAACTCACCCATAAAACTGTAAGTACCAAATTTTAACTGTCTAAAAAAATACACTAAATACTTGACAAAAATTGTGTGTAACAATTCGTGACATTGTTTATGAACTTTTTGAATAGAGGCAACACAATTGACAATCACGACTAAGTGAGTAATTGTCACATTTCATGCAAGACTCTCATGCAAGACGGCCAGAGCTTATTGTGCAATTGCACTTGTTTTCGTGGGAATCATTATGCCTGAAACTCGGCATGCACTAATACCCAAGCATCCCACTTGGACTTGCTTTTGCTTTCTTCTGGTGAAATTTGTCTCTTTATTTGCAAACTGAAATGGAAGTCCATATGCATGCATCAATCAAACCCCATGAGACAGGTCTGAACATATCCAAGTGTTTTCTCAGCGTTGCTTCAATATTTTCCCTGGTAAGGCCCAAAAAAAAAAAAATTCGGTCTCTGGTCAGACCACAGTTCTGGTATTGATGCGGCGATGCGGTTTTTTTTTTTGTTTTTTTTTGGCCTTTTTTTTTTTTGAAGCATGGATTGTACAGACAAGGTGGGTACTATTTTGCTTTTGTTGTGTCCTCGTATACATTGGGGACCTCCATATTTTGCCTTGGTGCAATTTCACCATTCCTTGGTACAAAAATTTGAGGAGGTGTGGCAATAGAGGGCACTGCTGTAGCTACCGCGGACAATTTCAAGAAAAAAAAGGTTGACGCGCATGATTAAAATTGACGCGCGCGCTGACCAGAGACTGATTTATTTTTTTTTGGCCTAAATTTGACTTTTTAGGACATAGCTTTGTGATGGCTGATAGGTCGCTACAGGGAAAACTTATAATTTTTAGAGGGACAAAAAATTTGTCACACATGTGACAAAAGGGTCATAATATTTAACACAACGACACGCAACCTAGGCTAGCCCCGTAAATGGAGCCAGACTAAAATTTGTCACCGGAAAATTTTGAAGTACAAAAAAACAGTACCTGCGCATGTTCAGTGCATATCAGGCAAAGTAACGTTTACTGAAGGTTTGCCGTCTCCGGCAAAATATCCACTGCCTATTTCTTTCCAATCTTTTTCATTTTCCTTCAACTTCATAATTCTGCAGAAAAAAATATTCTGAGCTGATTTTCTGTACAACTCATTTTTGTCATGTTTGTATGCAAATATTCCGTCAAATGTAGCTGAAATTCGGCTAGAATGGTCACTCCACTAACAGCGGATAACAATAGAGTGTTTTCACTATAGCCTGAAGCGTGGCTACGTATATAGCCACGTTCAAGGGTCTAACTAAGTTAGTATTACTGTTACTGTGTTAGTAACTTAACTTGGACTAAACTTTTGGTACTTTTCAGGCCATATATGAGGAATACATGGATGAGTGGTGGCCCAGTATGGATTTTTTTCCGAAGTTCCTACCTTTGTCCTGCCTGGAGACCTATTCCATGTATTCTATTTGGATGTCATCATGAATAAGAACTGCACATATCGATCAATCAGACGAGACATACATGACATATCATGCATGTAACATGTGTAATGTCACTCAGCCATGTCAGATGTCAAGATTTTCGCGCGGTCAACAGCGCCCTCAAGAGTCAATACCATGCAAAGACAGAAATATTTGTATTTTCCACTATAATAGAGGGCGCGCCACATCACTAGTGGTCTCAACAACGCATCAATACTAATAGGGGTGCATACCTGCAAATAAACTCCCATAGACACTAGTGCTAAATGCCCGTACTTCAAAATTCTTTTAAAAATACTCAAAACTCTCACAGGTATTCAAGCTGCACAGAAAAATGATGATCAATGTGTCATCTTTCAATTTCTTTTCAATTTATGGTGGGTTGACCATTGACTTTTCGAGATATTTTCACGCAAAGAAGACGACCCCTATTTTCCCCAAAGCGGAAAAGTAGCCATCTTGAAAAACGATCCCTCCACAACATGGCAAAATAGCGCCACTTTCGAGCCCAATAGCATCCAAAATGCTCAGAATTGGAAGCCCCAAGTCCGGGCCAGAGGTTCACTACCATATCTCTTCAATTCCCCAATTTTACGGCGCTCAGAACTCTCTAATATAGAATATTTTGAGGGTATAACTTTTATTCATGAGCTTGGCGGATCGATTTACCGGTGTGTACCCATAGGGATGCTGCACAAGTGAAGAAACTACGAAAGCCCATTAGCGCCACTGCAAGTATATATGTTACAGATTGTGTAATTCGTTATTATGGATTATTAATTCGTTATTACGGATTACTAATTCGTTATAACGGATTATTTAATTCGTTATTACGGATTATTAATTCGTTATTACGGATTATTAATTCGTTATAACGGATTATTTAATTCGTTATTACGGATTATTTAATTCGTAATAACGAATTAATAATCCGTAATAACGAATTAAATAATCCGTAATAACGAATTAGTAATCCGTTATAACGAATTAGTAATCCGTAATAACGAATCAATAATCCGTAATAACGAATTAAATAATCCGTTATAACGAATTAGTAATCCGTAATAACGAATTAAATAATCCGTAATAACGAATTAGTAATCCGTAATAACGAATTAGTAATCCGTAATAACGAATTAATAATCCGTAATAACGAATTAGTAATCCGTAATAACGAATTAATAATCCGTAATAACGAATTAAATAATCCGTTATAACGAATTAGTAATCCGTAATAACGAATTAAATAATCCGTAATAACGAATTAATAATCCGTTATAACGAATTAGTAATCCGTAATAACGAATTAATAATCCGTAATAACGAATTAAATAATCCGTTATAACGAATTAGTAATCCGTAATAACGAATTAAATAATCCGTAATAACGAATTAATAATCCGTTATAACGAATTAGTAATCCGTAATAACGAATTAATAATCCGTAATAACGAATTAAATAATCCGCAACATATATACTTGCAGTGGCGCTAATGGGCTTTCGTAAGAAACAACCTCGTTTGAACAAGTTTGAGTTGTTGGCCCAAAATCGGGTTTGGTGGTGGAGATCGAGACCACTATAATAGAGGGCGCGCCACATCAATAGTGGTCTCAACAACGCATCAATAGGGATGCTGCACAAGTGAAGAAAAAGAACAACCTCGTTTCCGATGAACTACTCAAGAAATACAAAATGGATGAAATTGAAATTTCGTGCTATTAGTTTTCACGATGTGTAGCATGAGTAGTTTGAATGGCGTGAGAAACCGTGGAGCTATAAATATAATATGATCGTAACAATCTAGTGTTTTAAACGTTAACAATCCTTGTTGGTTTCCATTAGGATTATATTTGTTGCAAATAAAATCCTGTAGTGTTACGGTCATAATCGCTTGATTAATTGACTTTTTTTTTATGAAATGAACTTTTTTGGTGCCAAACATCATGACAAATGAGTGTACGAAAATTCATTTTAATGTATTAAACGTGTATTTCTTGAGTTGTTGGCCCGAAATCGGGTTAGGTGGTGGAGATCGAGACCACTATAATAGAGGGCGCGCCACATAAATAGTGGTCTTAACAACGCATTAACACGGATGCTGCACAAGTGAAGAAAAAGAACAACCTCGTTTCCGATGAACTACTCAAGAAATACAAAATTGATTAAATTGAAATTTCGTGCAATTAGTTTTCACGATGTGTAGCATAAGTAGTTTGAATGGCGTGAGAAACCGTGGAGCTATAATCACAATATGATCGTAACAATCTAGTGTTTTAAACGTTAAAATCCATGTTGACTTACATTAGGATTGTATTTGTTGCAATTAAAATCCTGTATTGTTACGGTCATAATAGCTTGATAATTTGACGTTTTTATTATGAAATGAAATCTTTTGATGTCAAACATCATGACAAATGAGTGTACGAAAATTCATTTTAATGTAACGTGTATTTCTTGAGTTGTTGGTCCGAAATCGGGTTAGGTGGTGGAGATCGAGACCACTATAAAAGAGGGCGCGCCACATAAATAGTGGTCTTAACAACACATCAACACGGATGCTGCACAAGTGAAGAAAAAGAACAACCTCGTTTCCGATGAACTACTTGAGAAATACAAAATTGATTAAATTGAAATTTCGTGCAATTAGTTTTCACGATGTGTAGCATAAGTAGTTTGAATGGCGTGAGAAACCGTGGAACAACGCCCCCATTTTCAAAATGACTGCCATTGCTTGTTATTCTACCTATATATTTTTTCAAACGACATAGGCGATGACCCTATGCTCGGTAGCCGCTATCTTTCTTATAACATACTCTGTCTGTGTGCCAAATGCCATTCTTGTATCATCAAAGGCTCAATCCCTCCACATATCTACCGGACTATCTTTGGCGATAGTCATTTTGAAATAGTTTTTTTTGTCGGGAAAAAATGAATTGCAATAGTGCAGTTTTGGACACCGTTCCATATAAGAACGAAAAGATACTTCATGTTTAGGCTTTCAGACCTAATTATTGTCTCATTCAAAAGTGAATAACCTTCATGTCGCTAGGAAAACAGCATTTGAAAATTATATCTTTTTTCGGGGTTATGAATTTGTATTTTTGACATAGCTGTTTCTTTTTACCCCCCCCCGGATCCGAGCCTGAGAGGAGGTTGAACTCAAAATTAGCAAGGAAAATGCATCTCCGATTGATTAATTTCGTTGTGATGACTGCAGCAGAAATATAGACTTCATGCAAATAATTGAATAGATTATACGAAATTAATATGGCGCACATGGCCGATCGAAATCTCGCCAGCAACCCGAACAGACATGTGATTCGTGTTGTTGCTAAATCGGCTGGAACTGGTTTCGGGCCATAGCCGAGAAAAGTGGGGAAAGCAGACGGACAGGGCGGGCGGGCGAGGGGTTAAAAGAGAAAGCAGAAGTTGGGATCAACTTTTTTTCTTTCTTTTTTTTGATATCAGGTTTTATACAAATTACATACCACACACTCACAAAATCCAACACTAAATTGCTTAAATTTGTCTAGGAAATGTGCAAACAGTTGAAAGATTTGCAACAGAAATACAATGGTAGTGACTGATGGGATCCAATTGAAGGGACCTCATTTTCTGGAGGAGGGCACCTCAACTGTATTTACAAGATCAATTACGCTCCGTTGAATCTCCCCAAAATTCTAAGAAGGTTGGGGATTCATGGGGGAGGGGCACAGGCCAAGAGTGGGGGTAAGCCTTAGATACGCCACTCGAAGCATTCAATATTTGTATAATGTAGTGTTAATAATCGTCGGATTTGAACAGCGCCCCCATTAAAAGTATGGTATGAGCCCCCGCCCCCTTTCAAAGGACAAATCTGCGATGACCCTACAACCGATATCTTTTTTTATCACATACTCTGACTGTGTGCCAAATGCCATACTTGTATCATATTATACAAATATTGAATGCTTCGAGTGGCGTAGTAAAACTAGCCTCCCGAGGTGATCCATGGACCATTCTATTTTCCCGAGGCGAAGCCGAGGGAAAATAGAATGGTCCATGGATCACCGAGGGAGGCTAGTTTTACTTCACCACGAGATAAAGCATTCAATATTTGTTTTACAACACTTCACTCACAGATTCTGCTTGATTTTAATATTTTAAATTATTTAAATCTGAACACAGTTGAAATAAACTTCAATTTCAATACAAAATTGGTGGAAAAATGTATTTCTCTCTTAAAAACTACCCCTTCACGAAATGTTTGAACCCAAGTCTGCGGCGCGCTCTCTTTGGAATAATACGCGCTATGCACAACGCCCAACGCGCACATCACCAGCATGCATTTGCACACAAATACTGCGCCGTGGAAATAGTACTTTGGTTGCTAATGGTATAGTACTTTGGTTGCTACGCGCATAGTACTTTTGGCCTTGCACAAAAGATAGCAAAATTAGAAAGTAACATTTATATAACCGACATACAGATCCTTGTCATTTGATTGGTGGAACTCACATCACGTGGCATTTGTTATTGCTCCCATTCATGCCGCGGCTCAAAAAGTACTATCCGCCCATGGGGAATGGGAAATACTATTCAACAGTTAGGATCATGACGCGGTATTTGTGTGCAAATGCATGCTGGTGTGCGGCGTTCAGCGTTGCGCGTAGCGCGTATTGTTCCAAAGAGCCAGCGCTACAGCGTTGGGTTCAAACATTTTCGTGAAAGGGTGGTTTGGAAGAGAGAAATACATTTTCCTCCAATTTTGTATTGACAAAAAAGTTCAAATATATCAAATGACAAGGATCTATATGTCAGTTATATAAAACAAATATTGAGTAGCTTTAAATTGTGAAATGGGAGGAATATTATCGCTCGGTAAAATCTGGACTTTTCCAGTTCACTCGGCTTCGCCTCGTGAAATGGAAAAGTCCAGATTTTACCTTGCGATAATATTCCTCCCATTCCACGCTGAGCCACTCAATATTTGTATAGTGACTCGCTCTCGGCCAATCAAGACACAGAATCTGTGGGTGAGGTGTTATAACATCAAATGCACATTGACATATCTGCCACCCTACATACTTGGCGATAGTTATTTTGAAATAATTTTATGTCGGGAAAAAATAATTAAA